AGTTGTAGTATTTATTTAGTGCAAAAGTATGCAATAGGTTTGCTCTTACGACCGAATACAAATTCCAAAGCATAATTTCCCAATCTTGTCCTAAAATGTACTGCTGAGAACAAGTTTTTAAACAATATAGTGACAAGATCTTCTTAGTTTTTAATAAATGGCAATAAATTGATCTTTTGACCGTAAAGTTCAGTGATTATAGAATTGTACATGAGTTTTTTGAAAACTGTAATTAGGGAATTCTAGGAGCTTAAGGTTTTTTTTTGGATCAGTACAAAGTTCTGATTCAGAATTATTAACACCCATTTGTACCTCTTTAGCTTTATTTCTTTATTCCAAAATTGCGGGTACATTACTGTGTGACTGTGTAATTTGACATTTGAACACGCAAAGCCATTTGTACACAACACAATCTTGATAAGGACATAGGCAATATGTTTATTAATTCAGAGTATTTATTAAAGAAATCCCACTTGACAATCAGAGCAAATAATTTGGGTAGATGCTAATAAAAATAATTTAAAAAAAAAATTAAAGAAACAATCTCCGACTTGAAAATATTTGTATAATTAGGGGAGAGTGGGGGAATTTCGTCACAGGGGCAATTTCGTCACCTGCAATATCTCGGAATCCATAAGTCGTAAAAATATATAATTTTTTTGTTTTAGTCCTTCAAGACGGCCAGACACAACCAATGCATTTGTTTTGCACAGAAGGCCAAGATAATTAAGCTATAATATTAAATGTGTTTTAACAGTTCAAAAGCTACATTTAGTTCTCGACGAAATTTTTTCTGTATGCCACAATTCAAAAGGAATAAGATACACGATTTTTTATATAATACACAGTGCTATAATGTGCATTTCTGCGTCAGTGATTTTTAACTTCGCGCCTAATTTCGCAAGAAAAATAATTATTTCTAAAAAAGCACGGTCTGGGGAAATTTCGCCACCCTACGCTAAGGGTAAATTCGCACCTATTTTAAATACATATTTTTATATTTGACGAGCTGGCTAACGAACAGACTACCAGCAGCAGCAACAAATATAGGACGTCAACAAAAATGGTACGCTTGATCAGTGTAGCATATTTTCAGGCGTTAAACTCCCTACATTTTTCAGGTGACGAAATTTCCCCAGTTGTGTGGTGATTTTACCCCCCTGTGTGGTGAGATTGCCCCAGTATATTGGTTTTACATTTTATTTTTTTATAAATCACCAAGCTAATTAAAAAAATAGGGGGATGTCACATTTTAAAGCTTGGTGCTAACCGAATTCAACAATAAAAATATAAATATGATAACGTGTCTCAAGATGGACAAAAAATAGCTTTGAAAAAATGCTGACGAAATTCCCCCACTCTCCCCTACATCATAACTTTGTAATTTGTTGTTGCTTTTAAATGACTTTTTAAAAAACATACTGCTCTTCCATATTCATAGTTTCTGGCTCCAGGGTAAAACGTTATCTTTTTGACAAAGTAACTTTTTAAATTAAGAGAGGATAGGAGCTTTCTCTTCCAGTCCCAAAGCTTCGCCAGAGCACCGAGGGGAGGGAACAGAGAGATTGCAATAGCTTTTCTCCAGCGAAGCGGCTACTGGGAGCTTTTACTCAACTTACTCAATAGCATTGAAAATGCGCTGCCTGTGCGGCTGTTGTTGTCCCCCCTTTTCCCCCGCTCGCTTTGTTCGCCACATCTGCTCGCGTTTCATTGATGCCCAAATATAGGTCAACAATGTGTTCGAAGAGGGGGTGGGTGGAGGTTTGGGTGGAAGGAGGTGGGGGGAGTGCTACGTCGCCAACTGAATTATCAGTGTCAGCGAGCGAATGCAGCGGTGGAAGCGATGCTGCTATCTGAGGAACACGGCAAACATTGTAAATTGCTCGCCTGACGATGATTGCTGGGGTTCACCTCGTAGCTCGGAGCTCGCAACTCAAAACAAATTGCCCGACATTGCGCATACGCCGCGTTATCGGCGTGGAATTTATGACGGCACACTAGCCTTCTGTCCATGTCCTTTGCCCAGCCGCCGCCGACTTTAATTGAATTTTTATGCGCCGCCAGCAGTCCGCAAACGTCAGAAGAAAGTGACAAGTCTTTGCTGTCATCTTTGCTTTATTTTTCATTTTTCCATTCAGAGGAAACGTTTTACAGTCGACTTTAAGTATTTAAATATTTAATGAGAATTAAGAAATCAAGATCTTGCGTCTTTCGATTCCGAATCGTCTTTAAATTACTCGAACATCAATACGAGTTATAGAGAACTCGTTATTTATATTATGCTTTTAGGTTTACAGTTCAAAGAGTCTTTACAAAAATTTAGTTTAAGTCTTGTTGGTACAAATATTTTAAAGTTCAAGATAACTTTTTTATTTGCAAATGTTGAAAGTGCAAACAGTTGACTTAGCTATATACTCGTTTGTATCTATAACACCTGTGGGTTTTTAGTTTAGAGCATGGGAAAATACTAGCTTTTTATAGCTCTTTTTACATTTTCAAGATCATACGATCACAAGGAATGTCAATGTTATCATAAGGAATTATTATTTTGTAATAATTTTATTATTATTAGCATTATTTTTTTTTAAATACAACAAATTTGGTAATCAAAAAATATAATAAATTTCGGGTGGGTAATGCTAATTTTATAACATTTAATTTTAAAATTTAAGAAACTTCACAAATAATTATATTTCCCAGTGCTCAGCACCCTTGGGCTCTTTTCTTCTTACGTTTGTCGTCGCACTAGTGACGTCCGAAATTGGGTCAAAAGCTGAGCTCGCTCAGCTGGCTAAGCTGCCCCGGCTCGTTCGCATGTTGCTCCTGCTAAGCACACTCGCAGGATAATCCTAATTGCGCTTTTAACGCGCGACTTTCACCCATTCCGCGAGCTTTCCAGGAGGGTTCGTTGCATTCCGCCAAGGACTCGCCATCGCTGCGAAAAGCAGAAAAGCCGAGGGGGATTAATGTTTGCAGCTGGCGGGATTGGCACTCACATCCTTCTCCGGAAAGTCCGGGAAAGTCACACCCCAGATGCTGCAGAAACCCGCGTCTTCCGATGTGTTTCACCGGCACGTGCCGTTCGACAGCCCCCTGGGCACCTGCAATTTATTTCAGCCACTTGAAGCTGCTACCTCGCTTATCGCCGTACAATTTGCTAAGGCCAAAATAATCTACTGACAACGATGACGTTGCGGGCAACATAAAAGTCGAGGGGAGGGCCGAATCCAAATTGAGTATCAACGAGGAAAAGGTGAACTGAACTCATCCTGGGAGATAATCTGTTAGTGGAGTACTCAAAGATACATTTAAAAGTAGAACGTACGTGTTGTATTCCAATAATCTCGACTTATTCCCTTTTCAATGAGAGGATATGGAAAGAAAATGGTGTTCATTAAATTCAATTTCTAGACGCACGCTCTTCATTTATTTAGTTTATTATTATCTAATGAATGAAATATTTAAGCAAACATTTATAATCCTTTAAGTAAGTCTTATTTTGTTATCTTATAAAATAGAAAAAATCACACTTTTTGTATTTAATGCACACGGCGAAAAAGCAATCGGCCACATGGCGTATGAGCAATATGGGCAGCCCCTTTTCCAAGTAACAACCATGTTAAAGCCTTATCAAATATTTTTAAACCAACTGATTATATAAGACTTACACTTTTTATTTGCAAAGGTCAAACCGGCACTTGCACTCAAAACGGCGTTAAGTTTGTTTATTTGCCACTAATATTATCTCACTGAATAAATAAACCCATTCAATTATGATTAAAGTACTTAACAAATTACCCAGGCAGATGACAAGAGCTGTCGTTGCGAACGATAGGCAAACTTCGCCGCGAATGACGAATAGTCAACAAATGTTTAACTGTTTGGACTTTGTAATCTTTATTGAAATCGAAATTTATGGAATCGAAAACATTGCGTGGGGTAAAAAGCTAAAGCCAAAGAAGTGTTGGTACTTATTGTTCGGCAAAGGCATTTTTTTGAAATGACACCTGATTGTGACGTTTATATCATCAATTCAAACTGCGCAGTAAATTTTTATTTTTATTAATGACTTGAGTTATTGTTATTTATTTGAAATCGGTTAATTTTTGTTGTCAGCTAATGAAACTAAGAAAAGAATTTGGAGAAAATGAAATGAAACAGAAAATAGTTGTTATACATTTTTTTGTCAATGCGTCGTACGATTTTAGTTAGGGAAATGTAAAAAAAAATTACAAACAAAAATATTCATGAGTCATGTACTTCAAGATTTTAATGTGAGTCAAATCCAATTTAAAATATAAATGTAATTTGCAAAATGTTGGCAACTCATTTATTTTGTTGTTTGTTTGTTGTTAAAAATAATTTTTTTTGCAAATTTATTGAAATGAAAAGATATATCTTTGCCAGATTTATCTTCTTGATTTGATAAGAATTCCATTTTAATTAATCTGTGTAATCGCTTTGAATACTTTATTGAAAGTTAACAATTACATTAATTTTGTCTATGTAGCAAAGAGTATCATTGATTTAATATCACAGATAGGTACTTCCCCTAAAACACAATCGGGTGATTTTACAATCCTTTAGAGTCAGGTACTTTAGATTGCATTATATTGGCGTTAGCTTGCGTTATCCATACCTCACACACATGACCCATGACTCATGGGCAGGGTCAGTTACGGTGGTCCTCGCATATGAGCCAATGTGCAGCTCATCGCCAGATAAGCAGCGATTCGTTAGATACCCATCAGCAAACGATTATACGGCTAATCATGACGTATGCAAAATGCACGGATTACGCAGACGGTATACCTCTTGGCAGTCCCATTCCTTTTCCTTTTTTTTTTTGCTGAGAGCGCCGCCATATGGAGACAGGGACGATAAGGGCTGCCAAAAAGCATTCAATATTCATTATCAGGCGAGATAACAGTTGGCAATACTCACTTCGCCAGCCAAAACGTTCGAGGGTCCCATTGAGCAGAGCTCAGACGTTTGCGAGACTCCGAACCGAACAGAACTACAGAGAAACCTCGATTCAAAACGGCTGTGGCAACAGAACCGAAAGAAATCTTTGGGCAAATATTTGCCAATTAAGAACCGTCGACGGCGCGAGTGTCTGTGAAGTGGGGGTGAAGTGAAATTGGCCGGGCCGAATAAAACCAGCCATGTCCGAATTTGTGCGGCAACATGTAAGTGGAAACGCCATATTCGTACATACTTACGAATAGGTGGTATATAAAGTGACTTCCTGGTTGTCGTGGCAGTTTTTCCCATCCAGTCGCTCTGGTTATCAGAAAATTACTATGATAACCGAATCGTTTTATCACATTCCTTCGGCACTGCTCTGCTTTACGCCCATCATGGGGCTAATTTTAATTTTAAACTTCCCTCCTTATCGCCTACACTCGCCTGCACACGTGTGTTAATTGGAATGTAGTAATACCTGTGATTATGGGCATAAAGTATTTACGAGCTGGTAGCTTAACAGCAGATTGTGTCCGTCAAGAGCTCAACAAAAGTCTCAAGTTTGATTTGCCGAAAATAACCGAAAATAAGTCTCTATAAATTCCGGATACTTCCTCTCAGTGCGAATTCCTTATCAAATACTAAGCGAATTATCGATTGGGTTTGGTTTGGTCAGCGCAGGAAAAGAGATAGGAAAAAGCTCAATAAAAGGCTTTGCTATGTAGTAAATCCAAAACTCTTTATAATGGAATGCATTGTCCCCGATTGAATTCGTCTTATCGGTCTGTTTTTGTTTGCATGTTCTAATTCTTCCAAGAATTAGTATTATACAGCCATTAGCCAACTAATTGTTAAAATATTTCTGATTAGTGACAATAATGACTCATAGTTTATGGGGGTGATCTCATTGTCGGACATTTCGATTAGCGAAATTGCTCGATTGCCGATCAGTATTTATTGCGAAAGGAAAGTTTTAAATATAAATTGGTCCGCTTTTTATTGCAGGTGTTCATGTCACTTTTTTTAGGGAATGGGTGACATCAGAATCAAAGAAAATTGATTTATAATCTTATCTTACAGAAGATAAGCAAGGTCATTGAAGATTGGAACCCAAAAAAATTTCTTATTCAAAAGCTCAAAGAGATTTTGTTTATTTATTGTAAATTTAACTTTCATGGTGACCTTTTATTATTTTTTGCATATGTCACCTGTTCGCCTGCCGTTTTATTTAGTGTTCCTAGGTTCACAGTGCTGCGATTCCCAAATACCGATAAGACTTTTTTATATATCGGCATTCCGCCGATAAGATAATGTCTGGCAACAACTACAATTATTTGCCAAAGTTGGCTACCGTTTGTTTTCATAGCCCATATTTAATTTGACTATTTCTTGAAGCGATTTATATAAAGTAGGAAAAAAACTTTATGCTAGCCATAAAAAAAATAATTTTTCATTTTGATATTCCTTTGGGTGTGGCAGAGCAATAAAATCGTATAAATATCTTGTGATATTTAGGGTGGGATCATAGGTAAATTATTTTACAACGATATGGATTCATTGCTGATTTCTTATCGAAATTCATCGATTCATTGCTGATAGACGGAATCAAAGAAAATGAGATAACTTTTTCTTTTCCCAAATTAACAGACCTTAAAATTAATTAAGGAATTACTGCGAATTATATAAAAGTTCGTTGATCTCTGGTCTTTATGAATGTGGCCAACACAGATAAGCATTTGTTAATTTTGAAGACCTTATTGTTGGTTCTGTTTATGAACTGTTCTCCGAAATTTATAAACTCGCCGTGTAAAAAGAGTGGCTGCACTTTTGTGTAATCAGTTCTTATCGGTACTTACATTCGAGATATGACCCACTACCAGTTGCCAATGAAAAGTGGCTGAAGGTCATTGTTTTTGGGCTCGAGTAGGTTAGATTGTGCAGATAATCCCATTGATGCCTTGACTCTAATCTCGGTTATTATATTTTTATTTTTTATCAATACAGGGCGAGTATGTGTGGGTGAAGCCGCAGAATACCACCAGTGAATTCGCCGTGCCATTTGGGGCTCGAATTGTGCGAACGGAGAAAACGCAGACTTTAGTTTGCGATGATCGGAACAAGCAGTTCTGGGTGCCGGCAGGAGATGTCCTGAAGGCGATGCATATCACCTCCCAGGAGGATGTGGAGGACATGATCACATTGGGAGACCTACAGGAGTACACCATTCTGAGGAACCTGCAGAATCGCTATGCCAAGCAGTTGATTTACGTGAGTTTACTTCTCTTAATTTATTTTGTTATTTATCTTAATATATAATATTTAATTTCTAGACATATACTGGCTCTATGTTGGTGGCCATCAACCCCTACCAGATTCTGCCCATCTACACGAATCGCGAGATTCAGCTGTACCGGAATAAATCCCTGGCCGAACTGCCTCCTCACATTTTCGCCATTAGCGACAATGCCTTTCAAAGACTGCAGCGAATCAAGGAAAACCAGTGTGTGGTCATCAGTGGCGAGTCGGGGGCCGGGAAAACGGAGAGCACCAAGCTGATACTGCAGTATCTGGCCGCCATTAGTGGCAAGCACTCCTGGATCGAGCAGCAGATTATCGAGGCAAATCCCATAATGGAGGCCTTCGGAAATGCCAAGACTGTACGGAATGACAACTCCTCGAGGTTCGGAAAGTACATAGAGATTCGATTCACACCGGAGGGCACCATTCAGGGAGCGAGAATACAGCAGTATCTTTTGGAGAAATCCCGAATCGTTTTCCAGAGTCGTGACGAACGCAACTACCACATTTTCTACTGCATGCTGGCGGGACTTTCGGCGCCGGAACGAGAGCGTCTAAAGCTGCAGGAGCAATCGCCCAGCCAGTATCACTATTTGGCCCAAGGGGGTTGCTTTACTTTGCCAGGAAAGGGAGATGCCAAGGATTTTGCCGATATTCGGGCGGCCATGAAGGTTCTTTCGTTCAAACCCGAGGAGGTGTGGAGCATTCTCAGCTTGTTGGCGGCCATCTTGCACCTGGGTAACCTGAGATTCACGGCCACGGAGGTGGCCAACCTGGAAGCCGCCGAGATAGACGACACACCGAATCTACAGAGAGTGGCTCAATTGCTTGGAATACCCGTGGCTCCTCTAAACGCTGCCCTTACTCAAAGAACCATCTTTGTGCATGGCGAACATGTGACCACCAGTTTGTCCAAGGAAGCTGCTCTCGAAGGGCGAGATGCCTTCGTCAAGTCCTTGTACGATGGCATTTTTGTGCGCATCGTGCGAAGGATCAACGAGACCATAAACAAGCAGGTGGATCAGCCCATGAATAGCATAGGTGTTCTGGACATCTTTGGCTTCGAGAACTTTGACAACAACAGCTTTGAGCAGCTGTGCATCAACTATGCCAATGAGAATCTTCAGCAGTTTTTCGTGGGACACATCTTCAAGGTAGGTGGATAAAATAAAAGGTTTTTCTACATTTACTAACTCGATTTATATCACAGATGGAGCAGGATGAGTACCAGAACGAGCACATCAACTGGCAGCACATTGAGTTTCAGGACAATCAGCAAATCCTGGATCTCATTGGCATGAAGCCCATGAATCTGATGTCCCTGATCGATGAGGAGTCCAAGTTTCCCAAGGGCACCGACCAAACGCTGCTCGAAAAGCTCCATGTTCAGCATGGCAATCGATCCATCTACGTAAAGGGAAAAACCACCCAGACATCGCTCTTTGGCATTCGTCACTATGCCGGCGTGGTAATGTACAATCCGTTGGGCTTCCTCGAAAAGAATCGCGACTCTTTCAGCGGGGACCTGAGGACTCTGGTCCAGCGATCGGCGAACAAGTATCTGGTGGATATATTCCCACAAGAAATGCCCATGGATACGGCCAAGAAGCAGCCCACTTTGTGTGTGAAATTCAGAAACTCCCTGGACATGCTGATGCGCACTTTGTCGCAGGCACATCCCTATTTTATTCGATGCATCAAGCCAAACGAGTTTAAGGAGCCAAAGGTGAGTTTAATTTAATTAAATTAAATTAAGTTTAAATAAATCAAGTTAGGCTTATAAATAAATTAGGAATCAAAAAATAGAAAATTAAAATTAAAAAAAAATATTCTTCAGAATAGAAAACAAAAATCTTGCACGATTTTCGTGCTTTTGCAGCCAAAACGCTTTCTACGTTTTTAAAGGCGAAATCCCCCATGAACTTAAGAAATAAATGCCCTTTTGTTTTAAGAAATATTTTTTATTGTCTAATCTAAAATCTAATTTCCTATTGTCTCTCTTTCCCTTTAGAATTTTGACAAGGAGCTGTGTGTGCGGCAATTGCGCTACTCAGGGATGATGGAAACCGCTCGCATTCGAAGGGCGGGCTACCCGATCCGCCACGCCTACCGGGCCTTCGTGGAGAGGTATCGCCTGTTGGTGCCACCGGTGGGTCCTCTGGAGAAATGCGACTGCCGCAGGGTGGCGCGTGAAATCTGCGAGGTGGCCCTCCCCGCCGATTCCGATCGGCAGTATGGTAAAACGAAGCTCTTCCTGCGGGACGAGGATGATGCCAGTCTGGAGTTGAAGCGATCGCAACTGATGCTCAAGAGCATTGTGACCATTCAGCGCGGCATCAGGAGGGTTCTGTTCCGACGCTACCTGAAGAGATACCGCGAGGCCATCATCACGGTTCAGCGGTATTGGCGGGGTCGCCTGGAGCGTCGTAAGTACCTGGTAATGCGGCAGGGATTCCATCGCTTGGGCGCCTGTATAGCTGCCCAGCAGCTGACCACCAAATTCACGATGGTCAGGTGTCGAACTATAAAGCTGCAGGCCTTGAGTCGTGGCTATCTGGTGCGCAAGGACTTCCAGGCGAAGTTGCTGGAGAAGCGAAAGCAGCAGCAGCTGAAGAAGGACGAACTAAAAAAGTTGGCCAAGATCAAGGAAGCCGAGGAGGTGCTGCGATTGCAGCAACTGAAGGAGCAGAAGGAGCAGAAGGAGCGGGAGCAAAAGGAGCTGGAGGAGAAGCGATTGAAGGAGGAGCAACGACTCAAGGCCGAGGCAGCTGCTCGGAATGCCTTGGCCATGGCGGCAGTAAAGCAGCCGCAAAGAGCCAGGTCCCTCAAGGGGGAGGCGCCCAAGGCCCCCACCCTCCAGGCCCGCATGTCCCTGCCACCGCCACCCACCACCCTGATCACAGTTGCCCCAATGGCAGCGCGACCCGCCAGTGCCGCCACCCGAATTAACACCATACCCGAAAGTCCCGGCACCATCGATGTGGAGACCTCCAAGCAGATGGTGGACGACGTGTTCCGGTTCCTCAACGACGAACCCGACGTGAGTGGTCCCCTGGGGCCGAATGTCAAAGAGAAGTCTATGATGTTCGAGCAGGCGCTGCGCCTGCGCAGGGATGTGCCAACCAAACTCCTCTCCCGCCCGGTCAACTACTATGAGGCGGCGCCTCGGAAGATTGTCAACCAGACGCGTCTCTAGTAGCGAATCGGGTTGGGACTGGAGCAGCCCCGAACAAACTAGAGCTGGTGCTGGAGAATAAACACACTAGATAATGGTTCTGATCAGTAGGATTGGTTCTTGAGACAATAGCAGAAGTAACGAAAAAGGCTTAGGGTAACGAAATGTAATACCACATTGTAAATAAATATTTTTTTATATTCTCATACTTTTGGTAAAAGAAAAGAGAATATGGTGGAGTGCTTCCTTATTTTTTCCAATATTAATAGAATTACATTTTAAAATATAAATATGTAAAATAATTATTATGTTTTTTTTTTCTTACATCTCTATAAACTAATTTAGTGAAATACTTCTTAGAGCCCTTTTATAATATAAATACAGTAAAACTACTCCTTGATATCGTGGATTCACGATTTCAAATATCTTATAGAATAGAACCAATCTACTGATCAGAATAACTTCCAGGGTTTTTTTTCCAGTCCAAGACTCGCATTATTTGCGGCTCTATACTGAACCAATTTCTATGATTTTGGGACTCCCAAAAATTGATTCTTTTTAATGTACAAATTTAATTCTTAAGTGCAGTAAATATCAGCTTGTATATATGCTCGTAATTGCTTTTTGTTACATTTTCCTTACTTTTAAATGAATTATATTTATTAAATTGTGTAAATAAAACCCCCTAAGGTATCTATAGATATAAATGCGCCATTCGTTCGTGTGTTTACTCGTCTGCGTTGGTTGTGGTTGTATGGTTATTTGGGGTCGTGTGGAAATCCTCGATCCAGCTTTTGTGCTTTGTGTCCAAGTCCAGTGAGCGTCCCACATCACATCCGCACTAGGGGATTGCATTTCACCATTATTCTCTAAAAGACCCGAAAGAGCCTGAGTCATCAGAACTTACTTCTTGAAACTGGGACCATGGCCATGAGTTGCCCAAGTGGCTTACAAGGGCATTTAGTCGTTATCTTGTAGAAAATTAATTTACTTTTTATTCAACAGATAGGACACAAGCGATTTCACTGATTTTGTATATATACCTGTCATATCTGTTTATTATAGAAAAATTCTGGAAGCTTTTTCTTAGAAAAAAAAACAGGTTATATTTTAACCTTTTACAAACTCTGTACTCTATTTACTTTATTAGTAAGCGCGTCAAAATACTTCTTTTCACTTGGAGAATTTCTGACATTATTTTATTAATTTTGCAATTTAAATAGTTATTCTTCTTGCCTTTAACGATTTTAAGGTCATAGATTTTTCAAGAGGTCCACTTGTTTTTTTTTATATTTTTATTGTACAGTTTTATACGACCATTAAATGAGATTATCAGGAAGCTTATTTATGAGCCAATTTCCTTACCTTTTCAGTGAATATTTTCTCTAAAAATTCTATCGGTTAAACCGGACATATTTTTGACCTTTAGAACTAAAAACTTTAAATTCAATTATACTTGACCTCGCAGAAAATAGATACTCATTATTTTTCTTCGCCAAAAAATCTTTTGCGCACACTTAAATAAAACACACTGCCCACCGCCACCAAAACAATTTAATTTTATTGATCAAACTTTGAAGAATTTCCTCCGTCCAATGGCCAAACCATTTCCTAGAACGCAGATCCATTTCGTGTCGTCTTTAGTCAGCAACTAAATTGGGGCAAAACAAATTTCCTATGCGAGACCCGAGTTCTTTGAAGCGTGGCCAATACCATTCGTTATCAGGTGGCGGCAGAAGTTTAAAACAAATACCAAATGATAAATGAAATAAAACGGGATCGTAAATAATCGCCGCCGTCCTTATCGCGAGGGCATATCTTCGGGTGCAGCATACCAGTATATATTTATAAAAGCTTACGAGCAAAGCACCTCTCGATAAGTGGCACTCAGATTACAGGTGTCGAAATAATTAATACGGCTGAATTATAAACTGAGTGCTAGCACATAGTATAAGAGAGTGAAACTAGCGAGAGTGAATAAAAATGTCTCAAATATTTGATACCCCTTTTAATATTAACATTTAACTTTCAGGCTGCCTTGAGGAAACTGAATAACATTTCTTCGGGCGATACAATACGCTTGCCTAAGCCAGTTCCAAATAATATCGATACCTCCGACTTTAGTTATTTGAAGTATGCGGCGACTTATTTTTGCGGAGGAGCCACTGCCCAGCACGAAAGAAAGCCCCTGAAGAAATCCCTTTTAAAGCATGAGCTGCCTGTGGATGAGATGGCCTCTAAGGTGAGTATTTGTAAATAGGTTTCACAGATATAGAACAAATTACCCGACTCTTTTAGGCCATTTGGTTAACCATCCTCCGCTTTATGGGCGACTTGATGGATGTGGCTTCCTCGCCTTCTTTCCACTCGTTCGATAATGAAAACCTCATGAGTGATTTATCGACCCTATTGCATACTTCTGGTTCTTATAAGCCACGTTTGTTTGTGCGTCAAACCCAAAGACGTCAACCAAAATTCGTGGGTCAAAGTCAAAAGGAAGCCGAGGAGTTCTATCAGCACTGGCTTCAAGTTCCCAGTTCCCATCTAGACAAATTGCACTTTATTATAGGCCACGGGATACTCAAGGATAGCTTGAGGTAAGAGATTGGTTTAGATTAGAAATCATATCAAATTTACCTATCTCGATTGCAGAGATGAAATCCTGGCCCAGATCTGCAAGCAGCTGTATCTCAATCCCAGTAGAGGCTCCTATTCCCGTGGCTGGTTGCTCCTCTCGCTTTGCCTGAGCTGCTTTCCACCGAGCAGCGACTTTGAGCCTCATTTGCGCAGTTTCATGAAGCAGGGAACCGCCCAACTGCAGGCCACTCCCTGCCTGCAGCGTTTGGAGCGGACTCTGGTGAATGGACCTCGCTGCCAGCCACCTTCCCTCTTCGAACTTCAAGCCATCCGAGGTCGCCAGCCGCTCAAATTGGACATTCACCTGATGGACGGTCATCAGAGGCGCCTCCAGGTGGATGCGGCCAGTACGGCGAGGGAGGCAGTGCATCAACTATGTGAGGGTTTGGGTCTGACCGATACCTTTGGCTTTGGATTGGTTATGTCGCTGAACGGAAAGCTTATGCCACTGGGAGCTGGAAGGGAGCATGTCCTGGATGCCATTTCGGAGTGCGAGCAACGTCAGCTGGATGCCCCGTGGAAGCTGTACCTCCGCAAGGAAATGTTTGCCACCTGGTATGATCCCTCGGTGGACCCGAAAGCCACTCAGCTTATCTACAAGCAGATCCTGAATGGTTTGAAGTGCGGGGAGTATCGGTGTCGTTCGGAGAAGGACATAGCAATGGTGTGCGCTTTGGCCTGCTTTATAGAACATGGAGCCGGGGAGATCCTTCGGCTGAAACCCTCGGAGATTACCGCCTTCGTTCCCAGGGATCTCCTGGCTCCCGGTGAACGTGCCGTTGAGAATTGGAGTCGCCTAATTGCTGCCACCTATGAGAAGAGCTCCTATGTGAGGGAGGAACGGGAGGATCTGCTTCTGGAGGCTCAGAAGAGAGCCAAGGAGGACATCTGCCTATTCGCCCATCTATCTTGGCCCATGCGACACTCCCGACTGTTTGAGGTGGTTCGCAAAGAGGGACCCAAACTCCAGACCGACGAACTGATGCTGGGCATCAATTCTACAGGTCTCTTCCTCATAGACGAAACCGAACAGGTGCTGGCCTCCTGCAGTTTCGGCGAGGTGCTAAAGGTCCACTTGGAGGCCAATGATGAACTGCACGTAATGACCTTCCAACACATCAACTTTGTGCTGCAGTGCAGCTCAGCTCAGGATGCCAACGAGGTGATCAACTATATGCTGGATAATCTCCGTCAGCGATCCGGTTACGGTGTGGCTCTGGATCAGGTGACGGAGGGAGATCAAGAGGATTTCCTGGTACTATCACCCGGTGACCTCATCGAGTTCGAGGCAGGTGTAACAGGTGCCCAGTTATTGAATGGCAATGCCCAGGACTTCTACAGGGGCTGTGTGAATGGCCAATGGGGTCAGTTTGCAGCCGGAAATGTTCGCGTTTTGGCCACCCTCACCAAACCGAGCGAAAAACTGCAGGAAATCCTTAGGGAGGGGCGATTTGATGAGCCACCGAAGCCAACTCCAAGGGCCAATCACTCAAGACGTCGTCAACACAACATCTCTCAGCTGGCTGAGACGCAATTCAGGGAGCCATTAGAGTAAGATTATATAAATAAGTGGGTTTTAATAATATTTAATATTTATATTTTCCTATAGCTCTGATAAGGCTTCCCTCTCAAAGTTTTCGCCTGAACCATTGAAGGCTCCTCTCCTAAAAGCTGTGGTTAAAGTGCCGCCTCTTTTCCAACAAGCTTTGGTTATTCATCATCACATTTTGAAGGTAAGTCATGAAGAATAAAGGTTTCTTCTGTCAACCTACACTTCCCTTTCAAACAGTACATGGGCGACATAGCCAGGAGCAATCTACCAGTGAACACGGACCTCATCTTCCAGCCCGCTCTGCTGCATCCTCTCCTATGTGACGAACTCTACTGCCAGCTGATGAAGCAGCTCAGCGATAATCCCTCCGTGGAGAGCGAGAAGCGGGGCTGGGACCTGCTCTACTTGGCCACTGGTCTGGTGGCTCCTAGTGTCCTGATTATGAGGGAGCTGATCATCTTGCTGCGCATGCGAGCCGATGCTCTCGCAGACGCATGTCTCAAGCGATTGAAGCGATCTTTGGCCCAGGGTCAACGGAAACAGGCTCCCCATCTCATCGAGGTGGAGGGCATTCAACAGCGGTGCCTGCACATCTACCACAAGATATACTTTCCCGACGAGACAGTCGAAGCCTTCGAGATTGAATCGCATACTCGGGGAGCAGAGCTCATAGGAGAGATAGCCCATCGATTGGAGCTCAAATCACCGGTGGGCTATAGTATTTTCCTGAAGACAGGCGACCGGGTTTATGCCATGCCGGAGGAGGACTTCGTATTTGATTTCATCACCCAACTCATCTTCTGGCTGAGGCAGCAGAAGACCGTACGCTCCATTTCCGAAGGCCACTACCAGCTGCACTTTATGCGAAAGTTGTGGTTGAACAATCTTCCTGGTGAGGACCTGAATGGAGATGTGATCTTTAGCTATCCCCAGGAGCTGCACAAATACCTGAAGGGCTACTATCCCATCGATTGCGAGCAGGCCTCGCAACTCGCGGGTCTTGTGTACAGTGCGGATCATGAGGTTAGCTTGCAAAGGCTGCCAGAGGTGCTCCCTCGTTTAATACCAGAAGATCTGATACCCCTGCAAACGGTGGCCGAATGGAGGCAGCAGATCCTGCCAAAACTTCACCGCGACCATTTGACAGAGGACCAGGCCAAGCTTCTATTCCTTCAGGAGCTCTCGCATTTCTCCTGCTTCGGATCCACTTTCTTTGTGGTGAAGCAACAAAACGACGATGGCCTTCCGGAAACCTTGTTAATCGCCATCAACAGCTCGGGCTTCCATATGTTGGATCCGCAAACTAAGGAGATCCTTCGCAGCTACGAGTACTCCCAGTTGGGCATCTGGAGCTCGGGCAAAAATCACTTCCACATCCGGTTTGGCAACATGATCGGAGCCTCGAAGCTGCTGTGCAGCACCACCCAAGGTTACAAAATGGACGATTTGCTGGCCTCATACATGAAGTATTTTAATGAAAATGAGTAAACAGCTCACTCATTGCAAATAAAACGTACTCTTAATCGAAGTAACCCAACTCCTTGGTCTTTTCAATCAAAGCCAGCATTCCTACCATCAGCTCCTCGCAATTGGGAATGATTTGCACAGGGGGCAGGATAAATCCGTAACGTCCCTTGTCTCGGTATTCGATGGTGTAGCCGATCTTCTTGTCCAGTTCGTTGAACACCCAGTCCACAGAGGTTCCAGTGGCCACATCTGTGTTATAAAGATATAACATTTAAGTGATTTATAAATATACCTACATCATATAGATCTTGAAAATTATCGATTTTTGGCAATAACGATATTTTTGATACTTTATCGTTATCGTATCGATAATATCGATGTATCAGATAAACATCGATGTTTGAAAAATATCAAGAATATCGATCTATACTGACATCGATCATTTTCAAGCAATATAATAGCAATACTTACAAAGCACATCAGCTGTAGATCCATACTGGTAGACAGTGCCATATGGCAGTGCTTCGATGGCATCGGCAAATGCCTTGCCAATGGTCAGAATATCGTCATAGTTTTCTGGGAACTCCGTGTCGGTGTGTCCGTATGGGGAGAGCAGATATTGTCCGTATGAGTGGAAGGATATGTACACACTAATTTCATCCTTGTTCGCGGTCAGGTAATCGGCAAGGGCCTTAGCCTCTGGCTCAGATAAAGGCGTATCCCCAGCAAAGGTCTCGCTGCAGGGATTCGAAGAGGCTCCACTGTTCTCCAGCCAATGGGAGTCGAAGTTCCGGTTGGCATCGGCTCCAATGCAGGCATTCGTGGCATGTGGCTGGCGGGTCTTGCGCCACATGCGATCCTGGAATTAGTTAGTATATCTAGCTTAGCTTATGAAAATATAGATAGTGCTCACAATCGATAATTTTGGCTATCAACAGCGGCCACTATCGAAATTATCGATATTTTCGAGAATTTGCTACCTTTAAGAACCATCGATTGTATCGATAGTGCCTTCGATCGTTATACCAATCTTAAAAAGCACCCACCTTTTTGTGCGAGAACTCAAAGCCATCCACATTAAAGACGGGTATTATGTGCCAGTCATAGTTATCGGCCAGATTCCGTACATCCGGATCCTCCGAGGTCAAAAGCTGATTGATGAACCAAGTGGCACTGGCTGAAGTAATCCACTCCCTGGCATGGATGTTCGACTCGATGAAAATGACTGGATTGCCGGCCTTGTGGGAGATCTTGATGCCGCGAATGGTGCGACCCTCGTAGGATTGGCCCACAATGAACTCTTCGGTCACCGAGGGATAGGCGGCCAGTATTCCATCCAGCCAGGCCTCAATCTCCTCCAGCTCATAGTACTTCGTCCAGCCAAAGGTGGCGCTATCTGCGGTCGCCGTGACTTGCTCCTCGTCGATACGCCTAATTTCGGAATCCGATCGTTATCTTTATGACCCCAAATGAGCACGCACTAATGGTTGGCTAATCGAGCGATCTTATCGACTCGAGTGGCTTTAGCCCTCTACTTACTCTTGGACATTTTCGATCATTAGCTCACTGGTGATGTTATTTAGCTTCAGGAGCTCCTGGAAGTGCTTCTGCTCCCCGGGACTAACCATAATGTCCATTTGCCTGGACCGCTCGTCATACTCCTTCCAGACATTGTACTAAACACAGAGAAGTAAAGTTACCTATTGTGTTCCTTTTTGGCACAGAAAAAACCTACCTTCTTTGTCAGCTCACCAATTTTTTCAATCGCTGCCAGTTGGATTTTATTCTCAATAGTCAATTTGTATACCCTAAAGTCGTCATAACGCTCCTTGGGAGAATCCTTAAGGATTCCAGCACTTGCGAGAGCCACCAGCGTGGCGAGCAACCAAAGCAGACGCATTTTGAACAACGACTAAAATAGTTTCCACTGGCTTAAAGCCAAATAAACTCAACCCGGTGATTATCTGCAGCTAATCTTTATTGTTTTATGGCTTATTGAATTTCCCAGCACTCACTTGAGCTCAAGATAGCCCAACTCTTGACACTTATCTATAAGGGCCGCAATGCCAACCAAAGCCTCTTCAGCGTTGGGAATAATGTGAACCGGTGGTAGGATAAATCCATATCGACCAGTGTCCCGGAACTCAATGGTATAAGAGATCTCCACTCCTTGTTCATTATAGGCCCAATCGATGGTGGCTCCAGTAGCAAAATCTAAAAGGAAAGTATTTAAAAATAATTTGTTTTTTAAATATATAAGGTATTCCTTTAACTTACAGAGCACGCCGGCACTTGAGCCGTATCTGTAAGTAGTTCCGTAGGGCAGACTCTCAACGGCATCTGCATAGGCCTTTGCAACCTCCATCAAATCATCGAAATTGGGCGGAAACTCTTCGTCTGTATGTCCATAGGGAGAAAGCAGAAGCTGACTGTACGAGTGGAAGGCCAGCAACACATTGATTTTGTCCTTGTTGCTGCTCACATAATCAGCCATGGCCTGAATCTCAGGCTCGGAGAAGGGATTCGGGCCACCATAGTCCTCGGCACAGGGATTCGAGGAAGCTCCATTGCTCTCCATCCAATGCGAGTCGTAATTGCGGTTGGGATCTACGCCAACGCAAGTGGATATGTCGGAGGGTTGACGAGTCTTGCGCCACATTCGATCCTAGTAAATATCGCATTTTTTATGAATAAGTGAATAAATACTAAAACCTAGTACTACCTTCTCATGGGTGTAAACGAACCCATCCACATTAAGCACTGGCACTATATACCAGTCGTGATTCTCGGCCAGATTCCTGACCAGCTCATCCGTGGAGGTAAGGAACTCGTTGATCAACCAAGTGGCTGTGGCGGAGGTGATCCATTCCCTGGCATGAATATTGGACTCGATAAATACACCCGGGTTGTTCGCTTTGTAGGAGATCTTAATGCCCCTGATGGTGCGACCCTCGTAGGATTGACCCAGGACAAAACTCTCCGTTATCGTCGGATATGTGGCCAGAATCCCGTCTAGCCATTCGTAAATCTCGGCCAGGGAATTGTACTTTGTCCAGCCAAAAGAGCCATCTCTGCTAGCCTTAAGATTGGCCTCGTCCTCCGAATCGATGAGTCTGAAGAAGATGAATTAGACTTTAAATACATTCTCAACCAATTCTTGGACTTTACTCACTCCTGCACGTTACCGATAAAAACCTTGGCACTGACATTGGTTTTCTGAATTTGAGACTCAAATTCGCTAAAAGCTCCTGGACTTATCATCAAGTGCAACTCATCCTTGGTCTCTTGCCAAAGTCTAAACTAAATAAAAATGTTATCATCTCTTTATTTTTAACTTATTATATCATGCTTACATTGTCGCGATCCTCCACGAACTTTTTCAGGAAACTTCTCTGTTCTTGAGTTTCAAACTTGACCTTATACACCGAGTAGTTGTCATAGCGCAACCTTTCGTCCTGGCCAACACTTGCTCCTTGGGCCAGGACCACAAATGCCAGGGCTATAAGAAAACTAATTAATGACATGCTTAATGCTGAGCATGCGGCGAGCGACTACTTATTTCGCACAAATAAAACCCAGACTATTGCTATATCGATGGGGTCATAATTAGATTGTAAAGATAGTCGCACGGCAGCTTACTATAATACGATCGATATAACCGGTTCTTACGCCTTATCAATGGTGAGCAAGTGACAGGTAATGTGTGTAGAATTCGGCACCTACTCAAATTCTTCATTAACAGTTTGCAACTCCTTTTCAACTTACTCCTAGTTATAATGTTATAGTTTATTTACTTTTCAAGTCTACTTTGCGGCTAAAATATTTCTGGTGTTTAGATTTATTCAAGAAAGCCGTAAAGAATTCTAAAGCTTAATATTTAAAGGTTTCGTTGTATTTTTTTCATTTTACTTTCTGAATATTTACTCTATATTCCTAACATATTTTTACTATTAAAAAATATAAGCAGAAATAATTTACAATTAGATAAGGATTTATGCATGATATGCCGGTTACAAGCTGCAAAAGTTTTAGGTCATTAACTTTACAGTTCATAAATTATACTCAACAACCGGTAGTGTACGCCTGATAAAACCGTCTTCGACTAAGTCAGTGATTTAGAAAGAAATTTTTTGGTAGATTGTAAGTTTTTTAGAGGTAGAAATAACGGCATAAAATGGGTAAATGATTGACAAAGATTTACTTAAAAATTTTAAGGCGTTTTTGTGTAATGACTTAAGTTCAAGATTTTATCACTATACGGCGTTATTATATTGTAGTGCCCCTGGAAAGGTATAAAAAAGAAACCCCACAATGTAAGCAATAATTAACTCTGTCGTGCTTTTGCTTAATAAGTTCGCTATGCGGGAAGAAGAAATGCACAAATGAAATTCAACATGGAATGCAAAAATAAATTCAGAGAAGCTTTTTTCACACAACTGTTATGTGATCTTTTGTCTCATTCTTTGTTATATTTCCCATTAAAGGAAGCCCAGCTGCATAAATAGTCCGCTCAGAAGTGGGGTATAAAATTTCTTTACTAGGTCATTCAGTTTAGTCAAAATGCGTCCATTGATTGCATTGTTGCTGTTAATAGCGGCTTGCACCTTATCCGAGTCAAAGCGGCGATCCTATGAAAACTATTCAGTGTACAAAGTTTATATCAAGAGTCATTCGGATCAACGGGTTATTGATGAACTCCTGGAGCAACCAGATAATGTAAGGTTTACAATCTAGAAATTTGGATGAGCGGTAATTAAAGTACACTTAATTATTCTAGTACAACTTGTGGCACCGTGGACGACACAGAGTCCATATAATGGTGAGCCCTAGGGCACGTAAAACTTTTCTAAAAAGAATGCGTAAGGAACATATTAAGGTCAAATTGTTGATAAAAAATGTTCAGAAGTAAGTAGACATCAAATAATTGTGAAAAAATCTCCAATTCTAACTCTATTTTTAGGCTTATAGATGAGCAAGGACTTTACTGACGTTATACATTTATTGTATTTAATTTTTAAATCGAGGAATGAAGTTTTCGATTTGGTTAAAGTACAGTTCAAATAAAAATTTTCGATTTAAAAAATGTAAACTAGAAAAAAGGAATACTAGAAAAAAATTAATTAAAAAATTTCTACATTTTTTAACAAATTACCTAATGAAATTTTATTAATTCAACAGAGAAACGCACCGCCAACCGAGAACGCCACTGGCATGTTAGTAGCAATTAACTTGGGTGTGCCTTCGCTTAATAAGAAAGGGGAAATGCTCAAATAAATAAATAGAAATGCAAAAATAAATTCGGACAATATTTCCTATAAAGAAAAGCCCAGTTGCATAAGTAGTCCTCTCAGAACTGGTATATAAAAGGTATGAACTAAAAAGTCGTTCAGTTTAGTCGAAATGTGTCCATTGATTGTATTGTTGCTCCTAATAACGGCTCAGGTCGGCATCTCATCTGCGCAAGCACCTACTTCCGGTGAAAACTACTCAGTTTACAAGATTTATATTAGATTGCCTGCAGATCAACTGGTTGTTGATAAACTCCTTGTGCAACCAGGCAATGTTAGTTTCACAATCTAGAAATATGGACGAGCAGTTTTAATAATATACTTAATAATTACAGTACAGCTTGTGGGGCCAGGAAAAAAACTATGTCTATATAGGGGTGAGCAATAGTGTAAAGAATGCTTTTCTAAAACGAATCCGAAAGGATCTTATAGATTTCGAATTGTTCGTAGAAGATGGAAAGTAAGTAAATACATATAACATATTTGTGGTAAAAAATATCAAACATATAATCTCTTTTCAGGCTTTCACAACAACGTAGAAACATACTAATAGCCCATGACAAAGAAAAGAGCCAAAAGAAAGCAAAAATTTAGAAACATTTTAAGTTAAAAATATTGTATAAATAAAATATTTCCATAGAATAACTTTTTGCCCCATCTTAGACCAATGGAAAATATGGATTAAATAAAGCAATTCGAAAACCGAATTATAAATTTTACAATACGAGCTAACCCAGAATATGGAATCATATTTAGCTTCTTCACTGCGTTACAAGCTCTTGAACAAAGCTGTTATACCCCTGAAAGGGCATAAATAAGCAAAGCCACTGGCGTGTTAGTAGTAATTAACTTGGCCATGCCTTAATAAGGTTGCTTTGCGGAACGGAGAAATGCACAAATGAATATCAACTGGAAATTCAAAAATAAATTCATATTTTCCAGTTGCATAAGTAGTCCTCTCCGAAGTGTGTGACCTAAAAAGTTATTCAGTTTAGCCAAAATGCGTCCATTGATTGCATTCTTGCTGTTAATAACGGCTCTGGCCTGCGCCTCATCAGGGTCTCCATCCAATAAAAACTACTCAGTGTACAAGATTACCATCGTAATGGATAAAGATCAACAGGTTATTGAAGAACTCCTTTTGCAACCCGACAATGTTAGTTTCATAATCTAGAAATATGGACAAGCAGTTATTATAGTATACTTCATTATTATAGTATAGCTTATGGGACCAGAAATCATACTTTATCTATATAAGGGTGAGCCCCAGTGCACATGAAACTTTCCTAAACAGAATGCGAAAGGAACGTATGGTTGCTGAATTGGTCGAAGGTTTTTCTGAGAAGTAACCAAATACATTATACACAATTGTAATACAATATATAAAATATACTCTCTTTTCAGGCCTGTAGAAGAAGTTAGCAACATTCTAACAGCAGATGAGAAAAATGAGAGAAAAAAAGTGGAACACTTTTTTGATGAGAAAAATGAGAGAGAAAAGTTAAAACACTTTTTTGATTAAAATATTGTACAAATAAAATATTTTAATGCAATTACTTTTTGCCCGGTCTAAGCTCAATGGAAAATATGGTTTAAATAAAGCAATTCACAAAGCGAATTCTAAATGTTTCAAGAAGGTATATAATGAAATCCTATTGATAAAATTAAATTAATATGTTTGCCAATTTTTATCATACTGTGTGTATTTTATTTAGTCGCTCTCTATAAAGATTAAAAGGTTTGGAACTACGAGCAGTGGCTTTCAGATAACCCCGATCGCCTCCTTCCCTTAGGCCTTCTTGCAGCCCTCTCCGCAATCGGATCCCTCGCAGATGTCGCAGAGGGAGGACTGCACCTGGTAGTACTCAGTGGCCCGGCGCTCCGTGTCGTAGTAATCGTAAAGGGAAACGGACGCGGGCTTCTGCTTGGCCACCGCATGCGCCTTGGAGGCCTCCACCGGCAGGCACCGCACATCGCCGGGGGTCAGGCTGTCGAAGTAGACGATCACCGTGGAGTCGGAGTTCTTGGTCTCCACCCGCTTCACCCGATCCACAGCCTCGATTTTTCCCAGGCTGTCGGCGTCTCCGACGTAACCGGAGGGCAGGGCGATCTCCATGACGGCCATGTTGGAGTCCTTGTCCTTGTCGGCCTCTTCCAGAGGCATGTACTCGGCGCAGATGTCCACCACCAGCAGCTGGTTGGAGTTGGAGTCCTTGACCGTCGGCGTGACCTTGAAGCTGGGCTTCTTCTCCTTCTCGGCCAGGTTGTAGCGATAGGAGAGCTGAACCATCGCAGATCCAGTGCCCTTGGCCGTAAAGTCCACCTTGCGCGTGTCCTTGGGCAGGACGTGGGTCTGCAGGACGAGCGAATTCTCAGGGCTCACGTTGATCGTGTCCTTTGATCCTCCCGCCGGTGCAAACTCAATGTCCATGGTGCCTGTGCCAGAGCCCGTCTTGTAGGCGAATTTCGTGAGGGCCTGCAGTCCAATGACCGTGTCCTGCGTGGACGAGAATCCTCCGTTGCTGTTGCGCTGCGAGATCAGCCACTTCATGATGGGCAGCGACTTTTCGGCAGGATCCTTTTCCAGAAGAGCGAGTAGCACATAGGAGGTGATCTCCACGTCGTTGCTGCGCGGCTTCCAATGGAAGATGCGACCCTCCTCGCCGGAGGACTCTGGTGCCTTGGACCACCACCTGCGATCGTTTTCGTTTCGCGACACACCCTCCAACTTGGCCAGGACCTTCTCCGCCTGCGGGTGCTTGGCCAGTTGAAGGGCCACGGCGGCAATGGCCAGCGAGTACTGGTCGTCCGTCTTGTCGGTCTCCTCGGCCACATAGCGAATTGCCTTCTCAATCGCCGACTGGTACTTCGGCAAGAGTTCCTGGAGGAAAAAAATATTGATAAATAAATATGTATTTTTGTTAAGCTTCTAGATGACTTACATGATTCTCGAAGAAGGCTAGCAGGACAAAGGAGGTAAGAGCCACGGCATTCTGGTTGGCATTGTCGAAGAGCTTGCCCACCTCAGGGAATTCGCCACTTTCCTTCTGCTTGGAAACGAGGAAATCGAGACCCGCAGTCACCACCTTGGGATCAACATCCGTGTAAGTTCCCGCCTGATGGAAGGAGCGCATCACGTAGGCGGTAAGCCAGGTGCTGCCCGAAGCATCCGACTTGCCAAAGGCACTGTAGGATCCGTCGTCGTGCTTGTAGGTCAGCTCCCTTTGATAGCCGATCTCCAGGAACTTCCTGGCCTTGGTCTCGACAGCAGGCAGCTTGCGACCCGTGACCTCCAGATATTTAAGCACCAGGATGTTGGGCACAAAGTTGACCATATTTTGCTCGCCGCAACCGTAAGGCATGCGCACTAAATTGTCCAGATTCTGGAGCGTGGGTCCAAGGAGATCGCCCACCACCGAGAACTCGATGAATTCGGACTGAGGCACCACTTCGCTGGGTATCTCGGCCTCCAGTGACTGGGACAACTCCGGCTGATCCTTGAGGTTAATGAAAACAGCCCGGTTCTCGAATTGGGTCACTCCCTCCGGTTCCACCTTCAGTTTTTGGTGGATAGTGTCGCCGGCCAAGGGTGAGGTGGCCGTGATTTTCAGGGTCGTCGATCCCACGTTCTTGGGTCGGATCATAAACGAAACACTCTTGCCACTGTTGGCTGGAATTGTCACCCTCTTAACTCGGCGCACCTCGTCGGATGCCTTTTCTAGAACATCATTGGTAGCCTCAGTGAACTCGTACTCCTGGTCGGAGTTGTCCATCACTACTTCTGCGTCGAGGGTTTTATCCAGGTAGTTGAAGATCACCACGGGAATAGCAATCACTTCGCCTGGGGATTGCATTAAAGTTTAGGAAATATTTTATATATACATATATGATATTTAATCTCACCTCGCTTAACGGAATAGGGAAGATTGGTGGACACGAAGAAAGGCTGGAACACCCGAATCTTGCTGGGATTCTTGGTCAATGCAATACCGGAAGTGGGGTTCAGGGAGAAGCCCGTCACCACCCACGACGTAATCGTATCCGGAATCTTCTTGGTCAGGGTGAAACCCTCATCATCCACACTGTGTAAGGGTGACAAAAATTGGGTTAATCTCTTGATCTATAACATTCCAAATAATCATTAACACATTGGACAAACATACACAAAAGATTAGAAAAGTGTGAATTGTTAGTTTACATTTAAACATGCATGGGAAAAGTTAAAAAGCATTAGGGAAAACTAGTTACTCTTTGGGGAAATCTTGTAATTCGTATATCCAAGACTCTAAAAATTTTGAGCGCACGCCAATATTGTTTTCAATAATTTCCGCTTCTGAAGATGGCTGGCTCTCTAGCTCAGTGGGTTTTTTGGTGGTCTTTCGCTGTTTGGTAGAACCCCGTCTTTCCGCACTGACCTTCATGATGGGCACAGTGCCCAAGTATACTTTTTCTACGCCTTTGGAATAGGAAAAATGTTTAATCGATTTTTAAATGGCAATATTTTTAGATTCACTAAAAACTGCATAAGGTTTATATCTCAGCTAGACGGTCGGAAAAACTATTACATTATTCTGTACGTTTCGACAATAAATGTAACCCATTACAGTCCTATCAAGTTGTAAGAAGCAATCTATTGATGATTTTCTTCCATGGGAGCATGCAGATCATGCCAATTATAACACCTGCATTAGATTTAAAAAGATTTACTCGGGGCTATTCGCGAACATCCAAGTTTCGTGGAACTCTTTACGGATCGGTGCAGGTGGTGGTGCAGGTGTGGGTGGACTGGTGCTCGTGGGGGTATATGCAGGAGCATAGTGTGCACTATAGCTACTGAAGCTACTACTACTGTAAGATGACGACGATGCACTACCATGCCTGAAACGGCCATGACCCAAGCGACCATGACTGTAACGACCATACCCCCATGATCGAGTAGGATATCCGTAACGATCAAGTCCCCAACGGTGAGTTCTGGGCGTAGTACGCATAAAAACTGGGATTCGGAAGGCTGAAAGTGTTGTCAAAATGCAGTAATTCAATTATTATGCCTGTAATCTAAATAAACGAGCTAAAGAGCCAAAATTTTGTTTAATTCCCTTAAAAAAATTTTACATTTTTAAAATTTTTTCCTGCTAGCATTACCATAAGGACATGCTCCACGATTCCCATGCAAGTGCCATTACAGGGCATTAAAAAATACATTTTACTGGTCTATATTCGAGAATATCCAGGATTCAGAAAACTCATGACGAATCAATACTTTCTGAGGTCTATATTTGGTTCTAGCCTCACCGCGAAGTCGTCCCCGTCTGACTGTAAGTTGGAAAGATTCTTGTGGGGCAAAAAAAATAGCAACTATGTTATAATTTTAATTATTTAAATTTTTGTTTTTAGTAGAGGATAATGGGCAAGTTTTATGAACACTGATGATACAGGGCACAATAGGACCAGTGTTTACTTTGCAAAAATCCACGTTTCGGGGAACTCTTTTCGTATAGCTGGTGGTGGTGAAGTTGGCCTCGAACGAACGCGATTCGGAAGCAAAATCATATCTTCAATTGCAGGGAAACCACGTGCGTCTTCTACATTATTCATGGCCATTCCTGGAGCGCCCATTCGAAATGCTATCCTTCCACCTCCTCCTCCTCGTCGATACAAGTAATCCATGCGGCGACCTTAATATACCAATTCTTTAAGTGATAACAGCCTTTCTTTTCTTAATATAAAAGCAAAGCATTTTAAATGTTGATCACTGTAAAGCTATGTCCACAAAATAGGACTGTGTCCCACAACTATCATAGTAATATTTGGTTCAAAAAATATTGTCGTGTAAGAAAACATTAAGAAAGTGTTGTATTAGTCAAAAACATAAACGGGATCTGGAAAAATTAGTTAATCCATTAGGTTTTTCATACTTTTCCACATTGTAAAATATCCAGTTTTCCGGAAACTCTTTTCGAATCTGTGGTTCAGGGATGGAAGTTTGAACATTGGATCCACCCGCTGGTACGCGGTTAAACATTTGGGGGCGTGCGATTGGTTGGCCGAGCCCTGGTCTAAAGAATATTCGTCTACCTATTTCATTAAGAAAGGGATTTAATATCCAATGCACACTTTCGGAATTGCAATACATCCAGTTTTCAGGAAACACTTTGGAATCTGTGGATCTAGAGTCGTTTATATTCCTAACTCTCTATCTTGCTTTCTTAAATATTTGGTCTTCATATTAAAAAAATATCTACCTTAGTTTAAAGAAGATTTTTAGTAGCTGGATATGTAGATGTTAGAGCGTTAATTGTAAAGCGAAAAGTTACCCCAGCACAAAATACACAGTGGAAAGACCTAATAAAAACGTTAGAGATCCGTCATACTTTTCGGCATTGTAAAATATCCAGTTCTCCGGAAATTCTTTTCGAATCTGTGGGGCTTGGGTCGAAGATGAAGCTATCGGTGGAGGTCCAGCTAATCCCACTAAAGCCGTCGCAGGCGCAGCAAGAGAAAATGCCACTGGCATCGGGAAAGCTCCATTTAGTATTAATGGGTGGAATGGGTAATAATCTGTATTGGGATGTACATGTGTAAAAATTATTATGGGATTGAGCTAATTTTCCTTTAAGTGCAGATTGGGTCTCCAATTTAATTAAATTAATATTGTAGAGCAAGGGCAAATAAATGTGCCACTTCAGTTTTAATCCCATTTTGTGGTAAATGTACAGGTGCTTTCCAAGTACCGAAATTTCCATATGAGAATTTTCATTGTCGAATTCGACTGCAGCTGATCCTGTGCTAAACATATGATACAATTTAATCGTTACATTAGTTCCGAAACTACTTTTTAAATGTCAGTCACCAATCCAGAAACAAGTATTTCCCAAAGTACAATTAATTAATTAACTGTTATGTGAAAGCCTACACTATGAATTTAGTCTGGTGTTTTAGTTTAGTAATATAAAACGCTTAATAAAAGGCGTTCATGCTCTAAAAAATACGAAACCCACCTCCCGGCTGCAGATGTTTCCCATATCCAGACTTCTGCAAAGTTGATTCGAACTTCTTCGATTTTCTTAGGTGAACTTATAGAAATTGCGTCCACTTCGTCGTATGAAATCTCATCTTCTGATAGGGTGTAAAGAACGCCATCGTAATCATCCTCAATTGATCTAGCTAATATTAACATTTAAACTAAGTTAAATTTAAGTTTAACCGTTTTTTGTATTTGTAATGAAAAACTAAACAAAAACTGATACAGTCACAAAAAAAAAATTTTCCCACGGTGGTGGAAACACTTAGTATTTTTTCTAAAATGTGACTATCTCAGAAGATCTCTTTTCGAGATAAACGCATTTAAGGTTTTCGAGTGTCGTATGTCTTCCAGCAAAGCGATCGAAAAAGCAATATTTATTTAGTACTCGCGACCTGCACAATGAATAAAGTCGGGTTAGGTTTTAGGAAAAGTCATGCATGATAGTCTCAAACGCACCTCCCGTTACCAGATGTTTGCCATATCCAGACTTCTGCAAAATGGGATCGAACTATTTCGACTTTTGAACCTAATAAAGGTTGGACCCCTTGATGATATACAGCCGTTTCCATTTCTATACTGTCATCGTAATCGTACTCATATTGTCTAAATAAATCTAATTCAACAAAGTTAGATTGAGATTGTAATAAAGATGTGGGAACGTAAAATGCTATAATAACCCAAATGTGTTAGAATAGGCAGCAAGGAAAACCAAGAAAAATTATTAAAAAATCGGATAAGTGGAATGGGTAATAATCTGTATCGAGATGTACATGTGTTAAAACTAATATAAATAATTTCCAAACAGATTACAATTAACAGGGGCTTTACAAGTCCTGAGAGCTACTTTTCATATGAGAAATTTCATTGTCGAATTCGACTGCAGCTGATCCTGTGCTAAACATATGATACAATTTAATCGATAAATTAGTTCCGTAACTCCTTTTTTAATGTCAGTCACCAATTCTTTACTAATATAAGTGGTATTAGAACAAGTATTTCCCAAAGTACAAATAAAAAAATATTTAACTGTTATGTGAAAGCCTACACTAGGAATTTAGTCTGGTAGTTTTATACAAAAAAATACGAAACCCACCTCCCGGTTGCAGATGATTCCCATATCCACCCCTCTGAAAAGTTGGTTCGAACTACTTCGATTTTCTTAGGTGAACTTATAGAAATTGCGTCCACTTCGTCGTAAGAAATCGCATCTTCAGATCGGATTTCAATTAGGTCATCGTAGTCGTCCTCAATTGATCTAACTAACATTAATATTTAAATTAAGTTAAATTTAAGTTTTAATCCTTTTCGTATTTGTAATGAAGAAATAAAAGAAAAACTGATACAGTCACCCAAAAAAAATATCCACGGTGGTGGAAGCACTTAGTATTGTTCCTAAACTGTGACCATCTCAGAAGATCTCATTTCGAGATAAAAGCATTTAAGGTTTTCAAGTGTCGTTGTCTTCCAGCAAAGCGATCGAAAAAGCAATATTTATTTAGTACTCGCGAACTGCACAATGAATTAAGTCGGGTTAGGTTGTAGGAAAAGTCATGCATGATAATCTGAAACGCACCTCCCGTTACCAGATGTTTGCCATATCCAGACTTCTGCAAAGTTGGATCGAACTACGTCGACTTTTGAAATTTCGGATTGTACTGCTGCGGATTGTGCAGCCCCAAAATAAACCCGGACATTTTCTGAATAGTCATCGTATACGAACGCATATTCTGTATCTAAATCTAATTTAACAACGTTAAATTGAGTTTGTAATGAAGATGTGGTAACGAAAAGTGCTAAAATAACCGAAATGTGTTAGAATAGGCACCAAGGAAAACCAAAAAATTCTTTAAAAAATCGTATCGTACGTTTGCCTATTGTAATAAATCCAATTTTCTGGGAACTCTTTTCGAATCGTTGACTCTCTTTTCATAAAACGGTTACCGTTGAGAAATTCTTCACGCGCAAAGTCTAAGACTGCAAGTCCTCGAAATTCCAAAATGCTATCGGAGTCATAAAGTTCCGCTGTGACGAAACCATTGTATTAGTAATAGGTTGCATTGACAGCCGTAGCCTTAGAAGATAATTGCTTTTGCTCAAGAAGTAAAAATTAGAAAGCAGAGATAGTAGTGCGTTAAGGTGCAGATCACGTGGCGTCATTTTGCAGGCACCCACCTCCGGCCGATCGATTGCCATATCCAGACATCGGCAAAGTTCTTACGTATCTTTACCGGCTCGTCGGTATTACCATTATTAGAGGTAAAGGTACTAATTTCAGGCACTGGAGGAAAGTTTTGCTCTGGGTATTCCACAAAACTTTCTTCGAGAACATAGGCTCCTGGATCATCTTCGACATAGTCAGGAAAATCTGATGAAGGTTCGATTTGAATTCACATGTGGTCAATTTTGTTGTCTTTTTTATCTAGCTGTAAACGAATTTAATTTCCTAGTTTTCAAAGCCCTTGTCTAACAATAAACTTCATATGAGTTTAGAAAAAACCTGAAAAAAATATAAAATGCCTCATCTTAAGCTTTTAGTCTTACCCGTGCTGTAGGGATAGTTGGCATTTGTTAGGGTCACCAATCCGGAGGTCTGTCCTGGGTAACGTCCATAGCCCCGCTGATAGGGTGTCGATGTCTGGTACTTGTTGAGGCTATTGAAGATTTCATCCTGGCTTAGATCGTTTCCCGATTTGAGCAGCAGGACACTCTGGTCCACACCCAGGAGACCCACAAAGGAGTCGGCATCGGTTTTAACCCTTAACTTGACCTCTTCACTGGGCTTTGCACCCGCTGGTGCAGAAATATCAATCTATTTAGGAAGAAATATAACAGATTAATAGCAGCTTTAGTTGATTTTAGTAAGGGTTGACCTACCGAGTTAACAAACTCCTTCTCAAAATCGATGGTCTTCTCTTCGAAGTGCAGATCATCGTTCACGACATAGTGAATATAGATCGTTGCCTTGGGCACCATTCCAAATGTGGGTGTAAACTTAACAGTGTAGCTTTGAAGACCTTCTGGCACATCCACGTATTCACTCAACAGAATGTTACCCCTGGCCACAATGGTGTAAACAAAGTAGGGTAAGTCTTCAGTCGATACAACATCGAAAGAAACTCGCTCGCCCAATCGTGGTCTAAAAGATAAATAATGTAATGTACTTGCTTTACCAACTTGATGATTATATAGTTCTACTTACTTCTTCGTGTTTACCTGGATCTTTAGGGGCTCCCTGCTCACTAAGGTTGGATCAAACCTTGAGATGGACCCGATGTTGTTCACTGACCCATCGAAAGTGGCCACTATACGATAGAGTCTCGACCCATTCACAGGCAGAGTTACATTAAATGTGGCAATGCCATTCTCGTTTACAGGAGCTTCAAAGCTAATGCTAAATTCGGGGGAAGGCTGCGACCAAAAGTGCTGCGTATTTTGAAGGTCTATCTTAACCTTTTTCGTGGAACTCGTCACTGGAGATCCATCCACATTCTTCACCACCACCCGACAGACAAACGACTTGTTGTCATGGAAATGCTCTGGATTTTCCAAGCCTTCTAGCAAATAACGCTGCTGGTGGAGACGAACTGTAGCGGAGGCATTCTGCTTGTTGCCTGTCAACTCCTCGGTGACGACGGCAAAGAGTTTCATGGGTGGTGCGAAGTGGCTGCTTCGCAGACCATTCAGATCGAACTCCACGTGACCCTTTCCATCAACGTCGATGGTCTTCTCCTGATTATTTCCTCCGGTATCACCAAAGTATCCGTAGCTCTGTTCCATCGTCACTGTGGCCTTGCCCTTAACCGGCTTTCCGTATGTGTACTTCGCCCGAATTGTGGCCTTGATCACATTATCTGCCACGACCACGTCCTTGGCTGTCTCCACGATGACCTCGAATTTCGGAAGAACATACTTGGCCACCTCGAAGGTCTTGGTCTCCCTGTTATCACCATCAACGCTGACGGAGATCTTCCAGGTTCCCAGAACAGGTTGCTCGGACAACTGCAGTTCGCCGGAGTACACGCCTTTGGTCAACTTGACATCTGTAAGCTGCTTTATCCTATTCTGAGCACCATCGGTAATTGCGACAGTTATCGGCTTATCAATCCGCGCGGGTCGAGTGTTTTCGTCCAGGAAGAGAATGCGAAACTGAACCAGATCAGCGGGCTTGTAGGTGGCCTTATCAGTTTGAACAAAGGTCGAAGGCTTCTCATCGGCATAGTTCAATTTGGTGGAATTCTTGAACACAACTCCGGAAATTCCCTCGGCAGTGAGGTTATAATCGCCGGTGACCAACTTGGGCACCTCGAACTCCACGTTCTGGGTGGACATGGGCGGCACTTCGATTTGCTTGGTCTCATTGTAGGAGGGTCCGTTCAGACTGACGTTTATCTGGCTCGGAACATCTGCCTTGTGGACAGAAACGGCTACATTGTACTTGGCGTTGGATCGAATGGTGCCAGGCCCAACCACCGAATAGAGGCTGCAAAACGGGTATTATTCATTAATTGAGTAATGATGATTGTGTGACTGGGTATTATCAATACCGGATTTAAGGTACTTAATTGCAATTTCATGTTTATTTGGATAATTAATTATCTGACAGAATTCTTCTGAACTATGATGGATTCTTTTTACTGTTCTGATAATGAAACAAAATTGAGTTTGTATACTTTAATGAGCCGACTAGAAAATACCTTTTTTGGTACTCATCAAAACTTTTATTGTGATAAGAAAAATTAAAAAAAATTTTAAAATACTGTTACATTTATATTTTTGAAACTGTAATATAATTTAATATTCATTAGAAAAAAATAAAAGTAGTAACATGACCGGGGTTTTCCATTTTTTAGCTGCACAAAAAAGTTCCCCTTTTTATAGGAGGCCATAATCATTAATTTGTTTATGACAACGATTCCGCTATAAACCAGAGTACTTTACATACAAAGAAATACGATCCACAATTTTTGAATCAACATTTATTGTGCTTTCCCCATTTTAAAGCATATTAAAAGTTAAACAAAAATGTATACTTAAATAGAAGAAAACTAACATAGGCTTTGTTATTTGCCTTGTAAACCAACAAGGTTTTCCAACCGGTTTAAAGGGAATCAGCAACCAAATCAGACAGACACCTAAATATTTTTATACGTGGCTGCACGTTCGACCATAGCAATTTTTATTGGGTGCTATATATACATGATTATTTTTCTTAGGAAACCTTTTTGATGACCTCGCTTCCTTCGAGAAGCTGATAAGTGATCAATTGTTTTTGTACATACGTATATATAAGAAATCGAACTCACCCATTGGCATTGATTTGCAGGGCGTATTGTAAGAAAAGTCCGCACACTAAGATCCTCAACATCACGCAAACTAAAAATAGTTCGTTTTTAGTAAAAATAGTATCACAAATAATGAGTTGCATAAGGTAATAACATTTATTATTTCACTTTTTTTGTCACCCGGGCAAAGTGGAATTAAAACTAACCTCGAAATCGACCGATCGCCAACTAGGGGCGATTCACAATGAGCTCGACTTGACTCGAGACCGGCTTTAAGTACTATCGGGGGGGATTGAAAATCTCTCTCTTCCGAAAGATAACGCTCTCTCTTTCTCTCTCTCTCTGTTTTGAGTCCCTCTTTATTATTTCGGGGAATTCGCCCAGCCGTAAAATGAGCGGTCTTATAAATCGGCACAAACAAAACGACCGGTAAAAAACACAATTAGTTGTATACGTCACTGATGATAAATCTGTTTACATATTTTGACTCTTTTGATTAAGAGTAAAATTGAGAAGCTCGTTAGTTTCAGAGAGGATGACTTTAGCTACTCTTTACACATTTGTTTGTGAGAGAGTCTCATTTTATAATGATTCATTTTGATAAGGGAGGTCATTGAGAAATTCCCACATTTCGATTTATTTAAAACAATGAAAACAATTTTCTTGAACATGCACTTGTCAGACATTCTTATCTGTGAAATACTCTTGATTTCTTTTGAAAGCGATTTTCTTTTAGAGCAACATCTGTTATAGCCGAGATCATTAACCCGTTATTTAGTGTTAAACAATGCAGTGATGTGGTAATTAAAGTGTAAGCAATGAGTTTATATTTTCTTTTACAGTACTTATGAATGTTTGTAAGCCAAAATATGTATATACGATGTATTAAACGCCCCAGGTTTGCCAAGAAGGAAAGAAACAATAATTTAAGTATACAATGTACATTTATGGATATATATTTATAAATAATAAATTTAGTGGTTATTAAAACTTACAAACGAACATATTATAAATCATCTATTGTATTTAAAAAAAAAATGTTTATTACCGGAATGCAAACATATTTAAAGTGTAAGTTATGTTACAGTTCGCATCAATTGTAATTGATAATTATCACTGTCTTGACTACGGTCGGTAGGCTAACGCAAATTAGAAAATATGTCAATCTAATACATCAAATTTAATGGCTAATGAGTGAATATAATAACATTTAAATATAAAATAAAATCGTAAAAATTACCTGATTTATTCTCCATTCCTTTTGATTACAATACATTTTTCTTTCACTTTTCCCACGTGTAGCTAGAATCCCCCCCTGGATTCGCGCATGGGCTTTACTAAGAATTGCCATATAATACTAGTATAATTTACTTGTTTCACCTGTTTACATATGTCTATTTTATTATTTATCTCTAACCTCTAAGATACATTTCACTTTGCATATTAATCGAAATGAGTTATATTGCTTTCAATCAAGGGTGGAGCTTCAACAAAGTTAGTAGGACTCGAATATTAATAATTTATTGGAAAACGGTTATGGTTATGACGACAAAGTATAAATTGCCTACGGTAGGGCATGACCATGTGAGTACGGCGCGATGATCTAAACAGAGGCTAATCAGCGGAACCGGATTCAGTTTCTCGGCATCGGTTGTACTAATTGGTTCGTCTATTTAAAGCAAAACGTGGATCGCGGATCGTCGCTGTACAGAACTGTAAATTTTAATATACCGAATATTGTGCTCGCACCATGGTATATGAAACATCCTACAATGCTGGGCTTAAGCCCTTTTCTCCCGATCCTAATCGCGGGAAATGGGAAAAACCCACTGACTATATTTTCGCCTGCTTCGGACTGGCCCTGAAGCTGGATGTACTAGGGGTCTCGTATTGGTACTTCTTCGATATGGGCAGTAAGTATTAGTAACATACAGAGCTTTACCTATATTATAAAGCAGATAAGCCCCAGGGTTAGCCTAATCTTTTTAGGGGCGTTGCGCTGGTAATGCAATTACTTACCTACTGAACCGACATGTGGCACATTGGTTTTTTTGTCTGCCAATATATCTATTTATAGGTAAAATTTTGTTATAAAGAATAATTTTCTTCCCTTACTTTAGTTTTTGGAATGCTCCCCTACTTCCTCTATATGGTGATCTATTTGGTTCCGATCATGGTCATTCACTCATTCATGGGACAATTCTCCAGCAGTGGATTCATGTCCGCCTTTCGCCTGGCGCCTTTTTTTAAGGGTGAGCCACCGAAAAGGAATATAACGAATGAATATTAATATTGAAATTTGAACTTGTAGGAATGGGATATGTGAGCGGTTTCCTGACCATCTCCATGCTCATTTACTACAGCATTTTTGCTGCTGTTCCGCTTTTCTTCATGATCAACTCTTTTCGGCCCACTTTACCTTGGAGTTGTGAAGGCTTAAAATCTTGGTACAATGAATCCGCTGGACCACCGACTGTAGGAAAATTGTGTTCAAAAATTATATACAACAAATAATAATATTATACTTGTACTTTAAGACATGTAATGTGACAATGCTGAGGAATGAAACTTATGAGTACGAAAACGAAACACACGTTCAGCTAAATATGCTTCATGTACCATCAGTACTCTACTTTTAGTAAGTATAAAAATGTGTTTTTAAAACGTTTTTTTATTTAGGAAGATTATTCTTATTTCTTTTCTTCAGTCAACATTTTAAAAATATTGAGGAGGAACAGTATCCGGACCTAAGTGAGGACTATGAGCTATCCTGGCATTTCGTGGGCCTTTTTGCTATAGTTTGGGCTATGATTGCATTTATTTTTTATACATTTTCGGAGACTGCGAAGTTTGGAAAATTAATTCGTTTCATGGTTATTGGAACCATTGTTCTTCTGCTGGTGTGCTTTGTGCGATTTCTATTCCTTCCAGGAGCCCATTTGGGGGTAAAGAAGTACATGACTCCGGATGCAGCGAAAATGGCCATGGGAAGTACATCGACATTTATCATGGTTCTACAAGCGTTTGGAGCTGGCTGGGGTAGTATAATAGCCCTATCCAGTTTTAATGGGTTCAGGAACAACATAATGTCGTACAGTTGGATTATCTCTTTCGGACAGGTCTTCATATACATTACGTTTGGCATGGTTTCCTTTATGCTGGATCACTACTACAATGGTAATCCAAGTCTACAGCTTGTCATAATCTCTAGTAATGTGATCACAATAATGAAAAATCTATACTCAAGAAAATTACAAAATTATAAGTGACAAAAGGAAATTTGTATGACCTAATTTGGTATCGAAACTTTCATTCTTTCAAAGTTGTTTTATTCCAGAGCGTACTTAACAGGAACATTATATTTTCAATTTCAGAGATCACTGATGAAAACTTTAACACTATTGTACTGAGTCATTGGATTTTATTTTTGTCCAGCGCTACTGCCCTATCCTCATTGGGTTGGGCGAATCTGTGGACTTTTATTTACTATACTATGTTATTAATGGCGGCCCTTATTGTGATAGTGAGTATGTTTAAGTAGGAAAATATACATTTTTTATTTTATTATATAAGTCCACATTCACCAACCGAATATTCTAAAAATATTTTGGAAAGAAATGTGATTATACAAAGCTCTAATAGTTTAGAATTAGATCTAATTATACTTATTCTATTAATTTTTAAATAGAAATACGTGTTTTTCCCCTCAAGTAGTTTAAGAAAAATATTAATTTTTATCATTGCAGTCGACGCAAATATTCACTGTCTTGCAAAGTTTGTTTGATGAGTTTGAGGAACTTAGAGGGAGAAAGCAGCAGATAACCTTTGGTCTAATTGGTGGCCTTGCCGTCTTTTCGTTTTTCTTTTGCACAAATGTAAGTTCATAAAAAAGATATTTCTCTTTTTTAATATGGCTGAAATACTCTTAAAAAACTCAAACAATTGCGGGTTGCTCAAACTAAACTATGTATTTTTAGCATGGCATTGTATTCTTTTCCGCTTTGAGTCTTGATGCCATTTTTACACACAGTCTGCTGCACTTACTGCTTATTTTCGTGGTTTTGTGGATATATGGCCGAGTACGTTTCCAGCGGGATATTGAGTTCATGTTGGGTCAGCCCTTCGTCGCCTGGAAGGTTTTTATTCTCCGCTTCATCGCTCCAATTATTTTAGTGATTTGTCTGGTTTGTTATGGACTTCAACCTTGTTTTTTTCCTTATGGTAAAAACTATACTTTAATTACTAGATGGCAGGAATAGGTATTTCCTCAATGGAGCACTCGTACTCCTCAGCAGTGGTCCTCGTGATGGCCGTTTTCCTGGTGGCACTACCCATTCTGGCAATACCTGGCTACGGACTTTACTACCTTTCCCAGAGCACTGGCACTATTGGCGATCGCCTTAAGCGCACCTTACGACCCACCGATTGGTATCCGGTTGAGGTGGAGCACCGCCAGCAGTACGAGGTGGCCGTAGGAAACACTGAGATGACCCACCAGCTTTTTGAGGTTACTGAGGATGTGAACTAAGCAGTGAAACATGTAAAAATGTTCGAAGCATTAAAAACATATGATTACCTATTTAAATGATTCATTTTGAAAGATATAATAAAAGTACGCTCTAAATAATTTCATTTTTAGTTTTCAGAAATCTTAAAAGAATTCCTAGAGACTTTCGAAAACTCTGAATTAGACAAAGTAAGGTTTAGTTCTTGGAAATAATATCCTTTTAAGCGTGATCGTTAGAAACCTTTGACGTGTCCAAAGAAAACCTCTAATTTTGGATGGCGGTTGTGTTATATGTGTTTGCATTTTGCGAGGCTTTGGACTAGTTCGTAATCATCAGCATTTACAGTTTTTGGTCTCGATACCCATTTAAAGGGGAGAGAGAAAATAGCCAGGATATAACAACATTAATATTTATAAAATTATATTTACAAAACTTACCACTGAAGTTTATAAAAATTTGAAAGTCCACAGAATGTCCAGTTTTTTATGTCTTTCTGAGTCAATTTAAGCCGACTTTGAGCAACAGTACTAGTACATTAAAGTACTATTTAATCGGTATTACACCATCTACTTCAAGATTTTTAAAGATTTCTAAGTTTCACCTGAAAATTAGTTGAAAGAGATTTGTGTTCCATCCCTGAATATAATAAGTAGTTTGAGCATCTCTATAGAGAGCGATGTGCTAAACAGCGACTTGCAGTCGGGCTCGGATTTAGTTCGTCGGCATCGGTTGTACTAATGCTTCCGTCTATTTAAAGAAAAACGTTCGCTGTGCACAAGAACATTTAGTATTAATGCCTCGCTCAGAGTTGAAAATTGGATTGCATTTACGTAGATAAAAACGTTTGAAAACTCTATCCTCGAGTAATTGCGGTCGTAATATGGGTTTTGATTCATCGTACGGCAGTGGGCGAAAGCCTTTTTCTCCCGATTTAAATCGAGGGAAGTGGGAAAAACCTACGGACTATATATTGGCCTGCTTTGGATTAGGTCTAAAGATGGATGTCTTTGATCTAACTTTTTGGGAGGTCAACGATATGGGCAGTAAGTAATAAAAATATATTATATAAAGAACTAATTTATTTTTGGGGGCGTTGCGGTGCAAATGCAGATTTTGAATGCAATCTATGGTATTTAAATTAAACGATTTAACTCTTATCGAGGAATGCAAAAAAAACCTCATGGTTTTTTGAAAAATAATTTCAATATTTTTAATATTTTTTTTACTTTCTGGTTTAGTTCTTGGAATATTGCCGTATTTGGTGTACATGGTAATTTATTTGGTTCCAATCATAATCATTCACTCCTTCATGGGCCAGTTCTCCAGCAGTGGATTTATCTCAGCCCTTCGTCTGTCTCCATTTTTTAAAGGTAAGTGCCTAGAAAGGTAAGTAGATAGGAACTAAATATATTATATTAAACATTTTATTTTAGGAATGGGATATGTGAGCGTTTTTCTATCTGTCTCAATGCTCATTTACTATAGCATTTATGCTGCTATCCCGCTACTATTCATAATAAACTCTTTTCGACCTACTTTACCCTGGAGTTGTGAAGGCTCAAAATCTTGGCACAACGAGACCGCTTGGCCATCGATCTGTAATGACAACATCACAAAATACAAGCTGATTCGTATACCTTCCGTGCTCTACTTTCAGTATGTATCCAATTATTTCCAAAAATGCTTTTAGTATAAGGCTTAGTACTCAACCCAACAAAAAGTCGTCCAAAACAAAAAATTTCATATGAAAAACAACGTCAAAAAATTTTGTTTCATATGATGTTTTTGTTTTGGACGACTTTTTGTTGGGTTGAGTACTAGCCCTAATTAGACAAACATTTACTTTTTAAAATTTTTCTTTTCTTTATTTTACAGAGATCTCTTCCAACAAAATGAAACTTCAAGTATTGAAAATTACTATGAGCTATCCTGGCATTTGGTGGGCCTCTTCGCTCTAGTTTGGGGAATGATTGCATTTATTTTTCATAAATTTTCGGAGACGACGATGTTTGGAAAATTTATACGCTACATGGTAATTGGAACCCTGGCTCTTCTTTTAGTGTGCTTTGTGCGCATTCTTTTTTTGCCAGGAGCCCTTAAGGGGCTAAGGAAATACATGACTCCAAAACCAAAGGATTGGGTTTTGGGGACTGGATCAACATTTCTCATCGCTTTACAGGCGTTTGGTGCTGGCTGGGGCAGTGTAATAGCCCTGTCCAGTTTTAATGGGTTCAGGACCAACATATTTTCGTACAGTTGGATTATTTCCTTCGGACAAATCTTTATTTATATAATGTTTTGCATGGTATCCTTTATGCTGGAACACTACTTCTCAGGTAACCATTATTTAAATTTATTCATAATCTTAGCTATTTATTGTGTTACTTGTTTTAGAACTTCCTGAATCTTCAGATAAGACAGTAGTACACACCATTTGGGTGTTGATTGTGTCTAGTGCCAGTGCCTTGTCCACAATGGGTTGGCCAAACATGTGGACTTTTATTTACTATACTATGTTATTAATGGCGGCTGTTATTACGATTGTGAGTATATTTCGAAAGTTCTACATTTTATTCGTCTCCGTATTTTTTATATAGTGGCGATGCCTAACTTATTGAAATATTTTTATCCTAAGTAGCTCGACGCTGCCCTTGGTCAGTGACACTACCCATTTCTAATCAATTACAAAAAAATTGTTGTATTTAGAAAGTTGACTGTTCCAACTTACAGAACTCTCCCCAATTCCGAACAAAGCAATTTTAGAAATAGAATCTTACCTTTAACCTTTAAATTTTGGCAAAAAGCTTTAAATTTAATTTATATTTTTCTATAGGTAAGTTATTTAAGTGTACTCATATATATTTTCCGTTGCAGACGACGCAAATATTTACTATCCTTCAAAGTTTATTTGATGAGTTTGAGGAACTTAGAGTTAGAAAAAAGAAGGTAACATTTGGCCTTATTGGTGGCCTAGCTGTCTGTTCAATTTTCTTTTGCACAAACGTAAGTTTCTAAAATATTGTAAACAATTTAAAAATTAGTTTACTCTAAATCCCCAAGGCTTAAAAATAAAATGATTATTATTCTTTATATTTTAGCATGGTAGTGATTTCTTTGTTTTTATCCCTATTGATGCCATTTTAACATACAGTGTGCTTCATTTACTGCTTTTACTAGTGGTTTTGTGGATTTACGGCCGAGAAAGTTTCCAGCGGGATATTGAGTTTATGTTGGGTCAGCCGTTTGCCTCCTGGAAGATTTATATACTTCGCTTTATTGCTCCAATAATTTTAGTTATTTGTCTGGTTTGTTATGAATTTATTTATTGTTTTTAGTTTGGATAAAGCTAACATTTATACTTTATTTTCTTTCAGCTGATAGGAATAAGTTGGTCCATATTGGATCCCGATTATTTCACAGTAGAATTCCTCGCGATGTCCATCATTGTGGTGTGGTTACCCCTTTTGGCAATACCTGGTTACGGAATTTACAACCTTTCCCAGAGCACTGGCACCGTTTGGGATCGCTTGAGACGCACCTGTCGACCTACCGATTGGTATCCCCTTGAGGTGGAATTCCGCCAGAAGTACGAGAAAGCTGTAGGAACCACTGAGACCCACCAGCTTTTAGAGGTTACCGAGGAGGTGAACTAAGTAGTAATACAAATATAAAAGTACATAATATTTTCAAAATACAATAGTAACTTATATTTTGTATAATATATGGCCAGGAAATTACATAATAAATAAAAAAATTTTATCTGACCCTAAAAAATATCAAATAAAAACACCTCTTAACGAGGTAAAAAACTAGTGACGATCGCACCTTCAACATACAAAAGTTCTGATATCAACATTTGTGACGAAAAATTATTACACTCGTCATTAAATACACTTTCTAATATTTTCTCATTCGGCCCGCCCTAGCATACTATTTTAGCCTTTTTACCTTCATAGGCATTTTCTATTGCAGCGTGCCGAATGAGAAAATATTAGAAAGTCTATTTAATGACGAGTGTAATAATTTTTCGTCACAAATGTTGATATCAGAACTTTTGTATGTTGAAGGTGCGATCGTCACTAGTTTTTTACCTCGTTAAGAGGTGTTTTTATTTGATATCAGAAGTTTTTGTTTTTTTATATTTGCTCTCATAGGAGCTAGTATATACATTTAAATTTAAATTGGTCAATTATAATTTGTAAACCAATGTATTTAAACAAATTAAGTTAAAAAGGCGTTTAAGTATTTCAAAATACCTTTTAAACGAGGTATAGCACATGTCTGTAGCTTCAGTAGTGTAGAACTTACAAACTAACGAAATTTAGCTATTTCTAGCTTTTTTTCCGCTAAAGCAGCGGGTTTTTCCAAAAGTCGTAAAACAAAAGTTTCCTATTTGGAACTCCTTAAAACAATTGAAATGATTCTATGAGCCTAAAATACAGTTTGGATACCCACGTACAAAATTAAACACTCAGGAAGCGTTAGTTGTTCTGAGCTGGCAAAAGTGGCTATTTTCGTTTCTGAATAACTTTTAAACGCGATTTTTTACATAAACATGATATATACCAAAATTTAAGGAATCTCAAGGGCTATACAGTTTAAAGTTGTAAGGAAAATCGTTAGAGCCGTTTTTGAGAAAATTAAAAAAAGCTAAAAAAAAAGTTTAAACAAATTTTCTTTTGTTCATATCTTTTTAACTACTACATTTACACAAATTGCATATAGAAGACGTTTATAGCATTTAAAAATACCTTTCAAACGAGGTGCAGCACAAGTCTGTAGCTTTAGTAGTATAGAAGTTACGGCTTTCCCAATTTTAGATATTTATAGCTGTTTTCCCGCTAAACTGGCGAGTTTTTCCAAAAGTGGTAGAAGAAAAGTTTTTTATATCGATGTGATGAACGTCATATCAAATTTTCAAAACATAAAAAACATGTTTTGGACAAACTGACAAACAGAATTAAATTTTCATTTTGGGAAGAAGAAGAAAATCTTATTTTGGCTATAACTTTTGAACGGAGCGTCGGATTTTATCATATGACCCCTCATTCGACGGGTATTTTCAATAGGAATACAACTAAAACATTGCGAGGGGGCTTTTATCCCCACCGGCCCCAACAGCTCCCAAACTCGAAATTTTCACTTTTTCACTTTCACCTCTCTCTCTCCCAAACCAATTGATTTTCTTAAGGTCTTGGTATACAATCCTTTAAGTTTTTGCAATACCTTTCGATTGGTGTATTACTCATTACGATCGGACTATCACAGCAGATTTTCAATTTTGCGGCTATATAATAGTAGTCGCCTTCGCACACTCTCCTGGTGCGCTTCGTCACTACATGGACTGCCGTCCATAGTGATATACATTTATCATTATAAGGCAGCTACAAAAATCTATTTCATATTTGGCAAGCTTCTGGTGCCGTGAAAAAGCAATTTTTATACCCGTAGAAAAGGGTATATTGTATTCGTGCAAAAGTATGTAACAGGGAGAAGAAAGCGTTTCCGACCCTATAAAGTATGTATATTCTTGATCACTAGCCGAGTCGATATAGCCATGTCCGTCTGTCCGTCCGTATGAACGCTGAGATCTCGGAAACTACCAAAGCTAGATGGTTGAGATTTTCAACACATACTCTTGGGCTTCCTACGCAGCGCATGTTTATTTCAGCCGAGCGCCACGCCCCCTCTAACGCCCACAATCGCCCACTAACAATATTAAAATGTGTCTGGCGCCCACACCTTCAAAGATTTCCGAGAAGTATAAATGCAATTTTGTTGTGTACATTTATACCTATCGAAATGTAGAAGATATTTTTTAAATCGGACCATTCAATAAAAAGTTATACGCAATCAAAAAAATTTATGAGTGACGGGTATTAGATAGTCGGGACACCAACCCGACTATAGCGTTCTCTCTTGTTTTGATTAAAATTGAAGAACAGACATTAACAATAATTTATTTTCTCATTAACTCTTTGCTGGCTATTTATCTGTCTGGCTATCCTAGCTATTGCTGGCTATCCCCATCTACTTAAATTTAGAGAGGTATGATTTTTCTCTAAAATAGTTTTTCCAGAAGAGATTGATGTGGCACCCCTGAATATTATAAGTAGAATGAGCATCACTGTCGAAAGCGACTTGCAGTCGAGATCGGATTTAGTTCGTCGGCATCAGTTGCACTAATTCGTCCGTCTATTCAAACGCTCGCATATCGTTGTCTGTATACAAGAACATTTAGTTATAATACTTTACCAAGAGTGCAAAATCGGATTCCATTCCTAATTTTGACTGCCTAATATTGTAACATGCGTTTTGAATCATCGTATGGCACGGGGCAAAAGCCCTTTTCTCCCGATTTAAATCGAGGGAAGTGGGAAAAACCTACACTCAAAATAAAATTAACCCTAAAGTCAAGGAAATCGCCCTACTTTTGTCTTCAAGACAAGCTCGCCCTAAATTTTAGGGTCACATTTTTCTATATTTTTGATTTTTTTTGACGTCATATTTCTAAATTTTAGGGTAATTTTACTAAATTTAAGGGCAAAAATTTCTAAAATGTAGGAAATTTTCCTAAAAAATAGAAATTAAAAACAAAACAAAAAAACATGTTCAATCATGATTTTTTTTTGTATATACGTTTATATTATGTACTCCTCCCTATATACATATGCAGGCGTTGTGAGTCTTGTATATTGTGAATGTTAAAGGTTATGTATTTATTATTATGTATTTGCGCTTGGATTTCTTATCTAACCAAAGCCAAATGTTGTTGTAAATGTGGACTACGGGACTGCGGAAGATTGGGAATGTAGAAATTATGATTAGTTAATATTTTATCTTCATGAAAAAAACTTACATTTTTACTTGTCCGTCGTGAGAATCGAACCCGGGTCTCCCGCGCGAGGAGCGAACGGCCTACATACTGGGCCATTGTAGCACTTAAATTTGCTGTGGCAAACCGAGCATTGTATGTAAAGGGTCAAGCGGAGAACACATTTGAATACTAATTGCATAATTTTGACCATTCGCGTTTTACTTATTTACATACATACATATGTATATATTTATGCTATCGCAATTTATATTATGTGTAGTATATAGTAAATAGCTGAATATAAACCAAATTATTTTCGGTTTACCGCTCGCCATCAATTAAAAAAAGGAATAAAAAAAAAGAGTAAAAAAAAAACAAATTAAAAAAATAAAATAAAAAAAAACTTTAAAAAAACTTAAAAAAAAAAGGTAAAAAATAGTTTGCTCTGGGACTCGAACCAGGGTCGATTCGAATTCTAACCAAGCGCTTTAACCGTCTGCGCTACGAGTACAGCCGCCCGGCAGCTGACAAGTTCTGGTATTGAACATTTTGGTGTGCCAGAGCATGTGAAAACATCTATTTCTATTTTTTAGAAAAACTTTCTACTTTTTAGAAAATGTTTCTATTATTTAGGGTTAGCTTAATTTTAGGGTTAGGGCACTCATATTTAGAAAGGGTGCTGCCAAAATACTTTATTATTTTCGTTTGCCTTTCTATTTTTCAGAAAATTATTTCTAATTTTAAGGGCATTTTTTCTAGATTTTAGGGTGATTTTAGTTCATGGTAACCATTTTCTACATTTAAGAAATACTTCCTGGATTTAAGGAAAACTTTCTTGACTTAAGAAAAATTTCCTTAGATTTAGAAATAACTTTCTTGTATTTAGAAAAAAGAAATTTTAATGGCGATTTTCTAAAATTTAGGGTTAAATTTATTTTGAGTGTACGGACTACATATTTGCTTGTTTTGGATTAGCTCTAAAGATGGATGTCGTTGATTTTACATATTGGGTGGTGAACGATATGGGTAGTAAGTAATAAAAAACAAGAAAGGAAGCTAGCTTCGGCCAGCCGAAGCTTATATACCCTTGCAGATCATTCCTATTAAAAAACAAATCGCAAAAATGTTAAATTTTCTAATATTTCTCATTAATTTTCCGATCGTTCCTATGGCAGCTATATTATATAGTCGTCCGATTTTGATCAAATTAAAATTGAAATTCGAAAATATTTAAAAAGAGTCATATCCTAGAGTAGAAGATAATACAATAAAAACCAAAGAAGCTAGAATTTATTTCCTATTACTTTTCCATTAATTTTCCGATCGTTCCTATGGCAGCTATATGATATAGTCGTCCGATTTTGATTAAATTAAAATTGAAATTCGGAAATATTTAAAAAGAGTCATATCCTAGAGTAGAAGATAATACAATAAAAACCAAAGAAGCTAGAATTTATTTCCTATTACTTTTCCATTAATTTTCCGATCGTTCCTATGGCAGCTATATGATATAGTAGTCCGATTTTTTAAATAATTAATTCGAAATTCAGATATATTTAAAAAATAACATCCCCAAAAGTAGAAGGTAATATTTCAAAAAACACCGAAGTTAGAATTTTTTGAAGTTTTTTTTTTTCCGATTGTTCCTATGGGAGCTATAAGATATAGTTGTCCGATCCGGTCGGCTCCGACATATATACTACCTGCAATAGAAAGAAGACTTTTGGGAAAGTTTCATCCCGATAGCTCAAAAACTGAGAGACTAGTTTGCGTAGAAACAGACAGACGGACAGACGGACGGACAGACGGACAGACGGACAGACGGACAGACGGACATGGCTAGATCGACTCGTCTTGTGATACTGATCAAGAATATATATACTTTATGGGGTCGGAAACGTCTCCTTCACTGCGTTGCAAACTTCTGACTGAAATCATAATACCCTCTGCAAGGGTATAATGAGTCATCAATGGCATTCAGAAACTGCAGCTCACTTGCAGCTCAACGCCTCAAAAAGATGATTAGTTCTTTATTTTTATACCCTTGCAGAGGGTATTATGATTTCAGTCAGAAGTTTGCAACGCAGTGAAGGAGACGTTTCCGACCCCATAAAGTATATATATTCTTGATCAGCATCACAAGACGAGTCGATCTAGCCATGTCCGTCTGTCCGCCTGTCTGTTTCTACGCAAACTAGTCTCTCAGTTTTTGAGCTATCGGGACAAAACTTTCGCAAAAGTCTTCTTTCTATTGCAGGTAGTATATATGTCGGAGCCGACCGGATCGGACAACTATATCTTATAGCTCCCATAGGAACAATCGGGAAAAAAAAACTTTAAAAAATTCTAGCTTCGGTGTTTTTTGAAATATTACCTTCTACTTTTTGGGATGTTATTTTTTAAATATTTCTGAATTTCGAATTAATTATTTAAAAAAATTGGACTACTATATCATATAGCTGCCATAGGAACGATCGGAAAATTAATGGAAAAGTAATAGGAAATAAATTCTAGCTTCTTTGGTTTTTATTGTATTATCTTCTACTCTAGGATATGACTCTTTTTAAATATTTTCGAATTTCAATTTTAATTTGATCAAAATCGGACGACTATATCATATAGCTGCCATAGGAACGCTCGGAAAATTAATGAGAAATATTAGAAAATTGAACATTTTTGCGATTTGTTAATTAATAGGAATGATCTGCAAGGGTATATAAGCTTCGGCTGGCCGAAGCTAGCTTCCTTTCTTGTTTTAGAAATAAAATGTGTAAAGCCATTTGCATCTTTCAATGGCTTTAGTACCCTTGCACATTTTTAAGTATTTTGAAAGGAAAGCACTTTTACCCTTATAGCCAAGTATTCACTCTCACTTCAATCGATTAAAGTGATATACGCACAAAATATTTATGGGAACTTTAGGACATAAAAGTACGATCCGAACTTCATCTGCGTACACATATTTTATAGATAGATCAGTAGATTTTAAACTGAGCTTAAAGGCGGTATTGAAAAGTCGAAAGTACTTGGCTATATAGACTCGTCTAGTGATATTGCTCCAAAAAATATACATAATACTTATTAATTAAATTCCATGTTAAATTTCACAATGAAAACAATACTTAAACCCATGGCTTTAAATTAAAAATAATTTATAAAAATTGAATATTTTTTTTAACTTTCTTGTTTAGTTCTTGGAATTTTGCCGTATTTGGTTTATATGGTAATTTATTTGGTTCCAATCATAGTCATTCACTCCTTCATGGGCCAGTTCTCCAGCAGTGGTTATATCTCCGCCTTTCGACTCACTCCTTTTTTTAAAGGTAAGCGCCTAAAAAGGTTAAGTAGATATTAACCATAATTTTAAAATTTGAATTTTAGGCATGGGAGCATTTTTCTGTCTATCTCAATGCTCATTTACTATAGCATTTATGCTGCTATCCCGCTATTATTCATAATAAACTCTTTTCGAACCACTTTACCTTGGAGTTGTGAAGGTTCAAAATGTTGGCTCAATGAAACCGTTTGGCCGTCGATATGTAATGAAGAGTATTCTGAATTGAAAAACAACAAAACATACAAGATGCTTCATATACCTTCCCTGCTCTACTTTCAGTAAGTATAAAATTATTTACAAAATTTATGAAATTCAATTAGATAAACAATTGGTTTTAATGCACGCTCCAGATATTTCTATTTTAATAAATCATAGCAATTTTTAATGTCCACTTTCTATCTTTTATAGGAATTTTTTTCAACAGAAAGAACTTGCGAATATGAATAATTACTATGAGCTTTCTTGGCATTTTGTGGGGCTCTTTGCTCTAGTTTGGGCCATGATTGCATTTATTTTTCATAAATTTTCGGAGGCGACTATGTTTGGGAAATTTATACGCTACATGGTTATTGGGACCTTGGTTCTTCTTTTAGTGTGCTTTGTGCGCATTCTTTTTCTCCCAGGAGCTCTTAAAGGCCTAAGGAAATTCATGACTCCAAAACCAAAGGATTGGGTTTTGGGGACTGGATCAACATTTCTCATCGCTTTACAGGCGTTTGGTGCTGGCTGGTTTCAAGACCAACATAATGTCGTACAGTTGGATTATTTCCCTGGGACAAATCTTCATTTACATACTGTTTTGCATGGTATCCTTTATGCTGGAAAACTACTTCTCAGGTAATCGCTATTTAAAAATATGTCATAATCTTAACTGATCGTTAACGATTTCAGAGCTTCCTGGCTCTCCAGATAAAACAGAAGTAGTAGCCCTTTGGGTCTGGATTATGGGTAGTGCCAGTGCTTTGTCTACAATGGGTTGGCCAAACATGTGGACTTTTATTTACTATTCTATGCTATTAATGGCGGCTGTTATTACGATTGTGAGTATTTTACAGTATTCATATTTTTCATTTGCCGCCGAGTTATTAATAAAAATTATAACTAGAACGTATTGCTTGCACTTCCGGGTAGGTTTTTGACATACCCTTATACCCTTAGTAGGTCGACCCTGCATTTTGATTACTGGCAGCGAATACAATATAAGTATACCATACAAAACAATTTGAAAAATACAATTTTACCTTTAATATTCGGAAATCATTGGACAAAATGTTATTATTTTGAAAATATTTTTCTTTATTGAAGTTACTTAGGTATACACTAATACATTTTCCATTGCAGACAACTCAAATGTTTACAATCCTGCAAAGTTTATTTGATGAGTTTGAGGAACTCAGAGTGAGAAAACAGAAAGTAACCTTTGGCCTTATTGGCGGCCTTGCTGTCTGTTCAACTTTCTTTTGCACAAACGTAAGTTTCTAATATCCAAAAAATTTAAGAATAACTTTATTCTTTTTTACCAATTTTTAAATTAAAACTGTTTCCCTTTCCTTATATTTTAGCATGGTTTGGGTAGCTTTGTTGTTATCGCTATGGATGCCATTGTAACCTACAGTATGCTTCACTTACTGCTTTTACTTGTGGTTTTGTGGATTTACGGCCGAGAACGCTTCCAGCGGGATATTGAGTTTATGTTGAGTCAGCCGTTTGACTCCTGGAAGATTTACATGCTCCGCTTTATTGCTCCGATTTTTTTAGTGATTGGTCTGGTTTGTTTTTAATTTTTTATTTGCTTTTAGGTGGGATAAAGCTTACATATATCATTTTTTCTTCTAGATGATAGGAATAAGTTGGTCGATAATGGACCACAATTATTTCTCAGTATTTCTCGTGATGTCCATTATTGTGGTGTGGTTACCCATTATAGGAATACCTGCCTACGGAATGTACTGTCTTTCCAAAAGCACTGGAACAGTTTGGGATCGGCTAAGACGCCGACCCACCGATTGGTATCCGCTTGAGATGGAATACCGCCAGAAATACGAGGAAGCTATAGGAGCAACTGACACCAACCAGCTTTCCGAGGTTACCGATGAGATAAACTAAAATGTGACATAACTTAAATGTACCAAACATTATAAATATATTTAAACTTTCAATATATATTTTGAAAGAGTGCTTGTCTTGCAGAAACTCAGATCAAAGCACCCATTTGAGCCTATTTCAAACATCATATTGGGTTTGGAACAATCGAATTAGCTGAAAATAGAGAATTCGCATTATACCAGTATCAAATCAAGACAAGAAAATTGATTAAATATCACTGCATTAATCATCTCAACATTTTTTTTTTTTTCCGAAGTAAATTCCAAAGTTTTAAAAAAATGTTTTTTTAGACAATTTATTTATTTATTTATTTATAAAAGATTTGTATGACACCCCTGAAAATAATAAGTAGTATGAGCATCTCTGTCCAGCGCGATAAGCTAAATTCAGACTTGTAGTCGGATTCAGTTTGTCGTCATCGGTTAAAGTAATTGCTTCAGTCTCATTAAAGAAACACGCTCACATGTCGTTCGTTCTACTCAAAAGCATTTAAAAGAAACAGTCCAAGTTTAAAGCTGGGCCTAGCGTCACTCTTACTGTTTAATATTACCCATACAAGATGGTATATGAAACATCCTATGGCATTGGACAAAAGCCCTTTTGTCCCGATCCAAATCGGGGAAAGTGGGAGAAACCCTCGGACTTTATATTTGCCTGCATCGGATTAGCTCTGAAGTTAGATGTTTTTGATATCTTGTTTCATTCGCACCACAATTTGGGCAGTAAGTAAAAAAATGATGTATCTTTGTATTACAGGGCAAGATGTTTCCGGGTTACGTTAATCTTTTTAGGGGCGTTGCAATTACAAAACGGTCATATAAAAAATGATTCATTCTAGATTTAGTATATATTGGACCCATTAAATTTGTTGTATACAAATATTTCGATTTATTTCTGTTAATTAAAACAACAAATTTAGGGAAAGTACCGTATATAGTAAGTATTTTATTAAATTACCAAGGGCATGTTCAGCTCTAAATTCAATTCTTAGGCACACAAATTGTTATTTTTGTTTTTATTAAAAATTAAAACTATCGTTAAATTCAATTTCCGTTCGTAGTTTTTGGAATATGGCTGTATTTTGTGTACATGGTGATATATTTGGTTCCAATCATAGTCATCCACTCCTTTATGGGCCAGTTCTCCAGTAGTGGATTTATCTCCGCTTTTCGTTTGTCTCCTGTTTTTAAAGGTGAGTTCCGATAAATAATATAATATTTTACCTATTATATTATAATTTTTATTTTAGGCATGGGCTACTTAAGTGTTTGCCTGTCTCTATCCATGCTCATTTGCTATAGCATTTATGCTGCCATTCCGCTGTTGTTCATCATAAATTCTTTTCGACCCACTTTACCTTGGAGTTGTGAAGGCTTCACAGCTTGGTTCAATGAGAGCTCTGGACGATCGACTGTAGGAAAATTTGTGTAAAACAAGTATATTAAAAAATAATATAATTTCGATTATTCTTTAAGATTTGTGATGTGAGAATTAATCGAGAGTCCTCTGCATTCCAAGACTACACAAGTCTTGAGGTACCTTCAGTCCTCTATTTTGAGTAAGTTTATTTAGTAATTCTATTTTTCTCAATTTATTCAATAAGCAATTTAAAATTTAAATTTAATAACACTTATTTTTTTTATAAATATTATAATGTATACCCGATAATCGTTTAACTCTTCTCTCTAAGATTTAAACTACACACAAAAAAAGCACGTCGCCGTAAAATCGATAAGTCCAGGTAATTTTCTGGTTATTCCTACTCATATCGTTTTTACCTGAAATATTCATAAATTTACATTAAATAATATCATTTTGCCGAATTCTCTCTCTCGGAGATTCTCTAACTTCGAAAAAGAGCGCAAGAATCAATATGGCGAGCAAAATGACATGAGTGGAAGCGAGAAAGACTGATTCGAAATTCGAACTGACGTACTTCAAGCATGTTTTCTCGCTCGCACTAGTGTACGTTTTGGTCAGAAATAAGATTTTTTACATTTCGAACATATCACATTTACCTGGCCCCATATCAAGTTAAAAATGACCTTAAAAAAGGTCAAATTGACCTACGATTCATATCGAGTTTTTTTTGGGTGTAGCTGATTAAAACGATTATACTGGGGTAGAATCTGAAAGCACTGTAAAATTAAGCATTAATTACACTATGCAACATAAAAAATTTACCTGGATGGATGCTATAATTTTGAATTTGTTACGAATTTCGAATTTAAACTGCGATTTCCAAAAATTTTCCTCGACGCAAGGGTTCTTAGCACAAGGACCTCAAAGTTTGAAGAATGCTGAAATTGGCCTACTTTCCGGAGCTATCACAGTCAAACGGATTCATGGTTTGTTTTGATGTTGAAGATTTTTAAAAAATACACTCTTTACCTTTCGATCCTTTTACTCAGAATAATTTTAGGAAAACGGATTCATGGTTTGTTTTGATCTTTCGATCTCTTTACTAAAAAAAATGTTAGGGTTTTTTTTAAGGGAGAAATAAATTAATTGCGTCATAGGAATCAAAATAAACCATGAATCCGTTTGACCGTGATACCTCCGGAAAGTTCGCCAAATTCAGCATTTTTCGAACTTTAAGGTCCTTTTGCTAAGAATCCTTGCGTCGGAAAACTTTTTATTTTTTTTTCGAGGTAGATTTAAAAAGCATTTATTTTGTTTCAGAGTGTTATAATGTTCATTACAATATTATTCTGATTTTTTTTTTAGCAATCTTTTTAACTCTACGCGAGAGGACAGATTCACTGATATCAATGATGACTTTGAACTATCCTGGCATTTTGTTGGTCTCTTCGCCATGGTTTGGGCCATAATTTCATTGATTTTTTTTAAATTTTCGGAGACGGCGAAGTTTGGAAAATTTATACGATACATGGTTATTGCGACACTGGGCCTTCTTTTAGTGTGCTTTGTGCGATTCTGTTTTCTTCCAGGAGGGTTTTCGTGGCTAAACAAATACGCAGCTCCAAAACCATATAATTTTGTCGAAAGTTCCGTCTCAACATTTTTTATTGCTATGCAGGCCTTTGGAGCTGGCTGGGGTAGTGTGATAGCCCTATCCAGTTTTAATAGTTTCAAGACCAACATAACGTCGTATAGTTGGATTATTTCCTTCGGACAAATCTTTATTTACATTATGTTTAGCTTGATTTCCGCTATGCTGGAACATCATTTCAAAGGTAAGGGCTATTCACAATAAATCATTAGCTTAAATAAACATTGGATTTACTGTTCCAGACCTTGCTGACGATTCAGATGAAGTAGATGTAATGAACAGTTGGGTGAGAATTTTGTCAAGTGCCAGCGCTTTGTCCACAATGAGTTGGCCAAACCTGTGGACTCTCATTTATTATACTACGTTATTAATGGCTGCTGTTATCCTGATAGTAAGTAAATCCAAGTACAATAAATATAACAAGAAAGGAAGCTACCTTCGGCCAGCCGAAGCTTATATACCCTTGCAGATAAAGTAATACTCACTCGGTGCAGTTCCAGGGATTCCAGATTCAGTGTTCCTATTTTTGAATTTTGTTTTTAAGTAGTCAAGAATTAAAAAGGCCTACTTTCTAAAAATTAACAAGAATTTTTATACCCTTGCAGAGGGTATTATGATTTCAGTCAGAAGTTTGCAACGCAGTGAAGGAGACGTTTCCGACCCCATAAAGTATATATATTCTTGATCAGCATCACAAGACGAGTCGATCTAGCCATGTCCGTCTGTCCGTCTGTCCTTCTGTCCGTCTGTCCGTCTGTCTGTTTCTACGCAAACTAGTCTCTCAGTTTTTGAGCTATCGGGATAAAACTTTCCCAAAAGTCTTCTTTCTATTGCAGGCAGCATATATGTCGGAACCGACCGGATCGGACATCTATATCTTATAGCTCCCATAGGAACGATCGGAAAAAAAAACGTTAAAAAATTCTAGCTTTGGTGTTTTTTCAAGTATTACCTTCTACTCTTGGGAATATTATTTTTTATATATTTCTGAATTTCGAATTAAATATTTTAAAAATGGGATCACTATATTATATAGCTGCCATAGGAACGGTCGAAAAATTAAATGGAAATTAATAGGAAAACAAATTATATCTTTGTTGATTTTCATTACATTCTCTCCTACTCTGGGGTATGTCTATTTTTAAATATTTCCGAATTTCGATTTTAATTTTAAAAAGATCGAACAACTATATCATATAGCTGCCATAGAAACGATCGAAAAATTAATGTAAAATAATAGGAAATTTAACATTCTTGCGATTTGTAAATTAATAGGAACAATCTGCAAGGGTATATAAGGTTCGGCTGGCCGAAGCTAGCTTTCTTTCTTGTCTTATATATGTTTGAATATTCCTATGGGAGCCTTAAGATATAGTGGTCCGATCCGGCTCGCTCCGACATATGTACTACCTGCAATAGAAAGAAGACTTTCGGGAAAGTTTCATCGCGATAGCTTTAAAACTGAGAGACTAGTTCGCATAGAAACGGACAGACAGACAGACGGACATGGCTATATAGACTCGGCTATTGGTGCTGATCAAGAATATATATACTTTATTTGGTCGGAAACGTCTCCTTCACTGCGTTGCAAACATCTGACTGAAATTATAATACCCTCTACAAGGGTATAAAAATAGTTATTCCAAAATTAAAGTATTTCGTTGTATTTAAAATATGCAACATATAATATGTTTGGAAAAATGTAATGTAATGTATTATGATGAAAAATAATCATATTCTTCCTATTCAAAATTATTTACCTTTAAAATTTGTAATTAAATTTGTATTTTTCTTTTTATAATTTAAGTTTACACGTAATTATTTTTCATTGCAGACGACACAAATATTCACAGTCCTTCAAAGTTTGTTCGATGAGTTTGAGGAACTTAGAGTAAGAAAACAGGAGGCGACCTTTGGCCTTATTGGTGGGCTCGCGTTTTGTTCCATATTCTTTTGCACTAACGTAAGTTCTTAAAATATCTCAAAAAAAAAAAATGAAATAAAATAAAATAAATTCACTAATAGACAATTTTCCAAACTTAATCAAATTCCTTTTCTATATATTCCAGCATGGTATTGCTTTCTTTAGTACTTTCTTGGCTGATGCTATTTTCCATCACAATTTTCTGCATTTATTGCTTCTCTTGGTGGTTTTGTGGATCTACGGGCGAGAACGCTTCCAGCAAGATATTGAGTTTATGTTGGGTCAGCCGTTTGCCTTCTGGAAGATTTTTATACTCCGCTTCATAGCACCAATTTGTTTTGTGATTTGTCTGGTTTGTTATGGAATAATCCGTTTTTTGAGTTTCGTAAAAGCTTTAAATTATACCTTTTTTGTAGCCGATTGGAATAGACTTGTCCCTTTTGAATCACACTTGGATCTCAGTAGAGTTGCACGTGATGTCCATTATAATGTTGGGGTTACCCCTTCTGGCAATACCTGGCTACGGATTGTACTACCTTTCCCAGAGCACTGGCGCCTTTTGGGACCGCTTAAGACGCTCCTGTCGTCCCACCGATTGGTATCCGGTTGAGATGGAGCACCGCCAGCAGTACGAGAAAGCTGGGGACGACACCGAGATGACCAACCAGCTTACGGAGGAACAGATCTAAGTGGTTCTACTACAAATAATAAAATTCTATAATTTATTACCCAATAATAAAAGTATATATATATATAAAATCTATTTAGAGCCCTCCACATCTGTTTCAGACATCATTCCCGGCATCTGGCGCTGCCTTCGGAAGGCCTCGTAGTCCGCCCGATCCTGCGGATCAGCTGGAGTCCAATCCAGGGGCTTGAGGCGCTTCTTAAGGCTCTCGCACAATGTGGCCCTCTTGCGGATCATGACGTAGAATATGTATAGCGGTATCCAAATAACAGACGACACAAAACTGGCCCATCCGATGATAACGGCCCACTGGGGATACGCCACGTTGTTGTAGGTGATGGTCCTCATGAACACGATGCTCGTAATGAGAATGAACTAAAGTCGGGAAAATATGAGCAATGAAAAGGGTTCAAATTAATAAAATGCTACTTACGATTAGAACTAGAGGAGTGACGATCTGCCAGACGATCCTCCAGTACAGACTTGGTCTTTTGCCGAGCATAAACTCGATATCCAGCATAAAGTTTTTAATGCCATAAATATAGGCCACCATGGTGATCTCCACCATACAAATAACAATTACGGCTATTGCCGAGGAGTACCAGTCAAACAGCTGGAGGATATACATGCCGCCCTAAAATAAAGTAAAGCTCACAATGTATACTATCGAAACTATCGATTGTTTTAAAATTGAGGAAACTTCGATAGTTTATGCACATTCTCGATAGCAAAAACTATAGATTTTATCCCAATTTCACATTACAGACAGTACTCACATTTGTGCACATTATGGAGGAGACCAAAAAAAAGAAGAGACAGCAAATGAGCGTCAGTTTCCATTTGTGCTTCCTTACCCAGGTCCACTCGTCTAAAATGGATGACATGATAGACTCCAGTTGTACAAACTTCGGATTGGCACAGGGTTAGTAGATACTTTGAAATATCTGCATATCTTGCAACTCACCACACTGTCGATGCCGAGCAGAAAGAGCATTAGGAAGAACATGAGGGCCCAGAGCTGCGGTATTGGCAGCAAGGCGATGGCCTCCGGATAGGTGACGAATGCAAGTCCTGCTCCACCAGTGGCCACCGTCTCCACGGGTATGCCCGACTTTTCTTTGGATTGACGGCATCTAAAGTTTTAGAACTATGCACTGTGCACAAAACAAGCTTACCCGAGAGGAAGCCCAGCACAGCAAAGACCACTAATCCCGCAAATATGCTGGTAAATACGTTAATCGACACTATGATTATCGTGTCGCACCTGGCATTATTCCGAAAATTGCTAAAACTGGCCATATTGACGATACCACCCCAGCCGGGTCCGATGCCGAAGAACATCTGGATGGCGGCATCGGCCCAGACTTTGAGGTCCAGCAGGCGATGCCATTCGGGATACAGGAAGAACTTTATGCCCATCCAAGCCCCAGGCAAGGTGACACCTCTCACGAACAGGATGAACAGCAGTAAGTAAGGAAAGGGAACCGTGAAGTACACCACCTTTCCCACCTACAATCGATGGATAACTAATGATGGAGTCTATCCTTAACCGAAAGACTTACAGATCTTATTCCGCGCATTAAACACAGGTAAACAATAATCCAGGTGATCAGCAGGCTCAGGAACTGTTCCCATATCATTCCGCCCAAATCTGAGATGTCGCTTGAGATTCTTAGCACTTCCAGGCTGCAAGAGATTTTAATAAATTATTCTTCCAAATATTTGATAAAACTATTTTTGAGTCAGGATATAAAAATACTTAACACAAACTTAATCATAATTTTTAGTACTTACTGAAAGAACTCGTCGGCGGCAGTTTTAAATCCCTCAGTATTATTATGCTTTCCAAACTGAGGAATCGAAAATATATAGTTACAATGATCATTTTTTGTGCAGTTTATTAGCTCACGTCATCGGGGTTCATGCAGACGTCGGTGTTCCAAGGGTTTTCACAGTCCTGCCAGGGAACCTTCTTAAAGAAGCAGTAGGAGATCATGCGGATGGGATACGATATGATCACCGAGTAGTAGCACACGCAGTAGGCATTCACCATCACCTGGGCGAATCCGGTTCCCTTTAACAGGGGCGTCATGCGGAACATGCCCGTGCATCCTGTGCTCGAAAACTGACCGATCAGAAGTTCCATATAGAACAGTGGTATGCCAGCCACGATTACCATCAGCAGATATGGGATCAGAAAGGCGGCTGAAAACGGAGAGTATATACAATAAGTGTTGAATAGACTTAGTTTATTCATATTACAACATTATAAATTTAAAAATTGTTAAAAAATTAGAATTAAAACAAATAGCAAAATAGCAATAGCAAATTATTTTAAGTCTACAAAATTGTTTAATTTTTTTTTTTAAAAACACTGTTATACTATTTAGTGGCTAACTAATATTCGGATAATTAACATACTGAAAAATCGGCCAAACATAAAACGGCAATAAAAAATCTTTAAAAACTATTTCATAAAAAAAAAAAAAATGAAGTTCCCAAAAATAAGTATCCTTCGAGCCGGATTTGAACCAGCGACCTATGGATTTCAACATATCGCGATTCAGTAACTGATGATACAAGAGCAGGCGCTATCTGGGCCATGGTATTGTTTAGCCCAGAGTCCTGCCACTGCTCGCATCACCAAGCCTCGGAAACTCTACAGTCCACCGCTCTACCAACTGAGCTATCGAAGGCGTCGCCGTTCGCTGGGCCAAATGGCCATTATAAGTGCCGGAGCTTTGCCAGCTTTCACTCGAAAGCTGAGGCCTAAAAATAACCACTGCCATTGAGTGCAGCACTCTCGTTCGCTGACGTCACTGTGCTGTGTGTTGCGCTATTTTTGGAGCGGCAAGAGCTTGAGCTCACTCATCGAATCGCCAGATGGTGGGTGGTTGGGTGGTTGAGTGGGTGGCCAGATGACTTACCGCCGCCACTGCGGTAGCAGAGATAGGGAAAACGCCAAACGTTGCTTATGCCAATGGCATAGCCCAGCAGCGAGAGGATGAACTCCGACTTGGACTTCCACTGGCCGCGATTTTCGTCCCGCTCGATGCGCTTCTCCTTCCGCGGGGCCATCGTCGTCGGGGGCTGTTGATTGGCCATTGTCACTCAAGGCTGCACTCGGAATTTAACATACTTCACAAATACAAATTGTGTATCGAGTATAAACGTATCTATTTTTACACTATTTATTTGAAGCTGTCAAAATAAAAATGGCAAGTGATTGAGTGCTATGTGTGTCTAGGTCAAAGAAATGTCTGAATATATTCGAAAGCAACAGTGCGTATGAGTGATTTCTTGGCACCTTGCCTTTGTCTTTGGTCAATAAGGAAATTCCAGATATTTTAATGAGCGTAGCCTATTTTTTAAAAAATATTTGTATTTATATCGTAGCTCTATTTTGTTCTTTAGTGATTTTTTTACTTAATCCATCAATATTCCACTCCAAACATCATTTTTAGGTTTTAGTAAAAGTTATAACATTTTATTGGCAACACTTTAGCATCGTTAGATGTACTTAGATCAGGTTTAGTTCACGGCATACATTAGGCTAGCTTAGGGACTATGTGAGTGGGTTTGTTAAAGCTTCGATTTCCTTGTTGGTTCCACATTCCGTGGCAATAACAACATCGTCTAACAGCTGAGGCTCTTCAAGAGGACCAACAGAGCCGCGACTACCGATAAAAGTGGAATGGCTTTGAGCTCCGGACTTGAACCGCGACCTGCTATCGCCGTGTAGTCATCAGGTCGCTTGGACTCGCGTTTCTCGGCCTTTTCGCAGAGGTCACCGCAATTGGCGTGCTCGCAAATGTCGCAGATATTGGACTTGGGCGCCCTGTAAAACTGCCTGGCACGACGAGCTGGAAGTTTAGGAAAAGTGTATACATTTATTACAAGTATATTACGAGTATTAAAGTTAATTCCTCCTACCGCTATCATAGTAGTCATACATGACCACGGCCACTGGTCGATGTTTGGTGACCTTGACCGTCTTGTAGGCGTGCAGCGTGGGACAGACCTCCCTCCTGTCCAGGTAATCAAAGTAGATAACCACCTTGGTGTTCCTGTTCTGGGTCTCCACCTTCTTGATGCGCTCACTCGATTCCAAGGTGGGCAGTGTGTCCCGGTCCACGACAAAGCCACTGGGCAGTTGCACCTCCATCACGGCCATATTGGAGCGCTGCTCATCCTCTCCTGCCACCGAAACGAAACTCGCACAGGCCGACAGATGGAGGTAGTCCGCATGGGAGTTCCGATTCACGGTGGGATCGAGCACAAAACGCGGCCAAGCACTGGTCACATTCGTGTTATAGGTATAGCTAACTTGGGCAAAGGCCAGGCCAGCACCAGTAGCCGAAACGCTAAGGTTTTTCAGATTATTGGGTAGCTATTTCAGAAAGGTAAAATAAATAATAAATATTAGATATATTAGAAATATATCCCTTAGCTCACCTCCACCGATTGCAGGGCCAGTGCGTTTTCAGCATTCACATTTATGATCGTTTCGGCGCCTTCTCCGTAATGAAAACCGATTTGATAGTTAGTTTCCTTACTCGAAAAGCGTTCGGCAAACATGAAGAGCGCCTGGAGGCCCACTACCGTATCCTGGGAGGCCACAAAGCCTCCCCTGGAATTCCGCTGATCCATAAGCCATTCCAGAACGGGCAAAGCATCGCGCACCAAGTTGTTTTCCATTAGAGCCAATGCTGCATAGGCGGAGATCTCGATGTTCACACTACGGGTGGCATTGTACCAGGGTGACTGCTGTTCACCAGCTGGAGCCGTCTTATTCCACCACTTGCGACCATCTGGAAAAAAGGTATTTTGATAGGATTATTTTAAAAATAAATCAATAATAATCTCACCCTTGTTGGTAGCCATCGAGTCCAATCGCTGAAGGAAAGCCGCCTTGGCATTGTGATTGGCTCGAGAGAGCACATAGGTGCCTATGGCCATGGCATGAAGATTATTGGATCCATCCAAGCCCCTAGTGATAAAGTCCAGGGCTTTGTTGATGTTGTTTCGGTACTCCGGATAGAGATCCTAGAAAATATTCATATTAAATCTTGATTTATGGTTGTAAACCCTGAACACCTACGACATTTTCCATCAAAGCCAAGGTCACAAAGGCAGTCAGACTGATCCCATCGTCGCCGAACCGCTCAAGGACATCGCCACGCTCCTCAAAGCCACCATTTGCCGACTGAACACTTCCCAGATATGAGAGTGCCTTCTGCAGAATATTCCCATCCACTTGGGTGAAGGGAGCCGCCTGTCGCAGAGATCGAGCCACATAGGCCGTCAACCAGGTGGAACTGCGCTTGGCATCCAAGCCAAAGGCACTGAAAGCGCCATTCTCATGGCGATAATAAAGAATTCTTTGATAGCCCACTGCCAGATTATTTGTGGCACGCAGCTCCACTTCGGGTGTGAGTTGCCGAAGGCGCTGTAATAATAATTTTAAATTATAAAATAGTAATCAATTTACTAACATTTACTTACCCCCAAGTAACTAAGAACCATCAGGTTGGGCACAAAGTTAACCATGGTCTGTTCACCGCAGCCCGTTGGCAGCAGGATCAGGTTATCCAGATTGCCCACTATGCTGCCAATCAGATCGCCAACGGCCGATACTTCGATTCGTGTGGATTCGGGAATGGCATTTCGTGGCACAGCAATGGTAACATTCCTCCTATTCCTCTCTGAGTTCTGATGAAGCAAGAAACCCTTGTTGACCCGCTCCGTGGCTCCAGGATGCTCCACCAGAAGATTTTGCTCCACTGTATCGCCAGCCTGGGAGGAGGCGGCCATTGCCTTGACCAAAAGGGAACCCACTCGCTTGGGAGTCACGATAAAGGATATCGAGCGGGCGGATCTGGCTGGAACCTTCAAGGATCTACGCCTGTAGAGCTCAATTTCTACAGAGAATTAAAAAAAATATGATAAAAATTCTTTGATTATTAGAAAGAACTCACTTGGTTGATTAGTGGCCTTGGGATCTATCTGGGGGAAATCGAAGTCTAGAGCTGAGTTGTAAAAAGTAACCTCCACGCTTAAATCGCTATCCCTGTTGTTGTGCACCACAAATGGAAGGGCGATGAGTTCATCTGGGAATATAAATTATATTTATTATATACCTATAAGTAATGGGCTCCAAGTGACTTACCCCTTCTGATGGAATAAGGAAGCTCCGTGGTTATGTAGAATTCTTTGTAGGCCTCCATTTTGCCATTTGCCGGCGATAATCCCAGACCATTAACAGGATCCAGAGAAAAGCCTGAAACTACCCAGGAGGTCATCTCACTGGGAATCCTCCGGTGGATAAAGTTCCTTCCATCGCTGCCAGCGGAGATGTTCAAGAAAAGCCACGTATCCGCCGGCTCGCGCATCACATGGATCCTTGGATTGTGCCAGAAAGGCTTGGGTGTGTAGGAGAAGGCATATCGTCCTTTGCCAGGAGGCAGGGTGTTAACCTCGATCTTGTGGGCTGGTCCAATGTCTGTTTTTCGCACAGTTGTCAGCTTGTCCTCCTCGGGCCCAGTGGATGCATCTCGACCCAAGGCCGGACTGCTCTCAGCCTCCTTTTCGACAAAGTAGTCCGTATTGGACATGGTTATCACACCGGATTCTTTGCCAGGCGATCCCGTCGGGGTGTTGACATCGCTTAGTTCGTATGAACGCAGGGCATCCATCAGTCGTTTGTGGGTTAAATCGTGACCACTCCTCAAAGCATTCGCATTTTGATCCACTAGCATGAGACCCACATAGGAGTAGGGCTTGGTGCTAATACCTATATCTATATCTTGGCCGGGAGGTGCTCTGATTGGAGCCTCAATTTGTACCTAAGCGAAATGGTATGGAATTAAAATGAAATAGTAGTAATTTAAATAGCAAAACTCTTACCGCATTTAGCAGATTTTCCTCAAACTGTATGACCTGCTCATCGTAAACAAACTCGCCATTTATCACCGTATAAACGAGCAGCTTAGCCCTCGGCATCATGGCAAATGGTGCCAGGAATTTGATGGTGTGGAAAGTGCCAGCGGTCACCTAAGCAAAAATATTAAACAAGTATAAAAAAATTAATTTTAAAAAAATATAAATAACTTTTAAACTTACATCCACACTGCGAGAAAGAATTATATCGCCACGTCCGACCACTTGATACATGAAATATTTAATTGGCTCAAAAGAGCGCACCACCACAGATATTTCCTGATTTACAGTGGGTCTAAAAATATTTAATTTATTTTATATTCATATCAAATCACTTCGGTATTCCCACTCACCTATCGTTCAGCACTTTGGCAGTAATATAGTTTTTGGTGTGCAGATGCTTTCGCGGTATCTTTCCCACCTCACTAATCACACCCTGGTAGTCGACAATAATGGAATGAAATTCATCTTGATCTCCAGTGGGAACCGTGAACTTCATCTTTATTTCGCCGCTGGCATCCAAGCTGTAGACAGTGCGGTTGTATATCTCACTGCTGCCATAAACATTTGTCAAATAGGCGGTGATCGATGGATTGAAGTCCCTCAATTGAGCGTCATCATTGCGAGCTATACGAGCCTTGAAAATATTTAAATTAAAGTAATTAAAAAGGGGTTAAAATAAAGTTTTTCTTAACCACTCACTGTTGCTTCGAAAGGCACTCCGGGAATATAGTAACTGGGCACTTTGACAGTCTCCACGCGATAGTGATTCAGGTGCAACGTCAAAACTGTTGAATAGTTTTGCACTGAACCCGTGGACTTCTCCTCAACCAGGGCATCCAAAAGATACTGCCTCTCATAATCCTGCTTCAGATGAAGCTCATTCTCGATGTCAAACTCAAAGTAGGCATTGCCATCGATGGGGACAACTTTTCGGGTGATGAGATCATTAACAAAAGGTTGCAGCGAGCCAAAGAAAGTGGGATATATGGACAGGGTGGCCTCACCCACAATTGGCTGACCAAATGCATAACTAGTGAAAGAAAATAGATGATTATCATATACGGTTTTAATGGGCAAATATAATACTTACTGGGCCCTCACAGTGGCTGATATTTTGCCATCCTTATAAATAGCATGCTTGGGAGTATCTATATCTACCACGAATTTGGGAAGGATATGATCGAGTATCTCGAAGGTCTGTGTATGGGTTATTTCCGCTACTTCCACCACAATAGACCAGGTCCCAAAACGAGGATAGTCCGACAATCGAAGTTCATTCGAGTAAATCGAGTTGGTCAGCCGAATGTCCTTGTAGCTCCGTATAATATTATCACCCGAATCCTTGATATCCACATGGACACGTCCATAGCCGCGAGCGGGTTTCAGATTAGCATCCAAAATGAGCACTCGATAGTGGACCAGATCGCCCGGCTTGTAGATACTTTTGTCCGTCTGAACCAAAACCGTATGTTGTTTGGACTCGTAGTGCAGCTGGGTCTCGTTGGTAAACTGAACTCCGCCCAGACCTTCAGAGGTCAGACGATATCTGTCAGCTTTTAGGGCGGGAATCTAATGTTGATTTTAGATTAAAAGGATGACTGGAGGATGATTTTATAAACACCCACCTCAAAGTGCAGTAATTGTGTGGAGAAGGGTCGCAACTCCACGGTCTTAAAGTCCGTGTAAGCGCTTCCCAGGATCCCCACCTTGAATGTGGCCGATTCAGGGGCATTGTGTAGGCTTACGGCCACATGAAATTGCGAGTTCGGACGCAACGTATTCGGGGCAATAATGGAATAGAGCCTGTATTAATTATATGAATATCAAAAAATTACATTTTGAAATAAAATTATAAATATTGTGGTAAGAACTAGATGGGTAGGTTGAAACATATTCTGTTGTAGAATCTCAAGCTACATCTTTTATTTTTACATAGTTGACATTAAATCCTATTTCCCAAATTTTAATAATTCAATTTGTATCTTTCTTACATCTTAAATATTTGTAACTGTTTTCTTTAAAACTATAAAGCTTCATTAAATGTTCCCCTACTTTCGGTAACTCTCATTTTCCAACTACTCAAAACCAAAATATTCCCCACCATACGACCGCCGTAGAAAAGCAAACAAAAAGAGCTTGAGATTTAATGTTCGTAGATAAGTGGATTACACCTATGCTGCCCTGCTATCTGAATCTTTTCTTCGCTATTCATTCACGCGTCTAACGGAAGACAATACCCCAGCCCGAAAGAGGGTATTGTACTTTAACTCCCCGGTCGGGTCAGCATCAATTGCTGCGGTGCGGCATTTGTCGGAAATGGTTGGATGTGGTTGATGGCTCGGGGTCGGGGTTGTGGGAAGCACGGCAGAGTGGCTCGAGCTATAACTATTTTAGTGTGGTTTTCTTTTGTCCCTTCCTCGAAATGCAGAATTTGAAAGATTTTAAATCAGCGGAGCCAAACAATTGCAGAGCTGATAATTAAAGATTTTGGGTTTTATTTAAATATGCTTTTGTTTTGTAATGTTCATTTTGAGCTACCTTATTACTAACAAGGGTAAGATCAGCATTTATAATTATCATCTTATTATTATTCAACTGGAATATTTATAGAGGATTGAAAGATAGATATGAATGTTCAATATTCGAGATTTTGTTTAGAGTTTGAAAATATATTCCCAACAGTTACCTAATACCTTTATTTGTGTTAGGTAATGTGAAAACTTCCACTTTTTGTCAGCACCAAAAGCTCTCCTAAAAGACAATTCATAAAAACAATGTTGCCCAAGCCATGTTAGTTATTTAATTTGGCATTTCCACTTAGTACTACTTATACCCGTCTGTAGCTCCCTTTGGTAGTAAGTTTCGGGCTGTTCATTTAAATGGTAGCCAAATTATAAAATTTATGAAGTGCTCCCTAACTGTGCCAGCTTTTGGCGTAATTCACAGTTTGCCGCCTGTTCTAATTCCAATTGGTGTGGCGGCTCTAACCTGTTCCCACCAAAAATTTTCTTTTGTGTTTATATCACGTTTGTTAGCCTAAAAAATCAGGTTCCCCTGGTGGTCGGTCGGTCTCGCAAAACGGTTTTCAGCCAGCAGGTAAATGGCAAAAACAATTTCGCTTTTGCTCAAATTGGCCGCAAAATGCAGGCTTCGAGTTACCAGTTGCAGTCGCGATGTTCCGCCTGATTGATTCTGCCAAGGGGTGTTAAACGATTGTAACCAGGTGAATTTCATTCCCGATCCGGGTTCAATTGATTGAAATTCACCCACATGAGCTGGCGAAATCTGGAAGCCTTGAATGAGTGCCCCATATATGGTGGCAGACTGAACTCGAGCCAACTCAATGACAGATCATGAATATGAGAAGAAAGAGGTGGAAAGCACCAGAAGTAGACGCCTCCAGTGGAACTGCCATTGCTCGATCAATCACAGTTCTTGCTGGACCTCTACATACAAACATAGCTGAATAAATTCGCAAAGTGATTATAAGATCGCCGATACTGGTCAACTCTCAAGGTGAGCCATCGGAAATGAGTACACAAGTAGCAATCCAAGTTTATGTGTCACCTAAAAACAAGCACCATCAGGGTGAATCGAGACGTTAAGACAGTGATTCCGTTTAAGATGTAATTAATACTTTTGAGAAATTGAGAAACTGGTTCTCAAACTGTTGTATTAATATTTATGAAATGTTTATAAATGTAAGATGACTTAAGTATACTGGAAGATCTCAAACATTATTATTATACCAAATATTATAATATATTTTTCTAAGTACAAATAATATTGAATAATACTACAAAAAGTTCCTGAATTATTTGGTTTTTCTATCGAGATGCATCTCCTTTTTAGCATCTCCCAACCTTGCGTCACCCTAACCAGTTAAATGCGCGTAGGCTGTTTGAAATTCGCCTCCAAAAATCGCGTTGGCTTCGGGTTATTTCATCTCCCGACTCGTTTCGGTCTTGTCAGCTTATTATGACAGTAATAAAACCCAGGGCTAATTTCTTGATTACATGTTGTTAATTACAGATCTGCGTGGCGGCAGCGTTCCCGAAATTCTCAGTGATCTCTTGAGTTCGTCGTCTAAGTCATTTGTTTCCCCAACTTCATCTGGAGTGGAGTGATGTCATGGCGCGGAATTTAAATATGTTTCCATTTTTCGTTTGCTTTTTCAATGTGTCACCTGTGGAGGTGATGTATCTGGGCTATACTAACCCCTGAGCCGATGTTTGGTAGAATAAACAAGCGGTGACTAAGATCAGCACTGAAATAGATCCCATTTCCGCTGCCTGGAGGCGCATTTTTATACTTTTCTTTGAATCACGTTAGCAAAATTAAGTGTAAACACGTTTTCTCGATTGTCGAATTGTGTATTGGCATCACATATTAAAACAAAAACCAAGTCGAACTTTATTGCCGTGGGCAGGCGCTTTGCTCCTTCTCCCTCGCACTCTCACTGGCGATATGTATCGCCCTCTCACTCGCGATTGCAGCAGCACCAAAAGCACCGCAGATTGCCCAAGACGAAGTGCGCGTTTTTGGAGCGACTTTACTCGCTTTGGCTTTTACGCGATTTTCAACTTTGCCGCGGAACGGAACGCTCGCGATCACCTGTTGTCCGCTTGAAAGCTCACTGCCAACTGACTTCTCAAGTCGCCGATCGCTCTTGCAATGTTTAAATTCTCACAGTAGTTTGGTTGGCGCAACAAGCTCAAAAAATAAAAACAAACAAGGGAAGCTTATTTCATCAAACCGCAGTTTTTATACCCTTCCAGTTAAAATAAGGTAAACCATAAGTCATAATAACTTCAATTAAGGATTTTTTTAAATACAACATTATTTATATTGATCATTAATTTGTAATGAAATTTAAATTTTATTATTAATTTTTCCATAACATCTAAAATTTTGATTTTTTAATTTTTATTGAATTATAACTTAAAATACGAAAAATTTACAAAAAAAGTAGGAACGCTTTAAAGCTCTTCGCGGTGTGGGTTTCGTTCACTGCTAAGTTTTGACCCTAACCAAACATAAATACTGGTATTCAGGTTTTAGTACACATGCCGTGAGCGTAGGTTAATAGTAATTTAATTTAAAATCCAGAAACGTTTCCTTTCAAATTGTATTGTCAAGACCTAGAATTGTTATTGCACTTATTGGACTAGTTTTAAATGTATTTTTTCATAAAAATATATTTTTATTATGGGTTTAAATCATCTTGTACATTTGAAACTCTATCACTTCTTAGTTCACCTCCTCGGTAACTTCGAAAAGCTGGTGCGTCATCTCAGTGTTTCCAACGGCTACCTCGTACTGCTGGCGGTGCTCCATCTCAAGCGGATACCAATCAGTGGGGCGGCAGGCGCGTTTAAAGCGATCACAAAAGGTTCCAGTGCTCTGGAAAAGGTAGTAAAATCCGTAGCCAGGTATTGCCAGAATGGGTAACCACACCAACAGAATTGACAGCACAAAGACCACCACTGAGAAGTGAAAGTGTTCCGCTAAGAACACAACTATTCCTATCAGCTATAAGGGAAAAAATGTTAGCTTATAAAAACAACAATAAGTGTGAGTCCATAACAAACCAGACTAATCACCAAAAAGATGGGAGCTATAAAGCGGAGTATAAAAATCTTCCATGAAGCAAACGGCTGACCCAACATAAACTCTATATCCCGCTGGAAGCGTTCTCGGCCGTAGATCCACAAAACCACCAGTATAAGAAGTAAATGAAGAAGGCTGTGTGAGAAAATGCTATCGCAACCAATGGCAAAAAAGAAGGAAATTCCGTGCTAAAAAATTTTGAATACGAATTAGTACAATTTTTTAACGAATATTTTATGTACTCACGTTCGTGCAAAAGAAAAACGAACATAATGCAAGACCTCCAATAAGGCCAAAGGTGACATCCCGCTTCCTCTCTCTAAGTTTTTCAAACTCGTCAAACAAACTTTGCAGAAGAGTGAAAATTTGCGTCGACTGGAAAATTAAAAGTGCAGGTGAGTTGTTTAAAAACGTTTTAAACAAGAAAGGAAGCTAGCTTCGGCCAGCCGAAGCTTATATACCCTTGCAGATCATTCCTATTAATTAACAAATCGCAAAAATGTTAATTTTCTAATATTTCTCATTAATTTTCCGATCGTTCCTATGGCAGCTATATGATATAGTCGTCCGATTTTGATCAAATTAAAATTGAAATTCGGAAATATTTAAAAAGAGTCATATCCTAGAGTAGAAGATAATACAGTAAAAATCAAAGAAGCTAGAATTTATTTCCTATTACTTTTCCATTAATTTTCCGATCGTTCCTATGGCAGCTATATGATATAGTAGTCCGATTTTTTAAATAATTAATTCGAAATTCAGAAATATTTAAAAAATAACATCCCCAAAAGTAGAAGGTAATATTTCAAAAAACACCGAAGCTAGAATTTTTTAAAGTTTTTTTCTTCCGATCCTTCCTATGGGAGCTATAAGATATAGTTGTCCGATCCGGTCGGCTCCGACATATATACTACCTGCAATGGAAAGAAGACTTTTGCGAAAGTTTCGTCCCGATAGCTCAAAAACTGAGAGACTAGTTTGCGTAGAAACAGACAGACGGACAGACGGACAGACGGACAGACGGACAGACAGACAGACGGACAGACGGACAGACGGACATGGCTAGATCGACTCGTCTTGTGATGCTGATCAAGAATATATATACTTTATGGGGTCGGAAACGTCTCCTTCACTGCGTTGCAAACTTCTGACTGAAATCATAATACCCTCTGCAAGGGTATAAAAATTAAAATAGAAATATATTAAGTGTGCTCACCATCACAATAAGAGCAGCCATTAATAACATAGTATAGTAAATAAAAGTCCACATGTTTGCCCAACCCATTGTTGATATGACACTAGCACTGGACAAATACAACAGCCAATCCTTATGCACATAAGTGGAAGCATCCGCAAGTTCTAAAAAATGCAATATTAGTCATTATATTGGTATTGAAAAGCTATAGAGACTAATTACCTTTGAAGTAGTGATCCAGCATAAAGGAGACCAAGCCAAACATTATGTAAATGAAGACCTGTCCAAAGGAAATAATCCAACTGTACGACATTATGTTGGTCCTGAACCCATTAAAACTGGAGAGGGCTATCGCGCTTCCCCAGCCAGCTCCAAACGCGTGAAGAACCATGATGAATGTCGAGCCACTTCCCATAGCCAAATGTTCTAATTTTGGAGTCATGTATCTGTTCAGACCATTAAGTGCTCCTGGGAGAAACAGAAAGCGCCCGAAGCATACTAAGAGAAGAGCCAGGGTTCCAATTACCATGTAGCGTATAAATTTTCCAAACTGTGCCGTGTCCGGAAATTTATAAAAAATAAATGCGATCATTGTCCAAACCAGAGCGAAGAAACCCACGAAATGCCAGGATAGCTCATAGTCCTCATCTGGATATCCAATCTCTTTACTTTCAAAGTGGTTTCTGTAAAAATAAGAAAATCGTTTATAAATATATACCTAAGTATTTTATATTTTGAAACTTGGATCAAACTGAGATTTATCAATTCTCTTCAGTAAAAAGTGTGTGTAAGCCGTTTAAATACTTACTCAAAATAAAGAGCGGAAGGAACGTGAGCTACAGATCCAAAATAGCTTGTTTCGTTGTCGTATTCATTAAATACCTCTGTCATATTACATATCTTAAAGAATCCAGAACACATTATTATTATTTTTACTCAATATTTGTACAACAGTTTCGTACGGTCGTTTGCCAAGAAGATTCATTGAACCAAGATTTCATCCCCTCACAGCTCCAAGGTAAAGTGGGTCGTAAAGAGTTCACCATAAACATAAGCGGAATGGCAGCAAAAATGCTGTAGTAAATGAGCATGGAGATGGTCAGGAAACCGCTAACATATCCCATGCCTAAAAATCAAATATTAATTAAAATACTTTAATACAAAGGTTAAGCTTACCTTTAAAAAAGGGAGAAATGCGAAAGGCGGAGATAAAGCCACTGCTGGAGAACTGGCCCATGAAGGAGTGAATGACCATGATTGGAACCAAATAAATCACCATATAGACAAAGTACGGTAATATTCCAAGTACTAAAACAGGCAAATTTAATATTTAAAATCGATAATGAGTCAGGTAGACAGAAGCGCAACGCCCCTTAAAAGATTAGCCTAAGTCACAAGCTTATCAACATTTCTATTACTTACTGCCCAGTTCGAAGAAGAACCAATACGAGGCTGCAAACACATCAAGCTTCAAAGCTAATCCAAAGCAGGCAAATATATAGTCCGTAGGTTTGTCCCATTTCCCTCGATTTAGATCGGGAGAAAAGGGTTTTAGCCCAGTGCCATACGATGTTTCATACACCATCTTGCGACGAAAATATCAGACCACAGAAGTTGTGATAGATTTCAAAAATGCTTTCTATGTATAATATAAACCCCCGATCCGATTTTGCATGCCGATAGAAATAAATATTATAGAGCGAATGATCCGCGAGCGTTTTCACTTTAAATTGTCGGACTAATTAGTAGAACCGATGCCGGCGAACTGAATCCGATTCTGACGGCAGGCCGCTGTTTAGCTCATCCCGCTGTACTCAGATGTTTATGCCCTATCGCAGGCTACAGTCAAATGGAGAGTAAGATGGATGCAATGCTTTTTGCATTTTGTTCAGTTTTTATTTTTATTAGAAAATAAATACTCCAATCAAAAATCATTTAATAAATACAAACTCAAATTTATTTAAGATAAACATTTTTCGGTATGATAATATACATTTTGTTAGGGTATTTGCATTTGTCTTCTCTGCGTGTTTTTTGTTTTAAATGTGCATTATCAGAGCTCTTATATCTGCGTCTGTCTCACTTGTGCTCGCTTATCGTCGCACATTGCCAAGTTCATTTCGATGCTGGAACTGGAAACTGATATTTTGTGCTCCGAAAATGGGCAGACAAACAGCCGCAATGTCATCAAAGCCCGGGAAAAACTCAGTGAGCAATGCAAAATCAAGTAAATATGTTTACGCTCTTGCTGTAATTTTAATTATTACGTGTTCAAATCACTGATACTTTCTTCTCAACAAGGCGTTGATGCTGTATATTAATAAATGAATCAAGTAGTAATAAATATTTTAAAGAGCTATTATCAATTTGTTCATTTTTTTTGCGATGCTATTAAAACTAACGATTAGACAAATTACATATGATAACCTCGGCGGACTTTTTAGGCTATTATAAGTGGTTTTAAAAATTAATATATTTATTTGAAAAGTGATTATATTTTTATTATGGTATTTATAAAGATGGGTCGAAATTCGTCATTTAAAATCGTTAGAGCAATAATCCTTAAATATTATGATATAGAAAACTTAAGCTACTATTTCTCAGAGTCCAACCGTAGAAAGGCATTTTGTGCTATAATTTAAAGTTTATTTTTTTTATAGTTTGTCCACTTCTGATACTTTTTATCAAATCTATATTGAAATTACTCAATCATTTGTAATGAAACTAAACTAGTTTATATCATCGGTAACCTCGACAAGCTGGTGGGTTTCAATGTTTCCTACAGCTTCCTCGTACTGCTGGCGATGATTCAAGTCCACCGGATACCAATCTGTGGGTCGACAGGTGCGTCTCAAGCGATCCCAAACGGTTCCAGTGCTCTGGGCAAGACAGTAAATTCCGTAGCCAGGTATTGCCAGAATGGGCAACCACACCAGTATAATGGACATCAAGTAGACCCCGGCAGAGGTGAAAGAGTCTTGTGATAAGGCCAAATCTATCTCTGATGGCTAGTAAGAAAAATAATATATTAACCCCTTTAAAAACCTATTTAAACCAATTTATCTAAGTCCGTTACAAACCAGACAATACACAAAATAAATTGGAGCTATAAAGCGAAGTATATAAATCTTCCAGGAGGCAAACGTCTGTCCCAACATAAACAGAATATCCCGCTGTAATCGTTCTGCACCGTAAATCCACAAAACCACCAAAAGAAGCAATAAATGAAGGAAAATGGTTTTAGAATAGAAAGCACAAAAGAAGGAAATACCATGCTAAAAAAAAAGAAAAACAATTTGATAACAATTAAAAAATAGTCAAAAAGAAAAATTGTGTGACTTTGCTGCTTAGGAAATTCTAAGTTCCTACTTACATTTGAGCAAAAGAAAACGGAACATACTGAAAGGCCACCAATTAGGCTGAAGGTTACCTCCTGTTTTCTCACTCTAAGTTCCTCAAATTCATCAAACAAACTTTGAAGGACTGTGAATATTTGCGTCGTCTGCAATGGAAAATATGAAGGTTAAACTATATCAAAATATGTATTCGAATACATATACTTACTATCGAAATAAGAGCCGCCATTAATAACGTAGTATAGTAAATAAAAGTCCACAAGTTTGGCCAACCCAATGAAGACAAAGCACTGGCGCTGGACAAAGTCATCCCCCAAAGGTTCAGTATGTTAGTTTTATCAGCGTCTTCAGTAAGGTCTTAAATTATAAATGTTAGGTAAAGCTTACGAAAAATTAGCTGATTACCTTTGAAGTATTGTTCCAGCATAAAAGAAATTAAGCTAAACAGAATGAAAATAAAGGTTTGTCCGAAGCAAATAATCCAGCTGTACGACATAATGTTGGTCTTGAATCCATTAAAACTGGACAGGGCTATCACACTTCCCCAGCCAGCTCCAAACACCCTTAAAGAAATGCCAAATATTATTTCAGCATCCGACGACCAGTACCTTGGTTTTGGAGCTATATATTTTCCTAGCCACGAAAGAGCTCCTGGGAGAAATAGAAAACGCACGAAGCACACTAAAAGAAGAACCAGTGTCACAACGACCATGTACCGAATGAATTTTCCAAATTTTGCCGTCTCCGAGAATTCATAAAAAATAAGTGCAACCATTGCCCAAACTATAGCGAAGAGGCCAACAAAATGCCAGGATAGCTCATAGTCTTCATTAAGGTCCGGAAATCCTTTCTCTAGCATAATGTCATAGTGACTGCTGCAAAATCAAAAAATAAAATTGTAAATGCCTTAAATTAATAAAAATAAAACGATTTGGTCATATGCCACGACTATCAGATACATGTTTCTCCGTTGACCAAATTTAACATAAATATGCCTCTATTTGAAAATGGATGTGGATACCTAGTGGTGGGCACTAACTCTACGTGTAACAGATAAATTGACTAGTTAAATATCTCTTATTTTAAGACTTTTTTGTTTCATAACAGCTCTATACATTTTTTTAACAACTAACTTTAAAAATTAATCTAAAATACAAATAAGTTTATCTCTAAAACGACTTAGAGGTTAAAAATTTACACGCCCCTATATGGAAACCTATTTTTTTTTCTAAACAATCTAAAATAATTACCAAGGCAACCTCTTAAAAAAACGGGTTCTACCTACGAGTATCAGTATCCTCTTCCAACAAAACAAATTTAAATAAAATTATTCAATAGTTATAAAATATCCTAAAAATTTTTTGATTGAATTAAAGAAAAATGTTATTGCCTAAAAAAGTAGTTAGAAAACTTTATTTTGCGTTATGGACATTTCTATCTCTCTCAATTTTGAAAATGTTATAAAAATAATAATGCAAGAAATGTTAGAATTGCATACTTACTCAAAGTAGAGTAGGGAAGGTACATAAATTTCCCTCTTTTTTGTATTGTTTTGGAATTTAGAATCCTCCATATTGATTGTCTGGTTACAAATCTTAAAAAACCAAGAAAATGATACAAATTTTATACAAATTAATTTGTAATATTTTCCTACAGTTGATCGTCCATAGCTTTCGTTGTACCAAGATTTTAATCCTTCACAAGCCCACGGTAAAGTGGGCTTAAAACTATTTATAATGAACAAGAGCGGAATAGCAGCATAAATGCTATAGTAAGTGAGCATGGAGAGAGACAGAAAAACACTTAAGTATCCCATGCCTAAAATTAAAATTTCAATAAAATAGGTTAAGTATCTGAATTTCATTTGTAGGGACTTGCCTTTGAAAAAAGGAGACAGACGAAAAGCGGAGATAAATCCACTGCTTGAGAACTGCCCCATGAAGGAGTGGATGGCTATGACTGGAACCAAATATAGTACCATGCACAGAAAATACACCAATACTCCAAGAACTAAAAAATCAATTGTTTCATATTTTAACACTTTTGCCACACATTTTCATTACTTACTGCCCATATCCTTGTGTACATAATATGTGAAATCAAATGCATCCATCTTTAGACCTAATCCTAAGCAAGCAAATATATAGTCTGTAGATTTTTCCCATTTCCCTCGATTTAGATCTGGAGAAAAGCGTTTTTGTCCAATGCCATGAGAAGTTTCAAATACCATGTTGAATCGACAATATTAGTCAGCACGAAGATTGATTTTCAAATAGTATTTCTACTTAAATTAATTGGATCTTGTGTTCAGCGAACGATCTGCGAACGTTTTTCTTTAAATAGACTGACAAATTAGTAGAACTGATGCCGACAAACTGAATCTGAGCCCGACAATAGTTCGTTATTTAACTCGTCGCGCCGGACAGAGATGCTCAAACTACTTATTATATTTAGGGGTGTCATACAAATATTTTCTAACTAAATTCCATTGAAAAATTTTACCTATATTACTATATTAAATAAATATTATTAAATATTAAATTTATAAATATTTAATATAAAATCACGACATAAGTACCTAAAAGAAGGTCAAAATTAAAGTTTCATTAGGCAAAAATATTAAGTGATTTAAACTCAAATAGTGGGAAAAATGAGTTCATTAACATTTAAAATTGGCAATTTTTAATATTTTTGATCAAATCTACATTGAAATTATTCAATTATTTTTAATTATAACTAAACTAGTTTATATCCTCGGTAACCTCGACAAGCTGGTGGGTTTCAATGTTTCCTACAGCTTCCTCATACTGCTGGCGATGATTCAACTCCACCGGATACCAATCTGTGGGTCGACAGGTGCGTTTTAAGCGATCCCAAACGGTTCCAGTGCTCTGGGCAAGACAGTAAAATCCGTAGCCAGGTATTGCCAGAATGGGTAACCACACCAGTATAATAGTCGTCACGAAGACCCCTACAGAGGTAAAAACCAAATCTTCTATGGACCATCTTAAACTTATTGGCTATTAAGAAAAAGAATACAATTAAGAAGTTACAAAACTAAAAACAATACTATAAATCCGTAACAAACCATATAAATCAGTAAAATAAGTGGAGCTATATAACGGAGTACATATATAATCCCGGAAGGCAATTGGTAACCCAGCATAAACTCAATATCCCGCTGGAAACGTTCTAGGCCGTAGATCCACAAAACCACCAAAAGAAGCAGTAAATGGAGCAAAATGGCATCTGAATAGAAGGAACAAAAGAACGAAATACCATGCTGGAAAACATAGAAAAATAAATTATATCAGGTTTAAAAAATATTTATTTAATATGCAAAAATGTATTGGGTACTTACATTTGTACAAAAGAAGAGGGAACATACTGCAAGGCCACCAATAAGGCCAAAGGTTACCTCCTGTTTTCTCAATCTAAGTTTCTCAAACTCATCAAGCAAACTTTGAAGAACAGTGAATATTTGTGTCGTCTGCAATGGGAAATATGTTTTTGTTCATTAATGTATTATTCAAAATTTAATTAGTGACAATAACGAAATATGTATTTAAATAACTATACATACTATCGAAATAAGAGCCGCCATTAATAACGTAGTGTAGTAAATCAAAGTCCACATGTTTGGCCAACCCATTGTGGACAACACACTGGCACTGGACAATATCATCACCCAAAGGTTCAGTACATCGGTTTCATCTGAACCTTCACCAAGCTCTGAAAGCGTTTATCCAATGTTTAGAAAAAAATTTGAAAAAATATATGGTAATATAATGATTACCTGTGAAATAGTGTTCCAGCATAAAGGCAACCAAGCTGAATAAAATGCATATAACGATCTGTCCGAAGGAAATAATCCAACTGTACGACAATATGTTTGTCTTGAATCCATTGAAACTGGACAGGGCTATTACACTGCCCCAGCCAGCTCCAAAGACCCTTATAGCGACTGTAAATGTTGAGAAAGTTCCCATGGCCCAGAAACGTGGCTTTGGAGCTATATATTTTCCTAGCCACGAAAGACCTCCAGGGAGAAAAAGAAAACGCACGAAGCACACTAGAAGAAGAACCAGTGTCACAATGACCATGTACCGTATGAATTTTCCAAACTTTGCCGCCTCCGAGAATTTATAAAAAATAAATGCAACCATTGCCCAAACCAAAGCGAAGAGACCAACAAACTTCCAGGATAACTCATAGTCTTCATTAAGATCTGGAAATCCTTTCTCCCGCATACTGTCAAACTGATATCTACAAAAATAAAAAGTAATTATTAGATCACCTTTACTTTTGAAAAAAATAGAAAAAACGAGAAAGAAAGCTAGGTTCGGCCAGCCGAAGCTTATATACACTTGCAGATCGTTCCTATTAAATTACAAAGTGTTAAATTTCGTATTATTTTTTCTTTCCGTCCTATGGCGGCTATAAAATATTGTGGTCATACTGTTGTAAATTTAATTCGAAATTCTGAAACACTAAAAAAAGAGTCATATCCCAGAGTAGAGGAGAATACAATAAAAACCAACGGAGCTATAATTTCTTTCCAATTAGTTTTCCATTAATTTTCAGATCGTTCCTATGGCAGCTATATAAAATTTTAAAAATTTTACAAATTCTGTCGGTTTTGACTTTTATACTGCCTGCGATAGATAGAAGACTTTTTGAAAGTTTCATCCCAATAGCTTCAAAACTGAGAGACTAGTTTGCATAGAAACGGACAGACTGGCGGACAAATCGACTCGTATAGTGGTGCTGATCAAGAATATATATACTTTACGGGATCGGAAACGTCTTTCTTCACTGCGTTGCAAGCTTCTGACTGAAATCAAAATGCCATTCGCAAGGGTATAATGAACGAGTCAGTCTAGTGCCTTGACTATCAGATCAGGTCAAACGATAGGGACTGACAAAATTTAATTTTTTTTAACCACTTGTTTAATTGTGAAAAATAATACAAATTTATTAAAAGTTGCACACTTACTCATAGTAAAGAAATGAAGGTACATCAATTTTCCTTTTTTTTGTGTAGTTTTGGAACTGTCCATTAATTGTCTTATTACATATCTTAAAAAATTAAGAAAATAGTATTATTTCTTACATACTTTTTTTTACATAAATTTCCTTACAGTCTGTCGCCCACTGGTCTCATTGAACCAAGCTGTTAGGCCATCACAACTCCAAGGTAATGTCGGTCGAAAAGAGTTTATTATGAACAATAACGGAATAGCAGCATAAATTACATGGTAAAGAAGCATGGAGAGAGACAGAAACCCGCTTAAGTAACCCATGCCTAAAATTCAAATTTTTATATAAAATTTTATATATATGTCTACCCGATCTATCAACTTACCTTTGAAAAAGGGAGATAGGCGAAAGGCGGAGATAAAGCCACTACTAGAGAACTGGCCCACGAAGGAGTGAATGACTATGATTGGAACCAAATAAATTACCATATACACAAAATATGGCAATATTCCAAGAACTAAAACACAAATTTTCAAATTATTAAAAAATACAAAATGCCTTATAATATGTTAAAACTAAACCAATTGTGCCTCAGAACCTAAATTAAACATATTTGCTTTTTTACTTAAAAAATGTATGTTAAATAAACTTAATGAAGTGCAATACAACAGCTCTAATAAGCTCTAATTTGAGGCTACATATTCATTTGGCAGTTACTAAACTTGTATTCATAAATTACATCAGCAGAGCAACGCTTCTAAAGAGCTTTTGAGGTATATATTATAGGAATGCATTTATATTACTTACTGCCCATATCGTAGTGAAAGTAATACGTGAAATCAAATACATCCATCTTCAGAGCTAATCCAAAGCAGGCAAATATAAAGTCTGTTGGTTTTTCCCACTTCCCTCGATTTGGATCGGGAGAAAAGGGTTTTTGCCCCGTGCCATACGATGTCTCATAGATCATGTTGAAACGACAATATTAGTCAGCAACCAGAATCTGAACTTCTTGTGTACAGCGAAAGATATGAGAGCATTATACTTGAAATACACGGAAGCATTAGTACAACCGATGTCGACGAACCCGAACAACCGAACCCGACGACAACTCGCTGTTTAGCTCAACGCACTGGACAGAGATGCTCATACTACTTATTATATTTAGAGGTGTCAATAAAATCTTTTCCAACTATATACCGTTTAGGGCAAGTTTTCACACAAATTTAATGTAAAGTGTTGGTTGTTATACCCTTGCAGAGGGTATTATAATTTCAGTCAGATGTTTGCAACGCAGTGAAGGAGTCGTTTCCGACCACATAAAGTATATATATTCTTGATCAGCATCAATAGCCGAGTCCATCTAGCCATGTCCTTCTGTCCGTCTGTCCTTCTGTCCGTTTCTATGCGAACTAGTCCCTCAGTTTTAAAGCTATCGCGTTGAAACTTTCCCAAAAAGTCTTCCTTCTATTGCAGGTAGTACATATGTCGGAACGAGCCGGATCGGACCACTATATCTTATAGCTCCCATAAGAATAATCAAAAAAATAATAGAAAAACCATTGTAACTTTGTAGAAAGTAGGCGTTTTGATTTTTGACAATGTAAAAACAAAATTTTAAGTAGGCATACCTGCAAGGCTATATAAACTTCGGCTGGCCGAAGTTAACTTCCTTTCTTATTTTGTAATAGTTTTGCAAATTATAAAAATGGTTTTTGCCTGACACTCTGCGATCGATTGCATAATTTCATATGGTTGGATAATTCGAATATGTTTATTTCCAACAACTCAACCTTTCCAACAACTCGCTATGACTTTTCAAAAATCATTTAGACTCATTTTTTTTGCCAGTATATTGAAAGTACTCATATATATAACATTTTGTACATTTTTATAATAATTGTATCACCACTCAGTTGGCCTCTTCGGTAACCTTGACAAGCTGATGGGTCTCAATGATTCCTAGACCTTCCTCGTACTTCTGGCGGTATTCCATATCCACCGGATACCAATCTCTGGGTCGACAGGTGCGTCTCAAGCGATCCCATACGGTTCCCGTGCTGTGGGCAAGGCAGTAAAGAGCGTAGCCAGGTATGGCCAAATTGGGTAACCACACCACAATAATGCACATCACAAGTGTCCACAGTGTAGTGTAAAAGTGATTCCATATGGACCAATATATTCCCATGCGCTAGTAATAGAAGGTAGATCTTAAGGCTTTTCTCTAACCTTTAAATAAAATCTCGACACAAACCATACAAATCAAAAACAAAATTGGAGCAATGAAGCGGAGTATAAAAACCTTCCAGGAGCCAAACGGCTGACCCAACATAAACTCTATGTCCCGCTGGAAGCGTTCTCGGCCGTAGATCCACAAAACCACCAAAATAAGCAGTAAATGCAGCAAATTGTGTGAGAAAATGGCATCAGCATAGAAAGAACAAAAAAAAGAAATACCAAACTGAAGAATAAACAAATAAATAATTAGTTTTTGTTTGAAAAGTATTCAATTTGCTAATAGTTATTTATTAATTGTTTGAAATATATAATGAACTTACATTGGTGCAAAAGAATAAGGAACAGACTGCAAGGCCACCAATAAGGCCAAAGGTTGTCTCCGATTTTCTCGCCCTTAGCTCCTCAAACTCATCAAACAAACTTTGCAGGACTGTGAATATTTGCGTCGTCTGGAAAATATTTATTTGTATACTTAAACTTTATTAAATAAAAATGTACATATTGAACTTGCAATGGTATTCATAAAAAAGTGGAACTGCCTCGTAAAAAAATATAAGCTTATGTTAAATTTAAAATTACTAAGAAATTATTAATAAAATTTGTATAATATATAAATGTTAAATACTAAAAAAGTCATAAAAAAATATAAGAATATAAGAAAATGTTATCAAAACTTCACTAAATTACGTAAACAATAAATTGTTATTTACAAGAATTTTAATTTATTATTGTGGTAATAAATTCTTCATAATTATTTGGATTAATTTACTTACCATCAAAATAACAGTACCCATAAATATCGTGGTGTAATAAATAATTGTCCACATGTTTGGCCAACCCATTGTGGACAAAGCACTGGCACTAGACAAAATCAACACCCAAATGTTTATCACATTTGTTTTTTCGGACTCTTCAAAAAGCTCTGTAATCGTAAGTCTAATGTTTCGTTATGACTATAAAAAGAGATAAAAAGTTATTACCTGTAAAGTAGTGTTCCAGCATAAAGGAAACTAAGCCAAACATTATGAAAATAAAGGTTTGCCCCAAGGATATAAACCAACTATACGACATAATGTCGGTTTTGAAATCATTAAAACTGGAAAGGGCTATCACACTGCCCCAGCCAGCTCCAAACGCCTGCATAGCGATTAGAAATGTTGGAACGGAAACGTCTTCCCAATCAGGTGGTTTCGGAGCTGTGAATTTGTTTACCCAGGAAAAACCACCTGGAAGAAAAAGGAAGCGCGCGAAGCACACTAAAAGAAGAAACAGTGTTGCAATAACCATGTAGCGTATAAATTTTCCAAACTTTGCCGTCCCCGAAAATTTATAAAAAATAAAGGCGATAATTGCCCAGGTTAGAGCGAAGAAGCCAACAAAATGCCAGGACAGCTCATAGTCATCATTAATATCAAAATCTTCGTTCTCTCGTTTACTGTCGAAGAGATTACTAAAAATTAAAATGGAGAAGGTTTAGAAATAAATAAAAAAAATTGCATTATGCAATAAGACGAAAAAAATATTTTCATTTTTACTAAAAGTTTGAACATTTTAATTATTAATGTTAAATGCTATTAATGTTAATTCTTACTTTAATAACATTTAAATAAATATTTGCATACTTACTCAAAGTAGAGCACGGAGGGTACTTGCAGTTTCATTTTAGTTGTGTGGTTTTGGAATTGCAAAATCTCCCTACTAATTGACTGATTGCATATCTTGAAGAATTACAAAAATAGTGTTATTTTAAAATATATTTTTTCTTTACACAATTTTCCTACAGTTGATCGCTCAGAGCTCTCATTGAACCAAGCTGTTAAGCCTTCACAGCTCCACGGTAAAGTGGGTCGAAAGGAGTTTATTATGAACAAAAGCGGAATAGCAGCATAAATGCTGTAGTAAATGAGCATGGAGAGAGACAGGAAAACGCTTAAGTATCCCATGCCTAAAATTAAAATTTCAATAAAATTTGTTATATATTTCTCGGGACTTACCCTTAAAAAAAGGAGACAGACGTAAGGCGGAGATGAATCCACTGCTGGAGAACTGACCCATGAAAGAGTGGATGAAGATGATTGGAACCAAATATATTACCATATACACAAAATACACCAATATTCGAAGAACTAGGAAAAAAATTTGATTATAATAATATTTTTTATTGCAGAGGGTATAATGGTGTTTTTTTTTTGGTGTTTTTTTAAATATTGCCTTCTACTCTTGGGAAAACAAATTTTATATATTTTGGAACGGACGGAAAATTAAATGGAAATTACGAGAAAAAAAATTATATCTTTTTTGATTTTTAATATATCTTCTTTTTCTCTGGGATATAGCTTTTTTTAACATTTCAAACAAGTAAATCTTAATTTAATATTTTTGAAAGTAATAGGAATACTTTCCAAGGGTATACAAGCTTCGGCTGACCGAAGCTAGTTTCCTTTCTTGTTCTTTGTCCAAAACTAATTTTAGAACTGACAAATAGTATCCGAGAAATTTATCAGCATTCTGTATGTAGAATGAGTCATTTTGTCAAATGTGCTTTAGTAATTGCTTTAGCAGTGTAATGATTAACCTTTTACATAAGATATCTATATGCATTTGTATTACTTACTGCCCAATTGGTAGTGTTCATAATAAGTGAAATCAAAGACTTCCATTTTAAGAGCTAAGCCAACACAAGCAAATATATAGTCCGTGGGTTTCTCCCATTTTCCTCGATTTGGATCGGGGGAAAATGGCTTTGGTCCAATGCCATACGAAGTTTCATACACCATGATGCGACGAAAATAACAGTCAGCAAAATGGTGTTTAAGTGGATTTTTCAAACGTTTTGTCTTCGTAATGCAATCCGATTTATCCCGCTGATGGAGGTATTGTTATTAAATGTTCTTTTATACACCGAACGTTCTGCGAGCGTTTTACTTTAAATAGACGGAAGCATTAGTACAACCGATGTCGACGAACTGAATCCGAACTCGACTGCAAGTCGCTGTTTAGCTCATCGGGCTGCTCAGAGATGCTCAACCTACGTATTATATTCAGAGGTGTCACACAAATCTTTTAAAATAAATTCCTCTGGGTAATTTAAATCTCCCCAAGTTTAAATAGACGGTTTAGGTGCAACAAAACATTGTACTAGGTGCTTTTCTTTATTTGTTAATGGTAATGTGCGAATACTTTTATTTTAGTTTAATCGATTATTCCAAACCCAATATAAAGTTTTTTATGGGCTTAATTGGCGCCTAAATTCGCATTTCTCTAAAACAAGTTCCCTTACAAAATATATATTGAAAGTACAAATATATTTATGATTTGTAGTACATTTATAATTGGATCACCACTTAGTTTACTTCCTCGGTAACCCCGAAAAGTTGGTGGGTTTCAGTGGTTCCTACAGCTTGCTCGTACTTCTGGCGATATTCCATATCAACCGGATACCAATCAGTGGGTCGACAGGAGCTTCTTAAGCGATCCCAAACCGATCCAGTGCTCTGGGAAAGGTAGTAAAGTCCGTAGACAGGTATTGCCAAAAGGGGTAACCATACCACAATAATGAACATCAAAAGAAATACTGAGACATAATCGTGGACCAATTTAGACCAACTAATTCCAATCAGCTAGAAGAAAAAAAATATAAATGCAAGATTTAGCCAAAATAAAAACAAGAGAGAACGCTATAGTCGGGTTGGTGTCCCGACTATCTAATACCCGTCACTCAGCTTGTAAAGATGTTCAATCCCAAAAGAAAGAAATCCACATTTGTTGAGTTGATAATTCAAACTGATTTTTATTTTGTAAAACACTAGCTTATATAGAGTACAGCGGAGTACAATAGTATGGACCAATGCGTCGGGGAAAGGGGCGCATTAGAATATAAATAGATAAGCGTTCTTAGACATATTTTTGGAACGCTGCATTGGCGTTGCTCAACTTAAAATAGCGTTGATAGCATTTGAACTCATGCACTGATATTTTGGTTTACAGATTACAATTGGTATTTTTAAACTTACAGTGCGAGGCAAATCAATATTACAAACAAAGCCATGTTCATGTGTGAACATTCTGCAAGGGGCCAGGAAGAATTATGGCCTGCATTCGTCTTGCTACATTTATTCGTCTTATCATATAAACAATTAAAATTAATATAATTACTAAACCTACGATTAATGCCGCATGACCTGACAGGTGATGAAAATTCAGTCCTTTTAATTCATAGTGATTTTCTCTTATTTCTTTTAATTCATTCTTTAGTTTAGCTAACTCTTTATTGTGGTCAATAATCGGCAATGTTAATGGATTCCAAACAATACTTGGAATCGTACTTATATTACTTACATAAGAAACTGATATTGGCTCATAAGCTTCTGACTGAATACTATGATGAGCTATTAATATTTTGTCGTCTGTTCTTATAGTGCAACCAGACACAACCGTTAAAATTCCTTGCTCAGGCAGGTCTATTAATTCTTGCGGTAAATTATTACATTGAATTCTAGCTTTAGTTATTTCTGGAACCTTAAATAGCCAACTACCTTTCTTTTGCAACTCAACCCAGTAAGAATTGATCTGAGTCATTTTTTTATAAATACAATTAGAGGGACTATTTGGTTTAAAGGGAGTTATTTCGCAAGTATTGTCATTAGCGCTACTCCAAGGCCAATTACCTTCACAAATTACGTTATTAGCTTTCCATTTTTGACACCTACTTAAGGTAGCTTCCGACATTAGATGATAGGAGTCTATTTCAAAATTGTAAACTAAATATTTAGAATTTAAGTCTGCAATAATAACCTCATTGTTAATTTTGACTGGCATAGGAATTACTCTAAAAAGATGGGAAGGGTGTCTACCAAATAAGGGAATTTTAACATTCAAAATTAACTTATTATCCACAAAAATTCCTTTAGCTGTTAATAATGTGTAAATTTCCTTTAACTCAGTTCCTGTTCTTTTACCTGGTAGTACTAAGGTTTCTAGTAATGCATCCTTAATTCTGGAAATTTCCTTTTTTAATTGCATTGGCTTTAAAATATTTGGATTCAATCTACCATGGTTTATATCTATGAGTAAGCTTATTACACCTGCTTGAATCTTTTCACATTCTTCAATTAAAGAAGTTAATTGTTTTGTCACCATAAAGAAATTAATTGACTCTTTATAGACATAGTAACTTTCTTTCAAAACTTCTGTGATGTTTTCTATTCGCGTAGTCATACTTCGAAAATTTGAGTTTATATCATCCGTACTTCTTTTCAGGATATTTATTGTAGATTCTACTACAGAGGTTTGCTTTTTAACCAATTCTGCAGTATTTTGCTGGTTATCTAAGAGGTTCTTCATGTTACCCTCTAAGTTATCCCTATCTTCAGCGTCCATTATACCAAAAAGTATGTGATAGAGAGAGCCCATAAACTCGAATGGAGCTCGCTTATATCTTTTCCTATCCTGAGTCATAAACAGTTTATTGTTCTCTTCTAAATCTGTAATCTGTCGTTGAGTATTATCAAGAACAGTATTACATTGATCTTCAAACCCATGAAGCTTGTCACACACCACTCTCATTTTTCCATTCAACAGTTTTCCCTTTCTTATCATGTCGAAATATGGATCCATGTTATAATATACAATTAGATCCCAAGATGAGGCTATGACTTCGACGTCTCCCATTGGATCTAAGTAATTGGAATTATTCTCGTGTAATTTCTTGATTGACCATTTTTGATTCCCTTGCGTAGGTGAACTTGCATTAGACACCTGGCAAAATAACATTAGCATTAACATTATCGCCATTAATCCAAGTTTATGGATTCTAGGGCTACTGCGAGTACCCTTACCCTTAGTCTGCTTGACCGAGATAGGTGATTCGTTCTCTTCAGCCTCAATTCCAGTTAGAGGACAAACTTTTGTAATAGGTCTTAAAATTGAACCATCTTGTAGTTTTACTTTTACTACTCTGACTCGGTCGTCTTTTCCCTTATGTATTTCTTCTACTTTTCCCAAGGGCCATCTAGCGGGATGACAATTTTCATCTTTTAGTAATACAATTTGACCTTTATTAAGGTTTGGCATTCCTAATTTCCATTTATTCCTTTGTTGAAGAGTGTTTAAATAATCATTCTTCCATTTAACCCAAAATTCTCTTTTCATTTTCTGAATTAATTTCCATCTATCTAAATTTCCAATTTTTTCCTCGGAAATGGTCTCAATAGGTCCTAATGTGGGCCTTCCTATCAGAAAGTGACCTGGTGTCAAAACTTCCCAATCGTCAATGTCAGTATTAGTTGTATATAATGGTCTTGAATTTAATACCGCTTCAATTTGGCATAATAGAGTTGCCATCTCTTCATAAGTTAGATTATTATCCCCAATTGTTCTTTTTAGGTGGTATTTAACAGATTTCACCCCAGCTTCCCAAATACCTCCAAAGTGAGGTCCTGCCGGGGGAATAAAATGCCATTCAATTTGTTCGTTTTCTAATATTGGAATTATTTTAATATTTTCGTTGAGTGCCTTCTGTAGATCTTCATCCAATTTTCTGGCGGCTCCCACGAAATTTGTCCCATTATCTGAAAATATTTTAGCACATTTTCCTCTTCTGGAAAAGAATCTTCTTAGTGCAGCTAAAAAGGCATCTGAAGTCAAATCACTTACAACTTCTAAATGGATAGCCTTGGTTGCCATACATACAAATACAGCAATGTAACCCTTATAAGATTTCTGGCCTCGATTTTTTGAGCATCTTATATGATATGGGCCAGCATAGTCCACTCCAGTATTCAGAAACGGGTGAGCCATAGTAACTCTATGCTTTGGTAAATTTCCCATGATTTGTTCAGCTGTAATTTGTCTGTATCTTGCACATTTAACACATTGTTTTAGATAATGCTTTAGGCTGTTCCTTAATCCGAATATCCAAAATTTTCTTTGAATATAATTTCGCATAAGGTTAATTCCGCCGTGCAATGTTTCCCTATGTGCATTTCTGATTATTAATAAGGTTAAATGACACTTATCTAAAATTAAGGGATGTTTTATCGAAAATTCTGCGCTGGAGTTCTGTAATCTACCTCCAACTCTTAATAATCCATCTTTATCTAAAAATGGATTTAATCCTAATATTTTGCTTTTAGTTCCAATATCCTGTTGGTGCCTTAAGCAATTTATTTCTGAACTAAATTGACTTTCCTGTTGCTGTTTTATTATTAAAATTCTTGCCAATTTTAATTCATTTACTGTCAAATATGTGGGAAACGATTTCTTTTTTAACTTTACCTCAATAAATCTTAAGATATATGCAATAATTCTTTCTAATTTTTGCATACAGGAGTATCTTTCTATTAATGATAATATTAACTGGCTTGATTTCCCTGTTAAGGCGGTACTGATAATTATACCATCTACTTGTTCCTCTTTCGGCCAGTATTTTTCTGATTTGGCCAACCATTGAGGTCCGTTCCACCAAATTGCACATTCTAGCAATTTTTCTGGTGTTATTCCCCTTGACGCTACGTCTGCTGGATTGTCTTCTGATCTAACGTGTCTCCAATCAATGTTCTTAAAAGTTCTTATTTCGTCAGTTCGCCGTCGAATAAATTTGTCTTTATTATTTCCATTTTTAATCCATGCTAGTGTGATCGTTGAATCACTCCATCCATATGCCTTTGCTTCCCCTCCAATTGCTGTCCTAACTCTATCTATTAGTTTTGATAGAAGATGTGCAGCACATAGCTCTAATTTAGGGATGGTTTTTCTATTTTTCTTTGGATTAACCTTGCTCTTGCTAGCTATAATCATAGAGGAGGATCCCACTTTGGCATATACTACGGCTGCGTACGCTTTTTCGGACGCATCAGAGAATCCATGAATTTGTACTGGCATATTTTCCTGGGATTTAACCCACCTGGGGATTCTAATACCTTCAAGAGAAGTTAAGTTCTCTTTAAAGGCTTTCCATTCGTTGGCATCTGGGTCTGACAAGTTCTGATCCCATTTTTGCTCTGTCAACCATAGCTTTTGCATGAATAATTTTCCTACTATGGTTACTGGAGACAACCAGCCTAGGGGGTCATAAATTTTTGCTAATGTTGATAAAACTATTCGTTTATTAATATTAGCGACGTGTTCACAATTAAAATTAAATTTAAATTCATCTTTAATTGGTTCCCATTGAAGCCCCAGAGTTTTAATGGATTCATTTTCTCGAATCTCTAATATTTTATTTTCTTCTTTGCTTTCCAAAGCTTCCACAATTTCTGAGACATTCGAGATCCATTTTCTTAAGTTGAGACCCACCTTTTCTAATTCAAAGGTTATATCTTCAACGTGATCTTTGGCTTCTCTTATGGATTTAGCACCTGTCATTAGGTCATCCATATAAAAATCATTTCTGATAATTTCCTTAATCGATAGATTTTCGCATCTATTCGAAATTTCAGCAAGCACTCTTGTGGCTAAATAGGGTGCTGAAGCTGTTCCGTATGTAACGGTTGTTAATTTGTAATCTTTTAATTTTTTATTTGGGGAATCTCTCCAAATAATGTGCAAATATTGTTGATCTTCTTCATCAATGTTTATTTGCCGGTACATTTTCTCAATGTCCGCCGATATTACAAATGGCCATTTACGCCATTTGACAATGATATCAAATATATATTTTTGGACTCTTGGTCCAACCCACATAATGTCATTTAGACTTTTATTGTTTGTAGTTTTCGCTGAGGCATCGAAAACTACCCTTAATTTTGTTGTAATATTTTCCTTCTTTCTTGGACTCTATCATGTGGCCCAAGTTTATATATTCATGCATGAATTTAATGTAACTTTCTTTAAGTTTTATATTTTTATTTAATTTTCTTTCCAAATTATAAAATCGCGCTATGGCCTGCGCTTTGGAGTCTCCTAATTCTTTTTCATTTTTAAATGGAATTTTGACCACATATCTCCCATTTTTATCTATTTTAGTGGTCTCTAAGAAATGTTTTTCACAAATTTCTTCCTCAATATCATTATTTTCATTTTCCATTTCCCAAAACCGGTCTAAGTTTTCTACTTCCACAGTAGTAGCCACAATTAATTTTTCACCTTTTGATTTGGTGCACCCGGATACAATCCACCCGAATTCCGTATTTTGACCTAGTAGTCCGTCTATTTTAACTACTCCGTTTTTAACTATATGGGGATATAAATCCACTCCTATAATAAGATCTACCCTACTTGGTTTATTAAAGTGAGGGTCCGCCAACGTATATTTCGTCCACTTAGATTTATCAATATTTAATGTTTGGTTTGGCAAAGCCTTCATTAGTTTGGGAAGAATGATGGCTTCAATGCTAAGAGAATCTTTTTTATTATCGCGCGTTTTTATACTTAAATTTACTTTATGTTTTGAGATACAAGTGTCAGAGACTCCACTAACCTCAGTGAAACTCTTTTTCCTTGTTAAATTTAATATTTGTGCAGCTTCTTCTGATATAATAGTGCACTGCGACCCACTATCAATTAATGCTCTAAGGCTTTCATAGCCACCATTTTTTGACTTGACTTTAATTAGGGCTGTGGCTAGAAACGCTTGTTCTTTTGTGACACAAGTGTTTACTTTCTCCCTTTTATCTGTTGGGACATGGAGCATTGTATGATGTGGTTTTTTGCAAACTGAACATAAATATTCAGAGTTACACTTTTTAAATGAAGAATGCTTAAAGCACCTATTGCACAAGCGCTGTTTTTTTATAAATTCCCCTCTTTCCACCGGACTCATTCCCTTAAATTTATAGCAATTTGACACAAAGTGGCCAACCATTTTACAGAGTAGACAGCCTTCTTTTACAGAGGTATTTACCATTCTTTTAAAAGGCTTCTTTTCCTCACCATTTGATGAGGCAAGAGAACTATAACGTTGTTCTAAGAAGTCCATTACGTCGTCTAGTAATTGGATTTCCTTAGTTTTCTTTATATGCGTTTCATATAATTGTAACGCTTCTTTATTAAATTTTCGAATGATGATGTGCGCGAAGATCACATCAACATCTTCATTTAAACTTGCTTTTGACTTCATTAAATGAATCGATTCATTTATTGAGTCAATAAACAGTTTAACTTGTTTAGCTGAATCGTTGTCTAGCATGGGCAAATCGATCAACCGATTCAGCTGATCAGAGAATATTTGTCTCTTGTTTTCATACCGCTTGGTTAATAGTTCCCAAGCGGCATTATAATTTTCGGCAGAACCGATTAGCAAGTGAGCGACCATACTCCTTGCTTCGCCTTTGAGAGCGGTTTGTAAGTAGTTAAATTTTAGAGATGTGCTCAGATCATCTCTATTGAAAATTATTTCTTTAAATAATTCCGAAAATAAGTCCCACTCTTTGCCTTCTCCGGAGAAGGTGGGAACTTTTATTTTTGGTAACACAGGAAGGTTATCAGCCCTTTCCTTTACCATAACCCCACAATTGCCTTCCGTTTTTGCTTCGGAAGCATTCATCCTTTCTTGCAGGATGTCCAAAATGTTTTTAACGTCAATTATTCTCATTGAGTTTGTAGAATTCTTTTATTTTATTATCAGTTCTACTCCATAAAAATTCTATTTTCTTAGCTTTTTTTTCCCTGCTAGCCTGACTGAGCTCCTGATGGGTTTCCTCCAAATAATCCCTTAATTGTTCGACATTTTTATCGAACACCTCTGCCAATTTTACTGGGTCTGTTTCAGTTTTCTTAGTTTCAGCTTGGGTTCCAGAAATAGCTTTCATGTTGCTAAATTTATTTTTAAGAGTTTCAATTACTTTACAAATCTCATCGAACATTTTTTCGTTAAAGTAATCATGATTGACTACTCCTAGTTTTAACAAATTGGTGTGGTTTGCGGTGAATTTTGCTTTTATTTTATCAAGTTTGAGGATTGCGTCACTGGTTAATTGACCAGCTTCAATCACTCTAACCTCTTTTGTTAGGCTTGCCTGAGCCTCTAAGAATTTTAAAATTGTTTCGGACAACATGATTTAAAAAATTTATGTATAAAATATGTATATCAAAAAATATGTATATAATATATATTTATATATATATATGTGAATATCAATTGGATTTTGTAAATAAAGTGTATATGTAATTGATATTAAATGTGAAAAAATTTAAAAACTATCTTATCTGCTGCTTCAGTTGGTGATGTTCTCCGTTAAGCTCGCTTATGTAGATGCCGCTGTGATGTTGTCGTAGATGACGTAGTTCTTCTTTTCGTCGTCTTCTTCTTTATCACTGCTCTGATGTAGATAGTTGCCTCGATGTCGTTTGTTGTTTGTTGCCGCCTCGATGTCGTTTGTTGTTTGTTGCCGCCTCGATGTCGTTTGTTGTTCTTAAAAATGATTGTTGTTACTGCTTCGGTGTTGTTCGTGGGCCTTGTTTTTCGTTTTTATATTTTACAAGAATTTTTAAGTTCGGTTTGAATTGGTTTTGTGTATCACTGCATTTATGTTTTTTGTTTTTTTTTTTAAACACTTTTCGTCACGCCGAACACTTTCTCTTTTTATTTTTTAATTTTAAAAACGATTTACCAATGTTTTTGGCCTTGGTAACGCCACCGTCACGCAACAAACCCGAGAATGATTTTAGAAAACTTGCCCGTTTGGCTTATTTTATTTAACAAGTTAAACTTGTGTTATTTATTATTTACTTGGTCTCTTACCACTGGTGGGGGAAGACACAAGTTTTTATTTTATTTTATTTTTGCAGCCAGTAGCTGATCGTGCGCTCGCAACAAATCAGACTTTAAGGTGCCAGCTACAACTCTGAGCCTCTTACCACTGGTGGGGGATGACTACAAAGTTTAGCTCGAAGGACCAAAATGTAAAGATGTTCAATCCCAAAAGAAAGAAATCCACATTTGTTGAGTTGATAATTCAAACTGATTTTTATTTTGTAAAACACTAGCTTATATAGAGTACAGCGGAGTACAATAGTATGGACCAATGCGTCGGGGAAAGGGGCGCATTAGAATATAAATAGATAAGCGTTCTTAGACATATTTTTGGAACGCTGCATTGGCGTTGCTCAACTTAAAATAGCGTTGATAGCATTTGAACTCATGCACTGATATTTTGGTTTACAGATTACAATTGGTATTTTTAAACTTACAGTGCGAGGCAAATCAATATTACAAACAAAGCCATGTTCATGTGTGAACACAGCTAAAGGGAGTGCGAGGGAGATAGATATATGTTGACAATTTATAAAGCGTATAACTTTTTAATGAATGGTCCGATTTGAAAAATGTCTTCTACATTTCGATAGGTATAAATATACACAACAAAATTGCATTTATACTTCTCGGAAATCTTTAAAGATGTGGGCGCAGGACCCATTTTAAAATCGTTAGTGGGCGATTGTGGGCGTTAGAGGGGGCGTGGCGCTCGGCTAAAATAAACTTGCGCTGCGTAGGAAGCCAAAGAATATGTGTGGGAAATCTCAACCTTCTAGCTTTTGTAGTTTCTGAGATCTCAGCGTTCATACAGACGAACAGACGGACATGGCTAGATCGACTCGGCTAGTGACCCTGATCAAGAATATATATACTTTATGGGGTCGGAAACGCTTTCTTCTAGCTGTTACATACTTTTGCACGAATCTAGTATACCCTTTTACTCTACGAGTAACGGGTATAACTAGGAAGAACGCTATAGTCGAGTTCCTTGACTATCAGATACACGTTTCTCAGCTAGTAGAATTGCTAGGGAAATGGAGAAATGCAAGCAACAAAGCGAAAGCAGCAATGCGACTGTTTGCACTGCTTTCATTTCATTTTTTGCAAAAAAGCGTTCATTAGGACGGACATACAGACGGACGGACGGAAAGACAGACGGACGGACATGGGTAGATCGACTCGGCTACTGATATGGACTAAGAAACTCTACGAGTAACGGGAAATATAATTTATAAATTCATAACAAACCAGACAAATCAATAAAATAATTGGAGCTATAAAACGGAGTATATAAATCCTCCAGGAGGGAAACTGAAGACCCAACATAAACTCAATATCCCGCTGGAAACGCTCTCGGCCGTAGATCCACAAGACCACCAGTAAAAGCAGTAAGTGAAGCACACTGTGCGTAAAAATGGCATCAACAGTGATTGAAAGAAAGCTAAACAAACCATGCTGAAATATTAAAAAAAGAAAGGAATAGTTTATTAAAATAAAGTTATTCGTTGATTGATTAAGATATATGCTGAACTTACGTTTGTGCAAAAGAAAATTGAACATATTGCAAGGCCACCGATAAGTCCAAAGGTTACTTTCTGTTTCCGCACTCTAAGTCCCTCAAACTCATCAAATAAACTTTGAAGGACAGTAAATATTTGCGTCGTCTGTAACGCAAAATATATGTGTGTATATTTAAATAACTTATGTATAGATAAATATAAAATGAGTTAGTAGTTTGCTTGTCAACATTTTTCAATATATGAAATATACCATTTTTTTGATTGCGTATCACTTTTTATTGAATGGTCCGATTTGAAAAATGTCTTCTACATTTCGATAGGAATAAATATACACAACAAAATTGCATTTATACTTCTCGGAAATCTTTAAAGGTGTGGGCGCCAGACACATTTTAAAATTGTTAGTGGATTGTGGGGTTAAAGGGGGCGTGGCGCTCGGCTGAAATAAACTTGCGCTGCGTAGGAAGCCCAAGAATACGTGTGGAAAATCTCAACCTTCTACCTTTAGTAGTTTCCGAGATCTCGGCGTTCATACGGACGGACAGACGGACGGACAGACGGACGGACAGACGGACATGGCTATATTGACTCGGCTAGTGACCCTGATCAAGAATATATATACTTTCTAGGGTCGGAAACGCTTCCTTCTCCCTGTTACATACTTTTGCACGAATACCTTTTACTCTACGAGTAACGGGTATAAATATTTTTACCAAAATGTACTTACAATGGTAATAACAGCCGCCATTAATAACATAGTATAGTAAATGAAAGTCCACATGTTTGGCCAACCCATTGTGGACAAAGCACTGGCACAAGACACATTCAAAACCCAAAAGCTCATTACTAAGGTTTTATCTGAAGATTCAGGAAGCTCTGAAATCGATAACCAAGGGATAAGCTAACATCATGTAAAATTTAAAATAGAGATTACCTGAGAAGTAGATTTCAAGCATTAAGGATAGCATGCCAAACATAATGTAAATAAAGATTTGTCCAAAGGAAATAATCCAACTGTACGACATTATGTTGGTCTTGAACCCATTAAAACTGGACAGGGCTATCACACTGCCCCAGCCAGCTCCAAACGCCTGCATAGCGATGAGAAATGTTGAGCCAGTCCCCAAGACCCAATCATCGGGCTTAGGAGTCATATATTTTCTTGGCGCCTTAAGAGCTCCTGGGAGAAAAAGAATGCGCACAAAGCACACTAAAAGAAGGACCAGTGTCCCTATAACCATGTACCGTATAAAGTTTCCAAACTTCGCCGTCTTCGAAAATGCATGAAAAATAAGTGCAATCATTGCCCAAACTAGAGCGAAGAGGCCCACAAAATGCCACGATAGCTCATAGTAATGATCGATATTTACCATTTCGTTCTGTTGAAAGACATTGCTATTAAATGAAAAAAAAGTTAGTAACTGCTTGGAATTGGATTTGCTTGCTATTTATTACTAAAGTATAACGATTAGCAAGTTAAAAATGTTATTATTTAAAAACCAGTTTTTTTATTTAGTTTCCTTAATAAATTTAAAAATTAATTGAATACGTACTGAAAGTAAAGCGCGGAAGGAACATAAAGCCTCCTGTATTTTGTGTTGTTTTTGAATTCAGAATGCCTCTCATTGCATGTCGATGGCCAAGCGGTCTCATTGAGCCAAGATTTTGAGCCTTCACAACTCCAAGGTAAAGTGGGTTGAAAAGAGTTTAATATGAAAAATAGCGGAATAGCAGCATAAATGCTATAGTAAATGAGCATTGAGACAGAAAGAAAACCGCTGACATATCCCATGCCTAAAATAAAAATTTTATTATGATATGTTTAATATCTACCTAATCTTTTCAGGGACTTACCTTTAAAAAAAGGAGACAGGCGAAAGGCGGATATAAATCCACTGCTGGAGAACTGGCCCATGAAGGAGTGAATGACTATGACTGGAACCATATAAAGCACCATATTCACGAAATACGGCAATATTCCAAGAACTAAACGGAAAGGTTAAAAAGTAATTATTAACTTTTTTTCTTTGTCCACAGACCATTTTAAAAATCAATTAGCTCAAGTGTTTCGTTCATCCATATAAGCCGATTTTTAACTTTCCACTAATATATAAACATCGATTAATACTAAAATGATTTTCTATTTCAGTTTGTTCCAAAACTTAAATCTTGAAATCCGAAAAGTTAGATATATTTATTTTGTAAAATAACTGAATTTTTCAAGTGTCGATTTAGTAATTGCATCCAAAAATTGCATTAGCAGCGCAACGCCCCTAAAATTATCACTAACCCTGCAGCTGGTTAAATCTATAATATGTGGGAAACGTAACAAACTTACTGCCCATATCGTTGTGCACCCAATACGTATAATCAAAGGCATCCATCTTCAGAGCTAGTCCAAAGCAGGCAAATAAGAAGTCCTTTGGTTTATCCCACTTCCCTCGATTTGGATCGGGAGAAAAGGGCTTTTGGCCAGAGTCATACGATGTTTCAAAACCCATATTGCGACCACAATATTAGATCACTATAAATGCCGAAGATGGATTTTTAAAATGTTTTTATATCCTAAATGAAATCCGATTGTTCACGCTGGTAAAAGTATTATAACTAAATTTTGTTGTATACAGCCATCGATCTGCGAGCTTTTTTCTTTAAATAGGGCGAGGCATTAGTACAACCGATGCCGACGAACTAAATCCGAACCCGACAACAAGTCGCTGTTCAGCTCATCGCAATGGACAGAGATGCTCAAACTACGTATTATATTTTCACCCCTGAGTAATACACATCTTTTCCACCCATGAATATTCTCTTTTTTAAAATTTTCAATTTATAAAAGAGGGTTTTTTTATTTACTCGTCTCTTCCCACCTCAGTCTGATCTGAAATAGTTACTGCCAACCAATACAACGTACTTATTTATTTAAGGGCCGGTTTCTCGAGTCCCTGTCAAAGTCCCTGATAGCTATCTGTTCGAAAAACTTAAATACCAGAGAAACTGTTCGTAAAAGCAAATCCGCTTTCTCGACTGCTTTAATTTATCTGAACGAGAAACAATTACAGAGTGCTGTTAACGCACAGAATTGTGCTGTAGAGCGCAAAAAATGGCATGCTTCGATTATTTCATCAGCTGTTTGGGTATAATTCAAAGAAAAAATCAGCTGTGATTTCGTTTCTTCTTCTTAGTTGGCTTTGGGAAATCAGCTGTCATTCTATCGAGTCGAAAACGCTTAACAGGGACTCCGAGTCCCTGTCAAAGTTAGCTCTCACATTTATGCTCGAGAAAGCCAAAATGCCTTAGCAGGGACTTTATCTGTTCGAGAAATGTTAGCCGGCACTCGAGAAACCGGCCCTAAGAGTAGAGAATGAAAAGACGAATGAAATTATACTAAAGAATTTGTTTGAAATGATACGATTTTATAACCTCTAATTTATTTACCGATGTCCAAAACGTATTGTTTTTCTGATTATTAAAATAAACTGAAGATTAAGATCTTATGAATAACTAACAATTTCCTTATGGAAACCGATTGGTTTTTAATTAATTTTAAGGGTGAATAAAACAGTTTGCATACCAACACGAGGCGGATTATTCTAACACTTTTTTAAACGCACTTATTGATTGTATAACCCCTTATTTCACCTCATCGGTCACCTCGGAAAGCTGGTGGGTGTCAGTGGTTCCTATAGTTTCCTCGTACTTCTGGCGGTATTCCATCTCCACCGGATACCAATCGGTGGGTCGACAGGTGCGTCTTAAGCGATCCCAAACGGATCCAGTGCTCTGGGAAAGGTAGTAAAATCCGTAGCCAGGTATTGCCAGAATCGGTAACCACACCAAAGTAATGGACATCACTAGGATCACTACTGAAAGGTCAGTAAAGCCCAGCATGGTCAAACTAATTCCGGCCACCTAGTTAGAAAAAAAAAAATATAATTGTTTGCTACATTAAAATCAATCAAATTTAGATTAGAACAAACCATGGAAATCACTAAAATAACTGGAGCTATAAAGCGGAGTATATAAATCTTCCAGAAGGCAAACGGCTGACCCAACATAAACTCAATATCACGCTGGAAACGTTCTCGGCCGTAGATCCACAAAACCACCAGTAAAAGCAGTAAGTGAAGAACACTGTGTGAGAAAATGGCATCGATAGCCAAATAAATAAAGTAATCATTTCCATGCTGGAAAATATTGAAGACAAATTAGTATCATTTCCAAATTTGCCAGTAGAAGAATTTTTAATTTTCAAAAAGAATTAATTACTTACATTTGTGCAAAAGAAAAGTGAGCAGACCGCAAGGCCACCAATTAACCCAAAGGTAATTTCCTTTTTTTTCTTTCTAAGATCCTCAAACTCATCAAACAAAGTTTGCAGAACAGTAAATATTTGTGTCGTCTGCAATGAAATATACATAAAAAAATATATAAAAAATATAAATCGATCGATCAACTTCGGCTATGAACTGGTAAATAATATAAATACCAAAACTACTCACTATCGAAATAACAGCCGCCATTAATAACGTAGTATAGTAAATTATAGTCCACAAGTTTGGCCAACCCATTGTGGACAAAGCACTGGCACTAGACAAAATTAACAGCCAAATGTTTGTTACATATGTTTTATCAGATCCCTTAGCAAACTCTGAAATCGTAGATTTATTACTTAGAAATGAATTTAAAAAGGATTTAAAGGATTTAAAAAATGCGATTCCGTGTGAATCTTTCGGAAGTGAAAACTAGAACAGGGCCGATAGTGATTACCTGAAAAGTAGTGTTCCAGCATAAAAGAAACTAGGCCAAACATGATATAAATAAAGATCTGTCCGAAGGAAATAATCCAACTGTAGGTAATTATGTCGGTCTTGAACCGATTAAAACTGGACAGGGCTATCACACTGCCCCAGCCAGCTCCAAAAGCCTGTATAGCTATAATAAATGTGGACACAGTTCCCATAGCCCAGTCACGTGGTTTTGGAGTAACATATTTGTTTAGCCACGAAAGGCCTCCTGGAAGAAATGGGAAGCGCACAAAGCACACCGAAAGTAAGACCAAGGTGCATATTACCATGTACCTTAAAAATATTCCAAAGTTCGACGTCTCCGAGAATTTATAAAATATCAATGCAATCATTGCCCAAACTAGTGCGAAAAGGCTCACAAAATACCAGGATAGCTCAAAGTCCTCATAATCAGCTGCATTACCAGTACTGCGAAAGTTATTTCTATAAAATTCAAAAAATTATAAGATTCTAAAATTATAAATACTACCTCACTTACTCAAAGAAAAGCACGGAAGGAACATGGAATAACCTAAATTCAGAATAATCCAAGTTAGGTGTCACATTACATATCTGAAAGAATGAAGTTCTTAGAATTATTTTTTAATTATTAGGGTTTTCAGAAAATTTCCTACGGTGGATCGCCCTGTGCTCTCATTGTACCAAGATTTTAAGCCTTCACAACTCCAAGGTAAAGTGGGTCGGAAAGAGTTTATTATGAAAAATAGCGGTAGAGCAGCATAAGTGACATAGTAAATCAACATTGAGAGAGTCAAAAAAAGGCTCACATATCCCATGCCTAAAATTCAAGATTCTTTATAATATATTTTGTATCTATCTAACCTTTCTCGGGACTTACCTTTAAAAAGAGGAGACAGTCGAAAAGCGGAGATAAATCCACTACTGGAAAACTGTCCCATGAAGGAGTGAATGACTATGATTGGGACCAAATAAATCACCATGTACAAAAAATATGGCAATATTCCAAGAACTAAAATCAAAAATATTTAAAATAATTTAGTAATAATTTGCCTTTTTTGTGTGTCTAAAAAATTCAGTTGAAACTATAAATGAATGAGAGTAGCGCAACGCCCCTAAATTAGGCTAGCCGTGCAGATTAGCCCCATAACATACGTACTGCCCATATCGCGAGTCGCAAAATGAGTAGACGAAAATACGTCCATCTTCAGAGCTAATCCAAAGCAGGCAAATATGTAGTCAGTGGGCCTTTCCCACATTCCTCGATTTAGATCGGCAGCAAAGGGCTTAAGTCCAGAGTCATATGATGTTTCGTGTACCATGTTGCGACGACAATATCAAACAGCAAAAGATTCCTATAATATACAGTGAATAAGCCGCGAGCGTTTTAAAATAGATAGGCGTATTGCATAATATAGCAGATGCCAGAGCACTGAAACCGATGTCGACATCAAGCCGGTATTTAACTCATCCACTGGACTGAAATGATCATACCCTAAAATTTAATTTGGATTAATATAATTTTGCGGCAGGCACTTATTTAGAAAATAATTATTTTATAATAATGCAAACACATATGTATGTAATATTCTTGGACCTCACCAACTAAAAGTCCAAATAATTTTTAAAACTATTAATTTTATAAATGTTACGCTTTTAAGGGTATCTCCATTTTCGACCACAAATTGTCTTCTCTGCGATTTTCATTTAAATTGATATAGTTAGAGCTTTTACATTTGCACTAGTTTTTCTTTTGTTCGCATACATTGCAAAGTTCACTGAGAAATAGCGAATTAGAGAGAGAAATAGTAACTGTTATTTTATTTCTGCCCGTAAAGTGGGCAGACAAACAGACGCAATTTTATAAAAACTGGAGGAGTACTCTACATATAAGCAATTCATAATCAAATAAAAACATTTACGCTAAAGCTGTTGATTTTAATTTTGCACTGATTAAGTGTTAAGCGTTGAGTCATCTAAATCGCTTTTAATCAATTTCAATTCAATTCAATGAATATTTTAACTGAGCCTTAACACTGACACATGTTTTCCTTATCAGCAATTGCAAATCGAAAGCAAAACAAAAGCTATTATTAATGTTTTCAAAATAAATTATATATATTTGATCAAAGCTATTACTGGTGAATTGCAATTGTGTACGGACTTAATTCGTCAATTAATTCCAGGAAAAAAATTAAACTCGCTGACTAGAAAAATAAGACTGCAAATTACGTTTCGAAAGTTTTTTAAAAACAATTTAATTTGTTATTTTCTAGAAAAACCGATTGTTGGTTTAAAGAATTGGGTGTACAAACGAATTATTGCATTTTCAACATTCGTGGTGTTATAGTCAATACATTCCCAAAAAATATAATAAGAATTAATCAGTACATGGCTAAAAGGTAAAACTTTATTAATTCGTAACAATATTTTTTGGCCGAAGCTTGTTGAACTTTTTAGTAGGCAACTACTAAATATCACCAGATTATTGTTCACTACAGCTAGCGTTTGGAAAATATCAGTACAACTCCATTATAAAATCCAACGATCACCCTTAGCACTTGATCTGTATAATATACTCGTGTGCGTGTGTGTAGTGTGGTTTTTGTGTGTGTATGGGTGTGACTGTGTTGGTATGTATGACCACGGATGGGTGTATAATAAAAGTGAGTTCAGTTCATTTGTCATGTGTCGACGGCTTAAGTGTTGAGTTTTGATCTAAAGAGTATTCGATATTTAGGCACTATGTGGTATTGGCATTGGCATCGATCACCAGCATCTCGGAGAAGCCCATGATTTCCTCGTAAAATCGCCGGTTGTCCGCATCCACCGGATGCCAGTCGTGTGGTGCGAGGCACTGTTGCAATCGCTGGCGCCAATCGCCATTCGTCCGACACACCTTATAAACCATATACGATATGGCCGTCAGGAAAATCAGTCCCTGACTCAAGTAAATCAGGACGTCGTGGATGCGATCACGCGTAAATAAATAGGTGAGTTGGAACTGAAAAATGGGTTATTTTAAATAACATATTATTTAATTTAAAAAGTATATACTTCAGAGAACTATTTACCAAGCACAGTCCAAGAAAAATAGGCGTGGCGAAGCGTATAAAGAAAATTTTGAAACTTGAGATCGTTTTGCCCAGCATAAACTGCAAATCGCACTGGAATCGCACGCGACCATAAACCCAAGTGGTCATTAGTAGAAGAACTCCCGAAATAAACACGTGGGTAAACACCGCCAAATTGGGCAGCTGAGTCAGCTGACTGAAGCCCAACTAAAATGAAAAATCAAAAATCACACAATGGTCTCATAAATGCACAAATTCCACACCCACCTGAGTACAAAAATAAACAGAGGAGACTGTAAGGCAGAGGACAAGTGAACATATTACTATCGTTCGTTTTGATCGAAACGTCTCGAACTCATCGAACAGGGCAGTAATAACGGACATCATTTGGATGATCTAATAAAATATAAATAAATTAATAAAGTTTTATATTATTCAAAAATTAAACTCACCAAGGAACTTAGTTCCGATAGGAATATCATGCCAAAAAAGAGGAAAGCCCAGAGATTTGGTGTCGTCGTAAACGTCCCAAACAAATAGGAGAAACAGAGGTACAGGAACTGCATATGATGTTTCTCATCCACATGCAATGGCATCATGCCCACATGATCTAGTTAAATAATAAAATACAATAGTTAATTAAATATATATTTTCTGAAATTTTTGAAAGATCCATTTTAAAAATAAAGTAAATTTTATTTTCTTTAAAAAAATAATTTTGTATACCTACCCTCAAAGTGATCGTGGGCCACATTGCAGCAAAGAAGTCCCATTAATCCGATAGTGATATGAGTAAGGCACACCCAGAAGCTCAATCTCTCCGCATCGCTGCGGAAATTGTTGTAACTGGACAGGGTTACTATACTGCCCCATCCGGGACCCAAAGCCACACCGGCCATTAGGAGGGCGGTTCGGGCCGTTGCAAGGACGCTCTCCAAACTATCCACCTGGGGCATCCAGTAATATTGGAGAGTATCATACGAAACTTTTTCGTGAATAACCAAGTATATAAAAACAGCCACAAAGAAGCCGAACATAAGCACACAGGAACATCGCAGAGCTTTACCAATCTAAAAGTATGACAATTAAATAAAGTAGTTAGATGTTATATTTTTATTGACCCAAAAAAATCCTAAATACTCACAAAAGCCACAGGCTTGAGCAGCATAGCCAAAACCACCAGCCAAATGGCCAAAACGCCTATCAACATGGACCAAGATATGCTCATTGAAGTGGAATCTTCTTCAGTAGAAGCAATCGTCGATCTAGAAAATACAAATAAATTAGTTAAAGCTTGACAAGAATTGTATTGTATAAATCACTCACCTAAAGAACTCCACGGTGGAATGTGGATCGACCCTATAGTCCTAAAAACCCAAAATATTATCAAATAACTGCAAATTGATTCTAAGCTTCAACTCACTCACATTTTCATCGTAATTTTCATGTAAAGAACATTCCTTGGTATTCCAAGTATTGTTGCAACTCAACCAGGGTATCACCCGATGCAGGGAATTCACTGTGTAGATAAGGGGCACCACAGCTCCGATGCAGTAGTAGGTTAGAGTGCCCAGATTAAGCAGCAAAATGGCGTAGCCGATGCCTAAAAGTATGCCGTAATGGTTGGATTTTTTAACAGATCAAAATGGTTGAAGATCTCTCACCTTTGAAAATGGGCGCCACGCGAAATGCTGAGATAGATCCAGAAGATGAGAATTGTCCCAGAAATGCTTGTATCAAAAATATTGGCAGCGAGTAGAAAAACATTCCCATAAGGTAGGCGATTATGAAGAATACTAAGGAGAATAAAACATTTAAAATATAAAACATATAAAAAACACATTAAATACATACAAATTGAAAATAAAATTATTAAATTATTTTTAATGATTCATAATGATTAAAAAGTGACTTATTAACATCGGTCCTGAACTCTGACTACTATTTGTTATTACATATTATCGATTGCTTTTTGCTATATAGTAATTTGTTGTGGTTGGCACTGTGTCATTATTTGAATTATCTTAAATATGGTGAACAATGCAATTATGAAATCAGTTACTCGGCGATTATCAACAATTATATCGTTCTAAAACAGGTTTTAAAAATAATTAGGGGCGACTAATGGAGGGGATTGTAGGATTTTTGTTTTGATTTTTGTGGTAATGGCAACCCCAGTTGTTCACCTTATCGCTTGCGGAATATGATTATTGTTGAAAGTAAACGCGAAAAGCCGTCCTCTACGCAGTTTTGATAACCTTTGGTTTAGTTAATTGAATTTTTTATTGATAACTTATGGCAATGGGATCAAAGTGGGAAAAAGCAAATAGACTTTTAAACACCAAATAAAATAAAGTAGATGATCTATTTAATTTAAAAATTTTTAAATATTCTGTTCGTGAAATAGCCAATATCAATAAAATTTAAATGGTATTTAAGATTTTAAGTAACAGCCGATTACATGGATTTCTTGAGATCACTTGGCGCTCATAAATATTTATTGGTTTTTTCAACAATTTTTCGTTAGTGTTTACTTATATTTGATAGCTGTTATAAAAAGTGATAATTTTAAACTACATTGCGCTAGGATTTAGCAATTCTTAAGGGTACTTACGCCAACCGCCGTGAAGTATTCCAAAGGTGGAGAGCTCGGAGAAGATCAGCGAACTGAAGGCATGAGTGCAGGTGGCGAAGTAGAAGTCAGCCGATTTTGCCCAACGACCGCGTGATTTGTCATGCCGATAGGGTCGCTCCAGGGTATCATAGGCACTGGCCGATCGTACGGCCATGCTGTGGACCTGTCGATTCCGAATTCGGCGGGCGGCGAAGGCCAAGCTGCCACCCCTTCCTCCTCCGGACTCCGTTTCCGCTCCATCGCCCGTAAAATCTCCGGGCAGTCCCGAGCCATGTTCGCTATTTTCACAGTCGCCCAGGAGCATGCAATTGTTGAGCTGCTCACCGCAGATGCCCTTCATGGTGGGTCATTAGGTGAGAAAGTGGCCAGCAGGTGAGAAAGCCCCTACACCTGAGCCGCTAAAGTCTCAATTAAAAAGTTCCCAGTTGCTTTTCGTTCCAAGTTCATGCCGTTTTGTTCCGCGTTTGTTTTGCTTCGTTCTTTTTTTTTGTCTTTTGGCAGTCTGACCTAGTTTTCGGCAGCGTTTTTGTGGGTCACTTCACGAAGAACAAGTAGTAGAAATCTGAGCTTCAGATTATCTTCTAATAGGCTATTATTGCCGCCGGCGGCTTCATCCCGCACTCGTAAACCTTATTCGAAATTAAACCCGATTTTGATTACTCCGGGCGCCAAGCAATCAGCTCCGATGCTCAGCGACAAATGATGCTATTCGATGGGGATTGCCGTTCTCAAGCGACGCCAAATGAAGCAGTATTATTATAGGCAACACCAACAACAAAGAGCCCAGCAACTCACAAATTTAATTAAATATAAAAGTCTTTATACGTAGTTTTTTCGTGCAATGCGTATGTGAGAGCCAGTGAGTGTGCAACGATTATATGCGCTGTACAGTGGGTCAAGTGCTAAGTAAAAAAGAAATATTGGCAAAAGTATAAATATTTATTAAATTTTTTAAATACGAAAATATAATTAGAAAAAAATTGTTCATTCAAAAAAAACTTTTATTACAAATGTTATAAAAATTGTTTAAAGACCAGTTAAAAATTAAATACTGATCAAAAGAAAATAATAAAAGTATAGAAAAGTTGTTCAGGACATACCTATCAATTTTAAATTATATTAAATTTTGTTCAATATTCCATTAGTCGATGGTTCTGACGCTTCTTTAAATGGCCCGTACCTATCCTATTATCAGTAGAGCGAAACAAAGAAAAATTCCAACTGAAGGGGAAATCAAAACAAATGGAAATTTATTTTTAAAAACAAAGCCATCGAACAAAATCGAATCTCATCGAAACCAAACAATGCAAATGGAAATAAATGGCAAGCAAAAGAAAAACGAAACGAGTGGCAAAGTGAACGGGGGCAATGGACAGCTGATGGTGCCATTTCACACCCCCACTCTCATCGCACTCAATGCCGGTGGTCTACGGAGCGTATACTTGACATTGCTCATACGTACGGGTGGCTGAAAAAAGAGGCAGCTCTCTTGTTCTCTTTTGGCCGAAAAGATTTCAACAAGTAAAAGCGATAAAAAGCGGAGGGAGCGTGTAATAGGGTGCGCGAAAATCAGCTGTTTTTTGTTTTGTTTTGCTTTGTGTTTGTGCAAATTGTGTAATTCAGGCGAAATTTTCTGCCTTTTTACTTTTTTCTGTGCTTACGCGTTTTGGACGCCGATGACGCTGTTGATTTGGTGTGGCTTCATTTATGAGTAAATTAGTGAGTGCACCGAATGCGGCGAACGTGTCCAATTAGTCGAATCGAAATGTTTACAAACAAACACTCTGGTGTGCGCAATAAATATGCAAAAAAAATTGAAATGGCCAAGAGGAAAGCACAAGCAAATATATACACAGTGAACAAAAATTAAAAATTTAATATTAAATTATTGCATTCTTATGATACAATTATTTTTTATTTTTTTATGTAAGTTTAATTTTTAAAAATTTTTTGTAACAAAACTGTCAATTGACAATAAAAATTTCCAAACTGAAATTTATTTTTATACTTTTCAAAAGTAAATATTTATGTTTCCAGAAATATATATAAAAGTAATGACCATCGATATACAAATTTTCTTTCTGAGTGTGCATAAATATTTTCTCTTGCTTGTCGGCATAAGACGCAAAAAGTTGGCGTCTCAAGTGTTGGCCAAGTCTGTGGGCAGTACCTTTCCCTCCCATCCTAATTTCCCCTTTTTCGCCACCATTTTCAGCCCGTCAAGAAGACTATGCACATAAATGTAGATAACGATATTGGCGCCACATAAACTCAATATGTCCCGTTATCATCCGTTTGTAATCTCAACCATCTGAAACTCACATTTGCATACAGTGCACTTTTCTATTTCGTTCCGGCGACACTTTTTTTTGCAATCACGCACAAAACTCCTGCATAACCTGCACTGTGCGAATGTTAATCCGAACCCGAATCTCGATCTGAACCCGAATCGGAATCTGCTGCGACTGCGACGCACGTTGTCGGCGCGTCTGCCAGCGAACGACTGAAAACTGAAGAGTAGAAACACAGCCAGATAGTCGCCGAATGTCAGACGAATGCGAATGTTGCTGCTGTTGCCGTTGTGACTGTTGATGTTGCTGCTGTTGCTGCTTTTGTTACTGCAGATGTTGCTGCTGTCTCTTATCGCAGTTGCTGCTGTGTGCTACTTTTACTCTTCGGGAGAAATGCAAAAGAGTGACAGAAACGAAGAGCGCAATGTAGCGATGAATTCATTTTTTAAATGCTCTACAAGTGAAGAGAGTCAGAGGTGAAAAATAAAAATTACATAGAAAATATTAATTATTTTCAAAATACTTAGTCTGAAAACAAATATAAGTACCAAATAAAAATAATTTGTTTTAAGCTCTTTAATTTTAATTTTTATTTTAAATCAATATATATCAGTCTTTAAGTTTATAAATAATGTTTTTATATATTGAATTTTTTCTTTGGATTTATTTTCTACTGATTTATTATTGCTTTCTTATTTACAGGTTACGATTTCTAATTCTCTTGCTACATGCACTAAAATTAACAAAAGCCGTAATATGTCAAATCGATTTCGAATCAAGCTATTATATTAAATGAAGTACGTACAAAGTGGAAATTATTTACCCCCATATCGTACCAATTTTCCAAATTACCCATATGGCCGAACACAAGAGCAAGCCAAATTCGCATTGACCCCGCGACTCCTGTGTGATTTTCTCTTTGCCGGTCAATTACCGGCGATTGCCAAAACGAAGCCCAGTAGGAAATTTCTTGCCATTTTCGAGTCAGACTCCAAGTAAGGGGAGACTGTCGACACGATTGACGCTTGACTCTTGGCCGCCGGCGTACAATAAATCATTGCAGTCGGTTCAATACAGCCGATTTAATCGCAAGACGTTGCAGAGAAAAAAATGTATGGTAAATATTCTTGATGTAATTTTTTAAGAATCGTTAAAAATATTTTTAAATATTTCGTAGATTTTAAGCTTAGTTTTTGTAATTAAAATAACTTTCCTAAAAGTATAAAAACCAAATAAATTCAATAAAAATTAATATATTTTTTAAAATTTCGCTCAGTGTAGTTCAAAGGAGGTGTGGTGAGAAAAAGTTAAAGGAGGTTTGAGGGGGTATTGTTATTGATACACTGACGCATTTCATTCAACGGCCAAATGCGGCAACAAAAGCGAAACTAGAAACATGATAAACAAGCGCGAGACGTTGTAAACCGCAGCTGAAACTTGAAATGGGAAACATAAAAAAAGGGGTGGCAGAGTAGGAGGAAAAAATCACGCAACAGTTGGATTCTGTTATAGTAAATCGAAAGATATAGGGGGGCAAAAAACAAGTGCGAGATTGTGATTTGTGACTGCATTTCGCATTCGAACGCAGTTGGAGACTTTGCGCATGCGCATGAACTTGACATTTCAGCTTTCGATTCAATTGCTTCGCTCTGATCACACTTTATTGTAGAGGAAGGGGGTTTTATGCAAATAGTGCAGTGACAATTTGAGGCAATGAATCAATCAAGTGGATCAAGAGGCGTAACAATGCGGCGATAAACGTTTCAGAGCCAACGGACTGTGTATACAAATGGACTGTGTTTGTGAGGAATTTATCACTAATGCGCTATTTTAAAAGCATCGTCTGATTTATCTTAGCTAGTTTTAGTACAATACAATTATGTTGTCAATTGATCTATTAATAACAAAAACTAGTTTAATCTGCCAAAGTCCAATAAATCCATATTAAGTGATGGTCACGCGATATTTCTTTGGATATGAATAAATAACAGAAATATTAAATACCTCATAAAATTTCATAAATTTTTTATAACTTTATAAATTACTTGACATTAATAATTTTGTTTAATCTGGGTTATATATTATCATGAAAATACTAGTTAGCACAGCCTAGCACAACATTTCCCTCATGTATTTTCCCCAAAAATATAATAGGTTCATACTTTTGTTACATTTTCTTTATTGGCAAAATGTTTAAGCATTTCCTCCCAGAATGCACGTGGCATTCCCATCGAAGGAAAGCTTGTGGCGGCTTTTCACAGGAATGCTTGGAAAATGTATGCTAGATAAATAGGTAAGCGAGAGAAGGAGGCAACCACAAACGTGGCCGTGTGCTTAGGTCGAAAGGGAATTTTGATGACTCAGTTTTTGGGGACAGGTGTGGAAGGGTCCTGTTCAGGTGCTAGGTGCGAGTACCCTGTCTATATATATATGTGTCTATATATACAATGTATTTACAGTAGAGTGTTCAGGGGATTCCCCCTTAGCGGCAGTTTCCATGGTAGAGGCGGGGGTTCGATCGGCAAAGGGATTCTCTATATAGCTGATATAGCATTCTCATTACAGAGTTCCGGGAGCAGGGGCGGCGTTGATGGAGGCCACCGACTGGATGTGTCCGGCCAGAGGGGCGGTGTGGATGGCTCCGCGGGTCTGGGCAGTGTAGACGCCCTCATGGGCAACCGGGGCAACGACGACGGCGGGAGCATGAGCAGCCACCACGGCGGGAGCGGCGGCATGGACGGCCACGGCAGCCGGAGCATGGATCGCTGCCGGAGGCCAGGAGGCCACGTTTACGGCGGCGGGCCAGTGGGCAGCGGGAACGGCCCAGGGAGAGGCCACCACAGCGGGTCCGGAGACGGCGGTGTAGGAGAGTCCATGACCAGCCACCTGGGACAGCAGGGGGATCACAGACGACTGCACGCCCATGGCGAGGGCCAGGGTGAAGACAATGGCGACGGCGAACTGTAAATATAAAGCATCATAAATATTAATAAATTTATATTTTTCTTTGAAGAATTTAATATTGAGTTTTTTTATCCTTTTGCAAAAAGCGAAATTATTATTTTGGAATTTTAAAATTTGTCTCCTTTTATCAGTAAAAACCTATGTGCTTTAAATATTTATTGACCATTTTGATCATCATCAAAGAATGTCATTTGAATATATATTAAAGATATTATAATATCATATTGATATTAAATTTTATATATCCTCGTTAGAAGCCAAGCAAAGGTTGCCAATGCCCTAAACTTTTGTTTAGGTTTTTAATTATCAGGATAAATCCGCTTATTAACTCACTTTCATGTTGCTGGTTGTGGGTTTTGGTTGGCGCTCTGGTTGAACTCTTGTTCTGAACTGATCTGTCAACGGTGCTGCCGGCCAGTTTTATACCCCACTGCTGACCACCTCAGCTATAGGAAAACCGCTACGTCGGAGGGTTCATGAAAGTGAGAGTTCACACACCATGACACTGCTGACACTGCTCTGCATGCATATGATCAGCGCTAATGACATGCTTCGGATCGGAACGGATCGGATCGGTTCTGATCGATCTATCGGTTTAGAGATCAAAGCGGTTGTGTTGAAGAACTAGTTCTACACCTACATTGTTGTTAACTTATTAAATTGAATTATATTATTTTAGCCGGAACTTAAAAATTAATATTATTTTCGCGGGAAAACAAATACCGTTTTTTCTTAAATCTCCAAATTTTAAGCTGCATATTGCAAATATTTTTAAACGGTTTTTATTAATTTTTTTTGTTATTTTTTTTAAGTTACATTTTACAATCTTTTTATTTTTTACAGAAATAATATTCCGAAAATGAGAAAATTCATATTAATTGAACAAAAAGGTATATATTAAGAAGGCTTTGTCAAAATAATTATGCCCTTATAATAACAACTTAATAAAAGTTCAAAACGAATTGGTATTCACTTTAAATATTTTATTGCATTTAAAGAATTTTTGAATTATAATAAATTGTTCCCATGAACTAACTCATAGGCGAACTATCATATACACATATCCACTGACAACTTGCACCGCCCCAGAAATGCATTCTCGGTGAGTGTGTTTTCCATCTCTGTGGCCATGTGGGTCCAACTGTCTGAGTGAGTGGCCCAACCCACTTTTAAGCTGCAGTTCCGGTAAGTTGATTTTCACTCCATCACACCGCCACTTTAATTACTTAATTGTTGTTTGTGCCCGATTAGCATTTCAGTATGATTTATAACACGAATCCAATTATGGAGCGATCGGTATCCTGTATAAGGCCGGCTAATAACTGATTTATGTGTCTTAAGGGTTAATGATATGCCAGGAAACACCCACCTATTCGATTGATTTTTAATACCTATTTATCGTAAAATTTTAAAGTGTAGTAGTTACTTACACAGAATTAACTTGAATAAACATTCATGACAAAACTATAAAAATAATTAAATATTAATGCACTAATAGTTTTCAAGAAGTATTATTTTAAGGCATAATAAAATAATTAAAAGGCCATTATTTTTATTTTTCCTTTCATTTAACAGTAATTTATTTTAATTTTGAAAAATGTTATCATTTATAAATAATGTATCCTATTGTTTTATTTTTTCCAGGACCAACGATAACGTCATCGCCCAAAGTAAACCATTTAATTTAGGTACATGAAATGTAATTTACCGAGGCTAACAGGCATTCCACCTCTATCTTTTTTTCCTGGCTATTTCCCTAATTATTTCTACCTCCGATTACCTAATGGAATCGACATTGCACAACATTCACCTGGCCGAAATGTATCGGAAAGTGTCTAGTGTGGGTGTCTACCGCCTAAAACAGCCCACATAAATATATCGCAAACCCATTAGGTGCAGCAATTAAATCAGACATTATAGCAAATTTGGCCAAGCAAAGACAATTCAATTGTGCCGAAAAGAGCATTTCAGAAACAGAGGGAAAAACTGGTTTCGATGCCAATGTGGGTGAGATCGATCGAGTCTTGGCAAAATTTCTTGGCAGACACCAAAAAAGTTCAAGTTGAATTCTTGCGATAATCTGTAATTAGCGGCTGCTATAATTTTCTCTGTGTGGCAATTATTTAGTTGTACCAGAAGCCCAGGTGCTGACTGAAACCGAAACTTGGTCTCTGTGCGATCTGTAATTAGCGCTAAGCGTTTGCATAATTAAGCATACGCCCTGTGCGCCCAATACGTGCATATGAGCCGAGTCGGGGTCTGCTCCAATTAACTCGATCTAATGACCATTGGCCCCCAACTTGACTACCGTTCAGCGGTGGTCGATAGTATTGCCAAGCAAATTAGGACTGTCACTATAATAATACAGACGTAAAGACAAAGACACATTTGATCTAGACGTTCTTGGCAGATATGGAATCAATTGAACAATTTGTCGGCCTTTCAAGGTCGAGCAGGTGCAACAAAAGACACAAGGTTATAATTAACTAATTTGAGACTTATGATTTAGTTGATTTTAATGAGAGTTTAAAAGTGATTCAATACCTTTGTCTTAACAATTAAAATGAGTTTGAATAGTGCTCTTGAAATTATAAATGTCTTTAAATATAAGTTTGAAATATAACGGAATTTTGTTCATAAAGCAAGGAAACGGAAAAAATATTTTTTGAAACAAATACTTGTGTAATAGGTTTATAAATAATTTCAAAATCTAAAAATAAATATACTTAAAAATTAACTAAAAGAAAATTATAATATAAGTTTAAAACATTTATCAAGAACAGAATTTTGAAAAATTTTAAAGTGAATAATATAAAAATGACCAAAAAGAAATGAAACTAATTAAGAAAAACTCTACTGAATTGAAATATCGTTTGTATAGAAATTATAATTTTTATAATGCTAATTACGAGTATAAAACCTACTTTTGGCTTACTTTTTGGACAACAAACAGCCGTTTTCTTAGTTTTTATTAAAAATTACAACTGTTCAAAACTGGTTTTGAAGTTTTCTTTCCCAAATATTTCCCAGCACCATTTGCAAAACACAATATTTAATTCGTATAAAAAACGCTGATTGAGTTTATTTATAACGCTTTCGTCAATCTTTACATTGTTGCAGATTACTAGAGTACAATGGGATATATACAGGTTGACAGGGCATATCATAGGACGATATGCCGGACAGTGATAGATATAGAAGGATACAGTGATAGTTGTAGAGATGTAGAGGAAGACAGGATAGCAGTTGTGGGAAGTAATTGAAGAGTTCTCAAAAAATAAAATTAACATGCTGTCATTTGTTGGTTTGTTGTAGTTGTTGTAATTGCTGTTGGACTTATATATTGCTGAGTGCGTTGGGAAATGTCCAGAGGATATGGACATGGACCCAAGATCAGGATCGTGTTCGTATCGGGGGGACTAAGAGCGGTGTGCTTAACAATAAGTGTACAGAGAGAGATGGGTATTTATCCGGTTGGAGTAGTCGTGGGTAGTCGCTGAAGCAGTTGGAGATCAGTTTGCAGACACTGCACCATCCATCCGCTCCGTTTGGCATCGGTTAGGGTCTTGGACTCCCGACTTACAGGGTTCCCGGGGCGGGGGCCACGTTCACGGAGGTGGCAGAGTTGATGTGTCCGGCCAGGGGAGCGGTGTGGATGGCACCACGGGTCTTGGCCACATAGACGCCCTCATGGCCATGGCCGGCGGCCAGACCAGGTCCCTGGGCGAGGTTGATTCCGGGAACGGCAGCTCCGTGCCATCCAGCACCGGTCAGACCCCAGGGAGCACCAGCAGCACTGGCGTGGACGGCAACGGCAGCGGGGGCACCCCAGTGGGCACCGTTCCAGCCGTTGTTCCAGGCGCCGTTCCAGGCACCGTTCCAGGCGCCATTCCAGGCTCCGTTCCACAGACCAGGTCCGCCATGGGCCACGGGGCTCACATAGGACACACCGGGAGCGATCTGGGCCCACGAGGCATGAGCTCCAGCCAGGGCGCACACGAACATGACTACGGCAACGGCGAACTGGAAGACCAAATAGGAATGTCAATTACTTACAAGGTTCTAGGATTAAATTCTTTTATAAATTTTCAAAAGTTTTTAAAAACTTTTTTAAAATTTCTGATTTTTTTTTTTAAAGTTTCTAGATTTTTTTGAATAATTCTGAAAATCTATTCAGAATAATCCTTGCTGATATCACCTCACCTTCATGTTGATGGTTTTGGGGTGGGTTTTGAAGTTGGGTTGTTGAAAGGAGAAGTGCTTGTTGAATACTCAGCGAACGAGTTGATTCTGATTTCGACTACCAAATTGTGGCAACTTATATACGAAAAACGCAGCGCGGACTTTGCTTTGCTTTTCCAATTCCAAAACCGAAACCTGCCCCCCAAGTCAAGAAAATATATATCAAAAAGCGCCACAGAGAGGCGAATGGCGCGAGAGACTCTGCTCTAGAGACGCCGACGCCCAAGCCCAAGTCTCGGGCAGAATTGGAGTACCCATACCCAAAGCCTAGTCATACCCATACCCCAGACCCCATACCCAGTAGATCCGCTCCGGGTTTTGGCCTTTCACTGCCCAGCTGCTCGAAGATCTCTGCCTTGGGTGTCGCTTCCCGCTTCACCTGACCACCACCCTCCCAAGCCACGCCCCTCTCTCCCACGAAAAGGGGGCGGCGGGCGTCAATGATTGCGCAAATTACCACAGTCGAACTTCTATAGATCAAAACCAACCATCAAGAATACTTCACCTAAAGATATTACTAAGAAATAAATTTAAAATATTTATAAATATTTAACAAAACAGATTTATAAGCATATCAAATAAAAAATAAGAAAAGAATAACCAAGTAATCAATATTTGCATGCCTTCCTAGTTATTATTAATTATGTATAAATAAATTACCTAAACTTCAATTTATACTTAATTGTATCTTAAATGTATCTTTTGAAAAGCGACAAAATTCAATTTTTCAATTTAGCCTAAATTCCTTTTGAGGAAGCCCGACTGTACAAACAAGAATTTACAGCCGAGGGTGAAACACAAATACACATAAGCATAGATATTGAACCGACACAATCGGTTGGCTCAATCAGCGGGTTGAAAATTGCCACAAACACCAAATTATATTGATAAAGCACAAACACATTTAAAAAGTCATAAGCATAGGGGCCCAAAGCATTCAATTTGCCATGGCACAGACCAAAGTTTTTGCTGCATTAGCTTTCAGAATTCTTTGTTGCAATTATATAGTCCGCTGGTATGAGTGTTCAGTTTGCGGCTTGGGGCACGGAATTTCTGTAAAGTAAAGTAAAATAAAGTCGCGTGCCTACACTGCAATAACAATTACTTAGCCCCAAGGCGGACTTAGAACTTAGCCTCTGCAATGACTTAATCAATGCAATAAAATTAATTGGGCTTTAAATGCCAAAAAATTAGTCAACCGTTGAAATCCTTAAGTAATCGATTGTGGTTTTTATCTGTTCAATCAAAGTTCGTCAAAAAAAAGAGCCCAAAAAGAACCTATTAACAAATATTCTTATACCCAAAAATAAAAAAATAAAATAATTTCGTAAATTCAGTTGGCAGCGAATAAGTATTTTTGAAATACCAAAATATTTTGAAATACGGAATACTTTATGAGAATTATAAAACTAACTGACGTCAGAAAGAGCGTGATTTTTCGCCGCAAGTTCCAGAATTCTGGAATTTTTTGCAGTGTTTTATATAAACAATTAGCCTCTGCAGTTTTGCCTTGTTTTCGCTGCCCGCTGCTCCGCCAAAAATAGGAAGGCAATTCTAGTATTGTGGTGGGGCAACGCCCAAGAATAAATATAATCAAAGGCTGTCAGCATTGGCAAACAATAAAAATGCAAAATAGCAAAACGAATTGGTGGACTACATTTCCATGTTTGGGGCATTTGGCTTAAACCCCCAGCCAATTGCAGCCTCAACTTGAAATTGTCATGGACATGCAGATCAAAAAAGCTGGACACGTTTTTTTTCTTTTTTTCATTTTTATTTAGACGTGGGTCAGAGTGTCAAACTGGCCAAATGTGAGACCGAATCCATTTAGAGGACAGCCATTAATCACAGCCAATATGATTATGGATTATGCATAGGGCTCCGTAACGGGTCTTGGTGGAATGTCATACTCGTCTAACTGGGGCAATTAGACCAAGACCAACTTTGGCGAGAAAACAAGAGCAATTTTCATTTGACGAACGGGCCGGGCCCTTCACCTCGGTTCTAATAGAGCTTCATTAAGAAACCAGCTTGCCTAAAATATGCATTATGCTAACCAATTCCATTCGACTGATGGCGAAATACTTGGAGTTTTATTGCAAATTTGAGAGATTTTTATTACGATGACCAGCAGACAATGCAGGCCAATTTTTTAGGGCGTGTTTCCATTTTTCCTATTCTATTTTATACCATTGTTTCGCTTTGGCAAGTGGGCGGGGCGCTCTAGTAATAACCATCTTGTCGGTTTGGTAATGATCGGTCAGTTTATCGCGCGCAAATCGCATAATTGGCGCAGGTTATTTTCAACCAGGCCGCAATTATGCAAATTTTCCAAACACATTTGCATGGCAATACATCAAGAAAGCTGAGCTAAAAGGCCCACTTATAGCTATAGTTTTGGTTAAATTACTAAAAAAATTTAATTGATATTAGTTTATGTTTAATTAAATGTATTCTATTATTCAACTATTATTTTACCAATATCTGTTTTAAAGGTAGAATTTCCTAATTTCCAGGACTTAAATCGTAACGTGTGTGGTAGCCCTTTAGAGTCTAAAATCGTTTGGTGGCAAGCAGCCTCTTGCAAACCTATCAAATAATTCTTGACAGCTCACAATTTGATAGCCTTTTACGAGAACGTTCTAACGTGAAATTGTGAAATCCTCAGAAATTTGTATTTCTCGTTCTATTTTTCTATCTGCAAAATGAGTCAATTGGTTGCCAAGGCCCAGGCCCTAGCCAACAGTAAGTTTTACACTCCAAGTCTGGCTTAAATATAATTACAATAAAAATATTACACAGAGATTGTAGTGGCAGCACGTCCGCAGCTCGAAGAATTCTGGAAGTATGCCAAGGTGGAGCTATCGCCTCCGTTGCCCGCGGATTTCCAGAAGTTGAAGAAGACCGCCGAGACCGCTAAGAATGTCTCCAAGAAGGATATGAAGGGCCAGCTGAAGAAGTCGGGACTTTCCCAGACCACCGTCAAGGAGGCCTGGCTAAATATTCTGGTCACCGTGGAGGTTATTACCTGGTTTTACATGGGCGAGGTCATCGGTCGCCGTCACTTCGTCGGCTACAAGGTCTAAACTAAACTGATCTAATGCTTTCCTTATGTTCTTTCGTTGCATACACATATTTTCTGTGGCCAGGTGCACTGAATAAAGGTGCACTATCAGCATTACAATCTTGGGTGTAGCTTTTTGAGTTCCCTATCAATGTTGAAAAGTATAAATATGTCTCCATAGCTTTATCTTTTTAAAATCACCCGAATTACGCTTAATTTTAATATTTTTAAAAAGCAGACCAAAGATAAAAGGACTTATACTTTTTAAACCCTACAAACTCCCCAAAACTCTTGAAAAATACTACTTTTATAACTTCCCATTCTTTAAGAGCCAAATAGCGTTTCCTAATGTCTTTCAGTTGTTCGCAACTATTTGCATACATAAATTCTCGGTGACCAGGTGCACAGCATGAAAACTCCCACTCCATCGTTTAGCACTGCCCCTCCTTGAATTCCGGATAACCATTGGCCCGGCATGAGCAACGCGCTCAATGGAGATCAGCAAACCGCTGAGCTGGCATTGATCTTGGGCATAAAATTCTGTTTCTCCGCTGCGAGGCGAGTGCGCAGGCGTCCGAGCGGCAAAGCGTTAGTTTTCTAAGGCGCTGAGACAGCAGACACGGGCGGCAGTCCGGTCAAGTGGCATAAATCGGATTGACGCCGTTGCAGTTGCACCACCCAAACCCAAACAATGGCAACCGACGTGTGTCCCACCAACTTGACAAAGTCGAGGGTAACGTTCTGAAATTAACAATTTCATAAGGTAAATAATTTAAAAATCAACAGACTTTTATTGTAAATTTTAATTTTATATTTTATATTTTAAAGAAATGTTTTTTTTATTTAACCTGGTTAGACTTTAAACGAATTTAATCCATTTTAAAATACCATACCATTAAAAGCCTTTAAAATAGCGCCCAAAAATCATGTTTAATTAGGTATTGTGCGTTTTTTTCTATTTTTCAAGCTGAAGTATTTATAAAATAATATTTCATCGTATTTTCATTACATTTTATGTAAAGCAGTTTTACTTGCAGCAGCTATTTCCCATTTTCTACCCCCTTTTTATGATATTATTTCATTTAAAATAACACAAAGTCCTTGCTTTAAAAGCATACATATTTCATCATATTTTAAGACCGCTTTACAGGTAATTTTGGCACATAAACGATTTGAGCCATTAGTTCGATTGAAATTGTATTTGTCTGTCTGCAGATCGACTTTACCGCTTGTCCCAATTTTAATGGCATTTTAATAACAAAGCCAGCCTGCTAGCACCAGCCTTTGTTGCAATCTCACCGCCCGATTGCATCATGCTAAGTCCGCAGACAATATAGTCTGGTGGTCCTTATCACAGCTCCTCGACTGACAACGCCCACTTTTGGTTAGATGAATGCGAATTCCGTATTAAAATCGCATAAACAGAATGAAACTAATTCTGTAGACGAGGAGGGTTAGGGGGGAAATCAATGTTAGCCACGCTTGAATTCAATTTGGCGGCTGCCGATTGTTGCAACTTGTAACTTGCAACTTGGAAGTGGGGTGGGCTTTGTGCCAGCCAACGATTTTTGGTTTCCAGCATTTGGTAACCAGCATTTCCACCCACACCGCCAACACCTCTGGCTTGCTGCTCATTATTTAATTTGGATTTCATACACTACGTGTGAAATAAACACCAGCGGTTCGCCTGGCACACCTGTAAGGTTCATTAAAATTCATAAAAATCTTTGAGGTATGGAACCAAATAAATGGTTGTGGAGCAAGAAAAATTGAAAACCGCAAATATACATTGATTTTAAATTTTCATATGGCATCTATGGGATTTACAAATAAAAATTAATTATTTATTTAAGAAATTTCCTGATAACAATTAATATTTATTGCAGATAGTTCATAGTTCAAGCCAATAAATAAAAATAATTCAAATAATTGCATTATTTTTGTAAGATCATTCAATGGTCAACAGGAAAAAAATCGATTTAGTTTTAATTGTTGTTCGAACTAAATTAATTTAACTAGCTTGCATAGGCAATCACACTTGGACTCTGGCAAAGGCATTTTCGAGTGGGCGGCCTCCAAAAGGCGGTTATTTTTTGTATTTTTGTTGGAATTGAACCGAGAGGCGCACATGATGCAATTGCAATCGTAACGTAATCGATTGGTCAAGTATTCCCCCTATAACCGTTAGTTGGCGATCAAGATCTCTGGGTAATTAATCCAATTACAATTAGCATGCTAAGCGGACGCTTAATGGTCATTACGAGAGGGCAATAATTAACCACTTTTGTGGCCACGGTTGTCACTACACAACTGTCATAACTAACAATGAGCTTACCCGTACAATTGTTGCTAATTCAACGAGTTCTATATGGGGCTGGTTAGTGTGTTTATGACGTTAGCAAGTGGCTGGAGGAATGTCTGAATTGGTGGAGGGGCCTGGGCCCCCCCTTTTTTTTCACCTGCATATTTTGCCTTTTTTCCACCCAGCTGCTGCCACGAAAATCACAAAAATCTTGGCGAGTGTGTGCAACAAGTTTGTTTGCCGCTCATGCAACCCGCCAGATACTTGTCGCTCACTCGGCGGCGAATATTTGGCTACAGGTTGTTGCCAGCCGTACTATATTTAGGCCACCAACCAGTTGTGGGTGCGGATAAGAAAGCCTGGCCGTTGTGCGGCATTACGAAATCCAGCCAGCAATGTGGCGTTTGTTTTTCTGGCTCTGAAAATCGATTCGTACGTATAGGGTCCACAAGAAACCGCCTTGTTCTGATCGGTTCTGGTGAATGAATCACGCGACTGCAGAACTGGCTCGATCCTTCGCTGGAACTCTGACCTTATTCAATAACTCATCGCCCACACACAAGTAGGCGGCTGAAATGATGTAAGTTTTAAATACACTTGTAAAAAAAAACAAGTTTATTAACAAAGTGATTTTTTAATAAATGGTTTAATTTTTGTGAATTACTGTAACTTATTTATTTTATTTATGCTGTTTTCTTCTTATGGAAGTTTTACATAGAAATAAAATTTGAGGGGCCGACAAAAGTATAATAGACATTTTTAGATCATATCAAAAATATTTGCCAAAAAATAAAATTATATAACTTTTGATTCAAAAAATTTTTTATTGTATTTCATCAAATAATTAAAATAAGCTTTCAAACAAACACCTTTCTTCTACAAAATTGCCATAAATTTTCTTTGTGGCAACCAGAAGCGATCACTAAAAATCCGAACTGCCTTCGCCTTGCCAACAGAAGTGCGAATTGCGTAGACCAGAAATAAAAGGAAATCCATCGCAGTGGGCCAAGTTGAACGCGAAACCAGAAACTGCGAAAAGCGTTCGCCTCAAGTGCGTCGGGGTGCAGTGAACCCGTTCGAATCAGGAAGTGGCAGCAAAGTGCGTAAACTTGAACTTGGTGGTAAACGAAAAGGGGGAGTGGCTTGGGCCCAGTTAACTGCATTTGGTGGCTGCGTCATGCGTTTGTGGATTTGCGTGCACGCAGCTGCCGATCGAGTTAAGACCACTGGCGAATAAAGAAAACAAAAAGTGAATGGCTGGAGCTAGATTTATGGCCAATTGCCATGGGGCTTGGCTGCCGACACGACACTAAACAACGCCGGCAAAATGTTTAGCTGCTGTTTGTTGAGCTGCCACTTGTCCCCCGCCCCCCACTGTGCGGCCGCCCCTCCCTTTTTTTCTTGGCATCACGTTCCGGCGTCAATTGACACTTTTATTGAAAGCCCAGGCATTTTTCTGCTTATCATGTTTTTCCGTCAAATTCATTTTCAGTCAAAATGCTTGGGCATCAAGTCGGCTGTTATTATTTAATTAGAAACAAAAGGATACCATAAAAAAATACCCTAAGTCAATTAATTGAATTTATTTATAATTTGTAATGTAATTATTGGTAAAATAAAAAATCTAGCTTAGTATATTTGTCTTAAAACAACATCATTAATCACATAAAAAAATATATTCAAACACCTAGTTATAGTATGTTGTAATGTTGTAAAAACTTTGAGATAATTAAACAGCTCTCCTATTATTTCCGAGTAAGCATTAAAAGTTAATCTAATTTAATTACTTCACATAAAGACTAGTACTAAAATGTTGAACTACCTGCTATTAAATTGGAGCAAGAATTTTTATAATACCGCATTGGCATAGATATATTTATTGGCTTACAGAAAATCCTACATATCCCATCGGAATCGGGAACGGCCGCCTAACGGCTTTCAAAGGCCTCCAGTGGGCGTTAAGGCGGATCTGATCTGATTTGAGTTGCATTACTTTGCATGGGCATTACTTAACTCCATCGCGGCCATATCAAGTTTTTTGCACATTTTTTCTATTTATAATTGCAAGTGCGAGTGTGCGGCGATCAAGGCAAACCGCCCCTGCTCCAGATCGAGTAGTACTCTCGTTTTCAGCTCGGATACCAGTTCGGAGGCAGCTTGGCGAGCTGGCAACAAAGTTGTCCAGCTGCCGAGCAACTGCGTCTCGTTTCTGGAACGGCTTTTTGTCAACGCCCCTGCTGTAGCGCCGTTTTGAGGCCCCGGAATTGATTAATTACTGCCATCGATAATCGTCCATCGATCGATATTGTTTTAAGCCATTCAGCTGTTTAATATTTGCTGGACTTGAAGGCGTGGGAGTTGGGCATAGGGTGGGGTCTCTAAGTGGTGATCAAAAGGTGAGCCGATCCCCTGGTAATTGCGTAAGAATTATTTCAAAATATTCTGGTATAAAGCGGTAACCCTTTTTGCAATTCTGTAAAGTGCATAAATGGTAGAAAAATATTTATTTCTGTAATATAAATATAAAAAGCATTTTTGTAGTCATTTATGTGTTGTATTTCATTAATTTCCCAAATGTTATTTCCCCAATTAAAATTCAATTGTATTGTTTTGATAACATTTTTTTATTCAAAAAGAAACAAATTTCCAGATGACAACAGTGGGGTGGATAAATATAGACCAGAGAATAAAGCGGAAAGCGATAGACTGGATAGGACTGACTTAGATGGCTGAAGAAATGAGAACCCGGTGGGATCTCAAGAGTGAAAAGACCAGGCGGGAACTTAAAAAACCAAAGAGTGTGGTAAAGATGCGAGTAAAGTGGCGGTCAAGATCGAAGGAGTACGGATAGTCCATGGGGTATTCCAGATTTCGAGTGTTTACCAGGTGCCTGGTGCGGGTTCCAGGTTCACGGAGGCAGCGGACTGCACATGCCCGGGCAGAGGGGCCACGTGGACGGCTCCACGGGTCTTGGCCACATAGCTGGCCTCCGGAGCGGCGACGGCCACGACGGCGGGAGCAGGGGCAGCCACCACGGCGGGACCATGGGCAGCAATCACCGTTGGAGCGGCAACAACAGCGGGTCCAGACTGGATGAGCACGGGTCCGGCCGGCGAGAGGGCCAGGGGGACGGCAGCGGGAACGGCAGCGGGAACAGCAGATGCCTGGATGGCCACCGAACCGGCGACGGCGGGGGCTCCAACCACCACTCCTCCGTGGATGGAGCTCAGCAGAGGCACCACCGAGCTGTTGACTCCCCAGGCCAAAGCGAACAGGACTACGACAACGGCGAACTAAAAATAAGAATGGGAATTAAAAACAATTAAAATAAAATCTACTATTTAATTATAATTGTCTAGATCTACAAATAATATAGAAATAGCTGGGTTCTTTAAATCGCCTTTAAGTATCATAGGTGTCTAAAAGTATGCAATAATATATTTAAAGCCCACACAAGATATGAATTATTTTTGAATTCACGAATATTCTTTATTCACTGCATACTTTTAGACCTTTGTTAGATGAAAATGATTTCAAAAGCCTAGTTATTTCTGTTATCGATTTCCAAATGAGTGTGACGGTGTAACTAGTGCAACGTTGGAACTAAAACATCTGCAGCAGAAGTCAAAATATTTTTCTGTAATCCTGGCTTAGCCCTTGGAGTTTAGAACTCGATTACGTTGATTTATTAAATTGAATGTCCGTTCAAATCCTTTAAGTCCTTCGTAAATTCGAACAATTGTCACTTCCTTTTAAACTTCTATTAATCTTCAATCTTGTGGGGCTCTTGAAATTTTTTTTTAAATTTTCTTCGAGCAAACAACACTTTAGTTATCCGATATCCCTTCAATCTCACCTTCATGTTGCTTCTGTGATCTCAGTGACGCTTGAAACGAAACTAACTGACATCTGCCTGTAGCCCCAGAGTTTTTATAGCTCCGATCCATAATTCCATTTAGCATATAAGGCCAGTTCTCCGATCGGCCAGTTCAGCCATGTGTATGTTTGCTGCACAAATGCGGAAACTGGCCCAGAGAACAAACCACGTAATACCCGCAGCCCCAACCCCGGCCCCTTGACCTTCCCGAATCGATATCTATAGCCCATTGACGACAATTCAAGTGCGCGACAATTAGCCACGCCGGTTGACATGATGAAAACAAGACTGGTCGCATTTGATTCGGCCAATCCATAACCATGACTTCAATCTATATAATATGAACTAAGGCTACATATTTCTCGGGTGCCCCTAACAACAATAGATAGGCAAATTACAAGCCACCGGCAAACCACTGTACCACCTTCGCCCCACACACATTCAGCACCACTGGCTGTCCATTAAAATTTCATCAGCAGAATGTAATTAAATTCACTTCAGTAAGCTTGCCCTGAAATTAATGTGCCCGCCGCCAGTTCTCGGCAAACTGATCCATTTTGGTCGCCCAGTCTCAACTTTCCGACTGCATTTGCATATCACTAATGCAACGCCAACAAATGTCCAGAGATGCAAAAAAAAAGTGGTCGATGAGTAGGAAGCCTTAATAAACCAGAAACTATTAATAGAAACTATTAATAGAAATTAATTAAAAGAATAAAAAAATGAATAAATGAAATGTTTAATTATTGAAAAAAATTTAAAAACAAAAGTCTTTAAACAAAATTATAATTATATTATATATTTGTAAGAGTATTTCGCAATACGCATAACTCTATTGAGTAATGTTTAAATAAATAGAACCACTTTCGATTTCTAGTCGGGAAGCAATAATTTAACATATGTATATCAACTCTTATCCAATAAATTTGAATTATTTATATATCAATAAAATATATAATTTTATTTTATACCTTCAAAGCTCTGTATTTTGCGGATATATTTAAAATAAAAACAACATGATTCCCTTTTATTCAACAGTCATTTGATGCTCTTGTCAAAGCAAAATCTTCAGTCAGTCTACACAACAAAGTTATCCCGTCCCAGACAATCACAATTTATATTTTCAAGGTCTTCATTTGATGTGGAAAGATCATACGGAGAAGCAGGATCATCTTGGGTTCTAGGATAGATTCAGTCGTGTTGAAATGGCTCGCCTCGTGTTCACAGAGAAAGATCACAATGCCTACGATCCCAAGAAGTACAAGGTAAGTGGCCATCACATCACATACCATAAAATAACAAATAAACATAAAATCATATATTTATGTAAAGGTGGTGCACAAGAACCACTGGCGGCAGGTGAGCCTTCTGCTGCAGCCTTCGAACAAGAAATGGTGGGAGGATCCCGATGTCATTGTTGCGTGAGTAGAGAACATTTAATGCCAATCCAACAGCTGAGTGGGCGGTGGGTGGTGGGGAGGTGGAAGGGGGCGTGTCTTGAGCACACGTGTGTCAGAACCACTTGCCATCAAGTGCTTTTCGTGTTTTTTATGGCCACACTGAGAAAAAAACCAAGTGCATAGTAAAGTACGAATTAAAATACCTTTTTAAAAAAGTGCTACACAGTTTACGATTTTCTTATTATATTTAATTATTTATAAATAATTAAAAACTAATATAAATTTTAGAATAGTTATGAATAAATGTAATATGTAGAAAATAAGGCAAAATATACGAATTAAAATACCTATTTAAGTATATGCAACACAATTTACTAAATATAAGGAATTTTATAAGGAAAATACATTTTAAAATAGTTTTAAATAAATTTAAAATCTAATTAACTGTTAAAAAAAAAAAACATAATATTAGAACAATTTAAAGACAACATTTATTCCAAATACCACTTTTCTCCTGTGTAACTTAGTTGCCCGATTGTTGGTTCGGTGACTCTGACACCGATTGGCGCCAATGCAGCCGCTGCCATTCAATTAAGATTCTTTGCCACAGCCGCGGCCATAATATTTTATTGCATCCATCAAATTGTCAGCCTTACACATAAAGTATTGCCCTACCACACCCAGAAATATTTCCATGGCAATTAAATCCGCGATGGGGAAATGTTCGCACTCAATTGCATCACATCGTCTGATAAGATTATATATCGCAAACCCATCCTGTGCCCCGAAACTTGTCCAAAAATCCTCCTTGGGTTGGGTGGGTGGTGCTAATTTCCGGACCGCGTTTAGTCACGCGATGCTAACGAAGCCTTTGATAGATGGCTCAACTTCTCGAATGCAAATGAACACCCAAGAAAGCGGGGGGACCAAGTGCAGCCATCAGCTGTCGGCGAAACTTTGGCAAGTAATTGGGGAACAGGAGTGATGGAAACGGGAAATTGGCTTGGTTATAGTCACTGGGTCGGCGGAGAATTCAGTTTCGCGGGTTGCCTTCTTGGTGGGCGGCAAAGTCAAGAATTGTCTGGCCTCAAGGTTAAGATCCTTGCTTAAAATCAGGGAAATTGAAACTGGGGTAGTTATTATTGGTACCTCTATTGTCGACTTGGCTTACGCTTATATGCGGAAACTATAAAAAAATAATTTCATAATAATTTTATAACCTTTAAATATTAATTTGTCCCGAAAGCATTTGAATTCTAGAAAAACTTTTAGAAAATTTATAAAGAAAACCACTGAAGATTCTCTTAGTATTCCTTTAAAAATATTAGTACTTTGAAAAACTGTTCTACGTTCTAAACCAGTCTAAATTGGTTGCATCAATTGATTGTGGGGAGAATTTATTGGTAGCATATTTTTTGTATACCACACTTCCTTTCACTTTTTACTTGAGAGTCCTTAATCCCAATTATAAATGTATTTGAAAATAGCTTTTGTGATTATTTAACGTTAATAATAGCACTCTTTCTACTGTTTTACTGTGGGTATTTAACTATCTGTAAATTTTAAAAAAGAAATACCACAAAATTTTCGTAGAATTTTTAGCTACAAAATGCACAAAAAAATTTTTTAATGGAAGTAATACTAGAACAGTGTAAGGGAAAATCCCTTGCGCTCCATTAGCACTGGCATAACTCACCTTTTGTCTGGGCTGCGTATCCACAATGATGCGAGGTGCCAGCCAAAGAGCCCGAAACAAACGCGAACGGGGTAATGAAAAAGCGATTTGGGTATGGATTGGTGTGGTATGGAATGGGGATACCCCATAATACACCGATGCAATGCCGACACTTTGCGTGTTCAATAAAAAGGAAAGCGGCAGGCGGAAAACGGTGTCAGTGCGAGGACAACGACGAGGGAAAGTACTTAAGCGGCGCGTCACTCAATCAGAATGATATTATTTTTAATGGCGCAAAATGGATACAATAAACAGCGAGTACGGGCGCGTGGCTGCCACGCAACGGACACGCCGACGAAGGTGATCCCACCCAGAAAGGGAATCAGAGTATCCGAAGCCAGGCACCATACAAGGCTCGGTCGTCGCAGGATGAGGACGAAGTTTTAAACGGAATCGGAAACTTAATTACATTTCAATTTGGGGCCTAAACAAACTGTTCCGCATATGTCACTCACGGCCGTGAAGTCTGATGCCGCCGCGGGGATCGGAGTGGTGGGCGTAGGCGCTGGAACTGTTGCACTATCCGACTCCCGGGAGTGGGCTCCTCCGCCGCCGGGCAAGCGATGTGCCACGGTGACTATGCTCCTGGCCCAGAGGATTGCACGCAACGCTTGCTGGTCAGTCGACGAGGAGCCCTCGTACAGTGCGAACAAGATGAACGTCTGGCAAACGCTGGAGTATCTCTCGGGGCTGAGTCTGCGGAAGAAGTACAACTACGAGGGCTTCTCGGACACGCACAATGTGATCAGGACACTCACCCCCTCCTGGCGGCGGGACAGTTTTGCCGAGAAGGCAAAGGCCGAGGAACTGGCCGGCGGTGCGGCTGCATCGGCGGTCAAGAAGTATCCCGAGGAACGCTCCTCGAGTGCTCCCCTAATCGCTGTCGAGGAGCCGGGCATTAGTACCAGCTTCCAGGGCAGTGATAATGGAGCCATGTTCGTACGATCTGGGGCGAAAAGCCCATCCGGACTTCACAGGAAGCATCGCAGCCGGAACCGGAAACGCAATGCTCCGCATCTGGATCCCGAGTACGCCCTGTCGCCGGAGGACCTGCAGGACCTGGTCAAATGCAAGTAAGACTAAAATAGATATTTAAATTGGTTTAGTTTGATCTTGAAAATACTTCTAAAAAACTTATATTCAATATTTATCTAAATGCCATTATAAAAAGTGCGTTTAAAGAAATCGAAAATTTATCTAAAATTAAGAATAAGTTTGTTAAATATTGTAAAATTAAATCCTAATTATTTCCTAAAATTTCACAATTAATATTTTTAAGCTCAAGAATATTTCCAAACACAGTAAGCATGATCTTGGACCGTTTTTTTTTAAGTGTAGCTACTCTGAAAGCTTTCCACAAAGCTCAGCAGGAACATAAACCTATGATGAAAATATGTTTATCCAAATCACAAACCATTCATAAAAACACATATATCCTCAATGGGCATTTCTTTCATATTTACTAAATTTTTTTTACTTTTCTAATTTGTTAAAAATTTAATATTTTTAAATGCTGCTTAAATATTCTGATGTGCGGCTTGACATAGTACCATAATCAATTTGTTTCCAAACAAATTGTGTACGACAACTAAAAAAAATGGAAAGTAGCAAGTCAAAAGAGGTGGGAGTGTATATAGGATTATGGGGTGACCCTCATTTTTCAGGTGAAAAATTCACCAAGGCGATAATCTAAGCTGACGCAGCAAACAAAAATCAATTGCAAATGACTGCAGTGAAATGCACTTTGCATTGTTCGACCCACCAAAAGTTACCAAATAAAAATTTCAGTGAGCCACCAAAGGTATTTGTTGGCTTTCTAAAAGCACCTATCGCGATGGCGGAAATCGTTGCAATTAAACTTGGCGAAGCAGGTGAAAATGGCCTTTTCAAAAAGTGGGCGGACCGGAAATAAAATGACTTACTGACGAGTTTCCAATGGGACTGACGTCAGTGATGCTCTTACTGAGCTATGTCCAATATTTTATGAGCTCTAATGCCAGAAACATGTTTAAATATTCATACAATTTCAATCCAAACAGTGTTAAATAAAAAAAAAAAGAATTTTTAAATAAATATTTTTTAACAAACTTTTTTTTATTTTCTTAACGTCTTTTTTTATTTTCTATAATTAACATAAATAATGAACATTAACCAAAATTTTTTTTTAATAAATACCCAGTCTAGTGAAACCAAGCATCCAGTTTTATATTGTCATGGAATCTCACGAATGAGGGCACAACTAGCGAACACACGAGTATAATGAAAGTGACAATTGCAGCGCCACACAGGCAATGTCAAAGTCGCAAATTCGAACGGCTAGGCCATCGAATAATGGAACCACCCAACCACTGGATGACTCCAACTCGATACAAAGTGTTTGCTCAATTTCCGCGCTCCGAGTCGATTAAAGGAAATTATTGTATGTCTCGTTGGCATGAAACGCGGCCATAAAGCGAAATTGTTATCTGGTTTCACGGTAATGTGAGACACTGCCTCACTGCCACCCCCGAAATTCAGGTCCTCATCCGCTGCCAGCCCTTTTCGTCGAGGAATAGTTTGCCATTCCCTTGCGGAAAACTTTGAGTCAACGGTTCCGTGCTTAGGCAAAGAGACAGGGAAAAACGAGATCTAACGGTGAAATAAACACCGGCAGTTGTTGGCCATAAACAAGGGCTAAGGGAAAGCCCCTAAGTGAAATGGCTAGAACGAAACTGGCTTTCTAGTTCCCCCGACACCTACGAGTGCAAACTTTAAAACTATTTCAATTCTTATGCTCTGAATGGTAATTTAATAGAGTTATTTATTTTAAGAGATAATCACACATAACACAACACATAATAGTACAAAATAAATTATTATAATTTGTAGGGACTCATGAAAGTTTAAGACACTGGATCTCATGGCAAAAATAATAATCTGTTTACTGCGTGAAGATTTTATAGGTCGTCCTGTCGGTTCTAATAATTTATTTATAAATTTTCCCACGAATTTCTCCGACCATCGACCTAGTTGGAAGCTTTTAATTGTCTACGAAAGTCTCTTAATTCCAAAGACTTAGACTCATCACCCAATTCTCAATTTCCTCAGATCTATTTAGATAGGACAAGATAGATGGAATAGGTGGATAGTAATGCATTATAATTTATTTTTCGTACAAAGCTCCTTTGCAAAAATTATACATCTCACTAATATTTGGCCAAGTTAGTGACTTCGACCAAGACCTTAAAACTATTAAATACCCACCTTCCCGCTACAAACTTGTTGACACACTACGCCAAACACTTTGTTCAAATATTGACATTGGTGTCATGTCATTACGCCTAGCATTAAATGCTTTAACATGCGATGGAACAGGAATCATACTCGAATACCGATTCGGATCGGGATTCCGAATCGGGGTTCCGGTGGCAAACGCCTCGATATCGTGAGACGTTTGGGAGCAAAAGTAAAAGTGGGTTGGTTTATTTTCACCCACGTGCCACTCGACGCCACACACACGTGTGTGTCAACAACAAAGCACGAGAAGCGGCAGCCCAAGGAATCGAATCCTGTGAAAAGGGCGCCACATTCGCCGGCTGCCTTTGTCGAGTTCGGGTGAAAGTTCCGCAGGTTGCGTTCCCGCTCGAATCTTGGTGCGAAAATGAGGGACTAAAGTAAACACCTTTTGGTTCACTCACCTGCCATGGCTGGAAAATCTTCGAAGGGAAAGAGAGCAAAAAAGTCTGTACCAATGTTGAAGATCAGCGTCGAGGAGGACTTCCTCATCGACTTTGTGCAATGCACTCTAGAGCCGGAGGAGAGGTAATACTAACCTAATCAATAATAATACATGGGAAGAAATTAAACAGTTCTTAAAAATAATTGAAACCTTCATAAATTTTGGAATTTATTTGCATTTATATTAAAAAAAAACCTTTTCTGTAATCAAAAAGATTGGTCATACAAAATTCAGGTTGCTTGTTGGAGAAATTAATATTATACTTAGAATTAGTTTTCTTAAATTTATAAGATACTTATTCAAGACAAGAACTTTTTGTAAGCAAAAGGGAAAACATTAATATATTTTGGCTATGCTCGTAAAATATGGAAAATATGTTTAAGAAAATTTGAAAATTTAGAAAAGTCAAACTAAATCAAACCTTTGTTATTATTTGCGTTGACTTTCAACCTGCTCCTGATTTTTATTAGTAACTAATAATATTTATCCTGTCTTTAAGTACATTGATCACATGTTAATTCAGAACTATCTTATTTGATGCATGTAAGGCTCGGCTTATAAGATAATTCGAATCACATTTCAATATTGAGCCACAAGTCTCGCACTTCGTCAGTATTTATTTCCCCTGCTACGTGTTGCAATTATCAATTTTAATGGCCAAAAGGCAAATGGCAAAAGACATAAATGTCAACTCTTCGGCAAATTTATGCACGTCCCTGGCATTAATTAGCGTTGCACACTTGCAGGAACCGTATCCTTCGTTCGGCGTTTTATAGTTCGCCTCCAACAGCCGATGACAGCGAACGGCAAGGCTGTAAACTAATATGGTTCCTTGCTTCGCTGCGAAAGGCCGCTAATTAAGTCATAAATGTAATCAATGGGAATTTCCCACTCCGACACATTACGCGTAAGGCCAGAAATGGGGAGAGTGAGATCTGAATGAAGTGAGCATCCTCCTTGGAAGTAGGTATATACTTACACTTTTTTAAGACTTTCTAAAGTACTTTAAAAAATGAGATTTGTTTATACTAATTATTTTGACAAACCATACTAAAAATGCAATAAATGACCACAGTTAAAAACAGCAACTTTTGATTTGTTATAAAATATTTTAATAATATCTGATCTTGATTTAAGATTAATCTTATTTTTGTTTTGTTAAAAATTATATTTAATCATGGATCGCTGGGTAAGATCGGGGTTTTATTAATAAGAGGCTGTTTTAGGGGTTTGCATTAAAATTTTTATACTTAATTTGAAAGACTGGAACACAATTAATTTCTATCAACAAACTTTTAAAATGTCTCTTTTCTGATATCGGCTATTAAGACTTTAATCTCAATAAAGTTACGCATAGCGTACCCAATAAATCATTTCCACTGGCAGCACTTAATGCACAAGGACAGTAAAATAAACCCACACACAAAAAAAGCGAATAGACCATTTTTAACGTGTTATTGAGCTGAATAGTGCCGCAAATGGCTAAAGGCAATCGGATATGCGTTAACCCACTCGGGTCGCACGCACTCCCCTGCAAAAATGGGTTAATGCCAGTGGGAGGCGCAGGTGGGTGGGCCGTAAATCATGGCGCACCTGAATCACCTGGTGACAGCGGCGGATGCGACCGTTGCAAATGTCACGGGAGTTGCAATCGGGAAGTTTCGCGGAAGTTGCAATAAAAAGATCTGAACTATCGCCGCAGGAACTATCACGAACGAAGGGGTTTTCTTGTTTATGGCGAGCGGGTCATAAATCGAGGCTTGTAACATGGGATTTTCTAGGGCACAGACATGACAGATTGCTTTCTTGCCGCAACCCCGTTGGCCACCGGAGCGTATACGTAATTTATGCATGTGCCAGGTGACGTGAGCCGGGTTATTGATACGACGACAACACCCATTGATGTCCTGAAATTTCATTATCAATGTCAATGCCGAAAAAGGGGAGTAGTTGACTTTCCTCACCTGCTTGTGATTGGAAATTGATTGAATTGAACTTTGATGACTTTGAACTATTGCCAGTTACAATTTTCGTGGAGACATCAAAGCCAACATTGTACTATCTGCTTAAAAATGTGTTACGTTCTACGAATTGAGCGATTTTTGATTGAGTGCTTGCCGAGGACTGGTATTCTTGGCTCTGATCCAAAAACCGAATGAAAAAACCAAAAAAAGGAAAAAACCCCAGTCAGGCAATCCCTATAAACTAACCCATCTAATTGTCAACTAAACGACAAGCATTAACTAGAGCTGACTAATCCCCCTTGGCATTCCAAATCCATATTCACATGGCACGAGTACGGGCTTATGTTTGTTAGATGAGTACACAAGTCTCATGACCTGCCTGCATTAAGTTGCTTTATAGCATGTAGAAATAAAATACCTATTTACCATATAGAACCGAAAACCGCAAAAAAGAAGAAAGAAAGAAAGACCATGTGAGCCCTTGCTAAAAAGCCTAGCGAAAGTCTGAAAGTCTGACGAGCGCCGAGACAGTCTTCCCCCGCTTTGCCCACCGCTCATCCATGGCTCTGGGCAGCTCAGCCCCCCTTCCGATGGGTTCTCTTCAACGTTGTCCCACCCTGCCCTGCATGTCTGAAATTACGCCAAATTGTTTGGGGTTCTGGAAGGTGAGGTTTATATGGTTGTTGTTATTATTGTTGGCTGGTGTGCATATCACGTGAAAAATATGAGGAAAAGTTGCGAGTACAGTGGATCTGTTCGACTAAATTTTATAAAAAATTTAATAAAACAATAAAATTGAAATAACATTATATATGAGCAGTAAAAGAACGAAATTATATTCTTCTTAATTTTAGGAAGCTTGAAATATTTATTTAAAAATAGTTTAAGCTGTATTTCCGCATGGAAAAGTAAATTTTTATTAATTAATAAGTGTATTTTTATATCTTAGTGTTTATTGACAAAGCTATTAGCAATTATAATATAGGTTAGACTATTAAAATCGTTAAAAATTCGATCCCAAAATTCATTTCTTTTTTATATATGTTTTTTTTACCTTTTCATTGTTATTATTGTTATTATATTTTCGTTGGTCCTAAAAATCAAGTAAATGGTAGTATTCCAATTAATATTTAAGTAAGGAAAAAAAGATTTTCCTCTTATTTGGCCCATCGTATTCGTGGAGGTGTGTGGGGCCCAAAGAAGTTGGAGAACGACTCCTTGTCCTTGTGTTGTCGGTTTCGGGTGTTTGGCAACCAAAATAAAATACTGGCGGCAGTTGGCAAACGCAGCGAGTGAAAAGCGCTATAGTAACAGGCCGAGAATGCGGCCCGACCTCATTCGTTACCAACAGTTACAAGCGCTAAAACGCCTTCAGCGGACGACCCATGTGGGATTTTCCCACCTAGGTGTGGGTGAGTGGGCGGAGTGAAGGAGTGAGTCCGTAATTAAGCGTACAATTTATTGACTTACATTTGGGAGGGTCATTAACATTGACTTGTCTCCCATTTGTTTTTTTCATTATTATTGTACACTTTTTTTCATATCTTGCCCTGAATTTTCCGCTTACTTTGGTTTCACCTCGGCTTTTCTTTTTTTCCAGTTTCAATTTGCCGCGCATTAGCGCCCGCCTGGAGCGTCTGATGGGCACCAATGTGGTCAAGCTGACGGACCGCGCCTACATGAAGGAGCTCAGGGAGCGGATCGACGAGGATTACCGCAAACAGCTGCTGTCCCGCATTCGCGCCCGAGAGGTAAGTCGAAATTTTGGATAAAGGTTTCAAATCCGGGCACCCCAATTAGCCCCCGAAAAAATCCAGACACAAATGTGGCCAATTTGTTTGGCTGGTAATTCAATTTTCATAAAGTTTAGATGGAGGAAAATGTGAGACGAGAGTCCTAAACAAATTTGTCGCCAGGGAGTCACGTAGAACAACAATAGCCGAGGGTGAGAACGGGTTGTATTCGCTTTCTGTGGAGAGAATTTAAACAATTTGAGTGGGTTTTTCTTAAACCAAAGTGTTTTAAAAGACATGTTCTCTAACCAAATTTAGGAAAAGTATTTAAAACCATTTTAAAAATATCAGTCCTCAGGAATCTACATTAAATAGTTACATTTTATTATTATAATTTTAAATCATCTTAAATATTTATTTTCCCCAAGATTTGTTTTCTAACCATTCTGGAATATGATATACAATACACTTTTCATAAATTCCAAACTTAAAATCAACTTTCTATATTTCCTTACATTTTTTAAAAATTTCTTTCTACTTTTTAATTTTTAAAATATTTAGTAATCGTATTTTCTTTAAAGGACTCAACAATTTTCCATTTGTTTATTACTATCCAGTATTTCTTAGTCCAAAGCTGTTTATTTTACACCCTTCACTTGTTTATGGGTCGCGATTTTGTTTTCATGCTTACCCTTTTCAAGTTTTACTTTTTACAGGAGCGCAGTGAAAGTGTCCCAAAGTTTTTCAATGACGCCGACACCGCCTACTTATTCTGTTTTTTTCTTCGAGCAGGGTGGCCTCCCCAAAGCACAAACAATTGAATCCAATGAGCCTCCGACATGAAAATGGCAAATCCAAGCCGTCAAAGTAATAAAAATTAGAGTAGAAACAGAGGGGAAAATGCAGGGAGAAGAGATAGCTAAAGTTACCTTTTATGTCCGTGGGACATGCGAGTCTCCAAAAACTATGAAGTACAAAGTGCTCCACTGCGGATACGGATACTTAGAGATCTGTCTGTCCGATATGTCCTTAAATGCAATTGCAGTTGACTGAAGTTCGAAGTGATACAGGGGCCATGGACTAAACTTTTCTGACGCTTCCGATTGCATTTCCATCAAGTGCTGCGCAATGCGGCAAAAAAAAGAGCTAGATGAAAGGTGTCAAGAAGTGTTGATGGGGTTGGGAAATTGATAACTTTGAAACCTCCATAGTAGCCAAAACTTCACCTGAACACCAAAATACATGTTTAAACCACAAAGAGGCTTTGTGCCACCCACATTCCGCCACATTTGGCTTTTATATCAACCGCAGACCAGCCGCTAATAAAGTTCCATCTTTATTCTTAGGGCAACGGCTTGTTGTGCCATCAAAAGGTATTATTGAAAAAGGAAACTAAATATAACTTGGATTTAATACAAATTCTCAATTCAAATAATTTAATATTCTCATTAAAGTAGTTATTTTGGGTATTTCCAACATTCACTGTTGAATTGTTAAATTTCAGTCTAGTTATCAGCTGTTCCATCCAATTCAATTATCAGAAATGTCTTATTGGCCTAAAAGAACTAGTTAATATTAAACTGTTTGCCCAGATAAAGATACAAATTATTCCAAATTATTCAACAGATTGCTGATTCAAAATGTTACGACTTGAGAATTTTGAATTCAATGGAGATTTCCCTGCTCGACATTATTTAAATTAATATTTAGAATTATTAAATAAAGTTGCTTTGAATAATATTTTTAGATTTATAAGGTTTTTCTCTACCTAATTTTTAAATATTTTTAATACCTTATTTAAATTATAAAAAATATTTCCTTATTCAGTTAAAGGAAGTGGAGCGCGAGCGAATGCTGATCATTGAAGGCAAGTCGGATGTGATACCAGACGAGCTGGCTGACGATCCCATATTTATGGTCAACAAAGATGCCAACATGGAGATCCAAAAGGAGCGCTCCAAGGTGGGTTTAACCCTTAACTTAAGCCCCATTTGAATTCTCTTCATCTTTCCTGCCACAGTTGAAGACCGCTCGGGAAAAGAATGCGGAGCGCTTGAAGCAGCAGGGCGTGAAATGGGAGCGGGAGCGGCTCCAACATGCTGCCAAGGAAGCGGAAATTCTGGCCAAGAAACGCGAGCGGCAGCGCCAGCAGAAATTGTTGGTGGAACAGTACAGGACAGAGGACGCGGAAAGGGGAATGGATCTGCTGCGGTAAGTCACTTAAACTCCGCCGCCATTTAATGTTGGCAAAATTAAAAATGAACAGAGGGTGGAACAGGAACAGCGCCAGCGATAACAATACATTATTCCACGTTGACGCTCGCCGTCTTCTGGGGAAGCCCTTTATCCCTAACGAGTTGGGGCAACGCGAAAAAAGAAAGCTGGCTAAGATGCATGTATTGTAAAAAGATGAACCCACTGGCTTAAACGGCCTTCGTTGGGGGTGGGAATCTGTAGGCGGTGGCAGGGAAATATCAACCAGTCGTAGTCCAAGGCTGAATGCTCTAAGTTCCTCGAATTAGTTTACTAACGAGGAACGAAATTCTTTAAAAAAAAAATTCTGCTAATTAAATTTAAAGAAAAACTTTTAAAATAATTTCGAGGTGGCTTTCAGCCTGAACTTTTAATAGGTAAATAAATAGACCAAAGTTGTTTCTACCTATGGTTCTATAAAATAATACGTTTATTTTCCTAGATAATTTTTTCCTGTATATTTCTATTTTCTTATCCAAGTTCAATGACTGATTGAATAAAAATAGAGTCGCTTTTCGCTTGAGTAATAATAATAAATTTAATCAGGCGATTTATAAATATCGTTGCTGAATATTTTGGGAATTAATTTAGCTTTTTATGTTTCTAATAAAAATCCAAAAATAGAATTTTATTAAAAACAAAGCTATCAAACTGAACAATGATTATAAAGATATTTCAGGCATGATATATTAAATTATGAGGGTAGTGCAGTTCAATTGGTGAGCTCTTTTCCAACCCCTTCCGGGAAAGAGTATAGCAAAATGACGATGGAAACGTTACGTTCCCAGAGCGCGTTATTAAACATTGTTCCTTTTTTTCCCCATTAATATGCATGAGTTGAATGTTTAGTGAGTTCGCTTCAGAATGGAGGCTAATGAAAGGAAAACTCTCCCACTTTTGCAGCATCGACAACGAAGACTGGCGGGAGTGCGAAAAGAGCCTGAAGGAGTTCCTCGAACAGGAGCGTGCCAAAATGAAGGAGCGTTCGCTGCGCATCTCCCAGCCATTCTCATCGGATCCCCAGGACATACAGAATATAGTGAGGGCCAGGTGAGGATTATCAAGACCTCTAACCCCTCTGATTCTAAGAACTATCATCTCTAATTAGGCAAAAGTTCCGCGAGACCGAGCTGCGTATTCGCAACCAACTGGAGGACAAGCTGAAGGATGTGAAATTGGCGGTCACCACTCAACAACTGACGGAACTCATCGAGGACGCCCATCGGTCCAGTGGGGAAATAGTGCGAGAGCCCTCGATCGAGGACGACGATTACCAGGAGGGCGAGCCACACTCCAAGTATCTGGACGACGTAACCGACGTCTCCGAGGAAACGGTGATAAGCGAGGACGCCATCAGTCTCACCCTGGCCAAGCAGCAGTATGCCGAGGAACTGGAGGCCGAGATGGAGGACGAGTTCAATCGGGGTCTGCTCATCTCCAAGCAACAGTACGACCAGCTGCGCTTCGAGGATGAGAAGATCGTGGCGCTCAGGAATGCCAAGGTGAGATTGGAAAATAATTAATTTTCAAAAGATTTACAGATTTACTCTGTATTCAGTTTTATTGATAAGACATGTTGATACAAATCTAGGACTAGACCAAAAAACAATTTACGAATATTGTAAAATTTATTTCCGTTCAATAGGCTTTCATGCTTAATTTATAAAATTTCTAATATATAAATGTTTATATTTTAATAATATTTTTCTAAAACTAGTAAGCTTCTACTGAATTTGATTTTAAACTTAAAATACCCTCTTGTTAATAGCTCAGAGAAAAATATTTAATTCTCTTATGAAATAAATGAAATTTTCAAAAATAATTTTTTAGTTATAAATACAGTTAACAAAATAAATTCAATTTGTACAATTTTATTTCTTTGATAATTTTAATTTAAAAAACAAATTTAAAAATTAGAGTAATCTGTTTGTTGTTGCTAACCCTGATCTTTTTTTTTAGTATTATAAATTTATAATAAAGAGCTTTTTTCATTATTAATAAATATGAAAAAAAAACAATTATATTGAAGCACTTTTTAATTATTTACCCCCCTTACAGGACATTCGCGAGCTGTATCAACTGGCTGAGGAGATCATCATGGGCGAAGTCTTCGAGGAGGCGCCAGAGGAGTGCGAGGAGGAGGCGGTTGAAGAGGAGCATGAACTCGAAATTACCTCGGACCACGAGGCCCCCGATCCAGCCAAAGCATAGAAACCGAATCATGGACCAATTTCAACGTTCTGTGGGCAGCGGTAGACCGTTTCTCCTGCTGCCTCACTTTTCGCGAGTTTTACAAAGTTTGGCCAAATATTTGGTTTCCCCGCTGGAAATCCAAAATATTTCACCAAATTGTGCAAAAATCAGTCAGGATGGGGGGGCCATAGTTTGTTAATCATCGAATGAGGAAAAGCGGAAGCGAAAAACGTCAGCGCCACTGTCACTCAATCTCAGCGCTTAGGTTGATAACTGTCAATAAGGTTTAATTAGAGCTGTAACGAGGTGATAGTGCCCGCATGACAATAGTAATAAAGGCCGAAAAATCCAAAAACAAACTCATGAGTCAATTGCACATCTCACTCGCCGCCAACCGACAAATATTTGCCTAGTGATACGGATGGGCGAACCGGAAAGATATGCGGGCTTAAAAGTGTTCTGGAAATCGATTTAGTGAAACCAAACCGACTGGTGCACTTAGAAAAAAATTAAATTTGTTGCCTAATTTTTACATACCAAATATCACATCAAAATGCTCTAAAGAAGGTACAAACCATATTATTATTTAATGGGATTTTTTTAGTTTTTAAAATAAGTTATTATTTTTAATCGGTAAATCGTAAAAAATTTTGTGCTAATTTTTTTTTTACACACTTAAGAATGTGTGAAATTAATTCTCGGAACACAAACCACAAATCTCAGCGTAATTAGCTGAGCTAATTTATTTATCAATTTGTTTGGCACGTCGGCGCACATGCCGAGATTGCACATGCCAAACCCGAAGGGCGTGACGCATTTTGGTTGATTCGATGTCCATTGAATGGACATGACATCAGGCCAACCCGATGCAACTTAAGTCGCACAAGCCGCTTACCACGCAGCGAAAAAGAACGCAAAAATGTCCCAGAAAGAAATAAGACTGGCTAAAAATAGCCAGGTCTTGGCCAAAAATATGACTTTCGCCTTATATCAGGAAGCCCCCCATCCTGTGCCCTTGAGCACTTAAACTTTTCAGCGGGCTATTATTGGTTTTCTTAGGGTAAGTGTCATCTTCGGTTGCCCCCGGCGATTTGGCAAGAAAACCCTATATATGCTTATTTTCCTGTGCCGCCTTTTAGGCCAAAACAACATACACACACCCTCGAAACAATAACGAAAACATCGGGGAATCGCTTGGATTGTCCTCCATTACTCACAGCAATTTCACTCTAAAGTGTCATCTTCTTCAAGGCCTGGGGGCTGCGACGGTTGTTGACATCTGACTGGATGTCCTGACCCCTCGATTCTGCGATTGCAGTATTGCGATGGACTTTTAGTTGGACTGGAAGTCAAGGTACGGCGTTCATAAGTCAGACGATTGAAATTCAGGCTGCAATGGGGGAAAATGTATTTACTCCAAATTTATATATATGGTAGATCGATTATAATGCAGTCATAAGTGCAACTTATTAAATAACTTTTAAAATTTAAATTCATATTTTAATAAATTACTTATTAGAAAAGGTGACTAAGGCATATATGTTACTGCTTTGCCATTTGTAGTTCTTATCAGCGTGACCCAAATAAACAAGCCCAACCGAAACTAATTATTAAAGTCCAACAGCACCATATCTTAACCACCATCATCGTTTATAAATAGAATCGGTGTTTAACTTGTAAATCCATTCATATGACACTTCAAATTTACAGGAAAGTATGGCCGAGACAATAATTCTCCTATTTTCTCCGAATTTTATGTAGTTCCGCAGAAGGATTTACATTTACACTGCAAGGATTTCCGCAGCGTCATGAAAGGCAGGTCCTTTGGGGGTCAGGGAACACCCACGGAGCGGCGAGATTCCGAGAATCAAATGACGCGTCCGGTTTGCATATTCCGTAAGCTGTACTGTCAACAAGGACACCTCCACCAGTCCACCTTTCCGGATTATTTTGGTGGTAAGCCCGTGACGCCATTTCGCGACTTGTTGCCTACTTAGCAGCGCATATCTTGGCCCTGCTAAATAATTGCCTCCGACATTATTCATTCGCCAATATCGCCGGAGCAGGCGCTAAACTTTTAAATGTGCCGAAAATATTTCATTGATAAATCCCCGATGGGTTTTCCTTCGAAAGGAGGAGTAGCCAGTGAAAGCTTGGCGAAGCTTTTACGCAATTTTTTGGCGCCTCGACTTCGGCTCTTTCGAAACGAGGCACTCGTCATCGGTCGGCGATGGCGAATTGCGTTTAACTTCGGTTCCGGCCTTATAAAAGGAGGCGGCTACGCGAGCCAACCACGCAGTGTTCAACAAGTAGTAGCAGCAACAGTTGAAATTTTAACCAGATTCTGGTTCAGTAATTCGAACGGTTTCCAGATAAATATTTTAAAGTGAGTGGGAACGGTGTGTTTCGAATTTCAATCCTAAAAAAAAACTCTTTAAATGTCCCGTAAAAATCGTTGTGGTCTGTGTTTAATTCGAGCCAGCCAATTCACTGAAAAGGATACGAAATCGTGACGCGAAATCTTAGAAATGCCGTCGCTTTCGTCATCAATTACATTGCCGTCATTGAAAGGGAAAATACGTGCATAAATTAAATATTCAACACAAAAAAGGACAATATAACTATAATATTTTGAAAATATTCTGTGCATTTATTCCATAACCAATTAACAATAATTTAAAATGAAATAATACAAAAACCATAAAAAAATCAGGACACTCTTTAAATTTGAATAGATTTGTGTATTTATTTAATGGAAAACTGACAAATCTTTTGTAATAAATTAAAAATTGACAAAAAAATTTAAATTTTATTAAATTTAGAGTGGTACTTTACCAATTGTATAACTTATTTTATACAATTTATTTTTCTATTCTAAAATAACTTATTCGTAGCGCGTTATCGCCACTTTAAATTAAATTTTTATTTTAAACGTTTTATTTCAATATTAATATTTTGCATAAGGTACTACTTAAAATACCTAACTAAAACAAATAAATAATATATCTCGCATACCCCACTAAACTTCAAAAATAAACTTCCTTCAAAACAAAAATTGTATAAAAACTTTCCTTTTTGAATTTAATTATTAATTTGGTTTAAAAGAAATATGGATATTGAAAATTAATATTTTATTAATGGAAAAGAGGTGAAATAGACAGTAATTTAAATTTTATATAAATTTTTCAAAAATTATTTATCGATTTAAGCTATATTTATTTTTCAATGTGAGCTTAAAGAATGTAAGAAAATCATATAATAATTCATTTTAACATTTCCTTAAACTCAGCTCAATTATAAAGCCAACAAAATGAAAATTTCTACACAAACATTACATGCGGAAAATTTCATGAACAAAATTTTGTATGAATAATTAAAGTTAGTCCTAAGCTTAAGGTGTAAAAGGGAACAGAAGACACATTTAAAGATACTGAAGCATTAAAATATGTCACTCAACCGCAGCGTGCAACATCATAAATTAATGTCATTGCAATTGGCATGCTTCAAATCATTTTAAGAATATTGGTCTTGAAATTTTTGAGCAAAGCATTCCATAAATACTTTATCAATGTCAATAACTCGAAGGAATTCCCACCAAGGCCATATATAAATGTCAAGCGTAAATAAACCAATGAAAATCTTTGAAGAACAAATAGAAAAAAGCATCAATATTTGCGGAAAATGTTGTCAAGCAATTGTTGTCCCCGACCCCGTTCTTGGTTTCAAACCCCTTAAGTTCCACCTGCGAAAATTCCTGGCAATCATAGAGAAATATTAAAGAAATAAATAAATCGAAAGCATTGAGAATTCAATGCGTTCCAAAGCTGTTTTCATGTCAGAACAATTCAGCATCCCACTGGATTTTATCCCTTACATCCACCTTAGTTACATAGGTCGGTGTGTGTTTTATTTTTTTAGCTGGACATAGCAACTGAAAGTATATCTTAAGGTATCGAATTAATGTCTGGAGGCAATACTTTTCTGTCGTAGTTTTTAAAGTTGACTTGAAGTACACATTTTTCTATATTAATAGGCCAATATCTTGCCCAAGAGGAGCAAGTAGTGCCATTATTAAATTTTATTTTTTTATAGTAATCAAAGATAACGAGGACTAAAGTATGAAATTATACGCTGAAATTGGGAATCGATAAATAAATCATCAATCTCATTTATTCACCTATATCCTTTCAATTAAATAATAAAGATTAAAGATTTAAATTTAAATTCAACTCAAAATTTGAAATCTTCAATACTCAATCAGTGAAGTAAAACACCCCTTTCTCCATTTTGCATCTCAATAATTGGCGTCTGGTCTTCTGAATCTGCTGCAACACTTTGTGTAACCCTCGAAAATAAAGTGTGAGTTTGGTTCTTTTGTGTGGAAATTTCGACAAGTGCCCCAGATGGCCACATTCAATAAGTACGAAAGTTATGTAATGTTCTCTCCAGGATTATTACATAAGTAGACCGTGTCTAATTGGCAGGAATCCGGCGGCAAATGTCAGATGCACTTGTCCAACTCCCATTTCCCAGCTGTATTTTCCACATTCTTGGTCTTAATTAAGCCGTTTTTGCACTACACCTGTCATTGCGGTACGTAGGTGGAAATAGTGAAGGACAGGGCCTATATTCCTTTGGGTTCGGACCCGTTTCAGTTATACTTCAACTCAATTTAGCAATTAGCCGTGCGGTTATTGCGAAAACGAAACGTATAAAAAAAGAAAAAGGGCGACAGGTAAAAATGGAGTGACATTTATTATATAGAGTCAGGAAGCTCCCCTCACCGGTAAATGAATTTCATTTTACCTTGGGGACACCGCCAGCTAGGGTGAAACTTTTTTTTCTGGTTCGGTCCTCTTTTTGACACTGTGTCAACAAGTTAATTAAAGCATTTTGACAACGATTCGTGTTTGCTTTGTTTACTTCTAATTCGTTCCCTCCTCCACAATTTCGAATAAGTTTCACTCGCACAAAATGCCAAAGTGCCGATGGAAGCGTAGTAATTGAAAAAGTTTTCTGCAGGAAATGCCCGTAGCGAATTGCAATTTATTTTGCAAATTAACTGAAAACAAAAAATCGCGCTGCACTTAAAAATTTACAAAATAAAAAAAATGAAAATAATCAGTGAAATTTATCCGCAAATATTTTGACAAAATTGTATGCCTACAGTTGAGTCGAAAATTTGCAATCAAACTCAATCAAAACGTGCCGCAAAATGGAAAAGAAAATTGTCAACAGAAAAGTTCTCTTCCTCCAGAAAATTTTAATGAACTGTGCCAACCCAATGCTGAACGATTCTTTTATTTCAATTGGGCGTGACCGAGTTGATTTATTTGGCCAGGTTTATATGGTTAATTAACCACATAAATTTAGACAATTTCAATTTATTTACATTTGTGGCGGGAAGAAATTTTAAAGAATGGAAAACCCACATATTTTTGTAATTCTTTACAAAATATTTTGCTCAAAAATAAAGGTAAAATATTTTCCGTTTATAAAATTCAGGTAAGCTTTATTCAGATTTTAACCAGCTTACTGAATTAACCTAAAAGTAAAGCCAATTAAACTAGAAGCCTTTAATTTTGAATAATGAATTTCTGATTTCTTTATGAAAATCTTCACACTTCTTTGTCTAAATTTGTTTAGGCAAACATTATTCTGTTTTCTGTAGCTTAGGCTAACAAATTAAGCTGATTCTAGACATCTCAACCAGCGAGACCACAAGTGCCAAAAATTGCAAGCAACTCATTTATAAGGCTCGTCAAGCGGTTGTTTTTAAACTGAAAAAATACAATAAAGCAGACGGGTTTTCCAGATCCCAAACAAGCACGGGTCCCGGCTAATGGCCTGAAAATTCGCTGCGAAAGAGTTAAGCCCACTCGCCCACGTCAGCGACGTCCCATAATAATTAAATGAAACGAGAAAGGTTACAAGAGAAGCTTCACAATGAACACCATTGCAGTACCTGGAAAAAAATTAAATTATTAAAAGCACAAGAACACCTAGAACGCTGTGATGGAAAAATAGAGTGAAAGAATTTGTGTGGAAATCAAAAAAATATGAGAAAGGGCAGATATGCCAAACAAAAATAGTTAAATTGCCATCTTTTAAAATTTCTTTAATAACAATTTTTCTGGCGATGAACTTTCTTTAAAGTATGATATTTTAATTTAATGATGTATTTAGCAGTCAATAAATCTTAGTGGTAAATTCTAAGCTAAATAAAAAAAATACAAATAACCAAATTTTTAAAATTAATTTTTATGGCTACTTGCACCACAGTTCGGCGTAAAAAGTAAGATTAAACGGCTCGCAAAACAAAAGCCCAAGAATCAGCCGCCAAGTTATCTAAGAGACGCCTTCTGACGTTTCACACCCACAACCCATTTTTTCAGTTTCCTTCGCGGTCTTCTTTTCTGGATGGTTGGGGTGTTCCTCGGTTGTTTGCGTGTTGATATGCGCATTGTTTGCTTAAACACAAAGAGCCATCCGCCCACATGAACGGGCTAACGGGGCGGATGGTGGATGGATCCATCCCTAGCCAGTGGTAGTGATGGTAATTACCCTCGTGTACATACATCTCCACTTTTTGCCTTGCAGAGACATCAACGACCCGCGCATTAATCCCGAGAACATCCGGAGAGGCTGTATAAACACAGAGACACCGCCATGAAGCCCGACATCCTAGCGTTCTGCATCTTGGCAACCACGATCCTGGGCAGCGGGACAAGTCACGTCGCCGGCTTCTTAGCTTCCTCCCAGACCTCGACAAACGGAGGAGGAGCAGGGGTAGAGAAAGTGGGTAACCACCAGGGAGTTGCATCCGGGCCGCCACATCGCCTGCATCTTCCCATTTTCGGAGTGGCGGTCGGCGGGGCACCAGCTGCTCCTTCGTTGGACGTCCAGGAGGCCCAGGAGCGAGCTGTTTACGATCCCGGCGATGGTAAGTCATAAACATCCCTATTACCGCATTTCCTGCAATTGCAATTGCAATCTTGACTTGGCCTCGAGCAGCCTTCCCAGCCATCAGCTAATCCCCATTCGAGTTAAAAGGATTACATCCTAAGACCATTTAAATTCATTTTTCTTCCAAATCGTTTTCTACACGTTATAAAGAGAAGTAATGGTGATTAATCTATTTAAGCATTTTTCAAAGAAGAGAATGAGCAGCACAAACTGTCTATACTTAAATCAATATCTCAGGAAATGTAAAATTTTGAACATTCCATATCTTAGCTTGATAGGTTATATTTCATTATAATTTCCGCTGTGCTTTAATAGGTAAATTTCCGGGAATATCTCTTCTGCCGAACCGAATTATCGGCTTGCCGACTTTTAGGCGACCCCATCCAAAGGGGTGGACCAAGAGTTAGGGTGGCACATGGCGTGCACTTAGCCGTAACCGCCGCCCACCATCCGCATCCACAATGGCCATAGTGACCGGTCGCTGAACATTTTCGGTCAGTGCACAATTTTTCAAGTGCCTCAAATTGTTGTCCTCGAACAATATGGAATATGTGTTGTTTGTGCGGAGCACTTAACACGCCCACCGAAGTGAGGGGGATAGATTTTCAAATTTGTTGACGAATTTGATTCGACGTTTGCGTTTTGCCCCCCTGTCCTAGCTTGCAATAAAATGTCATATTGGATTTTCGATAACTGAACTTGTTTTCCAAGTCATTTGATACATGAGTAAATGGATTGGAAATTTCACAATTATCGATTTATAAAGTTGGAAATATTGTAAAAGATTAAAGGTGTGTCTGACAGTCTAATTCCATTAAATATTATCAAAATCACTATCTATTTTTACGCTAATTGGTTGACACAGATTTTATTACAATTAAATAATAATACAAATATTACAAAATGATAACGTAAATAATTATTCAGGCAGGTGGCAAATATCATAATTGGTGGACGCAGATTTTATTACAATTAAATAATAATACAGATAATACAAAATTATGTTGTAAATGATTTTAACAAGCAAATGATTTATTTTTGACGCCAAAAATTATTGTATTTTTATAAAAGAGTTACTGTTGATCTGCGTGGGTTCATAGTACTCTGCGAATCCTAAAAAGGACACCGAGTGGGCAGTGATGGGCAGACTGGATGCCAAAAGCGACAAAAGGCAGTCAAGGAGTTGCGATGACTGCTGACTTGACTGACGGACATGGTCGAAAAGTGGGGAAAACGCCAAGGGCTGAATTCTGTGGCCATAAACTCATTGCCGCCAGTCAATTTCCGCCAGTTCATTGAAACGACAGTGGGGCCTCCGGGGGAGGGAAAGCATGTTGAGGCCTCCTCGCAACCAGTCGACAGACAGACAAACAAACTATTCAAACTTTCAAATATCAAGCGGCGGAAGTTTCCGATGACAAGGAGCAGGAGACGGGGGGATTTAAGTGGAGGAATGGTAATGGGAATGGGAATGGCGTGGCTGTGGTCGGATTAGCGGCAGCTTGAATAAACATTCAAATCGCAAATAAGAACTTTGGTTTGCTCATTTCACGGCAGAATTACTCCACGCCCAGGAACTCGGATTGGCTGCGGTTCCTCCGCCTGCGGGCCCCGACTACGCCGATGCGGTATACAATGAACTGGAGCTGGCCAGCAAGTTCGAGGTGCTCAAGAAGATGGAGGAGGATTTGCGGGCCGAGCAGGAACTGGTGGACAAATCCGCTTTGCTCATGAAAATGCTAGAGGTGAGTGGAGAGACAAAGCTCGCGAATTTTCATGGGAAAAGCCGTGACTTACACAGAAACAAAAAACGATTTTAAAAAATCATATTTAAAAAAAATGTCAAACAAGCATACAAAAATTAAGGTATAAGAATAAAATGAAAGAGAAAACGGCCTGGGCAAAAAAATATTAGTCAAACATTTAGAATTTAAAATCTGTTTAGTATGCAAGTAAAAAAATAGGAAAAATAATAAAAGAATTTTTTTTTTTTATCTTATATGTAAAATAAAGAACTTTGGTTTAACGTTTTAAGTATTTTATAATAAGAAAATGGTTTAGATTAATTTAAAATTTTCTTAAATTATTTAAATAACAATAACATGTTTTTTAGTCTTTTTTTTTTTTTATATTTATTTTGTATATTTTTTAGTATTTTAAAATATTCCTATAATGCTTTTGGAGTATGTATGTATTATGCAACAAAATATTTCTGCGTGCCTTTTTTCGTCCAGGATCCCTCATTGGAAACTTTGCCCCTGGTTTACGTTGAGGAGGAAGAGCCGGAGGCCGTGATTCCTTCCGCCGGAGCCGAGGAATACGCCGACTTGGAGAACGCCGTGCAGGATTTGGTTTTGGGCCAGAGCAAGCCCAAGCGTTCGCGCTACTATCGCAGGTATCCGTGGAAGCGCCACAACAAGAATCGCGGGTAGGTTGATTTCCATATCTCTTTTAAAACGCTCTCACACCAATCCCGAAAATCCCCCAAGCACTGTAATGAGTTCCAGTGATTGCTAATTACCCAACCCCAATTATCATTTGTAGTTAGTAAATGTTAGTAGCCGTAATGCAGAAATAAATCCCTTATTCTAAGAGTTTTAACCGGAAATCCTCAAATTGCCAGAATAATTTAAAGTGGAATTTAGTTAAGCTACTTGCGAGCACAAGGGTTTGCTTTAATACAATGTACAAAAATTGTTAAGAGAAAAGAGATAAAATTCTTGAAAAAAAAATCGTGTAAATTCAATTTGGATCAAAGCGTGACCCTTGAAAAAATCAAAAGAATGCAAAGAATTAATGGCAATTTCAGGAGCATCCCCGCCTTCCAACCCACAGTAGTCTATTGAACTTGAACAACTTACTGTAATGCATTTATCAGAGTCTCTTTAGGCCCGAAAGGCAGACACCCAGAATCCCCCAACCGCCCACAGAGAGATCGATTATTGATTACTGATTACTGATAGCCGAAACGTGAACGATTTTGCTAACTACATAACCATTACCATTATCAGTTCTTACATGAATTCTATCAACAGCAACTATGAACCGGAATTGCGATATGCCTGCACGCCGAGTAAGGAGGATATATTTAAGTTGCTGGTCAATCTGCACGAGAATCGCAAGGGCAACCACAGCAAGACGGTTAACTTCTGCAATCGCAAGCGTCCTGCCAAGGCGGTCTTCACCAACATACGATTCCTGGGCTAAGGCGAGGGATGCAGGACATAGACGGTACACAAAAGCAAGCCAAGGAAACAAAAAAAACCAAGAAACAAAAACCCAGACACCGACAGGACACTGACATATGTATACCAAGCATCAATTGTACATTGCTGACAAAGTCGAGCGCCAAACTGGAGAACAACAAGCACTAACAATTAGCCTAACTAACTAACTAACTACTAACTATCCAACTAAACGAACAGAACTAAAAATAACTTGTTATCTTGTAGGGAATACAGCCCATTGTGGGGCAATTTAAAGTAATACCCTAATACCTTGCCCCACCACCCCTAATTCTAATTGTAGACAATTAAAACTTTTATAACTCTCAATGTGTTGTATATACTAACTAACTAAATAAACAAAGTTCTAGTAGCTCCCTTTGTTAATTTGGTTGTGGTCGTTGCGTGTGCTAATCCATGAAATTGCAAAAACGTTGCCATATCACTAAAAAGTCTCGTAACGTCTCTCGGTCCATTATGCTAGTATTATAAAATAATAAATGGAACCACGAAACCCAAAAATGCTATATCAATGTGTATATACGAGAATATTAAATTGTATTAACATAAATGTGTACGTATTATCTATTTACTAAATCAAACTATCTCTAATGTAAAGTCGAGAAATATATATATTTCAAATAAACTTATAAAATACGTTTAGTCTTGTGCAATTAAATGGAGATTGCGAGTTTTTCAATTGACGTTGAGGGTTGCTATACAATTTCTAAAAATTATAAAATTCTTGGATGAATGAAATGAAAACCATTTTTTTTAAACTAATATTTTAAACATTAAAAATATTTAAACTCACCAACGAATAACTTTCAAAAATACCTATAAACTAATAGGACTTTTCTTCTGTAATAGCACTTTCTAGAACAATTTCTAGGGAAGTATTAGACCCCTTGACTTCTACCATTTCCATTACAAATCCGAGTCTTTGTTAATCCCACATAAGTACGGCGATTGTAAACGAACCAACACCTTCGGAAGTGCGAAAGCGCCACCCTGACATTGAGATTGAATGGAGCTGAGATTCTCGGCCAACTATTGCTCAGTGTTTGTTGAGTCAACAATGTGGCGACGTGGTTATCTATTTGGAAAGCATCTGTATCTGTGGATGACAACGGAATGGGTGAAGATGGGGGTGGGGTGAGGTTGAGGGAATAAGAGGGAACTCGTGCCTCTGGCTGGTAATGACCACCGAGCGTGTAAACCTCTAACCGATGACTAAGCGAAGTGAAAAGGCGCATTTTTTATAATATTTATTTCATACATTTGCTATGACGTCAACACAATTGGCGAAATTCAGATGCCGAGGCTTAAGATCGCTGATTAATGCAGGGAAATCTTAGAAATCATTGTCATGTAACAAATAATGAGTATATTAAATAGTTTCCTTTCCAAAAGTTATACCAAGAATAAAATTTCTTTCATTAAATTCTTCTACTCAAAATAAATAAAATAAACAGCTTATTAAATTCCCTAGTTTTTTTTATTGCTTCAAAAATCTTTTACATAATTAAAAACATTTTTTAGCTACATTAAATAGTCCAGCTTTTATTTCTCAATTAGCCGAAAATGTTGGGAAACCAACTTCTCAGAGGTGAAAAACACAAGGGTTTGGTCAACCAGAGAGTGTCGACGGAGAGTTTTAGGACCTCCATGTAGTCAAAGGAGCAGCTGCTCTGCTCGAAGGCTTTTGTGACCACTGGAGATTCGGTTTTAAGTTGGGATTGCAATGGTAAATGAGACTGCGGTTGGGTCGAGACCCCCAAAGAGGCCTTGTCTTCGGCCTCATCCTCCAAGGCGGTACGAGCAAAGGCCTCGTCGCCATCAAAGTAGTAGAATTCCTTGCGCGTAGAGTTCGTTTCCACCACTCGCGAAGGCTGCTGGGCATCGATTCCGCGGGCATAGGAAATCCTTCTGGCCGTTCGGTAAGGAGTAGCCGCGAAGGGCAAAGGATAATTACTAACAAAGCCAGGATAACCAGTCTGCATGGGCCAAAGTTGCTGTTGCTGTGGGTGGGGCAAACCCAATTGAGGCTGGAAGCCCACTTGGGGCCACAAACCCACTCCTAAACCAACACCCAAACCTCTTTGAGGCTGCTGTTGTTGTTGAAGACCCAGGCCAAATCCGGATCCAACATCCTGCCGACAGCCATCGGAGTCCTGATCCTGGAATATCTCCAGCAGGAAGCCATTCGAGGTGGTGCTGCTCGACTGACCAATGCGCATGCGCAGCGCCTTGCGACCCTGATCCCAATGCGATTTGTGGATGTAGCCGGAACGACAGCCGCAGTAGCGCTGACCATCCACTTCTAGGAAGTCACCATTGCAGTTATGTTGGCCGCCGAATCCTCCTCCCTGATTGAATCCCCCTCCATTGAATCCTCCTCCAGACACTCCTCCTCCAAAACCTCCTGAATTCTGTCCGAAGTCAAAGAACTTGAACTGTATCCTCAGGCGGCAGACATTTGGCGAGCTCTTTTCTATGTAGAAAACACAATCCCTCTGCTGATTGGGCAGCAGATAGTTCAAAACAGTTCTGGGAAATCCGGGACTGGAGAGATAGAAGTGATTTTGATTGAAACTGCTGGCACAGCAGAGATCCAACTGACCACCGAACTGCTGCAAGGTCTGGGAATCGTAATCCTTGAGCGTTACGGCATGCGGTTGAAAGGATGTGGTCTGATATTGATCGGAAATTAGGGGCAACTCTTGCTGTTGCTGCTGGGGCAGCTGAAGTTGCTGCTGTTGCAGTTGCTGTTGCTGAAGGATCTGCTGTTGCAGTTGCTGTTGCTGTAGGATCTGCTGTTGCTGCTGAGGAAGTTGCAGTTGCTGTTGCTGCATGAGGTGTTGTTGCTGCAGGAATTGCTGCTGCAGGAATCGCTGCTGTTCCTGCTGCTGTTGCAACAATTGTTGCTGCTGCTGCTGGGGTGCACAAGGGGGTGAGTGCTGGGGAGCTAATCCTGCAGGCGGTGGGTAAAATCCTGCAGGATAACCAAGAGCAGGTGGCAAGCCAAAGTTAAAACCCAAGCGATTTGGCTGCGTAAAGTTGAAAGTAGGCTCCTGTTGCTGCTGCTGCTGCGGAGTTTGCTGTTGTTGTTGCTGGTGGTGGTGATGGTGCAGCTTCTTTGGCGGCGACTTGGCGCTCACCTGCACCGTGTCCCCGTCCACAGCCACCTCGTCCTCATCCCCGTCCAGTCCCCTGGCCACCAAATCCTCCCGTTCGCAGGCCAAGCGAGTGATGAGCAGTCGAAACCCACCGTTTGTCGTCCAAGGCGAATCATCGCTGAGGAAGCGCAGCCGAAGGACTCCATCGGGCGTGTGATACTTCTTGATGCCCAGTACCTGACCGCACAGGACGTCCATGTCGTCGCCGTCGTTGTTCAACCCGATGGCCAGATAATCCCGGCTGCAGTTCTCCGACAGCTCCAGCTTAAAGTCCAGGAACTGAATGTGAAACTTGGTGGGGCAACGGTAGGGCGATCGAATTACATAGTCCCAGCAGGTGTTCACCGGATAATTGTCCGGATAATTGGGTGAATCGACGAGACTCTGTCGCTGCCTGTAGACGCCGTGCAATCCGCACTGAGGCAGCTCATCGTGAACAGCTCCCAGGGATTTAGAGATACGAATGACACCCAGAACTATAAAAAGGAGAACTCCTGGCAGCTCCATTTCGATCTCAGTCCGTTGACGACGCGCTCAAAAACGCAACTAACTCGTTGCGGTTCACCCAACACCGATGTTTGCCTGCCAAAAAATACCAAATACCATTTTACTTGGGTGCGTCGCTCAGGTTTCACTGGAAAACAATTTGCACTTTTGTTTGCGGAGTCGCAACAAAAGCCCTCACTTGTCTGCGACTCTCATTCATAAGTCGCATTTTAGTTCACTGAACCTCGGGCAAAACTTTCTGATGGACAACAAGTTTCTGGAGGTGCCAAAAGCTTCATAAAAACTAGCAGTCCATTAGTTTAAATTCCAGGCGGTAGATCTTTTGAGAATGTTACTCACAATGTTGGGGTTCTCTACTAGAGTTTATGATATGCCATCATAAAGATCATATAGTTAATCATATCAGTAGAACATTATAAAACCTGAGCAATTCCAATAAAGTTTATGCGGCTTACTTATGGAGCAGTAAATATTATTCTCTAAAAAAGTTTTCTCCGAAATTACTTACCTATAATATCAAAAATACAAAATATCTAAAAAGTATTATCTCAGCTTGATACACAATGACACCTCATTTCCTCTACTCCGTTTAACCAAAACCAATAACCACAAACCTGAGTTATGTAAGTTCCGAAACACACAAAAATTTGTTGGTCGTGGGAGCGCATATTGCATACACGGCACGCCCCCCAACAAAACAGTGTCAAACAAATAAACAGCTCTTGAAATTGTGCCCGAATATCTCTTTTTCGGAGATCTGCTGCCCGAGTTTGTTTTGGTTTTAACTGGCTTATCACTAAGCCAATTCGCTTCTGTTGATAATAATTTTAGGTGGCGTTAGCCAGAAAATAAGATTTTGTGGGTGGTAAACAAATTGGTCAGAGAAGTCGCAAAATAACATCTGGCATATCTTCATCGGTGACTTAACACTAAGCTAAATTAGTAGAGGTTCCGATAATAAAACAAGACCGTTTTATTGAGGTAATAAAAAATTATTTTAAATTGGTACAAAAATACCTTTATTTGGATACTTTAATTTTAATAATATAATAAATATTTTATTTTAATTTGTTAAGTTTATTTAGTTTTTAAAATATACAATGAGGATTTATTTTAGTCAAAAATATCTTGAAGTTTTTATTACTATGGTGAAACAGATATTTTTTCCCAAAATTGTGAAATTTGTAGGTTATATGACATTTTAAATATGACTCATACTTGATTACAGTTCCCCTAAGAACTGGATAGTTTAAAAAAAGGTATATATTTTTACAAAAATGGGGCAAATGTTTTTGTTATTGCCAAAACTGTCTTCAGCCTTATCTTTTACAAAATAATACGAAAAGGTATTTTGCTAAGAAACGTGAGGCGCAAACAAGATACAATGTTCTGGAGATAGAAAACATGACAACAGGTTTCCAGACCTTGAATTTCATTGAGACTTGGTCATGTTTACTTGGCACCAGACCCCAATTATCTGCGCAACTAGTCATAATTGCGGTAAGACCTTTAAGACTCCAAGTGAGAGTGATGATATATGATTTCCCGAGCAGGGCACTGGCTTTCTACGAAATTAGCTAGCGAGATCCCTAAGTACATTTACATTCGTGATGCAATCTAGATTTTTCTGATATAAAAAGCGGGAACGGAACCGGAATGACCATCAGTATCAAAGTTAGAGTGATTGCAGTCAGAATGTTTGCCACGCCCCTCAGACAGCCAAATGCGGTGAACCAGAGTCAGAAGAAGTCACCCGGCATGGATGGCCATGATAAACCCTATCAGTACGAGATCACCGATCACGGATACGGCAAGGATGCGGTTAAGGTTCTGCATGTCAGTCGCAAAGGACCTGTGCACACCATCCAGGAATTCGAGGTGGGCACTCACCTGAAGCTGTACAGCAAAAAGGACTACTACCAGGGCAACAACTCGGACATTGTGGCCACCGATTCGCAAAAGAACACCGTTTATCTGTTGGCCAAGAAGCACGGCATCGAGAGTCCCGAAAAGTTTGCCCTTCTGGTGGCCAAGCACTTTATTAACAAGTACTCCCACGTGGAGGAGGCCCATGTGCATGTGGAGGCCTATCCCTGGCAGCGAGTTTGCCAGGATGAGACCAGGACGACCATCGGTGGAAAGTGTGAGAAGGGAACCCCGGGAAGCTGCGACTTCAGCTCGATCGACGACCGATCTCTGCACAATCACGCTTTTATTTTTACACCTACCGCGCTGCATTACTGCGATGTGGTAATGAGGAGGACAGGTTAGTAATAAATAACTTGATTACTCTACAATTTTAGCCCAGGAAAATACCATTTAATGCGATATAAACATCTTTTTATGTTTAACGTATACAAAAATGTTAATATTAATATTAAATGATCATAGTATATCCTATTACTCTTTTAAAACATCAAAGTGAACAAAAAAACTTCTGAAGCTATGCAATTTAAACAATCTTTTTTAATTTTAAAATTTGACCATTTTATTAATATCTTAACTATAGGCAGCAAAAAAAAAAATTATTTTAGGAAGAGTATCAAATATTCTAGGTATCGTTTAAAAACAGTTGATCATTTAATATCATTAAGTCCTAAAACTGGAATTTAATTTATTTGTTCGACTTTTACAACTTGCAGATCCTAAACAAACGGTCATTACTGGAATCAAGGGTCTCCGAGTGCTGAAGACGACCCAATCTTCGTTTGTGAACTTTGTGAACGACGAGTTCAGATCTCTGCCAGATCAATATGATCGAATTTTCAGCACCGTGGTCGACTGCTCGTGGGAATATTCTGACACCGATAACGTGGACTTCTTGAGGGCCTGGCAGACGGTGAAGAATATCATTATCCGCAACTTTGCCGGCGATCCGCAGGTGGGCGTGTCCTCGCCCTCCGTTCAGCACACTTTGTATCTCAGTGAGAGACAGGTCTTGGATGTCCTGCCGCAGGTGTCGGTCATTTCGATGACCATGCCGAACAAGCATTACTTCAACTTCGATACAAAGCCGTTTCAGAAAATCGCTCCTGGCGATAATAATGAGGTCTTCATCCCGGTCGACAAGCCACATGGCACTATCTACGCCCAGTTGGCCCGGAAGAACATCAATAGTCATCTATAGACCGATCTCTGAATTATATAGTCTTAAATAAACTATTTATAGTGTGTTATAGCAAATTAATTATATTACTCAAATTCTTTAAAAATGTTACTTTACATTTTGGTAAAACTATTTTAAATTAAAGCGAAATAAATAAAGCGTAAATTGTTGCTCAACATTTTCAAAATCAACACTACCTTAGCTACATTTATCAAAAGTCTGTCAAAACCATTTTTTAAATCCTGAAATGATGCATCATTTTTAAAAAAAATTATACGTTCTCTCTTCTTTCGACCACTTTGGCACTCAAAATTCGCAATCTAAATCCAAAAACAGCTGAAAACCAACTAGCCCTAAAAGCGTTACTATGACGAATCGACTGGCCTTGCACCACATCCTGACCACCCAGCTGCGAAAGGACTGGGAGCAGGAGGACAATGCCAAGTCCAGGCTGTCGCAGCTGGCCAGGAGGGACAGGATCAAGGCCTCGCTGAGATCGACCCAGATGCCAGGACGATACCTGATGCCCGATACCCGCAAGACCTACGACAATATGGTGGCAAGGATTCACTCGACAATGAAGTGTAAGCTATACATTGAGGGGAAACTTTACCCTGAACAATATCATTAGGGATTAAAGATGTAGCTAAAATTTATAAGTAGCGTACATCTTAGGAACATGTACTTTTAATAACTGGAATTTTTTAAGAAAATATTTTAAGAATCATATTTAAAGTATTATCATTTTTAGAAGATATAAAAATAAAAGTATCAAAACATTTACTCTCACACCTTAAAAACACTGTTAGGTAAATCAAAGTAAAATTAGAAAGCGACTTAAGCTAGTTTTACTTTTATATATAAAACGAGTTTTAAGTCAAATAATAAGTAAATATTTGCACCTATTTGTGACTAGCGCATTAATTTATAAGTTCCAAACTTGTAGCGTTAGGATGACACATAATAATAAAATACAAAAATAAAAACAAAAAAACATCTTAGAAATTTGTTTCCAATTAAATATAATGTACAGATGGATATCACTGCTTGAAATTAAGTATTGAAAATTATAAATATTTAAGTCATTTTCATGTTTTTAGATACCATTATCTTAAACCTTAAATAGGAATTTATTTTGAAGACCAAAAGACTAAATATATAGATTTTATAATTTAATTTTTGTTATGAGAAAAATAAAATAAGTTTACTTTCCCTCAGCGGTTCGATCACCTCGAAGACCTCGGCCAACAGTTCCGCTGCCCATAGCGAGGATTCCGACTCCAACTCCAGGCGTAGCCCCACCATTGCCATCGAAAGTAGTGTTCAAGCATCTGAAACGCAGCAAATCGGGCCGCATAAAGGGCGGCGGCAACTCCTCGAAGGCGGGCAGCGCCCAGAGAATTGCCACCAAAAGCAATGACAAGCCTTTGGCGGCGATCAAGGCCAGTTTGAACCAGAGGTCAAGGGGATCCAGGGGCTCCAAGGGCTTCGATCAGCACAGCCGGATTCGAGAGGTTATCCAACAGAAGACCGTGCTGGAAACCATGTTGCTGCAGCACAAGAAGTTGCAAAGGGATCGGCGGACCATTGCCCTGGATATCCAGCGGATGCGGGCTGACCTGGACAGGATTCGCACCAAGTTGGACACTTCCCTGCAGAGCTTGAACTCCACGCGCACCCTCTTCAGTGCCGCCAGCAAGGCGAATCCCCAGAAGGCGGCTTCCGTCCCCCAGAAGCCCGCGCACAACATGGTGACCCCGACCCAGCGCCGCTCTGGTGGAAAGCGAAAGGTCAGGAGCAACGCCATCCCGATGGTCCGGCAGAGCGCGCTGGCCAACAAGACACCCATCCTCAAGCGCCGAGTTCGTTAATCGCCATTTGCTAGGGAGAAAAATATAAAAATAATGTAAACAAGTGCTATACAAACTAAATACATAATCTGCCACTTTTGGCGCCCATTTTCAAAATTACTCGATATTCTGCTAAAAAATCGCCAAATCTAACATTTTAGAGCGCCATTGCGGCCGTAAAAGGAACCAGTGAACGCTGACAATTGGTCAGTGCTACGATGAAATATCGCGACAACTATCGATAACTGATATTTTGATACTTTTCCCATCACTATCCTGCTCATGGCGTCCGTTTTTTGCCACCGGATTTTTGTTTTTCGTTTTTTTACCCACAATTTTCACCGGTTCGCCTAATTTTTCGCCAGTTGGTGTCCTACGATGGGCTCCTCCAAAAAGCACAAGAAGAACAAATCGGAGCGACGCGAGAAGTATGAAGGTAGGTCCATCGAAGTGATTCGTCTACGTGAGCCCCCGCTGGCACATGCCGTCTCGCTCTAACGTTTTCCCGCTTGTTGTTGAGCATGTGTACACTTAGAAAAATTTTGGTATACAAAAAATAAATTTGAGAAATATTAATAATAAAAAATGATAATTTTGTCAAAAAAATAAATAAAATAATATTATTTTAATTTTTAACAATTATAATTTAGCTATATACGAATCTAAATTCTTTCCTTATATATATCCTATATAGAATACAGTCAGCACCAGGATCCGGGTCAACTGCAGCGCGGATTGAAGCTCATCCTTAAGGTGGGATCGAATGCCACGCCGGAGTACAGTGCCAATTCGCCAATGGTGGACGGAGGACCGCCCACAGCCGCCGAGGCCATGATGTCGCCCGTGCCCGAGGAGCTCCAGGATCACCAGGGCCATCGGGAGCGCCACAAGAAGTCGAAGAAGAAGAAAAAGAAGAAGGATCGCGAGAAGAAGCACAAGCACCACAAGGAGAAGCGTCACAGGAGCAGAGATCGTCATCGGGACGCGGGATCGGACGAGGATGTGGTGCCGGGCGCCGACGATGCCGCCTGCAGCGGCTTCGCCCCACCCTCGGTGGCTCCGCCGGCCGTCGATCCGGACTCCAGTCAGGATGGCTTCAGCTTCATGGACGACGATCAGTCGCAGCCGCTGCCTGAAAATATTCTCTTCTTCGCCGGCATCACCACGGATAACTCGCCGTCCAACTGTCCGGTGTCCAAGAGCATTGCACCGCGCAAGCTGGAGGACATTCTGATGGGTTCCTCGCCCACTTCCTCGTCGCTGCAGTCCTCCTCTTTGGGAATGGTGGGCAGCAGTCCCACCAAGCCACTGCCCGACGTAAGTAACTTAAACACTATTAGGGTATTCAATTGCGTTGCAAACTTTTGAAAAGTGTAAGCAGTTCCAACAACAATTTCTATACAAAATATGTATACAAATCTGTTGTACTTGTGTAGAAATAATGATTTTAAATAGAGGTTTTAAATACTAAAAAGTCGGGCTTGAGTATATGGTGATGTCAACCCAAAAGCCGATTCACACTTAAGAACTCGCGTATAAATTTTGTTGCTCTACTTTTGGCGACCAATGTTTTTTTCTTGGTAAATTGTATTGTTAAACCATGCGGATGCATATATGTGCCAAAGAATTCGCGGTTTTATTTTCGGTATTTGTGAAATTTAACTGGGGGCTTAGATAAGACAGTAAGGAAATGACATTCTTGACCAAGAAATTGGCCACCCAAGTAACTGAATAACTCGCGGCCTAACCAAATTTTTAGTGAAACCAAATAAGAATGACAATAATACTAGTTATCAACTTTTATGACCGTCCTTAGCCATTTAACGCCTTAGAAGTCGCGGACCTCTCATATAAAATAAAAAGGCGGACATTTTTTTGTACATACGATTTTATTTTAGGCAAAGCCTGCCTTTTATTTCTTTTTTTAGTTAAATTTTTTCTTGTACGTCCATATCTTGCAACAATTTTTGAAAAAATGTCGTTCACAATTTTTGCAACGCAATTGAATACCTTATATATCCGTTTTCAAAATTACTAACTATTTCGTATGCCTTTCAGCTCCTGATACCTTCTCCCTCGACGCCGGGCGGAGCCAACTCGCTAAATGCCCTCACACCCAAGGCTCTGGAGGCGCCAAAGACCCCCAGCAGTTCCAGTGAGTCGGGCAGGGAGCCCCGCAGCTGTGTGCTCAAGCTGAAGCAGCAGAAATCGCCGTTGAACAAGCTGCTGGAGCATCTGCTGCGCTTCCTCGAAAAGCGCGATCCGCACCAGTTCTTCGCCTGGCCGGTGACCGATGACATGGCGCCCGGTTACTCCTCAATAATTAGCCGACCCATGGACTTTTCCACCATGCGACAGAAGATGGATGACCACGAGTACGGCGCCTTGACCGAGTTCACCGATGACTTCAAACTGATGTGCGAGAATGCCATCAAGTACAACCACGTGGACACGGTTTATAACAAGGCAGCCAAACGTCTGCTGCAAGTCGGAATGAAGCACTTGCAGCCGGAGAACTTGATGAGGAGTCTGAAGCCACTTTCGGGCTACATGAGGGAGCTTACTGCCAAGGAACTGGGCTTTGAATTGAGTTCCAACGACATGTCGCGGGAAGCTCATGATTCGGCGGACGAAGGAGCTTCAACGGGGGCGGAGGAGCCGCCCACTCCGGCCCAACTGGAGGAGGAGGAGCGCAAGCGGGTGCGGCGTTTGGAGAATGCGCCCAAAACCCATTTCGAGCCCTACGTGGACGATTTGACGGGTGAGGAGATACTGGCGCAAGTGCAAAATGCCGCCCAACAGGCCAAGCAGCGGGTGAATGCCAAGAAAAATGCCCACAAGATGGGTTTCCTGCGTCAAACGAAGGATGGCAGCACCACCCTTAACCTCTTGGTAAAGGAGGAGAACGAGGGTCCCGAACGGGTGGTGACCATTGGCGATTTGGTTGGAAAACTGCAAACGGGAACCTCACAGCTGCAGGTGCGACAGGTAGACAGAAGGAATGCCATGAAAACAGTGAAACCCCTAAGCTACGGCGCCTTTGCCAGCTTTGCGCCCACTTTTGACTCGCGCTTCTCCACTCTGAGCCCCGAGGAAACTCAGTTGGTTTTACGCACCTACGGCGATGCGTCCAGTGCGGAATATGCCGAAAGTATCTTACAGTTCACCAAGGATTCCAGTTATGGCACCACCATTGCAAACGGTCTGCTGGATATCCTCACCAACGGTGAACACAGCAAATCCCTGGATGAACTCTACAACATGCAGCTGCATTCGTACGAGCAATCGGAGATTGAAAAGTGCTTTGAACAGGAGAAGGAAGCCACCAGCCAGCAGGAGACCTCCGAGCAAATCGAGCAGGAGTATGAGAAATACAAAAACACCCAGGTGGACTTCAAGCGACTGCAATCACTCGGAGATCTGGGCATCGATGTTAGCTTCTTGGACGGGATGGAGGCGGAAATGAAGAACTTTGAGCTCAACCGGCGAATGCACGAGCATCTCAGTCAAAACTTGACGCTAATCGAGAAGCTGCGAGTCACCCAGCATGATCGTTTGTCGCAGCCTTTGCCGAATCACCTGGGACTGGTGCAGTCCGCCGGTCAGGAGGAGGCCCAAGCCGCACAGCAATTGACGCAGCAGATCAGTGACCTGGCCAAGAAGCTGCCGCCATCCGCTATCGCCGATCCGTACGCCCTGCGAAAGGCCATGGGCATGTCCTTTGGTATGTCCATAAATTTTATAGTTTTCCTATTTCAAATTAAATGGAACTATTTATTTTTCCAGCTGGTCTGCCGCCACCTCGGCCCGTTTCTCCACGCGTCCAGCTGCCCGAGCTGCTGCAACAGCCGGTGGCCCTGCCCCAGTTGCCACCGGTGGCCATGGAGATCGACGAGTCGGATGAGCAGCATGGCGGCGGAGATCTGGAGAACGAGCTGCGCGAGTTCCTCGAAAGCGGATCCGGCCTGCACTCCACCAATCCGGCAGATGACAACAGCATTGTCGCCCAGCTGCTGCTGAACTAGAGGATCCGGAAATCTTCATGACGCGCGCTATGTTTATAATGTAAGATAATTAAAATTCTCTAAATTATTTTCATATAACCAATGGCAGTTGCATCTAAATAAAGATTAAGAAAATAGTATAGAAATTCGAGTTTTTTAGTTGGACTGCAAAAGATAGCTTTTATTGAAATTATCAAGTCGGTTTGATCTAAAAATGATCAAATATTAATTCAGCGAACTTTCTTTAGCACTAACAATTATATTATCGTTTCAATTTCGAGCTTAAGCCTAAACACATTTTCGATTTGTCTTAACTGAACCTAGGTAACGATTTAAAGTTTAAACACAACACAATTGCAGAAGAACCCGCGAGTGCTAGACTTCTTCTTCGACGTTTTCCGTGGGCTTGGGCTCTTCAACAACCTCCTTCAGCTCATCCTCAGCGGTGACAGCCGGTTTCGTGATCTACAGAAAATTACAATACGATGGGCGGTACAGTGAGCATACGCTTGGCATTATCATAGTTGAGCAACTCCATTCAGTAGCTGTCTCCAGGCACATAATACTTATCGGATCATGCAGTTAGCGTTATCATATATATATCAACATGCTGGTTAGGTTTGTCTTCGACGATAGCTCTCTTCATGCACCTAGCTTAGGCTTATTCTACAGTTAAGTACGTTTAAGTTCTTAGCCTATGATTAGGATTTGGATTACATAATATCTTCGTATGGACTTTACCACATTAGAAACCGCGTGGGGCGAGTATCGTTTTTAGTGTTTTGATTTGAGTATGGACCACTTAGAACCTAGACATTAGGCGAGGGCTAAATGTTTTTTGGAACCCATTTATATATAATATATATATACTTTATATCACAAGATGGTTGATTTTTGGTTGTCCCCGTTTTTGTTTGATGTGATTTTGGTTAGTGGGCGATTTCAATGGCTTTTCAACGTTTTGAATTTGTTATTGTTCTGTAGAAGTGGTTGAGTTGAATCTGAGACCGATTGGCCGCTAGATTGTCTTACTTTGAAGCAGCGAATGTTGAAGTGGTCGCACATCTCCGATACCTGAAAAAAAATAATAATATAATTAGTTGGGGAATTTTAATATTTTTTTTAATACAATATAATTATATCTTTTCTTTTTAAATAGTTAAAAAATAATTAACTTACCACACCGTAGCCGTAGTGCCAGTGGGCTAATGTTGAGAAAATGGTGAGTCCCTGGACTATCCATTTTTCCACATCCGCCGAAAGATCTGTGTCGAAGACCTCCTGGTAATAGGGAAAGCAGCAGACACCCACTGTGGCGGCCAGTGGCCACATGAGCACATTGAAGGCATCGCAACGCATGTCCGACATTTGGGCCACAATCAATCGGCACTTTGTGAATCAAATTCAGAAGAATTATTAATTTTTTACCCACTTTAAAAAAAGTCCCATCAATACTTACAGCAATATTTGAGAATATCGTGCCATAGAGTATCCATAGAATACGAGGCTCCAGATTGATGACATTATTTCGAGAAAAGAACGACCAGATAAGAGTGATCACAAAAAGCCAGACGAACGCGAAAAATGGACGCAGCATCTCCCACATAGGACGCATTTTTCCCGTCTTGTTTTTATAGGAACTAAAAGAAGAGGGTATTATTTCTAGCTAATTTTCTAAAAAACACAAACTCACAGATAGATATTTCTAGCAATAATCGGATGACTGCTGACCATGCCCGAACCAATAAGAACCACCTCAAACATATTGGCCACTGTAAAGCCGTAAAAGTCAAACCGATAGATTCCAGGTCCAAAGACAGTTGCCAAAAATAGCATTCCACTAACTCCCTGAAATAATAAACAAAGGATAATTAACTTGAAAATTATATTTTTAAGAGGTATTATCTTTACTTACCCACATGGTAAAGTCATAACCCCAGGGCAAAAACATAACTCCAGTGTTGTACTTCTCCACATGCGTTAAATAAAAGTTGAGAAAGACGTTCCAGATCACAAAGAACATACGAATTGGGGGCAAATCGTCTGTGCCGAACAGGGAGAACAGGTAAATGGGTATCAGAGCAGCTGAATAGGAGTCCAAGCCATGATCGAATAGCTCTCCCAAAGGTCCACTCGTTCCAGTTCTTCGAGCCTGCTTGCCATCCATGCCATCTAATAATGAAATAAAATTTTAATATTCAAGAACTTCTTTCTTATTTATATTTATCCCTTCCAAAACTCACCCAAGTTATAGTAAATCAAAATGTTTATGGCCGCCACTGTCCACACCCAAGAAGGCACCGTGTTGCCCGTCGGTGGATTAGCTGCTTTAAAGCCCCAGTCATAGTAAGCTATCAGGATAAAGTTGACGACAGTCATCAGGAATCCCACGAAGGTGAGAACGTTGGGCGCCAGCCATTTGGGAACAAACTGGAATATGTAATGTGACTTAAAATGTATAAATGGTAATGGGTATTTATAACTTACCTTCACACAGTAGTTCCAGAACGGGTGCATCACATAGACACTGAGGAAACTCGTGTCTATACTGCTGTACTAAGGAATAAATAATAAGATATTGATTAGAATCACCTTTTCGAAATTTAATAATTTAATAATTATTCTGTATGCCTTGGGGTAATTTTTTCTGTCAATCTATAATTCAAAACTCATTACACTCGAGTTTCTTTTACAAAATGCGTTTATGAACTCATAAACCGGAGAATAACTGATAAGATATCTATTTATATCTAGGCGAAGGTCCTTGAAAAGTACTTTTACTTTCACCTTTACGAAATGCTTTTAATTTGATACAATTCTGTATGCCTAAGGGTAATTTTCTCTGTCAAGCTATAATTAGAAACTCATTACACTCATAAACTGGAGAATACCTGATAAGATATCTATTTATACCCAAGCAAGGTCCTTGAAAATTACTTTTACTATCGTTTTGTTATAGTAAACTTAAATCTTGTTAATTCAAGTTTCTAGCCCCTTCTTTTCTCCGCCCCTGTCGGGTCTTCATTCCATTGTCTTAGCATGTTGTAATCTTTACAAGTACAAATTCCACTTTTGATTCCACTCCACCGAGAACACGCACTATCTATCTGAAAAGCTTCAGCACATGGATCCGTGACAGTTCAATGCCTCCTTCTAACGTTTGCGAAACATTTGTTTAGTCTGGTTATCACTTAATTGATGACCTACACTAGTAAACATATACATCAAAAATTTAAATACTACAAATTTGACACATAGTAAACGGACTCAAATGGCCGGGATCAAATTAAATGTAGCCTAATCTTTCCGGCGAACCAACCGGAACTACCGTAATCGTAGTCCGATAAGACATAACTTTTATACATTAAAAAATTAATGCCTAATTCGGGATCAGCACAATTTTCCCCGATAAGATAGGAAGAACAATACTAAATACAAGTAAGGGAAAATTTAAATTTTAATATTATTTATAATTTAAAATGAATTATGAAGAAAATATGTATATAAAATGAGTGTGTAATGATTCATTACTAATGAATAATTTCATTATGTCATTTACATAGTTATATTTAATATAGTTAATATAATATAGTTATATTTAATAAAAACTTAAATTTTTATTTTCCGAAAAAAAAATCAATACAATAATGTATTATTGCGTAAATTGCCTTGGCTTTAAAACTTATAAGCCTTGGCAATAATTGATAACTTCTTTAAAATTTGACTATTTAGTAAAAGTGCCTAAAGTGTATCGAAAACTAATATCCCTCATAGTTGGAAAATTGCAGAAGTGCATAAATAGTAGTACAAGTAAACTTTATTTAAACGGAGTCCACATTCTCCCTTCCAAAACCGATAGCAGATTGAGGATCCGTTAAGAATGTCGGGCAGTCGACAAAATTTGACTTTAATTGAAGTTTTCTATTATGTAATGGAAATTCAAAAGAAAAATGGGTTAAATCGATATTGGAGATTATTTGATTCCCTGAGTTTTATTTACAATCTAATAACAAATGACTGAAGTAGGGAATTGGGACATTGATTTTTACCACCCACCGCACCGAGGGCCACGTCTAACTATCCATCCCCCTTTTTTTTCGAAGAACTCACCTTGTAACGCTCGAAGCCCCTCAAATGAGCCTCCGTCAAATAGCGCATGCAACCCATTTTGTAATTTGTATTTTGTACTTTTCTAATATGTTTTTGCTGTTCCACTAGCTAGTGAAAAGTGATAACAGGGAAAGAGGAGGAGGAGGAGGAGGTGGAAGATGGGGAGTTTGCACTTGGATCGGAAGTCAGATTAGCGCGTATCGGCTTGACCTTTGAATGGGTCAGATTGCTACTACTCCGGCATATTGTATAACATCTGCGGATCTACACAGAACAGATATATGATTTTCGGATTCGTTCACACGGCGGCCCCCGCTAAAAAGCGGAATGCGGAATGCGGGTAAATTAAATAATCGCTTTGTCCGCTCTCTTGCACGCAACACGCAAACAACAGTTACTCTTGCACTCGTATAACTGGCAAAGAAGAAGAACCGGACGGAGACGAGCACGCAGACGTATTGCCCAAAAGAAGGAGAATATATATTCTATATTCCGGACGGGCCGGCGTCTGAATGGGAACTGCGGGACTTATCAGGCCTGAAGACCTAGCGCTTAATTCACGACGCCGACTGCGACTTGGGTTCCACAAAAACAAATCCCGGTGCGCACAGCACCAGTGATGGCAATTTGGGGGTTTTCCACACCGATCCGGGTTTTACCGAGTTCAATCCTCTGGAGTACCTATTCGGGAATAGGTATTCCGAAAGCTCTTACCATAGCTTATTCGTTCTAAAATCTAACAATATAGGATGGCTCTGCATATAAAATAAATAGATTTTACTTAAGTTTCTTTGAGAATTTTTTTTTTAATTCAGGAGATTTTGGTTTTTGTTAATAATAGTTTTAACATATTGGTGGCTTCCTTTAAAATCACTCAAGTCGAATTCAAGTATTACAACTGTCATGCTACGAAAACTAATCATTTGAGATTAATTAAAGTACTGTCAGAAATTGAATTTTCAAATATTTTTTGAGGCTTAGTATTTCTACCATTTTTATCGGAATTGATACTTGATATTATAAATATTTTACTTAAAAAATATTAAGAAATAATAAAAAATCTTAATTCTTGTAAATATAAAATACCAGAGCTTGCAAGGTTCGGTCAACCTTTTCAAAGTGTTAGGAAAAAACCTGTCACAAAAAACCCTATGACAACTGGGTGTGAGCTAACCCCTTAAAAGGGTTTTTGCTTAACAGATGTTACGCTCAGAGCAAAACCCTTTTTTTTCAGAGTTATTTCGGTTTCGGTTTCTACTGACTACTTTGCTCGGTCTGTTAAGGAAAACGGTCTTTTGTGAATGTATGAGTGTGTATGTGTGACCTGTTCAGTAATGCTTCAGTCGTAACATTGCTTTTTGATTATTAAAATTCAAAAGGGTAAGGAAAAATACGTAATGTGTACTTCCTAAAGCTGAATCTGTAAGATTAGCCCATTTACCATTAAATTCCAATATTCTACATATTTTAAATAATTTACGATTCCAAAACTCCACTTAACTCCACAAATCCACGTAATAACAAGCGAATCTTTTAAGCTGCAGTTTAGTAGTTTCAAATTTTGTTTATGTAGCTTTAAATCAATTCCTAACTATTTAAGAATATCTTCACAACATTATTCAGTTTTATTCAAAATATTTCGAAAGATTTGAAGGAACGCGGGATCCATTTTGTAGGAATAGGCTTAGTTGGAATACTTTGAGCCATTTTTTATCTTAAGACTTATGGTAGTTCTCATTTATTCTTATGGTATAGCTCATTTGAAAGGTAATTCGTTTCTTTATGGCATTTCTTATTAAAGATAGTTCCTTATATAGTCAATTAATATATTGAAGCAAACAAAAAAATAGCAGCTAACCTATATTCAGAATACAATTTTATATACATTTATATGTACAATGCAATTTTAGAATTATCTTGATTTCCTATGTAAAATTTATGCACATATCACAGCAGGCCTATACTTTTTCCTTTCTAGAGAAAACCCATTTTTTTGACTTTTATTTAACAGTAGTCTTTCAGAAACCCTTTTAGGTGACTGTTAACTTAAAAGGGTCTCACCGAGTGGTTATTGAAAGACCGATTGCTTTGTTCGGTTGAGCCGAACGGTCGGACCGAAACCGACAAGCAAAACTAAAAAAGGGTTCCGCTCAGAGAGAGAGTTTGTGAGCAACATTTTTTTCGGTTGTGTCGAGATTAAACTGCCTCAGGAAAATCGGTTGACAGTTATTTGCAAGCTCTGTAAAATACAAATAATAACTCTAGTGAAGATGATATTGAAAGTAATACTTACCCTGATTTTTCGTAATATTTCACCGACTTATACTAAGCCTGATTGGCATCACTAGCCCCGTACTATCTTATCGGGAAGAGATTGTGTGTGTATTTTGCATTGAATGAATGTGAATTGAAATTTGTAAAACGCTCCCACTCCATGAGCAACAAATTTGCTGTCCGGCAGAGAGGTTATCAGTCTCAGGCTCCACAATTTCCACAGGCAGAGCGACAATAATTTCAGGGAGATTTGTGGCCTGTTGTTTATTACAATTATAAATTATATATAAATCGGATCATCATGCTGGTTTTATGCGCGTGTTTTATAGAACACTAAATTTAGATCGAAGCCGTGTTTTTAATTTTAGTTCAAGTTCGGGAGATAACCCTTCGCAGATCGGGTTGCCAGGCGCCACGGGGGCAAATCGAACGGAAATCGAATCTTGTAGATTAAACTGGGCGGAAAATTTAAAGGCAAACTGAAAATTATTTACAATGTCAATCAATTTTGTAAATTCAAGGCCTCTAACTATGTTAGAGTTTAATATAATAATGGTAAAAAAACTTCTACCTCCAAGAAAAAATCTCTTTCTTTTCCATAAATAAGTGTTTAATATTTTATCAAAATTTAGTCAATCATTTACAGTCGCTTCATAATTAATTCACATAAAGGAAACATATTTCACAATTTGGACAACAACTTCAACTTGTTTACGAACTTTAAGTAGCTGTAGTCATAAAACTTATTTCAGTATTAAGATAACGTAATGACTCTCTTATCGAACAACGAAAAGTTCGAGCGATAAATAAGACAAGAAATTTCACCCGACGCGGTGGGCAGTCAAGAAAAAAAATGTGAATGAAGACTTAGGTCTAGGATTTGGTCGGGATCAGTTCAGACTACTTAGTTTAACCATCTGGAGGTCTCCGTGGCAGTCAGACCCTCGGAGCGCAGACGTTGCAGCATGGGGCGATATATGTCGGGGGTGAAGGGCAGCAGCACACCGCGTTCCTGGATCTCACCTGGAATAGGATAGTTTAAAATTATATTATTTACTTTTTTATAAAGATCGATAAAAGAGAACCCACCATCTAGGATCATTTTGGCCGCAATAGCGGCTGGCTTGCCCACCGTCATCGCCATGGCGGAATGACCCTGGGGCTGTCCATAGACCACAAAGTTGATGCCCCGCTCCTCACGACGACCGTCGGGCCAACGGATGCCCACTTCATGGCGCAGCACCACCAGATCGCGCTCATCTCGTTCTGAAAAAATAATATTTAAATTAAATTACCAATTGTTTCAACTTTTAAACCAAAAAACAAGAGAGAACGCTATAGTCGGGTTTGTGTCCCGACTAGAGCCCTGCATGAATCATTCAATTTTTGTTTTATCATAGTATGCCATGAAATTTCTGATTTGTTTAATTCAATTCTATGTGAAATAAATTGAATGTTGTTCTAATTCATTTCAAATTGAATGAATCGAATGAAATATTTTATGAATTGTTTGATTTTTTCAGATTTTTTTTGTGTTTTCTTTTGAGAACAAAAAGTGGAAAATTTTTAACAAATCAATGTTAACTGAATAGTAAATAAAATTCAGATAGATTTAATCACAAAATAATGGCCCTTTCTTCCTCAAAATAAATTGTCGTTTGAATTATTTCGGAATTCATGCCATTCATTCATTCAATTCTATTAAAGTCAAAATTCAAATTCATTCAATTCTATTAAACACAAAATTCTAATTAATTCATTCATATAACAGAAAAAATTCAAAATAATTCATTGAATCCATTCATGCAGGGCTCTAGTCCCGACTATCTAATACCCGTCACTCGGCTAAAGGGAGTGCGAGGGAGATGGATATATAACATTTTTTTGATTGCGCATAACTTTTTAATGAATTGTCCGATTTGAAAAATGTCTTTTACATTTCGATAGGTATAAATATACACAATAAAATTGCATTTATAATTCTCGGAAATCTTTAAAGGTGTGCCAGACACATTTTAAAATCGTTAGTGGGCGACTGTGAGCGTTAGAGGGGGCGTATCGCCCGGCTGAAATAAAGTTGCGCTGCGTAGAAAGCCCAAGAATATGTGTGGAAAATCTCAACCTTATAGGTTTTTTTAGTTTCCGAGATCTCAGCGTTCATACAGACGGACAGACAGACGGACATGGCTAGATCGACTCGGCTAGCTACCCTGATCAAGATATAAAAACTCACCGAAGGCCAGTCTCTTGGACAGGTAGTGACTGAGTGTGTCCAGCGGAGTGTTCAGCTTCACCACGGGCGTATCATCCAGCAAGCCCAGGCTCTCGATGCCATCCACATCGCCGATGCGCTCGTTCAGCTTCTGCTTGAGGTTCTCGTAAAAGATGCTCGAATCGGACATGCCCAACAGATGGATGACCAACTGGCGCCACGTGACATCCGGTCCACTGGGATGCAGCAGAGCATGTGGCTCGGCATCAATCAGTCCCAGGAGTTGCATCGGCTTGATGGACTCGGAAAAACCCTTGTAGCGGATGGTGCCACGCAGCAGGGTGTGTACATCCCTGCCCAAACCGTAGAGAGAGCCATATTTGGTGGAGTCCCTATTGGGAAATCCCTCCAGGGCGAATCCAGGCAGGAAATCCAGACTGCGAGGACATGACATAAGTTCGCCGCCTCCAGAAATCTCCACAATTTGACCCTGGCTCAGATATTTGGCAGCGGAGAGAGTGTTGAGCAGTACTCCTCTGGGCGACCAAGAGAACTTGTATCTCAAGGAGTTATTGGAATGCTCCGGTGCCGGCAGACCTCCACAATAGCTAACGAAGGACTCGACAACGGCTCCCTTGTCCTGCACCTCGTGGATGCACTCCAGGGCCAAAAGGTGATCGATTCCCGGGTCCAAACCGACCTCATTCATGATGGTCACACCCTTGGCCTTGGCCTCCTCGTGCAGCGCGGAAATCTCGTCGTTCAGGTAACTGGCAGTGACCATGTGGGTGCCTTCGGCCACGCAATAGCGGGCCACCATGCCGTGGAGACTGTAGGGCAGCAGGGACACCACCACATCCGCCTTGCCACACAGCTCCTGCAGATGACCAGTGCTCTCGTTGACATCCAAATAGACGCTGTCCACTCCGGCATACTGTTGAGCCAGGCGATCGGCCTCATCTTTGACCTGCGAGCAAACCGTGATGCTGACATCCTTCTCGCGATGCAGCCACTCCACGAGGGGCGCCGAAACCATGCCAGCTCCCAGGACCAAGACCTTCTTGTGCGACTCGGATCTTCCTTCCATCTTATGACGCGACCGGTGGCTCGTCGAATCTCGCAGCTCCTGAATGTACTGAAAGCCCTCGGTCAGCTGACCGTTGCTTGCGATAATGGCCTGAAAAGCAGCAGAGAGAAACGGAATTAGCTAACTGATAACAGATGCAGATAAGGGGGCATAATGCACATTGGTTTTTAAATTTCAAGATTAATAAATTTAAAAAAATGTATTTACTGAATATATTTTTAATTAAACCCCTTTTTAGCATCCAAAAGAAATTTTGTTTGGGTATAAATTTAAAAAAAATTTAAGTACTGAATACATTTTTGATTAAAAACCTTTTTAGCATCCAAAAATAAATTTTGTTTGGGTAAAAATTTAAAAAAATGTAAATACTGAATACATTTTTATCATCCAAAAATAAATTTTGTTTGGGTATAAATTAAAAAAAATGTAAATACTTAATACATTTTTAATTAAAGACCTTTTTAGCATCCAAAAATATTTTTTCTTTGGTATAAAAACTAAAAAATAAAATAAAGCACCTACCGACTGAATGGGGTACGAGAATTCCTCCTCCGCCAGCGGTTTCTTGGCATCACTCTTGATAATATCGTGGACATGAGGCGCCAACAGTTCTCCAAACAAATCCGTCGACTCCCTTGGCAATTGGGTAGGCATATTATCAATCGAACAGACCAAAACTCCCGGACCCTTAAAGCTCTTGGTGTCCTTATTTCTATCTGCATCGTACAAACAGAAGGGAGTGTCGATGGTGGTGCACTCGTTCATGAACTCAATGGAACCACCGGGATCAGCGGAAATATCGCAAATGGCCAGCATGCGATGAGGGAGAGCAGGACTTCCCTTGCTGGTTGGCAACCAGGGTGTATTTGCCGGGCGTAGCAGGTTCTTGGCATCCGGAATGCTTATCAACTTGGGACTGCCCACAGCCCAATAGATGCCGTTGACAATAACCGATGCATACGGAGCTATCTTCGTGCTGAAGGTGGAGATGTAACGTTCTGGGAACTCGTCGTACTCCTTGGCATCAAATCCACCGCCTTCACGACGCTCCAGATGATCCGATCGGCTCACCTCGCAGCCATACAGCTTGTTTTGGTCTAAAGAAAATTTAAAAATAGTTAAGAATTGTAAAGAAACATGTTTAGTACTAATATTAAATATTAAAGACAATTTTTAAATATTTAAAAATGATTAATCTACACTCACTTCCATGCTCGGCCACCTTGCGAAGCATCTCAGGCGGGACATACTCTATGGGCAGTTCAGAGAACACTTCCTGGGCTCCCTGGGAAACATTTCCAGAGCCAGTAAACACAAACGTAAGTGGTCCAATCGACTTGGGCATCATGCCCAGAGAGATCTCATAGCCGCAATCCCTAATTGCCTGACGAGCCATCGAAGAATTACGATAATTGTGGGCGGGTCCAATGTGCATGAAGGGTGTATGATGTCCCAAAGCCAAAAGACGCAATCCAATGCCATGCAGAATGTTCACCATGCCAGCCACACCAGCATATTTGCCAAAAGCCACCTGTCGTGCTCCGCGTTCGTCTATAATTCGCTCATAGTCGATAAGCCGGATTTTCTAAAGAAAATTTTGAGAAAAAAAATAATAATCCACTTTTTCAGATGAAATAGTCTCCCAAACCTTCTCCAAAATGGCATCCAGTAGCGGCATATTAGATTCCTGAGCCTTGATGGTGTGCGAAAAGAAGCAGTAGGTCTTGCCAGGAATCAAAGCGTCAATGGGAACTTGTTTCACTCCAAATATCACGGATGCATCACTGATGTCCTCCTGAATATGAGCTCCAGCCTGCATATAAGCCTGTTGGGGAAAATAGGAAAACAATACAATGTTAGAAGGCCTCTTATCTTATCATTTCGGTACATAAATCCATGGTAATCTTTATGTTTATCAGGTGAACAGATCAGAATAATTGTTCTTATTTTACACGCAAACATCACATAATCTTTTTAAGCTAAGTAAGCTTATCTAAGCTTGAAATAATTAAATTTTTACGTATTTTTTAATTAGCTACTTTGTTTAATCATTAAGCTGTATTAATAGATACTTCAATTAAATTAATCTCATTAATTTACTAGTTCTAGGCCATAATTTTATAGAATTTATATTTTTATTGTTATTACCCTACTATTGATTCCATGATTTTCCAAACCCATTCATCTTTTTTTTCTCACGTGCCTCCGTCAAAAACATTATCATCTCCACAAATCAACTAAATATAGTATATGAATTCCTTGGAATCATTGCCACGAACGATAAGCTTTGCTTTCCTTTGGTTTTTCTCTCCTCCTCGTTTGTTTTGTACTCGATTTCAAGGCCAGCAAATTGCCAAATTTAGAGCTCCGTGTAGAGAGGCTTATCATCCGAGTTTTAATTTATGATGCAGCACTTGGGGGGCGTGTTATATACCACATATATATAGACGTACTAGCTTGCCTGACTACCGATATGATTTCTAATAGCGATTAGCCGCAGACTCAATAAATCCGTTGCCAACTCGCCATGGAAAATTACGACTTATGGATAACCGACGGAAGCTATTAATTCCAGCTATGCTCACCTGCATGGGATATGCTCGACGATTGGAGGGCTGCACGATGACCTTGACATTCTGCTTGACCAACTTCTGGACGTGGGTTGGTCCAAAAGGAGCTCTTCGCTCCCACACCGATTGATCCTCTCGCCGGATGGCAATCACCCGACTCTGGTAAAAATAAAGATTGATGTTCAAAGTTAGGTTCATATAAAAATAAGATATATTCCATAATTATTGGATGTTATTTGAACAATTTATATAATTTAAAACTCAGATAAAATTGTTTTCCATTAAATTACTTTCAATGTTTAGCATAAATAAAAGAAATATTACTACAAATTATAAGAATATCCAAATAATTTTAAAGCAAATTGGATTTTAAATCTTAATCATATTACAATTAAATAGTTTATGAATGGAATCTTTAAGATTATTGGTTAATAAAGGATGCAATTGGAGAGGTGAATCAACTCACATGACGTTGTCTGGTGAACGGATGCGCGATTGTTGCGCGCTGTTGAATCGCTCTCCACATATTTCGGCAGCTTTGTGGGATCAGTTCGAGCAGATCGAGTGCGAACTTAATTGTGATCGTAGTGTTTATTCTTTACTAGGATGATGGTGCTGATCCGATCCGTTGACTCCGAGCTCTGGCACTCTTCTAAAGGCATCGGAGGAGGCGAACCGCGAAACAGCCTCTAATCAGCAGTTGGAACCCGTCGTAAATCCAGTGATAAGCCGTGCTCTCCGTGCATCTCATCGCAGCTAAAAAGAAACCAATTTTGTGCGTTAGCAGAGCAGCAAAAAGAGCGAGATATTTGTGCTTGTCACTTACCCGTAAGGAAGCCGGATCTCCGTTCGATTTTGGGCTACAAATTTTCCACTCTGATAAGAGAGAGCTGGCTGAGAATTAAGAGAACCGCCCTGGGAAAATTCCTATAGCGCTGTTTACACAAAGCAATTCTTACACAGTTTTTCAATATTTGGTTTAGATTGATCAAGATTTCTGGGTTCTTTAAACAATTAGAGGTGAGTAACAACATTTAACATTTGGTAGATAACATTTTTAATAGCCAATATTTGTCTATTAATTTAGCTAAACTAATCAGTGTACAAATCCAATTAAAAAGAAAGTTTAAAAAATATTTCTTCTCCGCGTTTTTTTTAATTTTGAATGAAAACTTATATTTCATATTTCAGAATTTATACATTTGTTTATTCAATGTTACAAAAACGAGTTTATGTGTTGAAAATCAAATCATTAACATAAACAGTTCAGCAGTATAATAATAAATTCTTAATTCGATTTAAAAATAGGGAAAAGTAAATATTATTTTTCTAGCAAGAATTGCACTTTGTAAACACCACTTTACAATTTGGTTTTTTGGTGTTAAAGCATACGTTTTATTTTTAATTGCATCTTGGTTTCATAGGTTCGTCTCTGGCACAGATTTTAGTGCAGATTATAATCATTCTACTATTCACATCAAAAACAGTTTTCTTTCTTAGTTATCTAGAATTCTACGAGCTACTGGAGCAGCGGCTACGAAATGTAACTCGGCTGACACACGGAAAATAAATATACATGATTATTACAGCTAGTAAAACAAATTGTGGTTTTGCTACATTTTCAGGTATGCAAAAATAAAAGGAAAAAAGGAATAACATTTTGATTACGGGAGGTTAGAAAGAGGAAAGCCGTAAAGCTGTAAAGCTGGTTAGCGGATGGCCCACTGGGTTCCACTGCATGTCCACAGATTGATCCTCTAGAGCGCCGGCGCCTCAGGCAGCAGCGAGGTGAAGAAGGTGATGACAAAGGTGCGTACAACAGAAATCACAGAGTTATTGGCATTTGGTGGTTCCACGGCCACGGCTTCGGCGGAAACGTCAGCCGCATCCGGATTTGCAGCGGATGCTGGAGCCACGACAGCTGCAGCAGCAGGGGCATCGACTGCATCCTGTCCAGCTGCTGGCACTGCACCAGGCTCATTAGCCGCCTGGGGATCGTTGTTTTCTCGTTCCCCCGCCGCATCCATCATGCGCTGAATTTGCTGCACTGCAGCAAAGGCGGCCGCATCGCCGGCATTGTTGTTACGGTTGATGTTGTTATTGTTGCGTTCCCGGCGACGAAGGACACCAATGTGATACCTGGAAAATATAAAAAAAGCTTTAGTATAAATTCTAATATGTTATAGAAGTTACTTACAGATAAATCGCTCCAGCTATGAGCACCACCAGGAAGCAGCGCATCGGCGAGGAGTTAAAGTACAGGACAGTCACGAAAATGGCCAATCGCGTAAAGCTAAAGAAGCTATCCAGCCAGTCGCGCATCTCGGGCTCCTCCTGGATGTTGGGGAAATTTCTGTTCTGCGCTGCCCCATTAACCTGTGGAGCAGGTGGTGCCGCCGCTGCCGGTGCAGCAACTACTCCTGCCGCGGGCTGTGCAGCATTCAGCGGGACTTGGGGCATGAGGGGTTGAGACAATGGCGGCAAAACGGATTCGTTGGAGCCGGGCAATGTAGACCTGAAGGTATAAGAGGAGAGAGCTTTAAATAATTGTTGGTATAATGTATAGTATATGATTATGATTTTCAAGGGGCTTTGTTTGCATGAGAAAATTTAATTGCCAAACTTAATTGCGCACATTAAAATGTTCGGGCGTCCAAAAATAAACTTATTATTTGACTATAATCGCGAAACCCAAAAAATATTTACATAAATGGGAGCATTCTGATAACCAAAAATATTTTGGGTTGTCGCTGTTTATGTTGTTTAGACAAAAATTCAAAGATTAATAATAAATACAAAAACAAATGTTAACTCGCCTTACAACAATGAGTTCTCATTTGTTAATATTGTATGTTTCTACGAAGTATGGTAATATTTTTACGGATTAAGTCTGTGAAAATATTTGTTTAGTTATTAATGGATGGATGGATGTATCTATTTACTTCTGAGAAATATAACTTGTACTAGTCTTCAATGGTAATCAGGTAATTTAATTGCCGTATCACATGGCATTCTCGTTCTTCCAACTCACCGCAGGGCCAACTGCTGCATGTACTGGGCGTAGACCTGCTGCATCCAGGCGTTGTAGATCAGAGCCTGCTGCTGGAACATCGCTTGGGGATTGGCGCTGGCATTGGCCGCCGCTGCTGCTGCCGCCTGATTCTGCTGCCAGAAGTGCGTCCAAGGATTGGCCAAACCGATGTTACCTGCCATGGGAGATGCTGTGGCTGCCGGCTGTGCCGACTGCTGGTGTGTGGGATGACGTTGTCGCAGCTCATTTGCATTCCCGCTGACCTCCTGCAGCGCTGGCACCGCATCCTTCGGCGGCACTGTGATTGTCTTGGCTGGCGGCGTTATTACTTGCTTGCTGGCGCAGACCAAATGAAAGATGTGGTGCTGCTGGTAGACATCCTTGTAACTGCGAATCACCTCCGATAACTTTTGAGAGTCGTCTAAGAGCTTGCCAGAGTAAATCAGCTTCTGATCTTGGATTTTCTGGAGAGATATAAAGATAAAGTGGGTTTTAAAAATATTAAATTTGCGGTTGCTTACAAAAATATATTTGGTTTTAAAAAATTACTCAACCTGAAACTAAAAAGAGCACCAAAATATAAAAAAAAAATTTAAGTCTATCAATACGGGCTTTCCAAATCAAAAAAGTGTGTAAAGACGACTATTATATATTATTTTGCAGTACTTAAAATTATCAATTTCTGGCGCCCCATAAGAGATAAGACAGGGATTTTCTCATCAGCCAAATTCCATGAAAATTTATACACATTTTGCATTCTTATCGTTGTAGTGTTTGCAAAAATAAAAAATAAGCACGAAAAATGAGAAGTAAATGTATTTACTACATCATTTCACTGTACCACTTGTTTTACTTTATATAAAACTAGCTGCAGACTATTTTTAGATCATAAAAAGCATTGTATTTCATGCATTAAACACCTTTGGATATTATTGGATTGCCGCAAAAAGAGTGCACTGTATAAATATAACTGTAGTAATGACTTAAAAATCCCGTTTTTTGTTTAGTTAGTACAAGTAAGCGATAAGAAGCCATATGTGGGAGGTAAACAATAAGTCACCTGACCAGAACCTTAATTTTTGTTAACTGCTTTTAAGATATCCTATCCATACTATCAGCTACTAGCCGTAACCATTATAATCCCAGCTGCAAGCCATCGATTTAGCATAGGCCAAGTGCATGACGCAAGTGCATGACGAGGGGCCATAACTTTTAGAGGCAATCCACTGACGTGTACTTGCGACTAAGACGCAAATAGCTTTTGAGTACCTAAATATGATGTGTACCCGTGTATGCCAAAGCGGAGATGATAAACAATAACAAACTAGGCGATAAGATAAGGGAGTCGGCGGAGAAGCGAGAACGCGAGAACTTGAGAACCCACCGGTTTGCCAGGATAGACCACTGATAGCTGCGTCTTCAGCCGCTGGACCGTCCAGCAGAGATCCGAATCCACATTGAGATCCTCGTACTGCTGGTTGGACGACTTGATGAGCAGCCGGACGCTGGTTCCCGAGGGGGAGGGGGTTTCTGGTACCGGAACCGGGGCCTTCTGACGGGCGGCGGCATCGCAGCCCGCGGCTGTCGCGGCAGCGGGCGAGGCGGCGGCGGTCTCCTCCATCTGTGTTGCGTTGACCCCGCGCGAATCGGAGAACTTTCTATCGCTAATTAATGATGATCTCTATTCCGAGTGTGTGTGTTGTTTTTTTTTCGCAGCCACTGTGTCGCTCACTGCCACTTCCTGCTCCGCTCGCTGGGATTTTCAATAGTGTAGTTTATACCGAATTTGACATTAGATTTGGTTCTATTTGCTCTGCTGTCGCTCCACTCGCCAGCTGTTCCGTGCTGTTTTGCTGCCAGCCGAGAATTATTGATTATGAAACGCAGTAAACGTTCCGCAGTTGATCAAAAACTCGTCTCCATTTGATTCTGACCTGTGGCCAGAGATGAGCGCAGGTCACGGAGCAGTGGCGAGTAGCAGGTATTTTTAAGTCGCAGGTTAGAGAATGTCGCATGAAAACAACATTTTGGGAATTATTCAGATACTCTTTAAAATAATACAAGCTGAAATATATTTAAGCCGTTGTTTATCAACCTGTTATACATAATAATTGTAATTTTTAGTTTTTATTTCATGGAATAAAGACCCCTAACCAGTGACTCGAAGCAGTGACTTTTGCTCATCGCTGGAGGCCAACACTTGTTAATGCCAACAGGGTTGCCTTGACTTTCGGGCCTGCCAACTCGCTTCAACGTGACGTGTACGATTGTGTATAACAATTTAATCGTTGAACTTTGAAAGTGGGAACATAAAATCTATATCTAAATCTATATTCCCCAGGCGGTGTTATTGAATTTGCAAGTGAGTTTTCATTAAGATCACGTAGCTATATAGATTTACATATATATATTTAACAGAAATAATCTTAAATTTATGACGTCCTGATTAGCGCCAAATTTGTAATTCAAATGTAAGGTTTTCAAAATTTAAGTTTAAAGCCTTTTTCGTTTATCCTCGAAATTGCAAAACTGCCGAGTGTTTTGATAAAGTAAACTAAAATAAAAATGTATCTTTAAAAAACCAAATATTTTAACAAGACTTTCTTCTTTTGTTTCTTTATATCGATAATTTACTCATCGGTATAAATGCGTTTGACAATTCGTTTTCTTATTTTTTTTTTCGTCTTTTTTAAGGATATAGTCATTATTTTTAAAAATCTGTTTTTTTTAATTAATTTACTGTTTTTGTTCCAAAACGCGAATCGTGATCCGCACCGGTTCGTGATTAGGTGTCATCTCTATTAAAACTGCAGTAGATTATTTTTACTGATACAAATGCAAATTGTTTTGTGAAATAGCTGCTGGCAAGACGTGTCCTCCTCCCAGAACCCATGGATAATAAATCTGCTGTGTCCGCCCTACAGGAATTCTGCGCCAAGTCGAAGAACACTCCGCCCACCTATGATTTCATTGACGGCGAAGACGGAGGATACGTTTGCAAGGTCGTTCTGATGGAGATCGAGGCCTATGGAAATGGTAAAATTACCAGAAAACTTGCAATAATTTACTAATTTACATATCCCATTGTAGGGCGATCCAAGCGCGATGCCAAGCACCTGGCGGCTGCGAATATCCTGCGTAAAATCCGGAAGCTTCCCGGCGTGAGCAGCTTGCTGGAGGAGTGCGAAACGAGCTCGGTGACCGATCTGTGCGAGGAGCTGACCAATCTGAATCGGGACATGCTGAAGGAGCTGCGCGACTACTGCGTGCGCCACGAGATGCCCCTGCCCACCATCGAGATTGTCCAGCAGAGCGGCACTCCGAATGCCCCGGAATTCGTGGCCTGCTGCTCCGTGGCCTCAATTGTTCGCTATGGAAAGTCGGACAAGAAGAAGGATGCTCGCCAGCGTGCGGCCATCGAAATGCTGGCCGTGATCTCCAATCAAGCGGACGATATGCGTCCCGATAAAATGCAGGTCGTTAGCACCAAGCCATCGGAGGGTCTCGATGTGGACGCAACCCTGGAGGACTTGGAGGTGGAGCGCCGAAAGAAGTTCAACACCTACAGGGAGCTCACGGATGCCGGGAGCGTGGATAATACGGGTCTGCGCCTCTGCGATCGCCACAACTACTTCAAGAACTTCTATCCCGTCCTCAAGGAGGCTGCATTTGAGGTCATCCGTTCGGATGAGTACGTCAGCACCAAGGATAAGGCCTTGAGCCTGCTGAGCGCTCTGAAGATCACTCCTTCAATCAGTACTTTGGAGTCGTCGTCAATGGAACCCCTGCTGTGTGTTGAACTGAATTGCGACTTCGATGTGGTCTTTGTGGCTCTAGAAAGCAAGATCTTCGAGCAGATGATAGAATACTTTGAACTGATGTTGATATAATTTCCAATATATTTTTGTGGTATATATAACATTTATTTTTAACTAGGTCGGCTTACAAATAAGTAAACTGTCTCGTATTTACACCCTAAACAAGTTCAGATAATGCACATATTTGTTTGTAACTTAAAATCTATTTGGTTAATACAATCGCCCATTAGTTCTGTGGGTGTAAAACATGAAAAAGTGGTTTATTCCAAGGTCTTCTGTTAACGTTGTACAATAATGATAAGGCAAAACAGATTCAAGCAAATCGTATGGGGAGAGGGGTATAGAAAACCAAAGGCTAAAATGGCACTTCCAGCTAACTTTCGAGATGGGGAATTCCCCGTAAACAGAGTTGCGTTGACTATTAATACCCAATGCAAATCAAATTTGATAAATTTACACGACTTATTTAAGGGTTAATAGTGTTTTAAAACAACTTCAAAATCAATATGCTTTATACATTTACAATACTTTTGTAAAAAAAATTGTTTACGATATTTGTTATCACTGTAATCACAGTGACTACTTTATAACGCCGTTAAAATAAGAAAGTGAATGTTCGTGGATTCAATCAAGAACTATAAAATGTGAACCAATTTTACTGTACGACTAACCTCTAAGTTTTTTTATACAAATATAATTTTTTCATTACACATGTTTTTTTTAGTAAAATGAATACAATTCATATGTGTATACTTTTTCGTTCTCCTTCAATATTAAAAAAAACCAATAACAGGAAAATATTTTAAAATATCAATTAAATAAATTCTTATCAATAATTTAACAATTCCATTGTCTAATTATTCAAAAAATTGCGTTTATTTATACAGATTTCAATATACCTACAATTTAGGCCAGATAAATACAATAAATTTGATAACCATTCATAACAATTTGAAAATGTGGCTTACAAAAATGTAAGAGTATAAATGAGATGGTTCTTAAAAGTAATTTAAATATTCTATAATCAAATTTGATTGCATTGGAATAGCTAACAAATCATTGCAATAGCCACTGAAGGGGAAACGATGAATTTACTAATCAAAATAATATCTACATAACTAAAAGGGAAAACTCAGTAGCTGATCTTCTTGCGCAGCTTGAGATTGGATTGCTGATGGTCTAGAGATTGCTGCTGCCGCTCCCTTTCGTTGGACACCCTGCTCACGCCGCGGGCCAGATGCTGGTGCCATTGGCTGGACGTGGGCGGTGCCGTGGGCGTGGGGATCCCCGAATTCGAGGCGGATGTCGAGGCCGAGGATCCGGATTCCCCGAAAAGGCGACGGGAGAGCTTGAAGCTGCCGCTGTTGCTATTACTGCTGCAGCTGTTGTACTTGCAATTGTTGTTCATGGTGCTGTTGGCGGAGGAGGCGTTGGATGAGGTGGCTGCTGCTGCTGTGGCCGCTGCTGCAGCTGCGGCCGCTGTCTTCCTCAGCAGCTTCGTGTTGTACTCGTCGCTCTTGTCCTTGTCCAGTCGCGTGGAGCTCAGCGAGCGCTTGTTCCGCTTGGCCGATCCAGCATGCTCGATGATCGCCTGCAGCTCGGCACTGCCGCGACCACTATTATGCCGGCTTGTGTCTGCAGGATTGGAGGAAGTAGGTGGAGGAGTGGGTGTTGGATTATTGTTGAGGCTGGTTAACTTGGTTTTCGGCAGCGGATTGGAGTTGAGATCGAGCGTGGCGGATGCGGAGCGTGTGGCTATGTTAAAGGAGACGGAAGCGGAGGAGGAGGTGGACCCACCACTACCCAGAACACCCATTGTGGGTATGGCCGATACGTCCCGATAGTAACGAGCCGTGGCCACCGTGCAGGGTTGGGCTTGGGCCGCCGCCGGAGCCGGTTCCCCGGCATTGGGACGCTGGTAACGTATCCGGGATCTTCCCCGGAGCGTCATGTGGTGATGGGAGGTGCGCGCGGCACTGCCCCGGGTGGGCGGAATGGTGGCCGAGCTGCCGGCACCACCACTGCCAACGGATACCACCGGTATCTTGCTCTCGTTAATGGTGGCATATGGCCGGAGGAGCTGCTTCTCCACCGGCAGCAACGGTTGCTCCTCCTGCTGCTGCTGCTGTTCCGCCTTTCGCAAGTGCTTCAGTTCCATTCTGGAGAAGCAAGGAACGAGAAGCCAGGGGAGACAGGGGGGAAAAGGACAAGAGAAGAGAAAGAGAGAGATGGTGTACGGGGTTACGGGTTCAGTGTGAGTCCCAAAACAGTCTTACTAAGAGAAGAATTGAGGGAAAGCTTCGGAGGCCGAAGATTTGAATACCATTGCAGAGATATAATATGATAAATCAATCTAAAGTTTAGATTCTAAACTTTAAAAAACAGGGACCGTAAATAATCGTTTTTTGAGATTTTTATTTTAAATAGCCTACTGAGTTTGGTACAAGTTTTTATCAAAAATTTAATTGGTTTTTATGCACTTTATAGACATGAACAAATAATACTTTGTTTTCCAGTTTTCTTGACATGCATATACTCTGTGGACAAGAGTAAAAAGAACGTTATTTTTGACGTTTAAAACAAAATATCACAGTAGCCTTTTTAAAATAAAAATCTCAAATAAAGATTATTTACGGTCCCTGTTTAAAAAAGTTTTTCTTTTTAAATTTTGAAGAATTTTTAGAACTCTGCAAACATATATTTACTTTCGAAATATAGCAAACATACTCCATAATCTTAGAAAATACAAATACAACAAGTAAAAGCAACAAAAACAAGGCCAAACAAATTTCGCAAGCTTTCGGCATAATTTCGATAATTTCTTGTTTATTAATATAATTTTTTTTGCGCAACAATAAATATTTTTGTAAAATTTAGACATGCACATTAACAGAAATGCAAAAATGCTAAGTACATACAAGAAATACTTTTTAAACTAAGATTAGTGGCTAAAGATAAGGTAAAACGAGTGTTAGTGTTGAGTGGTGTACAAAACGCCATTCGGGTTAATTTGGTGCATAAAACATTAAAGGGGCACTAAAATAATTAAAATATTAAGTGAAGTCGAACTTTTAAAACTCGAGAATTATAAAATAAAATTTTATGATAAAATCGATTAACTGAGTAAATTATTCCTTATTATTTTTATTATGTGGTGTTTTTTAAAACCAATACGTTTTTTAATTAGAACACTAATGTGTTTCAAAAATATAATTCATTTCATGTTTGCCTGGAGTAAAAAAGTTCGACGGATTGTATACTTTTAATCTATAAATATTTACAACTGATAGAGGGTGGTGTAAAGAAAAAGGGGAGGGTTGTTTGGTTTGGAGGGAAACAAAGGTATAAATTAAATACAAAAAATTGCTAAAAAGCAAAGCCGCACACGGAACGAAATCAAATCCAATACAAGTCCAACATAACGATAATATTTCGCGTGAAGTTTTCGAGTTTAAAGTTTTTCTGGAATTCGGGTGGGGGCATTATCATCCTGTACTTACCGTTTGCTATAGATTGCCAGGCTGCGGGTGCGACTGCTCCCCGAACTGGCCAAAATATTGTTAGTGGTATTGTTGTTGTTGTTATAGTTATTCAGGGAGTTGCTTAGATTACTGTTGTTGTTGTTGTTGTTGCTATTGCTGCTGCTGCTGCTATTGTTGTTTAGATTGTTGGCCAAAAGAGTGGCTGCCGCTGTGCTCGTTGGCAAACATGATGACGTAGGCTGTCCCGCCTTTAAGGAAGACATCGCTGGATTTCCAACCACTCCGTTGTTATTATTGCGAAAGGGCTGGGATCGAGCTCTCGTATGCCGCAGATTCGATTCCTGTTCGCTGTTGGTATAAGATAAAAAATAATGGTTATTATTCAGGAGAAAACTAGGGAATACATAATAAATAACAATTATATTAAATATATAATATTTTTTAAACCTAGAGAAATCTATAAAGAAGACTCTTTAAAAAACGGTCAGTAGCAAACTTCCCCCAGAACAGATTAACATAAAAATCTAGCTAATAAACATAAATTCGTAAAATAATTTAATGATACAAATCTAAGCTGTTTTCAAACTAGCTTAATTTAGCTACTTTATACATAACAATAATGTTAAATACATGATATTTTTAAAGCCAGAGAAATCTATAAAGAAGACCCTATAAAAACGGTTGGTGGCAAAATTCACACAGAACAGATTGACATAACAAGAGAGAACGCTATAGTCGGGTTGTTGTCCCGACTATTTAATACCCGTCACTCAGCTAAAGGGAGTGCGAACGCTGTGTCGGGTTGGTGTCCCGACTAATAATCGTAACTCAGCTAAAGGGAGTGCGAGGGAGATAGATATATAATTTTTGATTGCGTATAACTTTTTAATGAATGGTCCGATTTGAAAAATGTCTTCTACATTTCGATAGGTATAAATATAAACAACAAAATTGCATTTATACTTTTTTGAAATCTTTAAAGATGTGGGCGCAGGACCCATTTTAAAATCATTAGTGGGCGATTGTGGGCGTTAGAGGGGGCGTGGCGCTCGGCTAAAATAAACTTGCGCTGCGTAGGAAGCCAAAGAATATGTGTGGGAAATCTCAACCTTCTAGCTTTTGTAGTTTCTGAGATCTCAGCGTTCATACAGACGGACAGACGGACAGACAGACAGACAGACAGACAGACAGACAGACAGACGGACAGACGGACATGGCTAGATCGACTCGGCTAGTGACCCTGATCAAGAATATATATACTTTATGGGGTCGGAAACGCTTCCTTCTAGCTGTTACATACTTTTGCACGAATCTAATATACCCTTTTACTCTACGAGTAACGGGTATAAAAATATAGCAAAAAAAAAAATTAGTAAAATAATTTTATGATAAAAATCTAGGCTGTTTCCGAACTATCTTTATTTAGCAACTTTATACATAACAATAATGTTAAATGCATAATTTTTTCTTTTCTAAATAAATCTATAAAAAAGACCTTATAAAAAACGGTCAGTAGAAAAATTCACCAGAACAGATTGACATAAAAATCTAACAAAAATTAAAAAATTCGTAAAAATAATTTAATGATAAAAATCTAAGCAGTTTCCAAACTAATTGAGTAGTTTTCAAGGCTCTAAGGACCCACCTGTTGCTGTTCACGTTGACGGATCGCGAGTGGTGCCTCCTCAGCGCCTTGATCTGATTCAACTTGTCGCCCTGCGTCTGCGCCTGCTTCTTCTCCAGCGCCGTTTGCGTCATCCTGACGGTGGAAGCGATGGTGTGGCGGGCTGCCTCGAAGACATTTGCACTTGGCTTGCGCAACTTCTTCTCCGTGCAGCTGGCCACCTCGGTGGCGGGATAAACAACGCCTGAAGCAGTGCTCAATCCACTCCGATTGGCATTCGGATTGACCAGACGTCTCAGGGATGTGGCTATAACCGTCGGCTTATTCGCACCCGACGGGGATTTCCTACGCCTTGTGGATATTGTATAGCTGGAGGACAGCGGCTGCTCCGCTGGTGCACTTAGCGTGTCCGTATCGTTGTCATCGCTGCCATTGCAATTGGGATCCTCGGCGGATTGATACAGCGCCCGCTCGTCTCGCTCCAATCGCCGCTGCTCCGAGAGCTCCTCATCCGTTTGATCCACACACACCGAATCGAGGTTGTCCTGGTCGTTCAGGTGCATCGTATCCACGCGTTGAGAAATGCCCTTCACGCGGGTCAGAAGCAGATCCACATGCTCCGCGGAATCCGAGGCAGCCGAGGCCAGTTTGGTCTTCAGCTCCAGGCTGTTGATACCGTACGTGTGCTGGAGGATGGGTAGCGTAGTGCGCCGGCGCATCCGTTCGCCCTCCGACCACAGCCAGCTTTGTTTGCTAATTGGTCATAAATAAAAGTAAATCATTAGTTAAGAAAGAGATCGCAATTAGAGCCCTGCATGAATGGATTCAATGAATTATTTTGAATTTTTTGTTTTATATGAATGAATTACTTCGAATTTTGAGTTTAATAGAATTGAATGAATGAATGGCATGAACTCCGAAATAATTCAAACGACAATTTCTTTAGAAGAAGAAAGGGCCATCATTTTGTGATTAAATCTGCCTAAATTTTATTTACTATACAGTTAAAATTGATTTGTTAAAAATTTTCCACTACTTGTTCTAAAAGAAAGCACAAAAAAAATCTGGCAAATTTAAAAAATTCATTAAAATGATACAATTCGAAATGAATTAGAAAAACATTCAAATTATTTCACATAGAATTAAATTAAAACAGATAAAACAAAAATTGAATGTTTCACGCAGGGCTCTAATCCCAATAAACAAATACTTACTCCTCCATCCACTGCTGCTGATGTCCAATCACCGATCCCGGCCGGCAGAGCCTCAGCCAGGCAATGGACTCCAGGGCAGTGAACCCGTAGTGCTTCATGATATACGCCCCTATCAGGCTGCCCGTTCGTCCTAAGCCCGCCTTGCAATGGACCGCAATTGCGCCCTTCGTCGTCTCGCAAATGGAGAGGAACTTCTTCATTATGGCATCGCTCGGCGTGCTGCCGTCGATGAAGAACAGATCCTTGTGATCGAAGCCAGCGTTCTCAAAGGAAGATGCGTGATAGACCTTGGCATTCAGCCGAATCACGGTCGTGACATTGTTATCCCGAAAATAGCTAAAGTAGCGCTCGGGTGCATGGCACGGATATCCATTCGGCAGCGTCTTGCTCTTCTGATGGGGTCCACAGAACGCTATGAACTTCTGCGGCACAATCCAGTTGAAGTCGCCGTTCTCCACGCGCTCGAAATACTCGTACTCCTCGGCATCGAAGTCGTTGAAGTTGAAGAAGCCCGCCTGCAATCCTTTGTGCACAGCATTCAGACAGTCCAGCAGGGATATCTTGAAGCTGCTGGGTCCGTAGCTGGCGTCACAAAAGCGCGTGTAGGCGGGAATCTCGCCGGCAACCAGCGGCCTGTACGCCTCCTGGGGCGTCTTGTTAAGGTAGATAATCTGGAAAAATAAAAGTCATTTAATTAGTTATATTTTCTGTAAGTTTGTGAGCAATTGAAAGAGGTAGCCATTAAAAGATAATCATTTTTAAAGTATTTTGTAAATCATTTAAAGGATAATAACCATTTGATTTTAATAGAGTTGGAAAGCTTTCAAGGTCAAATAATGAAAAATGAAATAAAAATGTTATTTTAGATTAAAAAAATAAATAAACTTTTAGTTTTTCTTTTTAATTGCTTAAGTAAATAATTCAATTAAGGGCCGTTTTCTCAGTCGCATGTTAAATTTATAAATTCAACATTATTTCATTTAATAATGTTTTCGGTAAGTTTGTTAGCACTTGAAAGCGTGAGACATTAAAGATAACTATTTTTAAAATATTTACTAAATTATTTAAAGGATAATAACCATTTAATTTTAATAGAGTTGGAAAACTTTCAAGGTCAAATAATGAAAAATGGATTAAAAATGTTCGTTTCAGGTTTAATAAATAAAAAAATTTAGTTTTTCTTATTTAATTGCTTAAGTAAATAATTCAATTAAGGGCCGTTTTTCCATCCGCATGTTAAATTTAAAGTATGCTTTAATCGCTGAATTCTTAACGTTTTCAACGTTTTAACCAGCGGTCGGCAGCGCCCTATTAGGTGAGCATAGGGTTTTGTTCTGCCCAGCCGCTGCTCGCTCACGTATACTGTAGAACAGCGGTAATTTACTCATACAAATATTAAACAAAATGTTATTGTATGTGTGTGCCGACCGCTGGTTTAAACCTTAGTTTAAATTTAAATTGCGGGGGATAGAAAACAAGATATTTGTAAGGGGCAATCTTAAACAGCTAAGAAATTAAACCTCAAATTCTATAGAAAAAACTTCAAAGGTACACAATTATTCAATAAAATTTCCACATTCAGGAGCACTTACTGCATACGAACCAATCAGGTAGGCCGCATTGAGTCGCTTGGCCGGATTCATTGAGGTGTAGTGAACTATCTTCTTGTTGGCATGGCACTTGGCGTTCAACTTGGTGTTCAGCTTCATGCAATATCTATACAGCATGCATATGTTCAGGGGACCAAAGTCATTGTAGAAGTTCTCGTAGATGAACTCCTCATCGATGCTGAAGTAGTGCGTATTTACGGTGTTCTTTGGCTTGATGTTCTTCTTGAAGGCCACAAAGTACAAACGGTCTGCAAACAGAAGGGAATAGAATACATCACTCAATGTCGGACTGTTTAAAGTTCGTTGAGCCCCCACCTTCCTGCATCTCCGATGCACAGACCAGCAGATCCGAGTTGTCATCGTCCAACATCATGACGGGCTTTCAGGGCGCGGAGACAACGACGACTGTTTGGCGACTGCAAAAACATTAAAAACGATAAATTTATTACGGCTTTGATATCTTCGGTCAGCGGTAAGACTCTCGTCGAGCGTCTTAAATCACTTCTGGCTAGCCCACACATATTTGGGTTTAAAGCTTCCGCATGCTATTTCTTATTAACAAATTTAATTTGTACTGTTAGTTATTGGCATACCTATTACTCTTCGAAATCGAGAGTATTTTAGAAAATTGATATTAATTTGATATTACTTTCAGATATAAAAATTTGAAAATCGGTATTAGAGGTTTAGTAAAGCATTTTAACTTTTTTAGTTTGTTTTTTAAAATTTGTAAAAATGTTTTAAAAAAAACACATTTAATTTAATTTAATTTTATTGATTTACTATCCTAGCACAAACAAGTGTGAAACTTATTTCTTACATTAATTACATTAAAAAATCTACTACAAATACAATTACAATATCTGATGTAAATAATAGTATTAAGCTCAACGGTTAAAAGGCTATAGTTTAGTTATGGTTATATTGTGTTATATTTCCATATTATAAACATTTTCTCAGTATTCATCACATCATCATATTTAAAATTCCATTAATAAAAGGCTTAATTTCCAGGGCATTTGAAAGTCCAAGCCCCTATACCATATTGTTTCATTTTAATGACTATTTCTCCTCGTTTGTTGGCAACAAATGCGCCCACACCGACTTGCACACAAAACCTGCCTTTGCCTTAATTGGATAGCAGTAAATGATGTTTTCCGCAAAGGGTGTTCTACATACATACTACATCCATCCATTCCGTTTGTACCAACGAATACTCCTATCTATTGAGTGGAAACATGTGTTCTTTTTGTCACTTTTACCAACTTTATGAGTGTCTGTCGCCCTGTCCTTTCCTACTTTTCTCACTAAGCACAATTCCCTGCCTTATTTGCTCCAATTTTTCCGTAGCCGTAGCCAAATGTAGGTGATGGGCTTCCATATCAATGTGCATATAGCCATCAGTCAGCCACTCATTCTATCAAGTCGTCAGTTGGGCTGGCATCCGCAGTCCAATAAACAATGGAGAAGTCTGAGCCGAGGAGGCAACTCGAATGGATAACACCCTTACGGAATCTAAGAAAGTCACGTCCCTATGGAAATTTATGGATAACAAAAGGGTGTACATGACATAATTTCCATCGAGTTTATTGCACTGAAAGTTTGCTTTAGGATATTTAAGGATATTACACAGAAATTTAATTTTATTCAGGAGAATGTAAGTATTTCGAAAATGTATCTTTAAAGCTAAATCGTATTCCTCATCCTACAAGACCTATCCGAATTACCAGTTAATCGATATCTTAAATATATTCCTTAGCCCCTTCACAAATTTCCCATTCTAGAGGCGTTCCCTCATTTGCCCACATAACACAAAATGTATTTTATTGGTCTGGGACCCTCAGAGGGTTTACGACGCTGACCCATCATCAGAAGTGTTACGCACACACGGTCCTACACTCGCATTTACAACCATATATGAAGGTATGCTGAAGAACACATGTAAATATTCGATTTTATGCAAATTCGTAACCTTTTCCATGTATGTAAAACTAAACAACGGTTGGCGTGCCTTTGCTGAATTTCGGACTTGAACTGGGACCCCAGTTAATCCCTTTTATCCCCCTGAATCCCCTGGCTGTGCTTTATGCATTTCCTCTTCCTGACTTTAAAGTTTAAAAGTCAAGAAGGCGAGTGCTTTTTATGGCACATTTGCATGTCGGCTAAAGAGTTTCGCCCCAAACTTAGATTCCTATCGGGGCGCCAAAGGTGTACCAGGTGTGTGGTGTAAGGTGTATGGGTATATCGCATGGCATTGGGCGGGCCTCGTCAAACGGAAACGAAAATAGCTGAAGATATCAGGATATAGGGCAAGTCGGGCCATTAAAGGAGGTGAAGGAAAACGGATTAGTATTCTTGGTTCTCTAGGCGTAACGTTGTTCGTGTAAATTGTTATCGAAAAATGTGTATCTCAAGGACTGTGAGAATTAGGGTGAGCAACTTGGATACGGTGTTGTATCCAGATAGTCGATAAGACCAATCCTCAGTCACAGAAATTTTTATGATTGTCATGCATGAAAGCCATTGATTGATAAATATTTTGGTTGTTTGTTGAAAAGTCTTTCCAAAAAATTGTATTGGATATTAGATTGGAATGATGTTATGTTTGTTATTTTAGATTTCAAAATTTTCAATAGTAACATTTTTCAAATATTCATTTGGTTTCAATTATGAATTCGTGTCTTAAAAAAAAATAGCGTATAAACTTTATAAGAGTGTTTAACCTGTAGAACATATGTATACTATGTATTTTAATTTAAATTAAGTAACTTCGTAGGTTTTGGTTAATTTTAAGATACTTTTATATAAAGATTTTAAATTATTTTTCTTCAAGTAACGTGAATAATTTTTGACTTCAATATTATTGCCTTTTTTTGACGACTTACTATAAATTGAAATTGTTGACGAAAATGTTTAAAACTTAACTATCAGCTGTTTTATTGGGTTATCACTGTGATATTGTGGCGCCCTCTGGCGTCGATCGTCAATGAACTATACAAATTCTAACTGTCAACGGATTGTGATTTTCAGTCTCCAGCATTCTACACATCTCCTTCTCCCTCTCACACACACCACTCCCCAACTCCCCTTCTATTCTGAATCAAAGATCACTGCTAAATATAGCGGGAAAATGCAATTTGCTATCTCCATCTCCCTCACCCATTCATGACTTTTGGAGTTGACAGAAATTCCAGGCACTACAACTACAACTCCCACGTGACGACAACAAAAACATATCGCTCTCATATCTATAACCATACATACAAACATAAATATATTCGGGCTTATCTGCTTCCGAGCTGTACATACATACATACATAAATGCGTACATGTGTACATTAAAAAGTAAACATAAAACGCGATAGAAAAGAAAGCAACCTTCCCTTCTTCCAGTTGGAAATCGAGACCTAGAGATAGATGATCCGGGGCTAGGCCCATTAAAAACAATGGACAAACAAACGAGTTTTTCAAATGACGTCACCAAGAATGACAACAAAAGGCGGTTTAAAAATAAAACAGCAGTTTCAGCCAAGTTAGTTGGTTTGGAATTGGAAGCGCGGTGTTAAGAGATTTTGCCGCGCTCGCATACCACAACAAAAACAGAGCACACATATTACAACGGCAACAGCATTCACCTGCAACCCCTCCCCCCATCCCACCCACTTTTTCGAGCGCATGCGCTGGCTCTCTCAAAGCTGCCCTCTCTTTTCCACTGGCGCGTTTACACTTGTGCTTTGGCGGCTTTTCTATGTGCGTCCCGCTCTGGCGCTCTCTCTCTGTGGTGTTTTTGTGAGTGTGTTGGTTATAAATAAAAGCAACCAACGCATTTTGCCACTAAAAAACCCATAGAAATCGAAAAAAATTATCACTGGCACTGTGTACTGCGTAATCAAGTTTTTGGGTAAAAATTTCTGGACTATTTTCGTTATGAAAGGGGGAAAGGGAAAGGGGAGGAGCGAGCTGGAGAGCCGTTACAATTACACAGTTTTTGTTGGTACGTGGCGAGGAAAATATTCAATGGGGGGAGTGGGGTAGTAGGAGACTCACCTAAATTGTGGTTTCACACTGCCGTTGTTATTGTTATTGTTGGATCTGTACAGATATTCTCGAATGGGGGGAGGCAGCAACAGCAGCACCAGCTAATAACACCCCACACCGCACTCTGCATAACACTGTGAAATTTTGACCAGCTTTACCTCCTTTTTTGGGGGGACTTTCTGTGTTTTTTGTACTGTTTTGGATAAATTTAGTCAACGAATACTCCACATCGAATTTTGTGTCTCTGTCTGTTCAAGTTAACAACATTCTCAACGCGAGCTTTTCTGCACTTTTCTCCGATTCAAATATTGTAACGAAAAACGGAAATCACATCAGCGTCCGGGGGGAAAGCTTTCAGGCGATATCATAAAAAAATAACTTCATAATCGCACTAATTTTCCACACCAAACCACCATCGTAATGCACTTTTCCCGGCGATTTATGTATTTTTGGATGTTTCGAGTGGACGAGTGGGAAAGGGGAGCCCAGCGACTCGAGCAGTTGGAGATTCGGAATTGGAATCCAATTCGGCGGTGGAGAATACCGTCCCCAGACACACTTTTTAATACCGTTTTTGCATTTCAAATATTTTGTTCAAATTTGAATACCCCCCTCTGGTAACACTGAAAACGTATCAAAACGTAAGTGTCAGCTTTACGTAAGTGAAATTTATACGTAAAAACGGCACTCCGAGAGTAACTCTCTCTGAGAGAGCGAGACCATAATACTGATTTTTAAATTTCAAATATACCAAAAGTATTTTAATATCCCATCTGGTAACACTATTTTTGGGCAACGTAACGTAGTCAAAACGTAGTCAAAAGGGAAGTGACAAAACGTAACGAGAGAGCGCGAGATACCAAAAATATTTTAAAGTTCCTTCTGAAAAAATATCGATATTTCACTGCAGTTGGCGGAAAATACTTAATTTTCAAAAGGAAGGTTAATTAATGAGTACTGGCGGCCATTTAAATTATTCGGGTTCCTCCATCCAAGAGGTTTAGGACCAACAAACCTTAATGAAACTATCTGGCAACTGATTAAATTTTTCTTTCTCGCTAATATTTACACCATCGTAAATTATTTTAGAGTATGTATACTACATGTGGTGGATCGCATCAAAAAGTGGAATCAATTAACAATCTGCAATAATTTAGTATCTAAGGGTTTAAGTTTTAACTCTTTTCCCATCTCATCTTCTGCAAGCAATTGTGCCAAACATTGATTTCTGTCGCATCCTCAAATCCGGGAATTTTATTATCAGGATAAATAAAGTTTTAAGAAACCAACAACAATTGCAGATTAAAAGTATTTTCTTAAAAAAATAAAATGATAAAAAAACATAAAACACAACCAGCTCTCGTCAAATATTTCTATTTTTCTTGATAAGGGAACTATTGACCATTTTCGAGAATTTCAGATTTATGGAGTTGGTTTCCATTATCGTTGAAAAAGCTAATGGCATACAATATGTATGACATTTATATTCTGAAGTTTTTCTGTTAACTACTATCTGATTTATCTGTTATTTTATGTTCTTCAGAGTCTATTATGTAAAGCTAAACAATGTTTGTAATAAATTTTCAGGCATGCAAGGAAACTACACAGTGTGATTGACCTATTCAAATCGAACTCAAAGTGCTTCCAGATGGGTTCCCGAAATTTCAAATACCTGACCTCACAGAAACTTTCCGAGCTCCTCTCAGTTGGCACGATTCTATGTAAGTTCGCTTCTCTTCCATAAGCCGTGATAACAAAAGCGCGTACACAGAGAGAATTCTGACGTTCTAAAAATTTAGTATTTGTATTCTCGACTTGGGAATGAAATTTTTGAAAAAAACTTACATTGAGTAAAAATGGAATTCATTTTAAGAAAAAACAAGAAAGGAAGCTACCTTCGGCCAGCCGAAGCTTATATACCCTTGTAGATAAAGTAATGCTCACTCGGTGCAGTTCCAGGGATTCCAGATTCAGCGTTTCTATTTTAATTTTGTTTATACATAAGTAGTCAAGAATCAAAACGCCTACTTCCTACAAAGTTACAATTAATTTTCTTATATTTGTTTGAATATTCCTATGGGAGCCTTAAGATATAGTGGTCCGATCCGGCTCGTTCCGACATATGTACTACCTGCAATAGAAAGAAGACTTTCGGGAAAGTTTCATCGCGATGGCTTTAAAACTGAGAGACTAGTTCGCATAGAAACGAACAGACGGACAGACGGACAGACGGACATGGCTAGATAGACTTGGTGCTGATCAAGAATATATATACTTTATGTGGTCGGAAACGTCTCCTTCACTGCGTTGCAAACATCTGACTGAAATTATAATACCCTCTACAAGGGTATAAAAAAACTTTATAGGAAAATTCGAAAAGGCTAACCTAGTAAATGACTCTTGCGATTAAATATTTAATAGCCCAGTCGTGAGTTCAAGCCCGAATGCCGGTAAATATATTCATTTTTTTTTTATTGTTAATAATTTTGTGAGGATATAATCATGCCAATTCCTTTTTAATTTTTAAATTCCAATTGATTAACAGCATTTCAATTTAATTTCTCAATTTAAGCGTTTGGCTTCATTCATTTTGAGAAAAGGCAATACTCGTTTATAATAATATCCCAAGATGGCTGTAGTTTGTACTTATTTTGTAAAAAAAATGTAATTAATACTTTACGTAAACAAATTTTGACAAATTTTGTACTCCAGGTGAGTATTTGTGTTCATGAAAAATTTGTCCGTAAAAAATACCTACTTTAGGTACAACTTTCTGGAATAATTCTCTCTGTGTACATTTTTTTTCGGTTATATTCTTTATGTGGCCTGGGATTTCGGTTCAGTTGGGTTGCTTGAGTGGTCGAGGAAACACCATGGAGTCGCGTATTCATACCTACCAATGGGTCTACAAGTTCCTCGGCTTGTGTTACTTTTTGATAGCTGTGGTTTTCGTAATATATGGTTCAAACGTGTCGTGGAGTACGAAAATCAAGCAAATTCGGAACCCAAATCTATCGCGAATTTCGGAATCGGAAGACAAGCCGGAACCACAGCTATACTATCTGAAAACCTCCAAGTGCCACATCCCCTATGTGGATCCCTTCAACGACGAAGTAATGGAAATATACAAGCCGCAAACACTAATCACCTGTTCAAATGAGACCGATCTCATATTGACAGAATACAACGCCAGTATTAAGCGACATGTTTTGCACATCGATGAAAAAGTGGCTCTTAAATTGCTGAACTTTACCGAAGCGGAGTACAATTGCTTTTACCGGGAAATCAAATACGGGGATCAAGCAGAAACCTTTGACAAGTAAGAGAATCTAAGACCGCTAATATCGAGGAAAATAATATATATCTTCCCATTCCTTAGACTCGGGGAGAAGAAGTACTTTACCAATGGATATGAGGTGCCTCTGCATGTGGAGGGGATGATCGTCGAGTGCCAGTTGGCAAAGGATCCAAAAGTGGTCCTCCAGAAGGACGCCTTTACGTTCGTCCAACATCGACCTCTGCCCAAGAACCTTGAAAGCCCGAGGGGCACTAGAAAACCAAGTGTCATTATGTACGGCATCGATTCGCTATCCCGGATTAATCTACGCCGTACTATGCCCAAGGTCTTTAAGTTCCTTCAGGGTCCTGGGTGGTACGAGATGAAGGGATACAACAAGGTAAGAAATTACTAAAAATCTAAGCTAAACTAATTAGGCGTTTTTTGAATTCATTTCTCAGGCTTTTTTGTTACTAGGAATATATAAAAAAATTTTAAAAAATTGTAAACAATTGTTAAGAAAATGAAAATAGTATAGTAAAGTATAATAGCTTTACAGTAACAGATCGTAAAATATTGACAGTTAAAAAGGTTTTGAATGCGAAAAGTGTGAGACCAAGACATTGCGAAAACAAATAATTACCTAGATCTGCGACAGCTTAGAGTTTTTTAATTTTTGGTAAACATTGTTTTAAGTTTCATTGACCTCTTTATTTTCTGCGATGTTAGATATTTACCTATTAAAATATTAAATAATTTAATTTGAATTGTGAAACTAAAATATATTGGGTCGTTAAAAAATTATCTTCTTTCAGGTGGGCGACAACTCATTTCCCAATATAATCGCCATTCTCAGTGGATACTCGGAAACTACGGCCAAGGAACAGGTGTGCGATACTAACAAAGCGGGCTGCTTGGACGAAATGCCAATGATATGGAAGTACTTCAAGAATGCCAGCTATTTGACGGGTTATGCAGAGGACGAGAGTGACTCGAATCATTTTACCTATTTGAAGCCCGGTTTCTCAAAAAAACCCACGGACTTCTACTTTCGCCCAATGCTACGGGCTTTGGAGACCGAATTGGATGTGTACCGATTGCCTTACATGCGATATTGTTTGGGCCGTAGAATGGCAAATCGTTATGTTTTCGACTATGGACGCCAGTTTACGAAGCGCTTCGTTCACGAGCGACCCATTTGGGGTATGTTCTGGTCGAATCACTTCAGTCACGATGATCCCTTTATGCCTTCGTCCATGCAGGAGAAGGTTCTCGGGGATCTGCTCGACTTCCAAGAGGACGGGGACTTGGAGGAAATGATTATGATATTCTTTGCCGACCACGGTACCAGATTTGGTCGCTTAACAGAGCTGCAGGAGGGATTCCTGGAGGAGCGGCTGCCCATGATGTTCATTCACCTGCCTCCCTGGTTCCGTGAGACATATCCCTCCTATGCGCAGGCACTAGAACTAAATCAGCACAGGCTAAGTTCCAACTTTGATCTGCACAACACACTAAAGCACATCATCGAGATTGGAGGTACCCCAGATGGCCCGAAACTACCCAAGTCCTTCGACTGCCCCACCTGCCAGTCGCTGTTCCATCCTCTGCCGGAGGATCGCACCTGTCCACAGGCGGGCATCGAGGAGCACTGGTGCACCTGTGAGCCCTACAGAATTATCACAGGACAGGAGTGGACGACTCCCATTGCCCATAGTGTGATCGATCGGATGAACGAGTATTTCGTGCACAAGAATCTCAACCGCCTTTGCAGCAATCTGACGCTGAACTATATCCACAAGACTGAGATCAAAACGGGTCCGAACTTGGATTATTTCAAGGATCTGAGGCAGGAGAGCGCCGTATATCGCATAAAGTTCAAAGTAAATCAAAATGGCGCTGATTTTCAAGCCACCGTGGTCTATAATAATTCCACTCAAAAAGCAGAAGTGAATGTGGAAAAAATCAGCAGAACAAACTCATACAAGGAAGACTCTACCTGTATCAATGACAAGCTTGCCAAACTGTATTGCATTTGCTTTGGTGACATCAAGGCTTAAAAATGTCGTAAAAGCAATTTTAGTTATTTTAATTAATTTTTTATAATAACAAGGTTAAAAAGTTTTTAGATATGACTTAATGTTATAAAATGATATGACTAGAAATGACTAAATACGTTAATTATGTTCTAATATTTCCTCATTCGTATCGATTAAACATAATAAGTTTCGGATTGTCGAAATTTACATGGCCCATTTGACTGTTTATTTCTAAGTAGGAACTCATTTATAATGAGTCATTTATAATGACTAATATAATTTCAAAAAACCCAGAATTTAAATAAAAGCAAACACACAAAATATAAAAAAAAATGTATTTTCAAGCAACCAAACACATTGCCCATTTTGGTGATAAGAAATACTCATATGTTTAGAATTTTATTGCTTTATCGTTGCGAATTATAATAACTATATTTGAAGATAAAAGCTCGAGTAAAAAGTCATATGGCGGGAGAGCAAATTAATTTACTATATTAATTTTTTGGGACTGGGATTTTGATTTAGTTGCGTTGCTTATGTGGTTAGAAACACACAATGGAGTCACGTTTTCGGGTCAACCACTGGCTGTTTAAGCTCCTATGCTTGTGTGGCTTTTTGATAACTGTAGTGTATATAACGAAGCAACCATCTATTTCATCCGATACGATGATACGAAACGATACGATCATATACAAAATCCAGCGATTTCGCCAGACTTGGAGATGGCGTACTTTCGCCAAGTCACAACTGCAGCAGTACTTTGTGAATACATCAAAGTGCCAGATCCGCTACGTGGATCCCTTCAACGAAGAAGTGATGGAAATATACAACCCGCCAACCCTAGTCACTTGCTCAAATCAATCCGATCTCATTACAACCAACTACAATGAAAGGCGGAAGCGCCATTATTTGCATATCAACGATGAAGTTGCCCTTAGATTACTGAACTTCATCGACATGGAATACTACTGTTTTTACAGGGAAATCGTATACGGAAGTAAAGCAGATACCTATGACAAGTAAGACAATCTCAGACCGCTAATATCTAGGAAAATAATATCTGTCTTTCCATTCCGCAGACTCGGGGAAAAGATGAACTTTACCAATGGATATGAGGTGCCTCTGCATGTGGAGGGAATGATCGTCGAGTGCCAGACGGTTGAGGATCCGATAAAGGTCCTTCAGAAGGATGCATTTACGTTCGTCCAACATCGTCCGATGTCCAAGGAACTCGAAAAACCGAAAGGCCCCCGAAAGCCAAGTGTCATAATGTACGGCATCGACACTCTTTCCCGGATTAACCTAAGGCGCACTATGCCTAAAGTCTTTAAGTTCCTTCAGGGTCCTGGGTGGTATGAGATGCAGGGATACAACAAGGTAGGAAGCTACTGAAATTTGTGAACAAAATTTTTGATGCAAACTAAAATCAAGTTAAAAATTTATCAAAATTTGGTAAACGTTTATCGGAACTCCGGCAATTATTATGACACATATTTTCTACTAGTATAATTGAGTGAAGGAAACATTTTTGATTTTATAAAGTAAGAATATACAAAAACAAGAAAGAAAGCTATCTTCGAACAGCCGAAGCTTATATACCCTTGCCGATCTTTCCTATAAACATTAAATTAAGATTTTTTGATTCTTCCTATGGGAGCTATATAATACAGACGTCCAAATTTTGTTAAATTTATTTCGTTCTTATGGGAGCCATATGATAAAATGACCCCCGTTTTTTAAAAATTTAATTCAAAATTCAGAAATATTTTAAAAATTCACCCCTTCACATGGTATTTCACAGGATGCACAAAAAATTTGTAAGATTAAGACCTGGTAAAACGTCTTCAAAGTTTCCTCCAAAATTACTCATACTGCATCGATTCTACGCTAGTCTATCATAAAGCAGTCTGCAGAATATAAGTCGGAGCGGGACAATCACGACATCTACTGAATAAGCTTGAAAGCATTTATGATCTAGCTTGCATCAATGTAGCTCTCTTAATTGGAGATTTAAAAACTTAAAATGATCTTCTTTCAGGTGGGCGACAATTCATTTCCCAATATACTCGCCATTCTCAGTGGATATTCGGAAAGTACGGCCAAGCAACAGGTGTGCGATACTAACAAAGCGGGCTGCTTGGACGAAATGCCAATGATATGGAAATACTTCAAGAACGCCAGCTATTTAACGGGCTATGCAGAGGATGAGAGCGACTCGAATCATTTTACCTATTTGAAGCCCGGTTTCTCAAAAAAACCCACGGACTTCTACTTTCGCCCAATGCTACGGGCTCTGGAGACCGAATTGGATGTGTACCGATTGCCCTACATGCGATATTGTTTGGGCCGTAGAATTGCGAATCGTTATGTTTACGACTATGGACGCCAGTTTACGAAGCGCTTCGTTCACGAGCGACCCATTTGGGGTATGTTCTGGTCGAATCACTTCAGTCACGATGATCCCTTTATGCCTTCGTCCATGCAGGAGAAGGTTCTCGGGGATCTACTCGACTTCCAAGAGGACGGGGACTTGGAGGAAATGATTATGATATTCTTTGCCGATCACGGTACCAGATTTGGTAGGTTAACAGAGCTGCAGGAGGGATTCCTGGAGGAGCGGCTGCCCATGATGTTCATCCACCTGCCTCCCTGGTTCCGTGAGACGTATCCTTCTTATGTGCAGGCACTAGAACTAAATCAGCACAGGCTCAGTTCCAACTTTGATCTGCACAATACACTGAAGCACATCATCGAGATTGGAGGTACCCCAGATGGCCCGAAACTACCCAAGTCCTTCGACTGCCCCACCTGCCAGTCGCTGTTCCATCCTCTGCCGGAGGATCGCACCTGCCCACAGGCGGGCATCGAGGAGCACTGGTGCACCTGCGAACCCTACAGAATTATCACAGGACAGGAGTGGACGACTCCCATTGCCCATAGTGTGATCGATCGGATGAACGAATATTTCGTGCAGAAGAAGCTCAATCGCCTTTGCAGCAATCTGACGCTGAACTATATCCACAAGACTGAGATCAAATCGAGTAGGTACGCAGAGCGGAAGAAAGTGGAGACCGCCGAATACCATATCAAGTTTAGAGTCAAGCAGAATAGTGCTGATTTTCAAGCCACCGTTTTGTATAATAATCGCACTCAAAAAGCAGAAGTGGATGTTGAGAAAATCAGCAGAACGAACTCATACAAGGATGATTCTACCTGCATCAATGACAAGCTTGCCAAGCTGTATTGCATTTGCAAAAGTAATCTTAAGAAAAAATCGTAAAGACTTGTACTTTAAAAATTCTAGATATATTTAGCGATAAGTTTTAAAGTTTTATAAATAAGTAAAATGAATATAGTTTTCAAACACCTTTCTATTTTATTTATAAATTATAATATTTTAAAAATGTATCCAAAAATACAAGAACAAAGTGTGTTTTGCCCGAACAAGCAAAACTATTTTTGTAGATTCACACAAACTAGAATTATGTTTCGATATAATGCCCGCAAATTATGCTTTTGCATGGTTTTCGTGCTATTGGTTTTTATACTAGCAAACCATAAGTCAGACGAATCGAAAAAAAAAACTATAGAAGAGACCTTGATCGATATAGAGCCCGTAACACAAATCACATTGAACCACAGTGAACAGACTTCGGAAAATGTTTTCGAAAGGTTCTTCGTATTCAGTCCAAGGTGCAAGATGCCAAAGGTCAATCCGTTCGTGGAGGGGTTCCCCGAGTTGAAACCTCTAGAATTCAAGTCATGCACCGATGAGCCAAGTTTGGTCAGCGTTATCTACGATCGTGAGAGGCAACACTATATGCTGCACTTGAATATGGAAGTATCGTTGAATCACTTTGCGGATTATTCGATTTTTGGTTGCACTTACATCGAGGTAGTTCCTGGAGGCGAAGACGTTTTTGCTTAGTGAGTATTGGTTTACATTTTGATTTTTTTTTAAACTTGATTTCCAGTGTAGAACCTCCGGAATACTTCCCCCAGGATTGGATAGTGCCGAGTCATTTCCTGGGCGTAATAGTCGAGTGTCACGAGATGGCAAACAAGTCGAGGGTTTTGCAACGTGATGCCTTCTCGTTTGTTCAGCAACCGAAGAATCGGAATGAGGATAATGATCGACTCAGGGGTGCCAAGTATCCCAGTGTCTTTCTCTTCGGGATCGATAGTATATCCCGCATGAATTTCCGGAGGAGTATGCCGCTCACTTCGACCTTTGTCAGCCAGAAGGGTTGGTTCGAGATGGAGGGTTATAACAAGGTGGCCGACAATACCCTGCCGAATTTAATGGCCATACTCACGGGTCGTACCCCTCGACAATGGCGATCGCAATGTGATGTGCGAAAGTCCGGCTGCCTGGACAGCCTGACCTTCTTGTGGAATCACTTTCATAACGCCGGTTACTTGACTGCCTATGCCGAGGACTTGTCTTCAATCTCCACGTTTAACTATTTAAAAATGGGTTTCAAACGTCCCCCCGTGGATTTCTACTTGCGACCCTTTCTCATGGTCATCGAACAGGCTATGCAAACGTTGGAGTACTTTGGCTTTAAATACTGCGTGGGCAGGAAGCACAGTTTTACGTACGTCTTTGATTTTGCGAAACAGCTAATAGAGCGTTTTGTACTCGAGCAGCCGAAACCGATTTTTGGCCTTTTTTGGACGAGCAGCTTTACGCACGATGATTTTCGGGGAGGTGCCAATTTGGATGGTCTATTTGTTCGCTACTTGGAACAGTTCAAGGCATATGGGCTGTTTGAACGATCCATTGTGATACTCCTGAGTGATCATGGCTCTCGATATGGACCGCTGGCAGAGCATTACACCGGATTTCTGGAGGAACGCCAGCCCATGTTGCACATTTACCTGCCACCCTGGTATCGAAGACGTTATCCCTCGGTGGAAAGAGCGTTAACTTTGAACAAGAATCGCCTGAGTTCCAACTACGATTTACACTTGGGTATCAGGCAGTTGATCGAGCAGATTCATCCGAGACTTGATTTTATAAGGAGCGTCAAATGTGACTATTGTCGATCTATTCTGCGAGTGCTGCCCAGAAATCGAAGTTGCTCTGATGCCGGTATCCCCGATCATTGGTGCACTTGCAAGCCCTTCGTAACTGTTCGCATCACTTTGTTTATTCGAAGACTCACCCAGTTGACTGTGAGTCGGATGAACAGGTATCTGAAGATGCTGAATGTCGATGGAGTTTGTCATCGGATTAAGTTAAATAAGGTACTAAAGGCCGACCGGCAGCTGCACTTCAATGAATTAGGCAACGAAGTGCCATCTCCTAATAATGTAGAGACCTATCGGCTTGTCTTTACCACCAAACCAAATGATGCAAAGTTTAGATCCATCGTTAAAAGCAACGAGAACAATGATATCGTGACCATTCAAATGGATATGATCAGTCGTCTAAATTCCTATCGCAATGAGTCGTATTGTGTTGACGATGCTCTGGCAAAGAAATTCTGCATGTGCTATGCTGAACAGTTTCTAAAACTTGGGGAGCGTGGGGTATTAAAAGTTAGGAAAGTCAAATATAAATTTCATGAGAACGAGGACGACTATTATGATGAGGCCAAATATAATAATCATATTTCTTAGAAATCTTTTTAGTGGAATTTTTCGAGGTTTGTAAGAGGTTTTTTAAGAGTTCTATCAAACGACCGTTTTTCTAAACATCAAATAAACTTCATATTCACAATTATTTACTCAAAATTAAGGTAAAGATCGAGAACATGATAAGACGAAAAACCATGATTAAAATAAGAAAATTTGTAATAATATTTTTTTCGCTGCTTCTGGTGTTTATATGGTGCAATCATAATAATTCCGACAGCGAAGAAAGTCGCGTTGAGCATTTGCCCAATATAAAAGCTGAATCAAATGAACAGGATCAACAGAAAATAACGCAACTCCCCAATGAGAAATATTCAGATGGGGAAAAAATGAAAGTACCCGAAACAAAAAGTTCAGATATTTTAGAGGAAGATTCTCAATATGACTTTGATGATTGGGAGAGCATGAGGGAAATGAAACGCAAAAAGCGAAAAGGAGATCCTCGGGGTCGTTATTTTGTCAGCAGTTCCAAGTGCAGTATGCCCTTTGTGGATCCTTTTTCCAGCGAGGCATTAGCTATTCTCCAGCCGGTGAAATTCAAGACCTGCACCAATGAAAGTGATCTCTTTATGCTGAAGTACGATATGAAATTGCAGCAATATCGACTGCGTGTGAATTCAGCTGTGTTATCCGAATTATCACATTCGAAAAACAAAATCAGCTGCAAATATCGGGAGATTGACGATGGCATTAATGTGAAGGCAGAAGAGTTTGTTAAGTAAGAGTTTAGTTTTAAGCTTTTTGTTTTAAATTTTAAACTTAAAAGCAGCACAATAGTTTAGTTAATTTAAATCAAACACGTTGATAATCCCTTTGTCGAACTTCTAGAGCTATAAAATATATTTCCTGATTACTTATACTCTCATAAGCGGATAGTTCGCTTTTTCTTCTCATATCAGACAATGACGTTTTTTTTTTGTTATCTCTTTTTGACAAATATAGAAAAAGCTTCCAACAATACGCGGTTTTAGGCAGGAAATCAAGTGGCATACTAGCGGAGTGCCATGAAGAGGGAAAACCCTTACAGATTGTACAACAGGATGCATTTCCTCTGGTGCAAATACCCAACAAGACACCGATTACTAGCTCCCAGCAGCAGAATAAAAAACCCAGTATCATAATGCTGGGACTGGATAGTCTTTCACGAATGAATTTCAAGCGAACGATGCCGAAAACTTCGGGATTTCTAAAAGATCTCGGATTTTTGGAGATGGAGGGTTACAACAAGGTGGGCGACACTTTGTTTTCCAATCTCTGCGCTATTTTTGCCGGTGCACATTCCGATACAAAGTGCCTGAAACGGTTCAACTCAATATGGAGGATGTTCAAGGAAGCCGGCTATACAACAGCATTTGCTGAGGACATCCTGCATTCGTCCATTCCTCTGGACATTCTCACCGATTATCAACTTAATTCCCTGCTAACAATGGTTGCCGAAACAATGAGTAAATTCCAAAGATTCGGCTTTGAATACTGCCTGGGTAGACGTCTCAGTTTCTCGTATTTGTACGACTTTTGCATGCAGTTCGCGCAGCGAGTGATCGAGGAGCTAAATCAGCCGGCATTCGGATTGTTTTGGAGCTCTACTTTCACCCATAATTACCCACTGGGTTCCATCAGTCTGGATGATAAGTTCATGAAGTATTTGGAGATGATGCGGAGGAATCGGATATTCGAACCGTCCATTGTGATAGTGCTCAGTGATCAGGGTCAAAAGGCAGGAAACCTGGTTGAGTTGCCCGATTCTTTCCTCGAAGAACGTCTGCCCATGCTACATATATATCTGCCGAAATGGTTCCAAGAAACGTATCCAAAGTTTGCCGAAAACCTGAATAGAAACCGCAATCGGCTGACTTCGCCATTCGATTTGCACAATACCCTAAGACATTTACTTCAGCTTAATGCCTCCAGTCCCGAGGAACTACCAACTCCAATATCATATTTTCCCACCAGTCAGTCCCTGTTTCACCTGGTTCCCGAGAATCGTAGTTGCGCGGATGCCGGCATTGGAATGCATTGGTGCACCTGCAACGAGTTTGTTCTCCTTCCGAACGATGGTAGTTCCTACTATTTGGCCAAAGTACTGGTGTACCACATCAACCAATGGATGCTGAGGAAGAAGTTCAATCGGTTCTGCCAGCAGATACATCTATATGATCTCGATTATGTCGAAAGAAAGTTGATAATTGATGATAGCACCTACGGACAGGTCAAAACCTATAGTCTGAGGATACGCACCTATCCACTTGACGGAGTTTTCGAGGCCACAATACGCTATAGTCGGGATCTTAACGATATAGTTGATTTTAAAAGTTCGGATGTCAGCAGCATGATCAACTATCACAATCACTCGATGTGTGTGGATGATAGAAGGGCCAAGAAGTTTTGCTTTTGTTATCCAGAAAACTTGGATGATAACATGAAGGAATGGAGAACATTAAAAGAGAAGAAGAAGTTTGGATCACTCAAAAAAAGAAATCCCCAATAAATTTGAATTATAATCGGAAGTTTTTTTTTTTTTTTGGTTTTATTGAAATCGTACAAGTTAACTGCTACCTCTCAATTATATTGGTGCCTGCACTTAAGGCACTCTTAGGCTAACTCGGTACGCGTCTAGTGAATTAAAGTATTGAATTGAATTCCTTTCTATCTCTTAATCTAGCCGGACTAACTTACGCATTGGTCCCGCGAACCGCCTTCGAAAATTCAACAAACCAGCATTAACAATCTAGCTTAGTCTAGGTTTCTTTAGAAAACTATAAAACTGTGATTTACGACTGTCCTCGAATCGTCTACATATACGAATCGACGGGATATCGCTCGGCCTCCTCGAGCATGTGCCGGAAATCGACGGGTACGGGTTGAGCTATGGGTCCGGTTCCGGGTCTTCCGGGCACATGTCCGTTCATCATCCCATGTCCCTGGTGTTTCCCGCTGCCCAAGGCACTTCCGCGACTCTTCAGATGGCCGTTCATCATGCTCACGTGATGACTAATCGTGGGCACGGCTCCCGGTACATTGGTCTCCAGATCGTGCAGAATGGCATCCGTTTGCTCGTTGCGCATCATTTGATTGCCCAGCGTGGCTGTGTCGTCGGTGTCATCGGTTTTGTTCAACAGACGCTGGATGTAATTCCGGATGAGGCGCTCGAATTCACGCTGCACCGACGGACTATCCGTGTCTCCATCGACCTGCGAATTAAGTTGATTTTAATAATACAATTTTTAAGTTTTTATTCGTAACAACTTACAATCTGCAAACGATTGCTGGTATCCAGAATCTTAAGCATGGGCAGGGTCTGCTCGCGAAAGAGCTCCAAACGGCGGCGAAATGAGGATACCGTGTCGTCTATACGTCCTCTGCCCAACTGAAGTTTCGAGCAATCGAGCAGGATAATGGGAGGTGCTTGTTTGTACTAAGGAATAAGAAGGTATAAAGGAGTTTAATAAAGAGTAGTACCTTAAAAATATTAAGTGTCAGCTGCTGAAACTGATGGGTTTTGAAATCACTTTGAGTCAAAATCTGCCAAGTGGGCCACCCCTGTTCCGAAGGTCCGATTTTCATCGAACTTTTTTACTTTTCCGGTTCACAACGAAAATATAAGAACTTCATTTGAACGGTTTTGCGAAATTTTGAGTTTTACCGGAGTTATAGGGGTCAAAACATGGCATTTTTGACACTTTTTCGAAAAAGTTGCACTCAGTCATTAATTCATAACTTCGGAACGGTAAGAGATATCTTTATGATGTTTTCACTAATCGCTCAAGAATTATTATGGCTTTCCATAAAAAAATGTAAAAAAAATTAAAATTTATTTTTCTTAAAAATAAATCAACATTTTTTTAGTTTTTATTTTTTTCAGTGTTCTTCACCAGCTATAGAGTTTAAAACCATTTGAAAATGAAGTTTGATTCATTACGAAAAAGATCCAAAAAAAAAAAAGAGTGGCCCGGCCAAAGGTTTTTCGCAATATCGATTTGAAGAAGGGCGCACAGCGGTTTTCCATACAAAACGACAAAAAGTGCCTCATTGACAGCTGCAGTCGGCTGACGCTACGCGCGCAACGGCATGTGTTGACCAGCCAATTTTCGCGAGCAAGCCGTTTTTGTATGGAAAACCGCTGTGCGCCCTTCTTCAAATCGATATTGCGAAAAACCTTTGGCCGGGCCACTTTTTTTTTTTTGGATCTTTTTCGTAATGAATCAAACTTTATTTTAAAATGGTTTTAAACTCTATAGCTGGTGAAGAACACTGAAAAAAATAAAAACTAAAAAAATGTTGATTTATTTTTAAGAAAAATAAATTTTAATTTTTTTTTAAATTTTTTTATGGAAGGCCATAATAATTCTTGAGCGATTAGTGAAAACATCATAAAGATATCTCTTACCGTTCCGAAGTTATGAATTAATGACTGAGTGCAACTTTTTCGAAAAAGTGTCAAAAATGCCATGTTTTGACCCCTATAACTCCGGCAAAACTCAAAATTTCGCAAAACCGTTCAAATGAAGTTCTTATATTTTCGTTGTGAACCGGAAAAGTAAAAAAGTTCGATGAAAATCGGACCTTCGGAACAGGGGTGGCCCACTTGGCAGATTTTGACTCTTTTAAATGTCAAAATGGGTGCCTAAAAGTATGCAACAATATATGTTTAACCCAAAAGTGATGTGAATTTTCGGAATACGGTTAAGAGCTTGAAAAAATACCGACAATTTCTAATATTCGATATTTATTTTGTTTTTTTCCTTCAAAATATATAATTAATCGAATCTGTTTTGTCAAAATATCGATAACTTTCAAGCTTACGGCTATTCCTTATTCACTGAATACTTTTAGACCAGTGACGGATCTAGGATATTGTTGTGGGGGGTGATATCAGAACCATTTTTATGTTGCACACTTTTTGAATACCAAAATTCTATTCATTTTTCACCCGAATGGGGGGAGATATATCACCCCCCGTGGATCCGCGCATGTTTTAGACACTTATTTTGACATATAAAAGTGATATTAATATGATATGATATGAAGCAATGATAAAAGCATTGGCAAAAACTTCAATATTATAAATTCCTTGCAAATTATTTTGCAATATAGCCATAAGTATATCTCACCTTGTTTTCGAAGTACTTGACTTGCTGCAGATTTCGGGGATAGCCATCTATGATAATTCCAGTTCTGTCTCGTAACTGGCGTAGATTGGTCTCCAGCAGCTGATTGAGCGATTTTTCTGGGGCCATATCCCCAGCGGCCAGAGCTTCCTTCACAGCAAAGCTTTCCGTATTGGCACGTGGTGCAGAGTCGGTGATATTTCGCAAAAGACGACCGACACTTTAACAAGGAAATAAATTAATGCTATAAATTTACAATGATTTCAAATATTTCTTCTTACCTAATGTGAGCCCAGCCTGGGTTTAGTCCCACGGCCTTGAGGCAAAGAGTGGCCTTATTGCTGCCCGGACCGCCGATCACCCAGATAATGGGTGGCAGACCCGATTCATTTGGTCCAGCATCTGGTCGCAACTTTGGCTGCTGGGTGACCACAACACCGCTATCATCATCGGCACTGGTGGTGCCCGTTTTCAGGGCAGCCACAGTTCCATTTGGACCCTCAATGGCCAAATCTCTGGCCAAAACGATTCCCGCGGTGACATTAGGAGCGATGTCTTCTGCAATTTGAGTCGCTTGTTGGGCTTGACTTGGTGCGGTGTCTACGCTAACTATACTGCCGGGTATATCATGTATCCCTCTGCCCATACCTGTAACTCCATTCATCACGGCCTCTTGGTTCTCGAGGGTGCTTAGTATATCGAGGACAGCGGTGCGAAAGTCTTTGTACACCTCTGTGGGAGCACGCTCGCCATTTACCTGCAAGGATTGATATATAATACTACATTTCTGACACTTAAAAGTATTGATTTTATTGATTAGAAATATAAATTTGCCATCTATTATATCAAAATTATATCTTAAATACTCACGGCCAACAACATGTCGCTCTGATCAAAATAATCGGCGACTGGCATCACATTTTTGAAGAAATTTTCCAATTCCATTTTGGCTAAGGAGAGTACTACATGACCTAATTTGGCTCCATAATCGATTTGCTTCTGGAGAACCGATTGACGCCAGGATATTAGAATCACGCCATTCACGACTTGAATCTAAAAGACAGAAAGAAAGACAAAATTAATCAAAGAAGATTACTTCGAAATTATGGTCCCAAATTGTAAGGTTCACACTTCTGTTTTCCAAGTTTGTCCTACTTATGCAATGATAGTTCTATATACCCAACTTAACGCCATGTGTAAGTGACTAGACGTTCGGAACTCCCCAAGTACCGCTTGCTCCAAGTCTGTCCAATTAGCACTTGCATATATAATGGGGCTCACTGTAAATCCATGGGAATTATGACCGAATAAACACACTGTCGGCGACCCATTTGCCAGTTAATTAGTTCAAATAGTTCAGCAGCAATTTACTGGGCAAATAAAGTGTGCGGCAACCAAAATGGCTTCATAATAAATAAAAGGGCTGATGGGGAAGACAGCGCAAATTAGTTGGGGGTGGTTGGAAAATTACCTTCTCAGAATACTCGACAACGTCGCGCATTGAGCGTGGATATCCCGATATCAGGTATGCTTTGGCAGCTGGAGCCATTTTCATTTCCAACATCAGCACCTCGGTGACTGTTTTCGACGATAGTTGCGAAAAGTCCTGCATGTCTATAAAGGGGGAAAAGTTTTGTTATTACTTTAAGATATTTGATAAAAATCACTAAGGTTTTAAAAGTTTTAAAAAGGTGTCTAAAAGTATGCAACAATATTAAATGAATTTATATAGAAATACTTCTTTCTTTCTTTAAATATGCAGAGGCCTAATTTAAAGACACATTTTTAAGTGATTTTAAAACACTAATAATATAAAAATCACAAAGGTTTTAAAATCACTTATCAAGGTGTCTGAAAGTATGCAACATTTTTCAATATATTCATTTGGAAAGATAACTTTATTTCCTTGCATACTTTTAGAAACTCCTATATGTGATTTTAAAACTCCAATTTTATAAACCATCTTCTTTAAGGTTTTAAAAGCACTTATCAAGGTGTCTAAAAGTATGCAACAGTATTTAATGGATGTCTTTAGTAAAGACTTTTTACCTTGCATTCTTTTAGACACCTTAATAAGTGATTTCAAAACCGTTGATGTTATTACTACATATTATTCTTTCTTACCATTGCCCATTGCATATTGCTGCAGCAGATCCATCATATTGATGTGCGTTACTCCGCGTCTCTCCTGCATGAAGGTGTCGCAATGGGTGACCTTGCCACTACCGGGGCCGCCTAAAACAAATATCACTGGCACTTTGGGCGGATCGAACTTGATTTTTCCAGCATTTTGCATATCGATACCGCCGACATTGGTAGAACCCAATCGTCCCGCCGCCGCAGCGGCCTCCAAATCGCCAGCATTTTGGGCATTTCGATTCCGTGTAAGACTCCAATCGTTGCCTGGTTCGCCGGTATCTTGTGCCGCGCTGGCATCTGGAAAAATAGGATATTGAAATTGAATAAAATATTTAACCATGAGATATATAAAGATATATAGGTAAAACCTTATCCTTATAATGGAATTTTTAATATAATAAACTGGAATATTGTAGACTTGTTGATTATCATTTATAAAAAAAAAAATAAAACCAACACGTATTTGCAATTAAGCTATTTTTTAATGGGTAGTTCGAGAGTTTTTTATTTGCGTGTGGGAGCAGAGCAACAGTTGACCCTTTAGGTAAAGCGCAGTAATTTTTCAACCGGAAACCGGATGTGTTGGCAAGTTAGCGAAAGGAAGCGCGGGACGGGCGTGGAAAAAGGCAAGGGCAGCCGTAACGTGCCAGGTTGGCATTAGCCAGCCTTCAATGGGGCCGGAAGCAATTTGCCAGAAGTAGGAAATTAGTGACAGAGTGCACACACGCACTCGATAAAGAAGGGAAGGGGAGCCAAAGGATCGAAACAAATCGCAAGCCCCATCATTAAAACATGTTTAACAATTATTTAATTGTATGGCAACCGCAGGTATGTAGTATATATAGTATGGCGTCACCGCTGAATTCATTCATGGAAAATCAGCTGTGTGGCCTGGCGATTCTATAGTTTTAGATCCCATTGCTTAAGATACAAGACCACCCGCTCTCCCAACCAATTTCACTTTTTTCCAACCAGTCTTGTGACATTTTTATTGATTTTCCTGCAGTTTTATTTAATTGACATGTTTTGTTATTGTTGCTATCCCTCTTCGACTCGCGGGGATTTCCCCCTTTTTCTTTTTGTTTTTGTGGGTGACGCGCATTTCAGGATTTATGTGTATTAGCTTTGGTGGTCAACGAACATGTCCAAGGACCTGGCAGCCATGGAGGCCAAAGAGCCGAAGTTCCGATACAAATTATAGCGTTGGGCAAGGTCTCGATTCCGATATAACGTCCCTTACATATAAAATCATATCCGTGTATGCATTGCGAAACAGTTTTGTCACAGTTTATTGTTTTTTTTTCAAAGGGATTTCAAACCAATTGATTGCAGTAATTTCAATTGAAACTGTCCCTTGAATTGCGGTCAATTGAATATGTCACCGGGATTTTGGATTCTTGATGGGTCACCCAGGGTAAGTAATAATAGTTTTTAGGTATTGAAAAAAAAGAGCTAGTCAATTATAGGTTGACTTTCATTCTCTGCTGGTTTTAAAGGCCATGGCTTTCATATAATATTTAGTCTTATTAAATTTCAACTCATCATGAAATTAAAAGAATATTTTTTTATAATTACTATTTTAAATGTTAATGTATAAAGCAAGACATTTAATAACTAATGAATGAATAATGATTTTGTTATTATCTCACTAATTGTAAATCCCAAAAGTATGCCCCGAAATTTTAGATATTCCTCAACAATCAGCTAAAAGTTATTCTTCAACTTTAAGGTGCGGAAAATTCGTTGCCAGAAAAGCGAATGAAAATTTGTATTGGATTATACCAGTATTCCCCCTGGCGTGTTCAACGTGCGCGACTCATTAGGGTTCTTTTTATTATCTTTCGCCGCAGAGAGGCAATGCTAATCTTTGATTACAAATCTAGTGAACGCGGCATTACTCACCTGTGTCTAAACAAATACCCATTATCCATTCGGTGGCCAGTATAGCTGAATTTTCGCAATTGTGTTTTCCCTACCGCACACCCACACACTCGAGCCCACTCACTCTCTACTTTAAAAATGATTATTTCGTAAAAAAATAAAAATAAAAAAAATTAAACAATCGAGAACTTTAGAAAGAGTTCTGCTTGGAAATTGGTAATGGTAAAATTCCACAAATGTTTAGCACTCTGTCCATGGCTACCGTGAATGGTATTCGCTCAATGTGTATATATATTATAAATATGTGTACATTTATTATTGGTATCTCCGGGATACTTGTTCTCGCGTTTTATCGTCGGCAACACGCACAACAACGAACTACATGACGTTGCCGGTTTTGGTGTTTTGATTCCTGCATTAGACGCGAACTCCGCCGATTTGGGGCTCTGATTTCCGAGGGTTCAACGGTTCTACGGTTCTACTTCATCGGTTCAACAGTTCAGCAGTTCAACAAACCGAGCACGTACGCCTCGACGAACGTCCGAAACGAAACTGAGTTTCAAAATTGACAACTGACTCGGTTTTTACCTCTACGAGCCCGGCGTTCCCCTGGTCACTTTTCCAATTAATGAATATTTTATGAGTTCCAGCAGTTTCGTACCCCCAATGCAGTTCCAGTGGAGCGTGGGTGGTTTTTGGCTTTGCTTTTTCCTCTATGCCAGTCGGGATTTCCTTTTCCCTTTGGCCCATTGGAAGTTTCACGCACGACCTTAGAACACCTTTCTATCCACTCAGTCCCCAGTCCATCTGAAAATCCACCTCACATGTCCGTGTCATTCATGGGCCGCCATTTGTTTATGCGCTCCAAACAAAGTGTCCTGTGTCCTGGAGCCAGCGGTGCGTTTCTCATACATCCTTTTTGTATAAATACATATGTAAGTATGTAATCTCGCGTATGTGGAACGCTTTTTAAAACCTTTTCCCGGTTTCTGTTGTCTGTGCTGGCGTACTGGTGTCCTGTCCTTTATGTTGTTTGTTGTTGTCAGCTCGGCTTCTGTTTTTATAGGTGTAAATAAATCCTCTTGCAGCTGTTCAAGTCAAGAGGCAAAACCTTAGGTAGCTGGCTTCGCAAAAATAGTTACAATTTAAAGAAAATGTTAAAAAAATACAATATTTTATTTAATGGATTTCCATGTGTTGGAAATAAATACAGTTAAAATGTCAAATTATATTTATGGGGATGAAAACACTAGCTAGAAATATTGGATTCAAAAACAAATTCAAAAAATATTTTATGCAACAAAAATATAATTAAAAAACATTGTATTTGAACGTGAAGGTTTCTAGGCCGTAATAGTTTAGTTTTAACCTAACTTAATAATTTAATATTTTTTAAATTTAGTTTTTTCTAAGAACTACCATTAAGGGCTTACTTGGAAGTAAAGAAAACAATTTAATAATAAATCGCAATATTTAGATTTTGGATGGTTAAAATAGAGCACTTTATAGTCTATTTAGTTTTAATACGATAATTGTATCCCATTAGTCACTAATTAGTAAATTAGTAAATTAATTAGTAAAAAAGGATAAAATCCTTAAAACTTAAGTTCCCCAAAAATATTTTCAGATATTTTCTGTTTTATTGCTAATATTATTTTCTGAACCTAAAAAAATGTCCTAAAGTACTTTGGCTAAGTGTTCGCCCATCATGAGTCTGCCACAAGGTATGTGTTCATTCTAAAACACTCCCATGACTTTGATGGCGGAGAAATTGTGCAATCATGCCGCGACACAGTGACAAGAGCCCCAAATTGATAAATCCGAAAGGGGGCCAAAGGAAGGGTCACACGGAGGGTTGGATTTTTCGTTCAATAGATGGGAATTGGAACACTGGCCTGTCCGATGTGCAGTGGGCGAGCTTTCAATTAATATTTCACACTATTAATTGGCGTTAATTATTTAGTTTACTTCTAGCTGCAGTTCAATGATACGGACTTTTTATGGGGAGGACTACACGCAAAGTGTGGACAGCTGTCAAAATTTCAAAAATGTATCCAATTAAAATTCAATTGGTTCCGTTGGGTGCTTTGTTTTGTTTGAAACTGGAGTGGGCGGCTGGTTGAATAGGCTTACCAAGGACACTCGAAGAAGTTCAAAGCTCAAGGAAACTTCATATCGATCAAATTGGTCTCATATCGATCCATGGACAACCACAGATGCGACGGCTAATTTGTTGGAATTTGTGACATGTCATGTGCCGTCGACACAAGGACAAGGCAACAACAAAGATAACAACAGCATATATAGGGAGCCGAATTGACCGGAGCACACTACCAACTACCAACCGATTGACATTGACACCCACACCTGACCAGCAGTCCAATGGGACCAATGGGTTTCCTTTTCCAACTTATGCGTGAAGTTAATCCTTCGCAATGACCAGCAATGACCACAACAGTTGAACAGCTACAGCTCGTGTCTCTTGCTCGTCCTTGGGCCCTCTGGGCGGGTCCCTTCGTTATTAAATCCCCCTTTTTCGAACTTAATTAAGGCTACGCGTTTTGGCCAAACGTATGTACACAATTGCAGACGGGCGCGGCCAAACTTAGGGTTAAGCAACTCGAACCGAACCTCTGTGATTAAGGACACTGCCTAGGCTAAGGAGCCTCTTTGTTGGCGCTAAGTGTGCCAAAGGATGGGAAGTTATGAAAATATCCTTCAATCGAATTAAATATGCAAATATGGAAATCAATGGAAATATATTATTAACTGAATTTTATTTTATCCTATTCTTAAGAATATTTCTTATTTCACTCTTAATTTACAAATAAGTCAGAGTTAATTTCTTGAAACCAACCTTTGTTATAAATGTATGAAATATGGACAATATTTTCACTTGGTATTCAAAAACCACAAACAAACAAATTTTGTTTTCATTAATACACTTCAATCCTAAATGGATTTCATTAAAAATTTTGGAAAACATTTTTCTCCCTTAGTAATACCATTGCTTTATATAACAAACGGTTTATTTACTGGTATAATTGGGTGGAACTCATACTGAAAATCTTCTGACATTCGCCAGTATTTATAAATAGATGTCCCACTATCAGAATTAATCCCGTCCTTGCCGGTTTATTAACTCCAACTCAATGTCCTTGAGGGCCTATTTGGGCTAATGTGGCCATTCAAAGGTGATTAAGGGCTTGAGTGTAATATTTACACATCTCGTACCCGGCCAAAATAATAAGACTAATTGGCTTATGGTTTCTCTTAGTGCACATGTACTTCGAGCCATCCTTCTGTGGTCATTTATAAATTCTTAATTATCAACTGTAAAGTTCCCAAAGGCGTGTCAATCAAATAGAAAACCCCGAAGGCTATTGGGCGCATTCATGTTTTCCTCGTCAAACTTTTAACTATTTGAATTTTTGATCAGAATTTTTAAACTTGTTTTTTGTTTGAGTATAAATAATGGTTTTCCCTGAAGGACAATTAGCCAGTGTATTGCATTTCAAGAATTATTTACCAACAACTCTCCACAGAACAAATTTATTTACTTAATGCAAAACCATAAAGTATAATATCACTGGTTATAAATTCTACAAATTAAATTCACTAAATACTACAGTCTAAAGTGTACTTAACAAATATTAGCTCTTATTTGAGTGCTCTCCGGTGGGCAAATAGGCCTGATTCTCATAGCCAGCGAAATTGCCCAATACCATAGAAATGCGCGAAGGCGAGTGCTGTATTCCATTTCCGGATTTATCATCTAATCCATTGGTTTGACCATTTGATTTTGCACTGGTCGGCAGTACAAAATTCGCATTGCGACAACGACGATGGAGGAATAATCGCAGCTTGAAGAAGGCAAAAAGCAGAACATAAATGCAACAGGATAAGACGAGTACGCCAACAACAGTGATGAAAGAGCCTTCAGGATTCCTCCAATCAATCACATGATAGATATAAGGCTTGCCTTTTCTATAAATAAATTGGATATCAAAATGTATAATATCTTTTAAAGTATTTTTTCACCATTCAAAACATACTTGTTAATTCCCCCGCACAAATGATAGATATACGAAAAGATGGCGAATACAACTCCAAATAATACTGGCAAAAATATATGCAGCAGCCTCAGGGGATGTGCTACAATCCACAGATCGATGAACATGCAAATCGAGTTAAATGCATGAGTGAGTACATTCGTGGCGTCCAAGGCCCCTTCCTTAGCTAGAAGAAAAGAAAAGTAAGTCAATGGTCTTACAGAAATAAACTGCAAGAATGGCTCACCATCATAAAGAAGACTCCAGTAAATAATGGTAATGACAATAGACAGGACCAACGATATGATGTGCATACCCCAATAGACTCGGAAATAGCTGAAGGAACTCTTTACATTCAGGAGTTTATCTGGGGATTATAAGTTTTAGCATTCTTAAATACATTTTTTAAAGTTTCCATATAAATCTTACCCGCATACTCTGGATGATAATGCCAAATGGTGACTAGAACAGCGCCCAATACGTTCGTTAACATGCACATCCATATGCCCCAGTTGGTCATGTAGATGAAATATAGCCAGTAACTGTATTTATCATTCGCATCTGGCAACATCGAGATAATCACCACGACCACAAAGAAAAGAGCCATGAACCAGCGATAAAATAGGTATGTCATACTCTTTGTACATGACTGCCACTAGAATGGATTTAAGAATAATAAATATTTATACTCAAATGATAGTAAATTTCAAAATTACACTAATCTAAAAATCGGAATATTATAAGAATTTATAAATTATTTTGCAATTCAAATTAACTTCATTAGGTTTATTCGATATACAGTAGTTATACAAGAATTAATTTGTATTTATTAAATGGGGGGTTTTTGTATAGAATTGCCGATGTGAATTTTAGATGATTTTTGCACATGGCAGCAATGCACCGAAACTTTTCCAAATTTCAACTTAGAAAGGTTAAAGGGCAGCAAAACCGAGAAGCGCAATTTGTTGTACCTGTCGCATGTTTAAAGTATTGCTTTTACTTCGACTTGCCACACAGTTTGTAACGGCTTGCTGCTGCTTATGAATATTTCAAAACAGTAATTTACAATGCAGGAGCAATCGGTGTACACAAGTCAAAGTGTACTGTCATATATATCGGTTTGTGCATATATATTTTTACCCAAACACAGCCCTCTTTCTATTGATACTGTGAATAACAGAAGTCATTTAATATGCTCAAGGTAAGTCCAATACAAAATGGTAAACCGCCCAATGTCTTTTACCTTCGGTAAGGAGATTCGATTTGGTTAGGACTTATGAATTGGCTATTTATTATGGGTAAGATATTAAGAGCGACACTTTTTAGTGAAATCTAAATGTGATGATAAACAGAGAATTTAGAAAAAAACCAAAATATATTGGATCTAAGTTTAATTACTCATAAAAATTCGCCTAAATTTCAAAATTCGCCAATATTTTCCCAAGACCAATATTAATCTGTAAATATCACTATGGACGGCAGTCCATGTAGTGACGAAGCGCACCAGGAGAGTGTGCGAAGGCGACTACTATTATATAGCCGCAAAATTGAAAATCTGCTGTGATAGTCCGATCGTAATGAGTAATACACCAATCGAAAGGTATTGCAAAAACTTAAAGGATTGCATACCAAGACTTTAAGAAAATCAATTGGCTTGGGAGAGAGAGCGGTGAAAGTGAAAAAGTGAAATTTTCGAAATTTGGAGCTGTTGGGGCCGGTGGGGATAAATGCCCCCTCGCAATGTTTTAGTTGTATTCCTTTTAAAAATACCCGTCGAATGAGGGGTCATTTGTCAAAATCCGACGCTCCGTTCAAAAGTTATAGCCAAAATAAGATTTTCTTCTTCTTCCCAAAATGAAAATTAATTTCTGTTTGTCAGTTTGTCCACTTGTCCACTTGTCCACTTGTCCACTTGTCCACTTGTCCAAAACATGTTTTTTAAGTTTTGAAAATTTTATATGACGTTCATCACATCGATATAAAAAACTTTTGTTCTACCACTTTTGGAAAAACTCGCTAGTTTAGCGGGAAAACAGCTATAAATAGCTAAAAATCGGAAAGCCGTAACTTCTATACTACTAAAGCTACAGACTTGTGCTGCATCTCGTTTGAAAGGTATTTTTAAATGCTATAAACGCCTTCTATATGCAATTTGTGTAAATGTAATAATTAAAAAAATATGAACAAAAGACAATTTTTTAAAACTTTTTTTTTAGCTTTTTTTTATTTTTCTCAAAAACGGCTCTAACGATTTTCTTTAAAACCTTAAACTGAATAGCCCTTGAGATTCCTTACATTTTGGTATATAACACATTACTGTAAAAAGTCACGTTTAAAAGTTATTTTTATACGAAAATAGCCACTTTTGCCAGCTCGAACAATTAACGCTCCCTGAGTATTGAATTTTGTGGGAGGGTATCCGAACTGTATTTTAGGGTCATGGAATCAGTAAATTTGCACTTAAGAGTTCCATATAGGAATCTTTTGTTCTACGACTTTTGGAAAAAGCCGCTACTTTAGCGGGAAAATAGCTAAAAATGGCTAAATTTCGTTAGTTTTTAAGTTCTACACTACTAAAGGTAAAGACATGTGCTATACCTCGTTTAAAAGGTATTTTGAAATACTTCAACGCCTTTTTAACTTAATTCGTTAAAATACAATAGTTTAAGAATTATGATTTATGACCAATTTAAATTTAAATGTTTATATTAGCACCTATGAGAGCAAAAGTAAACAAACAAAAACTTCTGATATCAAATAAAAACACCTCTTAACGAGGTAAAAAACTAGTGACGATCGCACCTTCAACGTACAAAAGTTCTGATATCAACTTTTGTGACGAAAAATAATTTTAGATGCGACTAAATAAGTACGCTACCTAAAATTTATTCATTCGGCACGCTAAAACAGAAAAACATTCGTGTAGATATTAAATATTTGCTAAAGCGGGCCGAACGAGTAAATTTTAGGTAGCGTACTTATTTAGTCGCATCTAAAATTATTTTTCGTCACAAAAGTTGATATCAGAACTTTTGTACGTTGAAGGTGCGATCGTCACTAGTTTTTTACCTCGTTAAGAGGTGTTTTTATTTGATTCTTTATAGCCAACCCCATCAACCTTAGTGCTTACAACAGCCTACACTTTAAAATGCCCACCATGTACATTGACCCGCCGCCCGAGTGCAAAGCAAATAAAAATACTGAGCAGGTGTGTTGCTCAGGTGCGTGTCGAATGGAGGCGTATTTATCGGAGACCCAAGGACGCGGCCATTTGCACTGTCGTCAATGATTCGTTGAACTATTTAAATTGACCCATCCTAGTAAGTAATCCTTACCTGTGACTTGACAAAATCATCGGGCGTATCATGGTCGAATCCGCAGCTCTTGCGCTGGAACTCCTTCTTCACGGGATGCACGATCACCTGTAGTTTGCTCATCTTTCTGGTTTCTGTGTCGATCAGAACTAGACTTCAATTTTTGTTGATTGGGTTGTGTACGTAAGCACTCGATTCACGCAATTGGAATTTTCAACGTGCTTATGCAACCGAAATCGTATATAGCGATGCCATTATCCGCGCAGTTGTTTTATAGCTTATCACGATTTGCTGTAACTAGCAAAAAATAAATTTTTTTTAATATATACAAAATTAATTAAATTTTTCGAATATAAATACAAGTTCAAAGTTTAAAATACTCTAGGGAAAAAGCGACAAATTTTCATTCAGTTCATAAATGTTGGAAAAATAATATTCTGTTTTATTTAATCTAAGGCATTTCTTCGTTAGGCTTAGTACTCAACCCAACAAAAATTCGTCCAAAACAAAAAACTTCATATGAAAAACAACGTCAAAAAATTATGTTTCATATGAAGATTTTGTTTTGGACGACTTTTTGTTGGGTTGAGTACTAGCCCTAACCTCAGTAAACATTTACAACAAACTCATTGGCCTTGCTTTATACTTTAGTTTACTCACAGCTCATTCTCAGTATCGTCTACAACCAGTATACAAATAGGTCCTATTTCAACATATATAATTTGGAATAAAAAAGAAAAACACATTTTCTGTTTTGCAATGGAGTTTGCTGGAAAATTTCTTAAGCCCGTCTGGCGGCCAATGATGCAAGGTAAGTTGAATGTAGAATGCTAAGCAGACTTAGCCCATTTAACTTAAAAAAATTCCCCAAAAACAGTAGCTCGTCTCTATTGCGAGAAGCCGATGCGAAGTCTAGTAGCTTTCCCAGTTGCCAAAGTTGAAAGTGGAAAGTCCAAGTACATGATGGCCCATGTTTACATTCACGGGGAGATGGGCAGTGCCAAGCAGGTGATTCGTAGCCATGCCAAGGCCAAGTACCATCGTAAGTAGAATAATTCCCATGATCTTCAAGGTGAACTTATAATATTCTTCCTTCTCCCTAGTTGACGTCTACGATGAATTGAAAAAGGAGGCAGAGGCCATGGGCCTGTGCACCCAGGGCTTGGGAGGTGGTTACTTGGTTCACGACAAGGAGAAGAAGTACATCAAGCTCTATGGAAGATCTCAGGCCCTGGGAAAGGCCGATCATGAGGCAGCGCGTGAGCTACTGCAACCGATCTATAATGATCACAAGATCGATGCCGAATCTGGCGGTATGGAACCCTAGAAAATCTATTACCTTTCGCATTATTCAGTCCGGCCAATATTTCTCTTTTTCTTTTATAAATTTTGGTCTTAGGACTGTGTGGAATACTTTGCAACAATTAAAATTAAACTTCAAAAGATGCCAGATACGATTTTATATGGAGTGGCAAAAAGAATACTGACCTTTGTCGGGTTAGTTTCACCACAAGACCATAACCATAAAGAGTAGTTAAATTTTCCTGGTTTACTCGCTTGACCATGCGCAACCCCATAACTCCTGACCCCAAAAGGTTAGCGACTAATGTGCAAAATGCGAAATACAAGTTGCAAAGGCTCGAAAGCTGGGCCTAGTAGACTGCTTAATCGTGCTAATAATGCGACTATTGTACAACTGGACTATTCATATAATTATATGAAGTGGCACACGGTGGGGGTAGCATCATTTATGGATCAATTTACCACACAGTTCATTCGCTTCGCCGAGCGCTCTATTATTATATAGTCAGTGAATAATTATTCGCTTCACTAGGGTAACACACAGAGAGACCCTCAGCAGTTCATTGTATTATTGCCTGTCATTGGTTGACTGTTAATTGCAAAAATAAAAATATAAAGTTATGCAATAAATTTATTAATTGGCGCACTAAGGTCGAACTTTGAGGCGATATAACAAGAAAGAACCTCGACTTGTGATCGGGCGCCCCAAGAAAAAAGCCGAGTAATTTATAAAGTAGTTAAGCCCTGTGCTAAATTTACAACAATCTGCAATAATGGACTATGACTAGATAAAACATCTTTGTTTTTCTTCTGATTACCTTGGCAACCTCGGCATTCGCGATAAGATACTATATACGGCTTAATGAGAGGCAGGTATTTTTATACTTTGGTCGCAAAAATATATAATGATGCAATAATAGCAATAATTAGCTTGCTTTGGTCAAACATTAAGCAAAACTAACATTAGAACTTCTACCTAAGTAATCATTAGAGCGCCGTATGCTTATTCTAATAGACCAGAATCGCAAACAGCTTTTCCGTCTGAAACTGTAGACCCTAAAATGGTTTTCAGTCATTATTTTCACGGCAGTTGCGTTGGCTTTGCACAAACATCGCGCCATACCCGTCGAAGTTGTAATTACTTCTCCAGAGTATAACTCTGTTATAAACATTTTTCGAGTGCGATGTTCATTGTCCCTGAACTTGCACGAATGGCTCGCTAATGAAACTTTTCAACAATAAAAAAAATAAACAACGAGGCAAGGAGGGCGGCTAATTCAGTTAACAAACTCTTAACCATCCATTTTGGTGGCCAAGACACTTTGGAGTCTTATTTAGTGTGCATTTTATTTACACGCTTTTTCGACTGTCGCTTGTGCTACATTTTCGTCAACAAAAGATACCAAAAACTACCTTCAACAGACATATGTTTACGGTGCGTGCCAAAACGGTAAGGCAAATGTTGAAAATATTATTTTTTGCCAAATTTCTGTGGTTTTTCAGAAATTTCTTACTATATAAATCGCAAAAAAATGTATAGAATTTCGTTTGGAATTTAGTTGAAAAAGATTTCTATGAAAACCCGGAAATTCGTATATTTCTTTTTTTAATCTCGATTTCATAACTTATAATTGAGGAAATTGTATAAAATGATTCATAAAATGTTCTCAGAATCAAAAAAAATTACAATGAAATCATGCAACCCTTTTCTACACAAAAAAAACATTTAAGCTTAGTTTATTTAACTAGCCCTTTATTATTTCGAAACGGACTGTGGGCAAATGATATATAGGTTTATGGCTCTTGAAGTTGTACCACATTGAACCTTAAAATAAAACTCGTTGACCTTTACAAGCTGTGTAAATAATTTTTCGTCTTGAATGCCGTCAAACCGCATGAGTGAATGGCAAGTCGAAGACTTTAGATTCCCATGCTATCGACTCCCTCATCAAGATCCATCTGTCGATTAGATAAGACACGTCATCATCTATTCAGCAGTCACAATCTTTTCAATCACTCCAATAGAAAGTGAAATCAAAAGAGTTCAACGCCATTGAAGGCATTTCTTATGTTAATGCCAAACGCATGGCCAAAAAAACTTTCATAAGAGCTTCAAGTGGATGTCCAAAAGTTTAGACCAACGACAAATTGAAAATAATTATAAAAATTCTTAAGTTTGTTTTGGAACAACCTTTAGACGCTAATTAGCCAATTGATGAATCATTATGGGTGATATGGGTTCTCAATATACTTAGTCTGCCGATTGTTGATTATACGCAGTGTGCCAATAATAAAAAATTGTTTACTTTTTTTCTGGTCAATAAAAATGTCTGGGGAATACAGTTATAAAGATAAGAAAGCTTAGTTTAAAGCGAGCAATTGATTTTTATTTAATCTAACTATTTTTCCACCGCAACTTGTGATCGATATACCAATGCCGGTATTCTCTAAGACAATTTTTCATTATGCAACAAAGCCGGTTTTCAAATAAGTGCCATTATCGAATGAAACGAGGTCAGTTATTATACAGAAAGTGTTAAAAATTAATTATCTCATACGATAATCAAGCGGAAGAGAAAAAATTATTAGAGTGTTAATGAATGTTTAATATTTGTGAGAATATAAAAATGTAAACAAATCATGATTGACCTGTATTTTCTACTTATCGTAAACCGAGCAAACTAAACCACAGAAATGCCAACAAACTAGTTTGCTAATTCATACCGGTCAATTAGCTAACATTCAAGAGCCGATGTGTATTTCCAACGCATTTGCAGATTTTACTAGTTAAACTCACCTTCAACTAATTGCAACCGCTTTAGACTATGAATAACGTTTTTGTCCGAATTTGTTTTGCCGCTCCTTGGAATTGTTGCTGTTTGCCGAACAGGAAACTTGTAATCGTTCACTTAGCTCTTTTTTTCATTAACGCTTTTTGGGGACGTGCCTAAAATTTCAAGCGTAACGTGAAATCCAATGAGCCAATATGTATGCGAAACTAATGCCACAAAAGTAGAAATTCTACCTTAACATATATAGCTACGTACTTTTTAGAACACAAGCTTACATGGAAACCCAAATTGAATGAAATAAGAATTTTTAAACCTTGAGCAAAACCTTGAAATAATAAAAACCCCCGTAAAGTTTGTATTTTACTTTCAAATGAAACCTTTTGGAAAAAAAAGAAAAAGAAATGCTTCCGCAAATAAAGCAAATAAATTGTTTTTTTTTTTAAATTGAATAAAATTAAGTTTTTGTTATCAGAATAATATTTATAGAAAATCACATGCTTCTTTTTACAGTGTAAACTTTGATGGCTTTGGATAATTCTTAGAATTTACTTTGTTCACTTGTGATTTTTTTGTTTGCAAATTAAACACCAAGAAATTTTTGCCAAGTGTTAAATATTTCTTTAATAAAGATTTGCCAAGTCATTCCAATAAATTAGGAACACTAAATTGTTCAGTAACTTCTCTGGCAGTTTTTCACCTATATTGTCAACAATTTATTTTGTACAAGAATTTCTAAAACTGCTTAATTTATTTTAAACGTTTTTTATTCAGCTTTTTTAATTCGCACAAAACCGAAATATATTTTTCGCCATGTACATTGTGGATTATAAACGCAGTCTGGCTGTCTGAAATGTCTTTTATGTTTTTGGCCCGGTTGGTAATTTCTATTTGGGTCACCACAGCAACAACAACTTTGCATAACGGTATCTAGCCATTTCGGGTTTGTTTGTTTGATTGTTTGTTGTGTGTTGCATTTGCAGACTGTTTGAGTGTTACACCAACCGATCACTTCACATTCACGCACCGATGCACCAGAACAGCGAGGGGAACAACAGCAAAAACTAAAATAGTACTACTAAGTAACGCACCGAAGAAATAAAAGTGGCGGAGGTCGGCTCGAAAAATCACGACTTCTCGCCGCGAAGAAAGAATAAAAACTGATCGCGGCTTGGTTTTTATTCGGTTTGCTTCGGTTTGGTGGAATCGCCGCGCTATGGATCGTAGACCGTATATCGTAATATCGTAAGCGCAGACGCGGCTGCTGCGACGTCGACGTCGACGTAGCCAGGTGTGTTTGCACATGTGTTTTACGGCTGAGAAGAGAGACAGAGAGAGTGGAACTGCACGTAGAAAAATAACTATATTAGCAACATAAATCTGTACTATTAATTATTTTAATTTGGAGTATGTGCACATCCAAAGGGTTTTTATTTCATTAAGAAATGTTTGAGATTTTTGAAGTATTTCTTTTAAGAATATTATTATGTTACACTTGTGAGATAAAAACTAAAACTTCTAACAGTAGTAAAATATGCGATATTTTCTTTTTTCCCAAAGGGTTGTTGTCAATTTGGACGGAAATTTTTCTAAAATATAAAATGTTAATATCCCAATTTTAATTTTAGGAATTTTTCTTTGATATTTCCCAGTACTTGATTAAGCTCTAGCGGAAGTAAAGTTCTTTTTTTATTATCCAAAGTAATTATTTGCTTTTCGTAAAACTGTTATCATGATAAAATGTGTAGCTCTAATCAAGCGGGGTTTTTTAAAGTTCGACTTAGTCACAAAATTTCCCGAAATTGTTTTTTCATGACCACCCCTAAATAAGTTTAACCGGAAGATTCTATCAAGCATTTGAGCTATATATCAAATTTAAATTATAACTCTTTTCGTTTTCATTAAATATGTACTTTTACTTTTTAAAAAAATTAAATGTTATTTCTTAAAACCATTAAAATGTTTTTCTTGCTCAAACAAATTTTGATTATTATTATTTTTAGACAATTGATAAATATTATTATTTTCCAGTGTTCGAGTATTGACAGAACGATAAAGCAGCAATAAAAAACGATGGATGCTTTTTGGCTCTGTTTTCTGCCCTCCTCTTTTATCCACTTTGAGCTTAATTACTCGCTCACCTTATTTTATGCGTTTGTGTGCTTTTGTTTGGCAAATGTTTGAGCTAAACAGAAGTTGAAGATTTTACCTGCGGTACAGTTTGCTAAGAAAGAGATGAGAACTTCGGGCTTGCTAATGTCTTAATGCTAAAAGTATGTTTCGTAATTTAAGGTAAGAACTTTACACGTTTTTCTTCAAAGAACTGGATTTGTAATCTAATTGCAACAATACATGTAAATTGCTTAGTCACCGATTCATTCAAGAAGAACAAAAGTCTTGGAATTGGGTTAGGAAAGTAAGCGAAAAAGTAAGTATTCTTTTTACCCAATTCTTTGTGTCATTGAACCTGTTCCACTTTACAATAAAGATTTAAATAACCTTTACGATTTTGATATAAAGTAAGATAAGACTTGGAAAAACATTTTAAAGTCGAGTTGTTAAAAATGTTTAGAGTTTTTTACTTAACGCTCAAAATAATTGAGAGTAATTAGAATCTAAATCTTATTATGACATTGTTCGCTTTGATGTTTAATTAACAATAATTAAAGCTTTGGCATATAAAAACTTCAAATCATAAAAAAGAAATAAAAACAAAACTGAGATGTATTTTAATAATTTATTTATTTCCCAATCGCTACAATAGTAATAAATTAACCGTTAATAACGTAACGTTCTTATATACACTGTCTTTTATTCCGATTTTCGTTATATGTTTATACAATTTCATAGTTCTCTCGAGTTATCTCTTAAATTTGATAGCATCAAGTAGAGTATTTTCAACAAATTTCATATTTTTTACTATTTTATCCATAAATGTAGTAACAACATCAAAGCCTATTAATAAAACTAACTAAACCAATTCAATGTTAAGGAACCAGAAGATTAAAACTTACAATAGTAAATACTAGATATAAATAAATGCATGCAAACGCTTTTGTGATTCAGGATGGATTGTAAATGGAACTAAACATAATGCTGGTGATGCATATAGAACTTGGTAAATGTGCGGGTGTTAATGAGGTGACATTACTTGTGTGCCTGTCTGTGGTGTCTTTAATGTATATTTTGTATATCCCTCATATCAGGCCCACGGCGTGAGGAGTCCAAACGACACTGAAGGCCCTATTGAACATCCTCTTCAGCTTGTAGAGTCCGAAGAGCAGCATCCAATAGCACATAATAAGCACGAAGATGCCCACAAAGGTCACCAAACAGCGGTTGGGATTGTTCCAATCCAGAATGGGATACACATAGGGATTGCCAAATCTGCAGGAGAATTATGCAGGTGATCAGTTGTAAAATCATAAAGCATACGGGCATTATACAATACTCACTCATCTGTACCCCCGCATAAATGGTAAATCAGAGTGAAAACGAAGAAGAAAATCGCCAGACTCATGCCGTAAACCATATGCAAGATCCTAAGCGGAAATGCCACGATCAGGAAATCGATCAGCATCATTACGGAATTCAGACCGTGAGTAATTATGCTGATGGCAGGAAATCGCATTGGCTTATCTGTAAAAGAAGGGAATTCTATAATTTGTATTTATTTTATAATCCATAATGTATTATAAGCAGCGTAACATAAAAGTGTTTATATCAGTTTCCATGAAAATAAAATAAATAATATACAGAGCTTTAGCCACACTCACTCATCTTTCCGTGGAGAAACACCCAGTAGACTGTTGATATGATCAGAGCCAGCGATAGTGTCATATTGTACAGCCACCAGTATATTTTTAGACCTTTGGAGGTCTCCGCTTTGTGGGCGGACTCCTGTACCAGACTCCGGGTATTCCGCAGATCAAAGTGCCAGCAGGTGACCTGTACGGCGGAAATCAGCATGGTGATCGTGCACAGCCCGAATCCCCAGTTGGTCATGTAGATAAAGAACTTTCCATCGCAAAACTGAACGATTATGCACATGATGTACACGCCCAGGAAAAACAGGGCCCAAATCCATCTATAGAGCAAGTATATTGTGTTGATCTCATCTTTTTGCCACTGCAAAAAGAAAGTTAAATAATTAAGGTTATTAAAAAAATGCAATTCATTTAAATTAATCAATTATATTATATTAATTCCCATACATTGTTGCTGGTATTGCATTCAATAAAGAACTTTCCATTAATCCTTATCGCTGACACTTGTCTGACCCTTACACGATGATCTATTAAAGTTTATGTAATATTTTAATTAAAATATTCCACACCTTTGCCCGCTGAAATTAACGAAAACAAAAACTAAATGCTAATGACAGCTCATATCACGACTCAATGCTTATCACTTCCAATGACGTAGTCAGAATTAAGGCCTGTCTAAATGATTTTGCCTTCGTATCAAAGACCACAGTTTTGCGTGTGTAATAATATTCAAATTTATTTGTTTTGAACTTAAATATTGCGGAAATAAAATCATTTGATTTGTTAGATTACGCGGTCCTCTATGGATATTTATGGGCATGTTTGCCATCTGATAAGGTGTCGTTGGAAAATTTATGGCATGCTCCTAAACTGTTTTCTGGTTCCTGCTTTGATTTGATTAGTATTTCATTCGTGCGAAATGTGTAATAGTTATTAATGAGGAGTTCTGTTCCAGGGTTCTCGGAACTTTGCGGTGCCATGGGGATTACTTTTAAGGGGCGAGTCTGAAATGACTCATTATGTTGATATGCTGCCAATTTTTATTTTCTTTGCTTTCCTTTACTTCGTATCACAATGAAATGTGAAAAAGGGGGGTTGTTAACCAAGTCATTCTTATCAAAGTTGGTATCATTGCGTTGGACAAATAACTTTTATCCATATATCTAGCTCAGTTATTTGTACAATCGAAAGAATTCAGTGTACAATAGAAATGTCTGGTAATTTACGATTTTTCACTCTAATTGGATGGTTTTCGGAAAGCTTTCATTCACGTGGAGTTAGTTAAAAACATAATTTCATATCTATGTGGGTTACGGTTCTGTATATTAGAATCGTCCACTCAACATGTGTGATATTTGTTTAAAACAGCACCACATTGAATGGAGACCAGCTTTTAGTTTAGCTGTGCTAATTAAATTCGAATTAATTAACAATGCTTGCGTGTACACTGTGTTCTCACCATAACATTTTATGTTCTTTGTGAACTTCGCTTTTTTTGTTGAGCACATTCTAATGAACTTTCGGTATATAAGCCACTTTTACCTTTTTTATTGTGTGCCTAATGGAAGGCAGCCAAACAATGCCCTGGGGAACTCAGGTTATATTATTAGAGACATTTTTAGTAGTTCACTTCGTTAGAGCCACTTTAACTGGTTTGCCTCTTATCAAAACACATTTTTTATTACAATTATCTACTTAGATTGTTGCGTCGTTGTCTGTACAGAACAATAATTTTGGCAAATTATTTCAAAGTCTCCGGCACTTAAATACCTATTGCTTAAAATGTCTTAACCCCTATATTTTCATATTTATGAAACACGTGCCTCCATGATCTCACTCAAAGAGTTACAACTTTCAAGGTACACTAATGTCAGTGACTACAATGTGTATACTTATTTTCGCTACTGCTATTTGCAGTGCCCGTATGATATCGTATGATACCACCTGAGCTGTTACAGCACCGATAAGTCTGCCGTATTTGGACACTAATTACGGGGAACTGCCCTCACCTGGGATCTGTAGAACAAATGAACGCGATTGTATGCGAAGCCGAAATTCGCCCTTTGCAATTCCTTGTTGAAGCTTTTGCAAAAGTCGTCGAACAGTTGCATTTCATATGCTTTTTTCTTTATTTGTTTAACTTGTTTATAATTTTTTTTATTTTTTTAATTTTCGTGTACTCCCTTATCGAGTTGGGGACTTGGCTGGGGAATTTGTGATTGTTAGTTAGGAGCGGAGACTTCCGAACCGAGTCGCGTTTAGCCGGCTACTGACTTCGTCAGCGCTTTTGAGTTATGTTTACGACTCGCACGAGCACCGCGGTGGAGAGATTGAGATAGATAGAGAGTTAAGGTGAGTAAGGAGCGATGTTGGGGATCTCCACTCGAAATCTCACTGCTGTGATCTTGAAAAATCGATCTTTTTGGGGTCCGGAGGGTTGGGATCGTGGGGTTACTTGCGAACAGCTCCAGTTGGCACGCGCACTCGAGCACTCGAAACGGCGGACTGACAGCCGGATCGATTCGCAACCCGATCGAAAAAATGACTATAGTGATCGCTCGATTCCGATTCCAGTCGGTCGACGATCGGTTGCCTAACGGGAATTGGACACATCGACTACTGGCGTAACATGCTTTATAAGCGAGACATCGCCGCTAAATTCAATTTAATATAATGTAGAGCACTCGGCTGCCGAAAAGAGTGTCAAATAGCAAGTACCGCCCCCTTGTTGGTGGGAACCGTTTTACAGACGGACACTACACATAACTCTGATATTATTGACAGCTGGGCGCCCGAAAACGCACACACATCTGTCACGATTGACCAGCAGTGAACTTGAAGCCATGGAGGTCGGCCAATTAAGATCTCCATTAACGAGTACCACCCGAAAGCAACGAAGTGCCGTACATCACTTGATGCCCGAAATTCTGGCTGACCTACATTTATTGGGGCCAGAACAGAAATGTTCACGGAGCGATAAGCAAAGTGCTTTCGTTCTTATCTAATCCATCAGAGAGAAAGAGAGCTATTATTCACTTGAAAACGGCTAATTAGTATTTAATTAAACACTTTTACTTAAATCAGATTAAATAGATAAGATCTATTAGATTTAAATATAACAGTGAGGAAACATATACTTGAATGTCCTGGTCATAATAATAATTACAAACGACCTTAAATACGCTAAAATATTTTTTTTATTTCGGGGGACAGACAGACTATTTTTTAAAAAAGCGTACATCAATAAAAATAATAATATAACGAGGCTCCTATCAATAAACATAAAAACTTAATGAAGATTTCCATAAGTAAAGTACTACTCAAACAATCATTATAAATCTTGGTGAAAAATGCTGAAAAGTGAATAAAAAATATATTTTACTTTATTTATGATTACTGAAACCCTGTTGAAATAAACAAAATCCACACCACAGTTAGAATTTCTGGCTGACACATTTTTTGCCACTGAACTTGGATCAATTTAAACAATAATAAACGCCCATCATCGATTACATATGGACATTCCGCCTGAATTTTGCTTACCCATTATATCAAATTCACGCCCCGATCGTAAATAATCGAAAGAGCAACTGGTTCGTTACCCCTATATCTGACCTTGCCATTGGCCAGGAATGAGAAACCAAAAGTGTCGTCGGCATTTGCTGTAAAGATAGTGAAAACAGCACAATTGAAACTTCCTCTTTATTGCATAAATTTAATTTGCCTCTGTAATTGAAATTCAATTTCAATCGAAACATTCTTAAATGGACCTTTGACACGATTCTGTGGGAATTGCCTGACAAGAAGAAAAGATTTTTGTATTGAGCAATATTTCCGTGGATCGATAGCTGGCGTGTTTTCTGATTACGTAAACATGAAATTGGAGATTAGATGTTTACAAAAATGTTAAAATTTCATTTAAAAGTACCGCTATGGTAGTCTTAGAGCCTCCGTGGGATTTCACTTCAAATCTAGTAAACAATTAACAAAAAGGAAGAATTATGTGATTATTTAATTCAGAAAATGTCAAAACTTTAAAACAGCCGAGTAAGGCTGAGAATATGAGTGAAGTTTTAATACCTTTATAAGTTAAAGCTCAAGAGAACTCTTATTAACGGCACCAATTTCAGAATATTTATATTTACAAGGATTGAAACTGAGTTCATAAAAAATAGGTAATCAGATATTAATATGTTTTAATTTTAGATATTATTATTTTAAAATTAACACATTTATGTATTAAAAAATAAAACAAACACACCCTGTCTTGACAAAAAGCTTCACCCACAGTACCTACTTTTGGAACTTTACTATATCCCTTATCAGAGAATTCATGATTCATTAATCGAAAGTCAAGTTAAAAAGTTTACGTCATGAAACGTGATTCCCAAAGCTTTTGCAAAATATTTGCTTAGAGTCCACTAACTTCAAGTTCCATTTATGAACATATGTATGTATTTCCAACGCCTCGTATCAGTAAAGGAAACAACGTCAATCACATTTTCTCCAATTTGAACATACGTATCATGATAGGCGTGCCGATAAATTAGCAGAATGAGTTTGGCAAAAATATTTGGTTTACTCTACTAAAAAGAAATTTAAAGTTTATAGAAAATTATAAGAAAATTAATATTTAATTTTATTATTTGAATTTTTTTATTGATTTAAAATTATATTCACTTATATTTTTATTAATTTCTATGTTTTTACAATTCATATAATACCCAGCTTATTGAATCCACAATCCATATAAATTTTGACTTCTTTGAATAGTGTATTTGATAACGGATTTTAAGGGCTTTCAATCAAATATGATTTTCGTTTGAATTGTTTTTTTGGCGAATTCTTATCGCGTCTGAGTCCGGGGGGAATGGGTCTGGCGGTACTTGGCTTGTCACGGAGGGAAAACCGCCAGCACTTGACGAACACGAGTGTTTATCAGAGTGTTTATGGGCGAACTTGCAAATGCGAAAATTCCCAAAAATATTTAAAAATTCAGGGCCATCGATTGCCGTGGGACTCCGGCCCTATCTGGATATTAACGATGTGGGAAAAGTCCCATTCACGGACCGGCCGGTGTCTGGGTTCAATTTAGTCTACAGCTCTGACCGCACTCCACGTCCAAGTAGTTGGTCTTATCGGAGGCGTACGCTGCCGTCGAATTAGACATAAACGGTGCTCGTTCAGGTGATAAGGATCCAGATAGCTGGAGCGGCGGTTCCTATCACAGACGATTACCCCGATTCAAGCCGAAACGATTTGCGGAAAAAATGGCCCTCCATTTAGAGTATTTGACACCTGTGCCGCATGTTTCCGTCAGTCTGCGATCTACCGGCAAGGAAGTAACCTGCTCTGGACTCTTGTGGCCCTCCTAGTCCAGCGAAACCGACGACGAGTTCACCCAGCCTTCAATATGCGTGATAAGAGCCAGGAGCCCTGTTGTCTACCCCTGAAGGAGGAGTTCCAGCGCTCTAAGTTCTCGCTGCACCACGATGATCCTGGCGCCTTTTGTCGATCGCAATGGCAGAAGGGCGATCGGAACATCATCTGGCTGCTCTATCGATGGATCCTGGCTGGGTTCTTTGCCGGCGGTGTTATCGGCAGCATGGTGGAAACCTTCAACGGCGGTCGCTGGTTCATTTATCTCACGGACTGGGGATTTTCCTTGTGCTTTTATTGCTGCACCTATGGCGCCATAATCGCCACCATTTACTTCATAAGGCCCTCGTATTTTGGTAAGTATTGATGGATACCAGTGAAAATTTAATAATAAGCTCTTTGCCTAACGTTTAATATATTATTCCTAAATTATTTCGTAAAATGCGTTGTTTATATTGCAAAAACAAGGTAAAAACATTTTAAAAAGTAACATAAAACGCTTTAAAAAAAAAAATAAAATAAAATTGTTATGAAGCATTTTACTCTTTAATATCGTTCAGACTTTTTTTGATCCTAAAACAACATGTTAAAAAATCTTATTTTCTCTGTGTACTTATATTGTAATTTTCCCGTGTTTTTTTTTGTGACTCACACCAGCTAAGCACATAAAAAAAACTACTCATTAAGTACATAACTATAATAAATAACGATTTTTTGTTGAATGACTGAGACTTAGAAAATACAAAATCGTAAATTTGGAAATAATTTCTATGTGCGAGCCTACAAAGGAATATCCCATAATTTTCCCCAAAGTCCTATTAAATGATAGAGATAACAAAATCAGAGAATTATTATCATATCAAAGTAATTATATTTTGAACGATCAATCAATAATGACCTTTATTCTTTCCCATTTCCAAATATTAGCTCCTGGCAGTTGGGCATTGAAAATCTATTGGATTTCCCACTACACAACTGTAGTTTTAGCCATGTTGATCACCCTGGTCTTCTGGGCTGCACTTTATCCATGTGAGTTAGGCTAATAAGTAATTAAAAAATAAGTATTTATATTTTTTCTTTTATAGCCATGCCAGAAATGGGTGCTGAGCTGTACAACCTCTGGGCGCATGCGTTTAACTCGATTTGCATGGTTTTCGACTGCTTCATGGTCGCCTTTCCCACCAGAATTATGCACTTTGTTTATCCCTTCACCGCTGGCATTACCTATGGTATATTTTCATTAATTTACTTTTGGACTGGCGGAGTAGATCCGTAAGTAAATCATTAAAAAGTGCACGATAAATTTTATAATTCTTTATAAATTTTACAGAATGGGAAATCGATTCATCTATTTCATCTTGGACTGGGAACGACCTGGTCTGGCCATTGGTACGGTTTGCGGATGTGTGGTTCTAGTCAGCTGCTTCTGTGTGTTGGTCTTTGGATTCTACAGATTACGTATCTCGATGTACGAATGTTGTAGTAAAAAACCTGAGGAAATTCCATCTACCACTGCTCCTCCCAAGGAACCAAGGCAAAATGTTTGAGTTCAATTTAAACATTCTTAATGGGACTCCAAAGAAGTAGGTGGTTTTCTGGTAGATGGTTTACTTTTTTCCATTACTAAATGGTTCATTTACTTGAATCATGTTTACTATCATAAAATCATAGACCACAGAACTACATATGAAATAATTTCTGTACATGAAAGAAATATTAAAGCATCACTTTCTTATACGAGTTATATTACAATACAAAAAATATATATTTCCAACAATTCATATTGAAATTGTAGAAATAATGTTAAAAGAAATATTATACAAGAAAAGGTAAATAAATGTCATTTCGATTATAACTCAAAAAGAAAAGCATTTTTTAAACAAAAAATAAATTTTGCTATGGGCATTTTTTTTAAGAACCAGAATAGAATAATAAATAACTGTTTTTATGATATGAGTCAACAATTTTCAATAGTTGTATATCAACAAGAAATATTTCTTGTTTACATCCATATTTTCGTAATGTTATATACTTCAGATTATCAACCTCTACAAGTGCCATCGTACCTTTATAAATCTGTATATAGTGGTGTTTGATTTGACAGTATCAATGGCCAAAATAATAAAACTTTTGTAAAATATTCATATCTTGAAACGATTTGGCAGACAGGTCGATAGTGGGCTATTTGAGTGTTGGTATTGAGCTCATATTCTCTATCTTAAAAATTGCTGATAGGGTTTTTCGTGTTTCCCTGCTGGGGAGTGGGGTGTGAACAGATCGAGTCTATCATGGACTCTGATCACGAATTCCTAAATATACGTACTGCTTTATTACTGTGCAAAATCATCCGACACTCGAATGTGCTGAGAAGTATTTACGAATTGTTTTATGTCCCACTTGCATACATGGAATTTCCCGAAAATGAGTTTATGTTTTCCAATAGTGGCTAATACGGCTGCGCCAGATGGAAGATTAATGGTATGTTCGACCGCTCTGACCCACCTTGACCACGTTGGGGGTCTTATCGGGGGACTGCTGGCGATTCAGACATAAAAGGTACTCACTGGGATGATAAGGATCGTGATAATGCATACGGTGTGTATCACACGATTACCTCGATTCAAGCCAAAACTATGTGCGGTAAATATGGCCCCCTATTTAGACTATGGAACACCTGTTCCTACATCAGTCTGTGGTTTAGCGTCAAGGCAATAACTTGCTTTAGTCCATCGGAATCCAAGACATGGGTGATAAGAACAAAGAGGGGTGCTGTCAGCTCTTAAAGGACGAGTTCCAACGCTCCAAGTTCTCGCTGCATCATGAGGATCCTGGCGTCTTCTGTCGCTCGCAATGGCAGAAGGGAGAGCGAAATATAATCTGGGTCCTGTATCGATGGGCCCTGGCTGCTTTCTTTGCCGCCGGAGTTATTGGCAGCATGAGGCAGGATTTTAACGGCGGTCGTTGGTTTATATACCTTACGGATTGGGGGTTTTCACTGTGCCTAATTACCTGCACTTACGGCGCTGTAATCGCCACTATTTACTATTTTAATCAGTCGTATTTTGGTGAGTAATACTTTGTAATAACCTGACATATAATAGTAAATAAATTCTGCATTCCACTAACAATATTTAGCTCCTGGCGATCGCTCCCTAAAGATTTACTGGATCTCCCACTATACCACTTCGGTTCTATCCATGTTGATTACTACGGTCTTCTGGGCTGCGCTTTCCAATAGTAAGTTGAGCTCTAAAATCTATACTATCTGCAATAAACTACTTATTTATTTTTTAGCCATGCCCGAAATTGCTGGTGAGCTTTACAACTTGTGGTGTCATGCCTTCAACTCGATCTGCATGGTGTTCGACTGCTTTATGGTGGCCTATCCCAGTCACCTCATGCACTCTATTTATCCCTTTTCCGTTGTGCTTATTTTCTTGGTACATTCCTTGATTTACTATTGGGCTGGTGGAACTGACATGTAAGAAAGTCTTATGCTTATACTTCAGCTTTACATTTAAAACTTTTTTTTTTTAGCGATGGAAATCGGTTTATCTACTTCGCACTGGACTGGGCGCGTCCTGGCCTGGCAATTGGATTCGTTTGTGCCGCTTTGTTTCTCATTTGCTGCTTTTCCTTTGTGGCTTTTGGAATTTACCGGCTGCGGATCTCGATGTACAACTGTTGCCACAAGAAGCTGGAGGAAACACCAGCACTAGCACCTCCTCCCAAGGACTCAACTCCAAATGTTTAATTTAAATTCTAGCAATTTTAATCGGTTTCAAAGCCGTAGTATAGGACATAGCTGTACTTAGGCCATTTTCTGGACCACGGCAAACTGCAGCGATTGGATTTGGTTGGACCATTTCTCCAGGGCATTGTATCGCGACGCGCTGCTGTTGATCTTGTCTAGCTGGAGCACCTGATTCACTTGGTCGATGCGTCCCTTGATTGTGCTGGCGATGCAATAAACGTTAGTTAAATTCTTAGCATCTTTAACTTTAAAAACTTACTCATCCAGAATGCAGGAGACCAGCAGGCTTTCCACTTCGGCTGGCTCAATGTTCAGCGCATTGGCTATGAAGGGTATAGCAATGTTTTTATAGGGTCTGATGAGTTTAATAAGCACCTGGGTGCGAATGTTCCGCAACAAGTCCTCGATGTGTTCCCGTATGAACTGATCGGCCATAATGTTGCTCCGATGTTGCCGCAAAATGGTCTCAAACTCATTGATGTCGTTGTTCTGATAGGAGTTGACCAAGTTCGTCATGGCGAGGATCTCTGGATCGTTCTTATAGGGTTTAGCTTCCTGTGAGTCAAAGGGATTTATTCCTGATTTCATTAGCCTGAAATTGAGATGAATATTAATTGAGGCGAGGATGAGAAATAATGTTTCACCTACATGTTTGCCAACACCAAGTACTTTAAGCAAGTGGTTCTCCGGGGCGATCCGCTCTCATCGTAGTTCTTGAACGCCTCAAAGAAATCCGTGTGGGCCTTTTCGAACTCGCCCTCTCGCAGATGCATTTTACCGCCACACTCGCGGATGACTCCCATGATCAAAGGATGTGGAATGGCTGACTTGATGTGAAGCGACTGTTCGTAGAGGGCCTTCAGCTTCTTGTTGTTCTTTTGCACCGTGTACATCTGAATCTCAAGGGCGTAGATTTCCAGGAGCTGCGTGCCCTTCTTCAGGTCGTCCTCGCCATCATCAGTCTGGCAGCTTTGATGCAACTGCTTGAGAATCTTCTGCAATTTGGTGAAGTCGCTGCGGTCAAAGTAGAGTTTGCCCAGCTTGGTGTTGGTCTTGAACCACAGACGATCGTTTTTGGCATCCCGAAGGGCATCCAGAGTGGTCTCGTAGAAGTTCTGGAGCAGGGCCATCTGTGATAAAATAAAAGATTGAATTAAATTGTATGTAACTTGATCTGAATTCAATATTTCTAAGGGTTTTAAGGGATATTAGTCAAAAAATTAATGGTTAGCATGGTAATAAGAGCAGTTATATCTAGAAATCTCTGTTTTTGGAATGCTCACATTTTTTGAAGTGGATATATAGTCCAGTATAGAGTTGATGCTCTTTTCCGAATGATTCCTGGTCACGGCGCTCTTGATGTAAGTGAGCAGCTGTTTATAGCGCACCATCATCTCATCGTAGTTGCACTGCAGGGATATAGCATTATATAGATATATAGATTAGCTCATTTGGTAAAGCCTTACCAGCCTAAAGTTGATCTTGATCATTTGCTTCAGCGCCTTGAATCCCCACTCTCCTTTTTCGCCATTCTCGAGGTCGAGAACCTTTTGAAAACTGGCCAACGCCGCCTTGGGTTCCTCCTCCTTCAGAGCCTTGCTGTTGTAGTACTGGTTCTCCAGATCCACATCCGGTTCCGAGTTGCTATCCTCAGAGTATTCCTAAAATATTTATGAAAGAAGGTTGAAGCCGGCTTTGTTTGGAGGTCTTTAAAACAGCTAAATTCCACTATCTATTTACCAATCCATAATCCTCATCGTCGTCGCACATGAAATCATCATCGTTATCGGACATTTTGCGACTTGGGCTTTGTATATTAAACTTTATCACCAAATAAAATAAATGCGAATCTAGAATATTTTTGCAGAAAAAACAAAGGCGTGACCGTTTTGGGTTTAGCAAAATAATGCTGCCGAATGTGACCATCAGCTGTTGGCAATCGATAACTGTAGTGGAGATGCTCAAATGAAAACAGTGACTACAATTCAATATGTGATTTTAATTTTAAAATATATATAATGAAAAAATTAAAACAAAAAACTAATGACAATATTTAAAGACTGAAAATATTACAACATTTATAAAGCACATTTTTAATTTAGTTATTTTTACAAAATTATTCCAAAAAAATAAATATTAAAGATTTTAATATTTTTAATTTTAAGGTTTATTTAAATCTATAAAACAACATTTATTTTTAATAATTAATTAATTTGTATTTTGTATATTATCCCGTGACTTCTTCACCGTTACTTAAAAATACTTCGGTAACAGCTAACGGTACTGAAAATATTGCCCATCCCTCGTTCGACCAGTGCTGCCCATCCAATCAACAGGTTTTGTGTACATCCTTTTCGCCACTAAAATGAGGTAAACAATTTTCATTTTGCTTGTTTTCATTTATTAAAACCACAAAACCAAACACAGCCTGACAAAGCGACTTGTGCACATTTTCCCCCGTTGCAGTTCCGCCTCCAAGATAACTCACTCTTCGGCGGATCGAAACTCCCAGCCGATTTCGGAGGCTCTACTCGCGCAAGTGGACAGGAGCACCCCAAATTTGCAGTTGCTGGAAATTGCCTCGGGATCGGGACAACATGTGGGATTCCTGGCTCCCCTGATGCCCAACATCATCTTCCAGCCGACGGAGGCCCAAAGGGGTCACTTCTCATCGATTTGCGCCTACGCTGAGGATTGTCCCACCAAGAATATTCGAGCACCCTTCTATGTGGACATCTCCTGGGATCTCACGGATTGGGAGGAGCCTCCAGAGCCGGCCAGCTACGACTATATGTTTAACTCCAACATGATGCACATCACGCCGTGGATCTGCTCCATTGGACTCTTCCGGGCGGCCGGGCAGCTTCTAAAGATGGGCGGCAAGATGTTCACCTACGGTCCGTATGCAGAGAACCGCATCCTGGGGCCCAAGAGCAATTGGGACTTTGACATTATGCTTCGGCAGAGAGATCCCGACTGGGGCGTTCGCGACATAATCGATCTGAAGGTTGTGGCTACCGATAATGGAATGCAGCTGGAGAAGATCACGGAGATGCCGTCGAACAACAAGCTTCTCACCTGGCTTAAACTATAAAATAGTTTCTGACCTGGCTTAAACTATAAAATAGTGCACTAGACTAAGGCTATTTGGCGATTACCCCTCTCAGATAATGTTACGCATATGTATGTTGTTTATTTGGAGGCAATAAAGATTATTGCCATTCATTGGAGTGCCGGCTCGTCGAACTAGGCCAAGTGGGCCTGCGAGAGTGCAGGAATTGACCTTGAAAGCGCAGTTGATAGTAGCCCGATCGATTGGTGGACTCTATATAAAGACGGATCTGGTTGCACATGCGGCACAAGCGATCCAGCAACGGAGTTACAGGCATGGCGCAAACGATTCTTCAGCTGCTTCTCGTGGCAATTCTCCTGGTGAATCTGACTTTAGCAAGCACTGTGAGAAGACCGCGACTGGATGGACGCATCGTGGGCGGCCAGGTGGCTAGTATCCAAGACATTCCCTACCAGGTTTCCCTGCAGCGGAGCTATCACTTCTGCGGTGGCTCTCTGATCGCACAGGGTTGGGTCTTGACAGCCGCCCACTGCACCGAAGGATCGGCCATACTCATCTCCAAAGTGCGCATTGGATCTTCGCGCACTGCTGACGGTGGTCAGCTGGTGGGGATCAAGCGAGTCCATCGGCATCCGAAATACAATGCCTACACCATCGACTTTGACTTCTCGCTGCTCGAACTGCAGGAATATAGCGCGCAGAACGTGACCCAGTCTTTCATTGGACTTCCCCAACAGGATGCGGACATTGCCGATGGAACTCCGGTGCTTGTTTCCGGTTGGGGCAACACGCAGAGCAACCAGGAGTCCTCAGCGGTTCTTCGAGCTGTAACCGTGCCCAAAGTGAGTCAGATGCAGTGCACCGAGGCTTATGGCAGCTTCGGAAGCATTACGGATCGAATGCTCTGCGCTGGACTGCCGGAGGGCGGCAAGGACGCATGTCAAGGCGACTCGGGAGGTCCTCTGGCCGCCGACGACACTCTTTGGGGCGTCGTCTCCTGGGGTTATGGATGCGCCAGGCCAAACTATCCAGGCGTTTACTCACGGGTCTCAGCTGTACGCGATTGGATTGGCTCTATAAGTGGCATCTGAGATCAATAAACCACAAAAAACGATTATAATTACACGTGATTGAAAATTTAAAATTGTTCTAAAGTTTACATCAACTATGGTACACCAAAAAAAAATCTATCTGAATCGTAGGTCAATTTTACCTTATTTAAGATCAATTTTAATTTGACCTGGCCTCAGGTAAATTTGACCTGGTCGAAAAGGGTACTTCATATAAAAACGACATCGGTTTTGCATGACCTGAAATTTACATGGTCATTTCGATATTACGGTGACATGCTTTTTTTTGTGTGTAGCTAGAATATGGTATAAAATTTAAAATTGCAAATCAAGAAATGTTCCTTTTTAATATTTTCATAGCCGATGTAATCAAGGAATTTATGTCACTTTCCTTGCAGCAGCTGCACTTTTCCATCGGTCCATTTATCATCGCCAACTGAAGCAATTGACCCAGAAAAACCCCAGGTCCGAATGTTGACAGAGTCTGGATGGAGAGCAAAAAGAAGGGGTCAGATGACCACATCATATCAATAACTGCAGACCGACGGAGACGAAGATCAAATTTACCTAAGGCAAATAAAAGTCTGCACGAAGACGAAAAAATAACAAAGTTGGCATAGTAAAGTGAATTGATTGGTCAGAGTGGCATAAGTTCCCATTTCGAGAGCTGTTACTTCGCCTTTGGATATTTTTCATCTTCGATTGCAGTTGCCCGTTTGTTCTAGTGTTTTCCTCGTCCAGTTTTCCCAGCCATTTTCCATTTTCCTGGCCTCACTAATTGTTGATTAAATGCTGCAAATTGCTGCAAGTGTGCCCCATTGTTGCCTTTCTTCTGGCTTTCCCGTTGACGTTTTCGGTTACCTTTTACCATCTACGGTTGTCAAAGCAGTTAGCAGTGGAACCACAGGTGCTAAAGGGGTGAACCAGGTGGAGAATCGCCCCGGCAGGGGTGTCGTTGTGTCCTCCGGGTCATTGCAATTTTGCACGTGAACTTGTTAACAGAAAGGAGCTGCAGAAAAAAAAAACATGGAAATAGAGGTGAAGTGAACGAAGCCAAGACATGAACTGCAAATTGAACGGTTATGTCGAGAGATGGGTTACAAGTTTACCTTGGCGTTGCAATTTTCAACTTTCAAATGAACTCCAGTGGGTCACTGTGTAGCATACTTCCAGGGGTATTTAATCTACAAGGGGAAACAACTAGCATGGCAGTACCATTTTTAGCTGCAGTTTAGGAAACCATGATTGTCACTTTGGATGCCATAAATTTTTAAAGAATTTAATAATTAATAATAGTTAATTAATACCATAATTTTATATTTTTATTCTGTTCCATATTATTTTCAAACCATAATAATCCAATCATCTATAAGGAATTTTAAATTGATTTTTATTTATCATAACGCTGTCGTAATAAAAGATTTATAGTTTTGGTGGCTATGTTAACGAGAGCTTAGTGGAAAATATAAGTTTCACTACTATTTTGTTGTAATCTTGGCATTATGTTAGGACATTTTACTCGTTGAGATGCAATTAGGATGCCTCAGCTTATCTTTTAAAGTTCTCCAGGCTCTTTTTGAGGAGAGGCGACCTCTCCTAACGACTTGTGGCAGTACTTAAGCTGCTTTTGTTATTGTTTTTTTTTTTGCTGAATCTCCCTCTCAGCCTTGTTTTCATTTTTTCGCTTCCCTTTTTTGTTGTTCATTGGAGCCACCGAGACATAGAAAATGTAAAATTTGTTTGTTTCCTTTCATTGATGTTGAAAGTTTTTGCAGCTGCTGCAGACAATGCAATGAGTCGGGGTCTGGATCCTATATTCCCTATTCCCGCCCATATCTCCAGTTCTCCTCGGTCTCTAATTCTATCTGCTGGCCTGCCAGGGGACTGTCTTATTATTATAGTTTGTCGATTTGTTTGCATTGTAGTCCTCATTGTTGTTCTCTTAGCCGGTCCAAAAGCTTGTGTGGGTGTGGGTGTGTCCAGATGGTCCAACAACAATCGATTGTTATAAATTATTTTGCAGCTTTTGTAATTTGTTATGTGAACAACAAATATTGTGGAGAGCTTAAAAAATCTATTGAAACCTTGTTTTTTCGATGAGGGTGTTTCATTTGTAGACAACACTTCTTGTTGGGTTTTATTTTATCTAAAGGCAGAAAGGAAATTTGGAAACTTTCATCAGTGCTCATCATTTTAAGTAAAGTGGTAAGTCACAGTTAAAAAATTATTTCAAAAACCTTAAATTATTATAAATACAGTTACCAATATGTTATATATTTAATAGAAATCTTGTCATCTGTCGAATGGTGATTGATTTTTAATTTATAAAATTTGTTCATGCCTTCATTTAAAATTTAATAATATCTTCGGTGGACACTTTCCTCTTTGGCTATAAGAAAATTTGCTGGTCTTTATATAAATTTGCCTCACTGCTTATTTAAATTTCTTTCTATTCTGCCTTACTATTCAAGGGTTGTATAAAAAATATATATTTTCGAAAGATTAAATACATCTGCTCTGGGGCCATTGCGAGTTGTCTATGACTCAGTTAGGTGGCCTACGCGGCGTATGCTTGATCTGGCGGGATGCTGCCGCAACTCGCTCTGCCTTTGAGTGTGTGTATGTTTTTTATGGAAATAATATTCTTGTCAGGATTAAAAAGGATACGTGACCGGAATACGAGTGCAATGTGCATGCGGAAATGTGGCCAGGACCTGCGAGAAGCGGAACAAAAAGGGCAGAGACAAAAAACGGGAAAAGTAGACAAACAGGAGTCGCAACAGGACTAAAATGTATCTGTCAGACTCGTCGACTTTTGCTATCGTTGTCGCCTGTCGCATATCTGTATCTATGTTTGTGTTTATATTTTTCTTGCCAGCTCTTAGCCACTTCCCATCCACCATCCGCCATCCGCCATCCTCCATCCGCCATCATCATCATCATTTCGATGCTTATCCTTGCTTATTGTCCTGTCGGAAAATGCTCGCTGCTGCTGGTTGTCTGCTACTTTTTTCCTTTTTAATTTTTAAGAAAGCATATTGTAATTCTGTTGTTTACCTGTTTGGACACTCGGATACACGTACTTTTTAAATCTCGACCGCAGGCGATCCCTTGTTTTTTGCTTACCAGATTGGAGTGCCCTCGTCCCTTCCACCTCCTCGTCCTTCCGCCCAATGCAGTCAGTCATTTGTCCTGTCATTTGTAATATTCCCCTACGCATCCTTGACAGCGGCTTAGCATTGTTGTTTCCACAGCTGCTTAGCTATTCGTGGCATGTCCTGGGCAATGGCCACGATTGTGATGTATGATTTTCAATTCCACCTACGGCAAGTCTTCTTCTAATTTTGTTGAAATTATTCCTTGGCTCAACCAAAAAAACAAATAAAATGAAAACATTTTAGTGGGGTTTATCTTGAGTTTATTTGTTGGCTAAGCTACGTGTTCTCTGCCGAATATTTATGTATCTTTAAATTTTACAAATATTTATCCAATAAACTATTTGGAAATTGTATTTAAATGTAAAGTGTGGTGCAACCTTTTTTATACTTTTTTTAATTTACTATGTTATCAACCACCAAATAATTTTCGTTGAGTTGATTACTTTTTATTCTTGTATATAAATTTAATATACTTTCGATATCCGAATAGAACTGTCTCTTATCGGCACTGAAGCGCATACCTCATCATCAATTTGTGGCAGTCCCCTGAATATTATGAAATATTTTTCGTATATAATAAATCTTCTTTAATACTCCCAATACTAATAAACTTATAACTGCGTCTAAAAGTGGGTCAGGAAAAACGTATATATTTTTCTATAGCTCGAATATTTTTTTATCTGCCAAAGTAATCCCAACTTTGTTTAGTTACATCGTACTTGATTTGCTAACACATATCAACAGTTTATGGTATGTGAAGCGTAGCAATAGGTATTAGATATTTACTTTTATTATCAACTGATTACAATCAGAATGTTAGACATCGGTATTACTATTTTTATTTCCCGCATCGTGCATGTGTGTTTGTAAGTCGTATATCAATCGATTGGCAATACTCGTATTATGATGTCACTCTTTTTTAACGGATGTGGAAAAAGTTATAAAATAAAAATTGAGCTCTTTTTCCTTTTTTTTTTGAGTTATCGCTGTGGAATTTTGTTGATAAAAAGTATTCCCTAAATATATATGTATTAGCATATACTGAGCTAGTAGTGCATTCAATCGACAGAAACCCCCGTATTGGCGTTTAGTCAACAATTCTAATACATTCCCCTGACTCAAAGTGGGTTGAAGCACATTGATAACGGAATCTAATCTTTATAGCCGGCATAAAATCCGCTTTATTATAGTTCAGTTTTGGACTACAAAATGAGCTGCTATCGGTTGCATTGGATTCAGTTTCGCTTGTGACAGCTTTGTGCGGAGTTGCGTGTTTAGCTATAAAAAAAAAAAGAATATCCTCCGATCAAAATGTGGAAGAAAGTGATTTTCTGTGTGGTTCTTGTGGCCTTTTTGGGCATCCAGTTTGGTGAGAAAAATTTCCAAAGTTAACAGTCGAATCCTTGCTAATAAAATACTTTTAACCATTAGCCGACTCGCTAACCTGCTCGAAATGTACAACGCCGAGTGGATGCAAAAGTCCCTCGTCCGAAACCTGCTCGAATTCGACAGCCAATTCCAACAAGGCCTTTTTGGAAACGTTCCACAACAATGTGCCCGCCGTTAATGGCAGTTTTAATTTCTCCTGTGCCAATCTCACCTACTACCATGCAGCAAGTATGTTATTCGCTGATTTGTGTGTCTTAAATGGAACTATCTAACCACATTCTCTGACTTTCCTCCAGACAATTCCCATGCATCTGAGTTCCTGGGCTGTGTCTTCAATGAGACCAACGTCTGCGGTCTTACTTTGACCAGCTCCACGACTGGATGGTCGAAGAAGTGCCTCACATGCGGCACAGATTACTGCAACCCGGCGGGAACTTTCAGCGGTAGTGCCTATACCATCGTAGGTTCCGCGATTGCACTGCTTTTGGCCAAGGTCCTGAGCTAAACCCATCATCTAACTGAGGACCTACGCAGTATTTGAACTTAATTCCAATTGTATACTATTTATTTTTAAATGTTGGATTAAAAGAATTTATAAAAACAAAAAAATACTAAGAGTTTGAATTATTTAAAATAAAATAAACATTAGATAATCTATTTCAATTGATTTAAATGATTTTAATTATTCAAAATCTTTTTAGAGCTGAGATGGGTCTATTCATTATACCCTTGTAAAGGGTATTATAATTTCAGTCAGATGTTTGCAACGCAGTGAAGGAGACGTTTCCGACCACATAAAGTATATATATTCTTGATCAGGACCAATAGCCGAGTCTATCTAGCCATGTCCGTCTGTCCGTCTGTCTGTCTGTCCGTCTGTCCGTCTGTCCGTTTCTATGCGAACTAGTCTCTCAGTTTTAAAGCTATCGCGATGAAACTTTCCCGAAAGTCTTCTTTCTATTGCAGGTAGTACATTTGTCGGAGCGAGCCGGATCGGACCACTATATCTTAAGGCTCCCATAGGAATATTCATAGAAATATAAGAAAATTCATTGTAACTTTGTAGGAAGTAGGCGTTTTAATTCTTGACTACTTATGTATAAACAAAATTAAAATAGAAACGCTGAATCTGGAATCCCTAGAACTGCACCGAGTGAGCATTACTTTATCTGCAAGGGTATATAAGCTTCGGCTGGCCGAAGTTAGCTTCCTTTCTTGTTTTTATATTTGTTCCTTGAAATTTTATAAAATACAATTTCCTTATAAATTAGTCTTTTGTATATCAGATTCTCATGTGATTCACAGCCGACATTGTTTACTTCAACTTTTATTAGCCAGTTCTCGGAATGTTTTATTGGATCACTTCAATTATTTATTAGCTTGTAAAGTTTATATTAGGACCTTCCTCAAAAAAATAATAAAGAGTTTAAGAAATAAAAGCAAATGGACTAAGTTTAAAAGAATTTATTGATTCCTGGAAAGCAGACAAATAGACTGAGCTGAAAAAATTTATTGATTGTTGGACAAAAAACCATTTAGATAACATTCGATTATGTAAATGAATTTGCTTTTAATAAAATATGAGTCAATAGCTCTTAAATCGCTTAGCAACTTACCGAGTTATTTAGCTAAAAACTTCCCCATCTTGATTGCTACCAATTGTACGCAACGTTTTTATCAATTTATTGCCATATAGGTGTGCATATTGATTAGGTGTGGACTAAGATAAGAGCTATTAGATTCGCTCGTGAGAGAAGTCCCCATTTCAGTCAGGTGTGAAATTGTCAGCCTGTGAGTAAGATTTCAAACTGTGGGCTAGGTCCGAGTTAAGTACCAGATAACAACGAATGCAAATAAAGATTATGGATGCTAGCATACTGGTCTCTAAAAAAAAATATAAAACCCAGTTTCAAGTAAAATAACACAAATATGTTAGGTTTTTAATACATGTAAAAACTACAGTAGTTAAGTTTAACTTAATTATCTTTTATATTCCCATTCGATAAACTTATTACATTTTCGAAATTGCCTCCACAAGTTGAATGAGTACCTGAAGGGGAAACCCTTTCCGTTTCTCCATTGAACCTCTTTTGATAATCTTACTAGGCTATAAACGTTGCGATAAGCTAATCAGCCAAAATACTCATGCTTATCTGACAAGAAATGAGTAAAGTGCGAAATCTAAAGAGAGAAGCGATTTATAAAAGAGTTCTGAACATTTCAACAGAGTTTAGTTTAAAGCGAATAGGCGACTAAGAAAGTACTATTACTGAGAAGAATAAATAAAAAACCTAAAATAATGTATACTAAAGCCATAATTGCCACTGTATTGGTGGCCTTTGTCTGTGTCCAATTTGGTGAGTCATAACTCTGGAAATAAATATTTTCGCGCTTTAATTAGCGATCTGTTTCACTGAATAGCCGATTCTCTGAAGTGTTACACCTGCGTAACACCCAAGGATTGCAAGAGTCCCAAGAAAGTTACCTGTACCAATGCGGCCGCCAATGAGACCAGTAATTACCTGAGCGTCTATCATCAGGGAGTGCGGAACCTAACCAGCACTCGATTTGACTGTCTGGCCCTCAAGTACACTTGGAGTGAGTAGTTGAAACTTTGAATATCAGCCCAGATATATTTATAAAATATATATTCCCCCTTCGCCAGACAACGACGTGATCCATCAGCTGCATGGCTGCATTCATCCTAATGTTGGAGCCTGCAGTTTGGCCCTAAAGCCGGCCTATTCCCATTATAATAAGACCTACTGCACCGTCTGTTCGGGCGATAAGTGCAACAAGAATCCGGCTGGAAAAATGAGCAGCAGCACCATCACCATTGCGGCCAGTGTTGTGGGTCTTTTGCTGGCCAAGATCTTTGCCTAGGGCGCAACTATTAATATAGATGAGTTAAGAACATCAGACCATGATACCATGCCATAATAAATTATTTCTTTTTCCAATATCTCTTATAGTTTTAATTCTTATCAACTTCGATTAGATTAGACTTCTTGGACTTTCCACGCGTTCACGTTTTCTCAATATTTCACAAGAAGTTAATCAGTAGGTGATTACAGTTTATGATCTTTTTTAGGGAATTTTAGTTCGGCTTAGCTATTCAACTTAATTACATCTGACTAGACTGATTGGGCGGTATTAAGAGGTCTGATAAGGCAAAATAGTTGGAAAAATTAGGGTTTTAGCACATGTTTAGACTAAAAAGTTAATAAGTCAACTGTGACATATTATGCACATGTGTAGACTAAAAAGTTAATAAGTCAACTGTGACATATTATTATTTATTTGTTTATTATGCGATTAAAATTAAATAATTTGGATTTACACACTGTTCGCGTGTGGAAATCGTATATTAATACAAAGAGGACCGATTCCGGGGTTCCAACTTTTCGATAACTTTTGTGGATTTGTTATCTTGGCTTGAAGCCGGGTTTTATTGTTGGGTCATTTTCAAATAAAGGAAAGTCATTGAAGTTGAGCTAACGTGTTCTCCAATTGGGCGGTATAGAATCAAAAGCGGAACGTCTAACAACCAAGACCTGGCCCCAAACACACACAATTTTAAGAAATTCAACCATTCAAATTCAAATATTTGTTGGTCCATTTAAAAAAGAATTTTTGGGAATCCCGGATGATCAACTTTTTTTTTTTCATTTTTTCAAACGATTTCTTTTACTATTAGGAAAATTAAAGTTGAGACAGAAATTTTTGGCTTTCAGAACTAAAACCCTTTTACTCTCTTCGATATAAGTGTAAATCCCAAAAATATACAGATGTAAAATTGAGCATATATGGCTATTTGTCGGTCAATTTAAACGATTTTTTGATATTCTTGGCAATATAAAATGCTCTTCTTTGGTCCCGCACATCTCTCTTCATGAAAATTCCGTTTGCCGCATTAGTCATCCAGGGAACTCTAAAAATTCCAGGCTGTCACTTAAATTGGCAAACTATCCCAGAGAAAGCCGGAGTTAGCCCGGAGTCGAGAGAAACATGAATAAATCTTTAATAGTGTTGCCGGCTGGCTAAAAGGTAGCCTCACTTTTGCATGCCGAACATTATCCTTTTTAGGGGAGGCTGCGGCGGAGGGGGGTCATGTTATGGTTATTGTGGCTCGGTTTGTTTGGAGCTGCAGTCAGGCATTTAATTGATTGATTGTTGCTCGTCTATGTCTGCATCGATTTGGCCATGTTCACACCGTCCTCTAACCCGCCTCCGAAAGCCGGGGTTACAGCTACCCGTTTCGGATGTTTCATAACCAAAACGGCAGGAGGTGTCCTATGCCGCCCATCGCATCCTGCGCCGTTATCAAATCGACTTCCTGGCTATATATACATATATGCGCCACATTGCTCCTGCTGCCAATTAGTGTTGGTGCGTCATCTGTGCGAGTGTGTGTGGGTGTGCACGTCATCAATTAATTTTTGTATTGTTGTTACTTTGTTTTTTGGTTGGCTTTTTTGTGCTGCTGCACTCGGTGGGTTCCGTGGGAGAATCCCCCTGTTGACTGATTGGTTTCTTTTCGATTCAATTGTTTCATGTGTGCATGGGAATGGGAATGGATGTGTTCGCTAACAAAGTTATGGTTATGGCTTTGACATCTGGAATAGGATGACCTATAGCGAGGAATCCCAAGACCTTATTCAAGGGTTTAGCGAACCTTTTAAGTCATGAGACTGCTTTAAAATAGTCATGATTTTTTTTAAATAAATATGACATGGGTTTTGCATCAAGATACACACAGAAAAAACATCGATATGCGTATGGTAAATTTCTGGTCTTTTCATATACATACGCTTATCGGTTTTACCATGCGAAAGTTCTCTGACTTCCTAGTCGTCCTTTTAATTACAAAATTTTCAAATGTTTTAAACATTTGGTTTTCAAAATACTTTACAAAATACAAACAAAAACAAAATGGTTTGGGCAAAAATCAAAGCACGCTCTCCATTTAAAACTTCCTTGTGACTCTTTCTGATTTCAAAGACCACCCTCGATTTCCGAAACTTGTTCGGAACTCCCAGAAACTAAATTAAGTTTAACTTCAACTACAATATGTACATTTGATTTATGCATTGAGAGACCATAGACCGAACCACCTCCGCGTTCAGCCCCCAAGAAAGTCCTGCTCCTGCGAGAACGTAGACGGGAACCCTCTGATAACTAAGCCAAACCTATTCAACTTTCACGTTCGCATTGTTTGCACGAGCACGAAAAGTTATTAAGATGCATAGACGTGATTTTGCATGTTTTAAAAAAGAATACATAATGCCGCAGGTTGAAGCGGGGGAGTAGGGGATATTATATGGATGATATTAGGAGGAGGAAGACTGGGATCTTGACTTGCACTTTAAGTACTTTTAATTTACTAAACAAATTTCCATTCTTCCCCGACGACCGAAAATGTTGCATTCAAGAGGCCAAAAGAGGCCTCCACCCACAAAGACAAACTCATTGACATGCCCGAGACAGGAATTGAATTAAAAGTTTTCGGCTTTTCCGTGGAAATAGAATACCCAGAAGTTTCATTGTTTGGCTTCTGAAAAAAGTTTGGCGCATTTAAATTGATTTGTAATTCGCGGTTAATTTGGTTTTTTCAGCTCCTTTCTTCGGTCACTTTTATTCAATTTCACATTGTTAGTTTTCGTTCATTTTTTGCGCTTTTATTATTATTTTAATTTGACACGGAACGCCTGACAGTTATTTCAATTTGCCCTTTGTACATAGTTTTACCCCGAACGAATGTTACAAATTAAATATGTATTGAAATTTTAAATTGTCGCCAAATGTCTGCGGTATGGCTTGATGCTTTTGTGAATTTTCGGAATGCAAATCAAAGAAAGGCAATTTGAATAATGATGTTGAAATCAGAATTAAATCAGAAAATATGTCACGCTGATATTAAAGACCAAATAAGCAATTCAATATAAGTAAGCATAAATTTTAAATTGCTTTCTAACATAAACATTTAATTTTCATTGAATAAATGAGCATATTTGAATTATTCAAATTTTTCATTAATTCTCCTATGCAAATGTTTGAAAAAGATGTTAAAATTCAATTTTAGTTGCGTAAATATTGTTTTAAAATTTTTGATTGAACTCAATGTCGTTTTGTGATATAAAAATTGAAAAATAGATTATATAAATATTGATAGCTTAATTTAAATAACAATATTTCACAAGAATATACTTAAAACTTAAGTTAAACTTGTTATCTTTTTATATTTATTCTATTATTATTATTCACAATCAATATTACAGTGTCGACTTTTAGAGAAAGTTTTCCCAAAATCAGTACAAGGACAAAATAAAGTGCTAGCCCATAAATCTAAAAATTTAATATGTAACAAATAAATCAAAGGCAAAAAACCAACATTTACACATTCGCTTGCTGTGGCTAAAATTTTCTGCACATACTTTATCAATTGTTTATATAAATATGGACATCGTACACATTCAGAGAATTCATAATTTATGAGATGCAGCTAAAGTGTAAACATCAAGAATTTGTAAATGAAAAGTGAAAATCCCGGCAAAAGAATTGGGATGAAATCTGCTTTAATGTAGCTTAAAATTCCTTGGCCAAAAGCCCTGTGAAACTGGTTGAAAATTATTATTGTAAGATTTGCCTAAATCGTTTATGACACTGTCACAAAATGTAGTATAACGAGCTGAGAAAGGGTCGGATTTGGGGTTTTGTTGAGAGATTAGCAAATGTCTTTGGTGTTGCTGCTACGCAGATTTGCTTTTGGGTTTCGTTTTGGTTTGGTTTGGGACTTGTTTGTAAGTAATTAGAAAGATACTTGGCTTATTTGCTGGTGATTTGGTGACGACCCAACAACTCTATTATCATGTTAATAATGATTTGGAGACGGGCCGAGTTAAAGCAAATGATTTAAGTTTGGTGAGTGTGTTCAAGAAGTGCTGTACAGTAAAATAAATACTTAATTTAATTTCTTAAACTTTGTAAATAATTTAGAGATTTAATAAATTAATGAAGTGGTATTAAACAAATTAATTATAGTATTTATTAAATTAATTATTATCTGAATCTGAATTTTTTACATAAGATCGTTGTTATTGGGGCTCAATATTTTAAAGTTTGTATTATTATTAAATTCAGAACCATTTTTTACGCACCTCGAGTCCCTCCTGTTGCACAACTTGCAGAATTTATGCATGACAGCAGCATGACTTAATCCTTTCGAGGCGCCAACGTGAGCAGGCAGATTTTGGGAGAAAGTGTTAAAGATTTCGCAGGGACAGGGAACTAGAGTTTTTGTTATTATGTCGACTGCTTATATTATTATTAACACCAAAATCTGAAACGATAAACAAAAACAGTACTGAGTTTAATTCAAACGAGCAGTTCGTTGCATTTCAATTAGTCTGTTTCACTGCAGTCTTCAGAATCTCTGCTCAAGCGGAAAATCAATCATTATTCGCAGCGTCAAAAGTGACACTTCATATAGTTATTGTTTTTTTTCTTTAGCAGCATTTAAGCATATTAAAAGTGAAATGCAGGAAAAATTAAAATATTAAGATCAACTGAGAGGGAAAAACTCGTTTTATTGTTGCCACGACAATGAAAAATCGCTGCCGCATATGTTCGACAAAAACCCTGACATTATTGACTGTTAATATCCTGGGAAACAACGGAAAATAATGTTCTTTAAAGGTGAAGTTTTGCTACCCTTGGTTTTCTGTGTGACACAAAATTATATTGATTAAATATTAATAATGTGAATGTTTGTAAAGAAGTGAATAAATTTTAAATTTATTGTAAGAGAAAAAATATTAAGAAACAATTTTCGAATAGTTTTGTTAGATTTAAGAACTTACGATTTCTGCAGATTAGTTTTAGGCTTTGGCTGTACCATTATTATTTTAATAACTATCAGATAAACTAAGCACTCAAAAGCTAAAATTGGACAGATATTTATTC